GGGCTCCTTCATGATCCGCCGCAGCACTGGACGGACCGACTCCTCGATATCTGGTGGGATCCGTCCTCTACGAACAGAAGCACATGGAGTGGGAACATAAAGAGCAAGACAGTCTCGAACACCTCTACACCAACCAGCCATGGGTCAGACCACATGTAGCCTTCATCCCACAGCGAAGAAATGAACTCCTTCCCACCCGGTGCTGCGGTGACGGCACGGATCCCGGAATCCACTACCAGCGCAAAGACAGGGATTTCCTGGTCAATATGGCTGGCTGCGAATGGGGACGAGACTGCTGGTCTGAAATCTACAACTACAGAGAACTCAGCAACTATCTCAACAGGACGCTATGGGAGAAGTTCAAGGACGCTCTAAGTGACCAGTGGAATAGAATGCTAGGCAAAGAAGTAAAGAAGAAGCCCTGAATGACTTCTTCTTTCTTTTCCGGCTATCAATCTACGCTTTCTTCTCTTTCTTGTTTAAAATCATATACATTTATTTTTTATTTTATTTGCAATGGCTCCCCTTTGTTAGCTCTTCTTCATTTTCTAATTCCTTCTTCCATCCCATGCTGGCTTTTTTCCTTTTTTGAAAATATATCTCTCTCGAAAGATTTTCTCTATATAATGTTTTTCCCTTATTTCGTTTTCTATCTTCACGTCTTGCTCCCCTTTTTCTGCTTCTTCTCGTTCTTCCCCAAGTTCATGCGGAAGAACCCCCTTTTCACCCATTCCATTCATTCACCCTGCACGACGGTAGAATATTCGATTCCTGTCCTGGGCTGCTGGTTCTCTTTTCCATCCTTTTATTTTCTCTTCGACTTGACTCGACTTGACTCTGCATCCAGCCCTGACCTCGCCTTGTGATCGCATTCTCATCTTAGACCATCACTACCTTCATACCAATGTGCATTTATTTATGTCTTTCGTGCTCTTCCGTTGGATCGTTTATTTTACTATCCAACTGCTTTCTCTTCTTTTTCCAACCTTCCCTTCATTTCCTATCTGTATTTTGATTTGATCATTTGTTCTGCTCAACTGGAAAAGTACGATTCGTTTTCCTGTAAGCGACGTGTCATGAGTCCTTTTCTGTGTATCTTGTCCTCCTTCAATCCCATGGGATATCTGTATTATTCTATCTTAACTCATGCTCCTTCCTGGGCTCTTTCCCTCTCTTCTATCGCTGTCTTTCTCCGGCTTTTTCTCTTTCTCTTTCTCAAATATAAAAAAGTAACAAAACTTATTGAGCATTGAACTGCTTATATAATCTTGTCATGTGATATAGACACTCGACCAATAGGAAATCAGTATTTTCCGCAACTTCAACCTTCTCCGACTTGCTCGGTCAAGATAGACGAAGACGAAGAATCAATATCAAGCACAACCAACAGCTTCAACTCTACCGCAACTTCGGTGCTGTACCCGCCACATACCAGCCCAATTACCCTCCGTCTAGCGCGAAATCACAATGCCAACCCCCGAGTCCGCTGCCTTCTTGGCTAAAAAGCCAACCGTCCCTCCAACCTACGACGGCGTTGACTTCGAAGACACAGTCGCCCTACACAATGCCCGTGACGCTATAATTCGCGAACAATGGGTTCGCAGCATGATGTCCAGACTTGTCGGTGATGAATTGGGCAAATGCTACCGAAGAGAGGGCGTGAACCACCTGGAGAAGTGCGGAAAGCTAAGAGGTGAGTTGATCTCCAGTTATATTTTCGCCGGAGGATTTAAGGGTAGGCGAGATGGTCGGTTGGAGAGATGCTGACGTGTGGCCTTGCGTAGATAAATACTTCGAGCTTTTGGGAGAGAGGAAGGTTAAGGGATACTTGTTCCAGGAGAAGAACTATATTGAGAAGCAGCAGTGAGTGGAGGAGTCGGGGGGATGAGCTGTGTGATGATTAGGATGGGATATGGGACGCTGTCTGAACGCTGGTCTCATTATTGGATTCCGTGGCTAGGGAAGCTAAGGTGCCTTGGTATTCCGCCAGCCAGTACATGGGAATGTCAAACGAGGTGTTCTGTGGCATGCGGCTAGATGTTGGGCCACTTTCATGTATAGATATTTGCGAATCTTTTTTTTTTATATGCAGACATTACTGTTATCCTATCAAATCAACAGGTTTAAGCTGTACACCATTTTTTGATATGCAAATTCGTCATCAAATGTTACCCGCTAAACATCGTTACTCCAGTAAATAATCGTATGCTAATAGTAGCTCCGGGATGTTTCCTTCTCATCCTCGCCTTCGCTGCTCTCCACTTCGACGCTGCTATCTATAGGCTCAGCGGGAGCTCGTAACCGTACAAGTTGCTCTGGTTCCAGCATAGGAGGAACATATAGCGCTGGTGGTGTGAGTATGTCTCTTCCAGAAGGCAAATTAGCAGCGTATGAACTCGAAGAAGGGATCAACTGGGTATTGACCTGGTCGCCAGGATTGTCAGCAATAGATAGAGACATAATAGAAGAGAAGCACATACTGTGTCATTCATTTTCATCCACTTCTTCTCGAGTATATCGATTACTCTCCCCTCTTCCTCTCTCCCGGCATCATCGCCGTAGTCAATATCAGTCTCAAGCTCACTGGCTTTAGACGACGTTGCTACTTTCTCGATTTTCTTTTCCTCTTTCCTCTCTGACCATTCCTTCTTCAATCGGGAGAATCCGCCTAATCTACTCTTAGATGGCTTCTCAGCGTCCGCCTCTGCCGTTGAGCCTTTGAATCCAAGCACAGCTCGAGCTGCCCTTAACCAGGCAATCCCTTCTCCAACCTTTCCAGACATTTCAGCATCGATGCCAAAGAATCGACAAGCTTTTGCTCTAGCTACTTTTGCCAGAGTAGTCATATAATTCACTAGATCACTGTCTATTTTCCTCTCAGAGCCGGTGTCACCATGCGACCCTTTGCCCTTCTGCAGCATACCTGCACTAGCTGCAGCCTGCTCTGCATACTCTGCCGCGCGGACACAGAGTCGTGCGAATAGAAGCGTTCGAACTTTGGGGATATCAGGAGATTTAATCATCCATTCTGTATCATTCTTGTTCCGTGACTGGATACAAGCTGATATGAAGGCGTCATCCTTTAAAACAGCAAGCAAAGTTGCCTCAGCCAAGGCCAGTGAGGATAAAGCAGATTGCATGGATGGGTCTAGGTCAGGAACTGGTATTTTTAACATCTCGGCCCCAGAATCACCTGGAGTATATGTGTTCGAAGGAGCAGATATTGAGACTGGCGAGAATGTAGCAAGATAGGAGTGTATACTGCTGACTTGCAGTAGATGTTTTGTCGCAGCTTGGATGGCCGCTACCTTCTGTTCAACTGTGGGAGTGTGGGCCGAGTATAGAGTGGTTAAATATTTTGTTCGTGCAAGAGATGAGTGGACGTAAGCCAGAGTCGACAAGACAAAGGCAATCTCAAAATCTAAACCACGGCCCTTAACTCTTGCTGACGACGACGAAGAAGACGAATCGTTTCCCCGCATGGCAGTCTGGCGTAGCATACTTATGGTAGACATTGAGCTCAACGTGGGACGCCATTCGACTTCGATTTCAGATCGAAGAAGGATGTCGATACCTTCAACGTCTTGCGATCTTCTCCCACCTTCTGCATCCTCTGCCGCTGCATCTTCTCGCCATGAATTGGAACTTAATCCTCGTGATATAGCAGATAAATAAGGAATATACTCATTCAATGCTATCAGGACATGCGGGAGGTGAGAGGCTTGTTGGGCAGGGGTAAGGCGTTTATGTTTCTTGAGTGCGACCCTCAGGCCATGGCGAGCAGTCGAGCCCACCTGCGGGAGAGACGGATGGGTATTTGAATGGATAAATGACTGAAATTGAACGTGCGAAGTTGTTGGGAGAGCAAATGAAATGACCATTGTTATGTTCGGTACTATATTAGTTGCATTAGGTGTGTTTACATGCAGTGTGATTCAACGTTCTCCCAGGTGGTACTGGTACTGCTGAAGATGTGACGTATGATGTTGTCCCACCGTGAGGCGAAACGTGGACCTTGGCTCTTCAGCAAGCAGTGCAATACTCCGTATAAAAAATATCCTCCTTGCAGATTTCTTGATATCGAGTGTCTCTTCTCTCCTCAATATCAAATTCCGCCGAGATGATGAAGTATGAAACTCGAACGACGTCGCGACTTTCCTTTTTCCGCCCGCTGTGTCACATGATGTCATAGCCGTATCATGTGACTGTGCCTGTCTAGATGTCCCAAAAGGGAAATAGGGGATGTTGATATTGCTAATATATATACAGGAGTATACACAGGGAGTGGTTTGTATTGTTCACCGAGGAGCACCTCGTAGTTTTTGAGAATGTCATATTAAAAAAGGCATTATCCTAAGAAGAAAAGCTGTAGAAACGAACTGGGTATTCCATATTTGGTATCATAAACAACATTTCACCCTCTTCCACCGAGGGAGACCTTCTTCAACTCCAAAGCCTGCCTCAAATTTTGTACACGTTTTCCTAGTTTGTTCTTCAAAATTGGATTGTTCATTCCTTCCCACCGGCGTGTCTCTGCCTCTACGTCGGCCTCGAGTTCGGCGATTTCCTCAAGTTGTTCTTGTAATTGATGCTGTTGCTCGAGAGCGTCTTCATCCAAATCGTCGTTGGCATCTTCTGCCGCAGACATTCCGCTCTCATCTTCGTCCCCTGAAGATTCTGCTTGAGCTTGTAGAGGAGTTTGAGGAGTTTGAGGTGTACCAACGTCTAGGTAACTCTCGGTATCGGGTTCCTGGATGTCATCACCCGTATGGCTAACATCTGGTGTTGCGGAAGCCGGCACCGAGCCAGCATCAGCATGAGCCGCAAGCTCCGCTTCCATCTCTGCGGCAAGGTCGTCATCCATTTCCAAAGGTTCTTCGTACTGCTGTTCCTCGTACTGTAGACTTTCGTCAAAGAATTCTCCTTCCGCATCTTGCTCATCATCGTACTCTTCGAAGCCGTCTTGCTCTCCTTGACTTTCGCGTGCGTATTGATTCTGGTCCATAATTTCGAAATCAGGCGGTTTGATGGCGGCCAAGTCTTCCTTCAATAGCCTGGCAACTTCAAGCTCCACTGCTTCGATAGTACGATTGCTGATGCGTTTGCGGAAGCGTCGCTTTCTCACCCACCGTAGAGGGGGTGTAAGGCCATGTGCATATTGAAAGGTCGCAGGGTCAACGTCCTTTGGTAGAGGGTAACTATGGGCTTCCTCTTCCGTTTTAACCTTCCCAAGCACCAGCAGCATCTGACAGATATCTGCAGCTTTGTACCAGCCTCTTTTGTCCCAGCTTTTTAACCCTTCTATTATGGCTGGCAGATCCACCAACGCAGCAGCATAAATGTTTCCTCGTATCGTAACTATAGCTCTTCTTCCATCGCGGGTAAGAGATTTGAAGCTGACATCTGCACCGCCCAAAGCTCGGGGCCCAAAACGCTTTTCCTCGATAGCCTTTCGTAGGTATTCGCAATCTTCTCCGGGCTCCATTCGCAAGATAAACTCCTCTTCCAGGGCAGGATCTATCTCGGTATCTGAAGCTTCTGAGTCGTATCCTGCGCCTCTTGGTCTAACCGGGGGAGCGCCTTTATTTTTTATTCGAAGGGCGGTAGGTTGCTTGGGTTTTGTAGTAAGTTTGAATCGCTTAACGGGGGCTCCTTCAGCTGCCGCCGCACCTCTTGAGGCCTTTCCATTAGTATCTGCTGCAGTATCCCGCGGTCTCTTTTTGGAGGAGCTGCTCGTGGGTGTCTCTTTCGAGGTTTTTGCGGGTTTCTTGGGCTTTGCAGGCGTGGGTTTTTGTTCCGGCTTCTGTACTGGTAGCTTAAGGCCAAGCTTAAGTTTCAGCTTTGGCGCTGGAGCAGGAGTCGAAGAAGCTGAGGGACGCGGAGGAGTAGGAGATTTCTGGGATGGCTGCGGCGCTGATTGCGATGGTTGCGATGGCTGCGCTGCTTTCTTTCCAATGGTGAGCTTTAATATGCGCCGACCTGCCATTTTTCGGTATCACTTCGGTTGGCTAATAGCTGCAGGTACCCGTAGCATCCCTGAATGTATCACAAATGAGATCTTTCAAGCTTAGTCGGCAGCAGTGGAGGGTCTAAATATCTTGTGAAGAAGAAGTTTCGAAAGATGTCATAACTGCGACAGCGCGAACAACACTGCTTAGTCAGCTCCTTTGGCGCTTTTTCGTCGATTCAAAGCGCAACAACAACAATGACCGAACAATAACTGAATGAGAACTGAACAGTAACACAAGTGAGGACAAACAGACTTGGGAATATCCTATTGAGCGGCTTTATTGACCGATTAATCTATTTGTAATCAAGGACACCGGATACCGGGACTTCTTTTTACGCCCTTCTTCCTCTTCCTTTAGAGGATGCGTTTCCTGGCCTGTTGACAGAAGCTCCCTTAATCATCTTCATCCACTACACCAAAGCTCAAGATGGCTACCCCGGACCTACATATCAGTTTGCTACGTCCTCCCGTCATTCAGATCCTCCGCGCAGCAGGATTCCATTCCACGCGACCTGCCGTGGTCGATACCCTGACTGATCTGGCCAGCCGATACCTTCTTCTCCTTGCTTCGTCCACTGCCCGGCATGCGATCAACAGCCACCCAATCTGCCCTACGCCAACACTCGATGATATACTTATGGCTTTACAGGATGTTGGTGCACTACGGCCTCAAATGAGCAGGCTAGAGGAAGATTACCGCGGAGAAGAGGATATGAGAGCGCTTGAAGCGTTTCAGGCATGGTTTAGTGGGCCCGTGAATACAGAAATTAGACGTGTCTGTGGGTTTATTGCGGGCGAGGGAGAGGTCGTTGATGAAGATTCACTAGAGAAGGAGGACTATCTCAGCGGTATGTTACACTCCAAATTATTATGCGCCCTTTTCCCTAAGAATCTTGGGCTAACATTCTCAATTTCTATAGCATTGAAAAAGAAACACAGCAAGACTGGCGAAGAATCGAGGTTTCAAGGAACAGTCCTTGGAAAAGATGCAAAAGAACGTCCCATCGTCATCGAAGGTGGTGCGGAATCAATAACGGCCTGGCGGATGCAAGTTAAATCTAGAGAACAAAGCTCAGAACCGGCTTCGTCAATTAGCAGCATCTCAAGCAACCTATCGGTACCGGACGCCATGGATATCTGAATGTCTGCTGCTTGATATGCATTGAATAATATCCCATGCTGGGGCCTGCTATCGAGCGAGGCATGAAGCAATCCCCAAAAAGCTCAGCCTTCCAGAGAAAGAAGGTTTCGGCAGAGTCCATTCCGATCATGTGCAGAATTGACCCGCTCCTCCGATGTGAACTATACAAAGTCTGTCAAACCCCTTTGGGCCGCTGTTATTACTCCCCTGGTACCAGATCATGGTAACGAATACCAAGATTGGCACGACTGCAAGGCAAGCCATACTTGATATCATTCCCAAGAGCCAATGATCAAAGGGACGACGAACAAAGTTTACCTGAAGTAAAGAAGCCGTCACATCGTCTATTTGGGACCAGCTGTGCGCCCGCCCTGTACGCAGTGGGCTTTGATCAAGCTGCATCATCTGCTGGAGGTTTTTCTCTCAGCACTTCGAGACGAAATTTCACCCTATCTCGCCATAACTCATGATGATTTTATGGCCATTTCATCCTCCCTAATATCATACCAGGTAGCCTCTAATGTGTCACTGTCAAACTGCTCCCCCTGGCTTTTGGTTATACATGATCACGGCCAATATTCCCTATTCCGGTAGATTATGGGGAGAGAAATATATATCACGCGCTTTACATGCATCCTTCAAGACGAATAGTTGAATTGTTATAACAGTTTGCCTAGGCGATAATTTGCGTCTACTGATTAGATTACCAGGATATATCAATACATGGGGTATTGGAAATGGGTATTAAATTCATTCTGTCTGTCTTCCAGTACCAAATTACTGTTCTGTTTACTTCGACACTTCAATGCATACCCCATAACCAACCCACAAAATCGAACAGTCCATCCCAGTTCCCCGGTTCCATGAAGAAAACTCATCAAGAGAAATTCTATATTTCTCAGTGATGCTCTGGCAAGTGTCGTCTTCGGAAACGATATGCCACTCCTTGCAATTTCTAGTCGCATCAGGCTGCGTGGAAGTTGGTAGAGGGAGCGATGGATCTGGGTTCGAGCGCCCCATACAGAGCTGAAGAAAACCATCCTCAGAGTATCTGCTAGTGAATGTGTCTTCTTTGCAGTCTTCTGGTATCCACGGGTTCAATGCGCGCATCTCTGACAGACTGAGGTTAAACTCTTCTCCTGGCTCAGAACATTCCAAATACTCTATCAACTTGTTAGCCGATTCCATCGCGGGTGACAAACTCCTTTTCTGGGTTATTATTGCATACTTTTATCAGCTTCGCCTGCTTCAAGATAGCAACTACATTCTGATTGCGGAATTGAGGGTGAAGGTATATACCTCGGATTTGGCTCTGAGCAGTAGAAATAAGGGAGAGTTGCTAAATTCACGTTAGACTTGACGACAACCGCATGCCACGCTCGAACTGGTTTGAACTTACGTCGAACTTCCCAGCGTCTAATACAGTACCTGTATCCCGGTTTCAAGGAGCAATCCGCACCCCAGCGTAGACTCGGGTTCCAGGCAAGGAATTCGTTGAATTCTACTTCACCTTTTTGTGCCCAAAAGTCACAATCGTTTAAGCTCGCTTCCAGAGCTGACAGGTCTTCGTATGCATTCTCATAACGGTAACAGCCCTCAATTGTTCCTGGGGCACGAGGGCTGGGTTTCGGCGGAGCCGGCAGCTTCCTCTCCGGGCGCTTTAACGAGCCATCTTCCCGATATGGTACTGTGCTCGTTGGGGAGCTATCCCATACCGTTTGTTAGTGAGCCTAGCAAATGTATTGGAGAGTGCGCACTCACCTCTTGCAGAGATGCCATCCCCTCCAAGAGTCAAGGTTAGTACAGTTTGAGTTTATCATGGGGTTCCAATCTAAGAGTTCCGTCATGGTGATGTTGAAGTCCTCGGCTAATGAATGACAGTCCTCTGTTATACCGAGCTGGTGCGTTTTACAGTGTAGGGGAAGACAAAGATAGTGGCTGCGCCGAGGCAGATCTCGACAAGCAAAATCCATTGCGTTCTCCTGGATCAGATGATACGTGGATACGCTGTGCGAACCTGATATGCTTATGCAGGTGTCATTTGGCTCGGCGGTGATCTCTGAGTGGTCGCACGATCGATCCGGAAAAGGACCAATCCAGTTCTGCGCATATTGGGCCGGTATCTCGTACTTATACCCTTCCGCACCGCAGCTTGATGTCAATGACGAGAAGGCCGCAGCTTCCTCATCATTGTAGCCAAAGGGAGAGGAAAGCCGTATACGTTGGATACCAAGCTCACAATTTGAGCAAGCGTGAGCTGAAGCATTCTTGTCATTAGCCCAGTTCGCTATCATGGTTTGGCAATATTGGCCGGATTGTCTATCAAATTATCAGCCATGGAATTTTCGGTTACTACCATTCTGGGGTGTTTACTTGTCTCTGAGACAGGAGAGACGTGTTGCGTAGATGTAACGGTCAATAATGTATGTAGCTGTATCGAAAGAGGCACTTTAGCGAGCGTTATTAACGTTTGTTGGCTCAACCATAGGTTATACCTGGATAGACAGCCCCCCAAGGCGGAACCATTACATCTCCCGTGCATGCCTTCTGAATTGAAGCTCGGAGCAATTCGAGCTCTGCCAAACAAGGGGTTTTACACAGGCTATCAAGGGTATCATCGTGGAGGAACTTAACTCTCGAAGATCTATACCGTTGTCAGTTGGTTGAGATGCTATGTTTAACGTCGGAGTACTCACAAGAAACCTGCATGATCAAGAAGAAAAGCAGGGCAAGATGGTACGGTGATGTTTACCACTTCAAAACATTCTGCACTCAACCCCAATACATCATGCGGTAGTGGGGAGTGGGGAATTTGTTGGCCGAATACCAATATCGAGGAAAATGTTGCCACTCCTAACAATAATAGGGGGTGAAGAGAGGTAAAGGGCATCATGATAGCTATTGTTGCCTCGAAAAGAGCTAGCTATGACCCAATGGAGAACAGTGATTTCTTATATGTTATCAGGATCAGGGTTTTATTCCTTTTCTCAAATGACCGACAGGCACATGGTATCGCATTAAGGGGCCAGGCAGATATTTCAGCTAGACACCGAGACGGCGGGAACAAATTATCTACTAGCGAGTGAAAATGCTTAACATCCATGTCCTATATACCTATATAACGAGCTCTACTAGAGTTTCAGTACTCCGTATATAACTACGGGATCTCTACGTGAAAAAGCTCAAATGCAATCGATCTTTTTATGAGGCTGAAACCATTGTCCCCGACCTCGGTGGGTGCTTAGGAGAAAGCTTGGAGGAGTTCTCGTTCTGTTCTTGTAATGTACGGACGAGCTAAGCATGCAAGGGGAAGCCTCGGCCTGCGCCCTTTGGCGGTTATGGTGGGTCCGGATCCCAGCGGGCGGGTCCCTGGACCTGGCACCGAATTCGATCCATACAAGTGGCTAACTTAGTTAGCTCGTTAAGCAATTATTTATAGTACTTGTTGAGCCTAATTAATCTGTTAAAAGTTCCGATAAGCAAGACATGGAAAGGCGTCTAGTCAACAAGGATCGCATATTCTTTTCCCAAGTAAGCTCTAATGGTATTGGTCGTGCTATCCCAGTCCATGTGGCGGCTCACAAATGAATTTTCTCCGTTGGCAGGTAACCATTGTAATCTCCTGGCTGGTTGTCGGCGCACTCTTACATTCAAAGCTGTAGTAATCAAGGCCAAATAACCGAGAGCAAGAGAAGCAAATGTTTCACTTCACTTTAGTTTTGCGCCAGGAGCCTGGTGTTATGCCCCATGACATCCGCATCGAAGGTGGTCTGCTATAGGTGTCGTACCAAAAATCCGTCTCCATCAGCTCGTCATAGTGCGAAACAATCTCCATAGCGTGAGTATACATCCAGCCAACCTCTTCACTTCCTTCGTTCGTTTCGCCATCTTCCCAGCCTGGGTATATTGTATAGTCTCTGTTGTCTGGTTTTCGCGCCCCGAAGTTTTTGGCTAGCACCTTTACCACCGGGAATGTCATATATTCCAATGACTCCAGGCAGATGTCATCAACGAAGAGGCAAAAATTGTATCGAGTGCCCATAATCCACTCAGGGCCGGGATCCTCCTTGTAGGGATCTCGTATCTCTCGCTGCTCAGGCTCGGAGGGAGCAGTGACCATTCTCTCCATCACAGTATCAGCAACCCAGGTGGTGAAGTGGTCGCGGATATTATGCGAAGTAGCACCATCGAATTTGGTGTTATCTTCTATGATTGTCATCTCATGAAAAGGGAGTAGATCCATCCGGTCGTTGATCTTGAGAGTTTCTACAACCTTGTTGCGCAGGACATGAAGCATTTTCTGCCATGCTTCTTCGTCGCTGTATGTACATCGGTAGACAACCCAGCCCCATGGGTATTGACTCTTTAGCATATGCCTGACGACATGTTTGGGGTCATCAATTCGAGTGAGTTCACTTTCGGTATCCTCCATTTTTTGGTGACTGGTTATCTGTCGAATCTGCGGGCCAAACAACCGTGGGACACGGCTACGGGGTGTATGGGCGAGGAGACAAGATGTGTTGAATAAGAACCTCTTCGCGGCTCGATTGGCATAGCTTCTTATAAACATTGTAACTAACCAGGGCGGTGGGCTAGTTACTACGCTGGAGGAATCTGGCTCGGTTGAGGACGCATGAATAGTGAAAGAAGAACGAACGTGTAGTTAACTATCATGCCAGAAACTGGCGGAGAATCCTCTATTTATACTTAGCAAACCCGTTAACTAGTTACATGACTAACTAATTACTTGCTCATTATAGTTAACGTTGTCACGTTTTTCGACGCGCCTGCTAACGGCGGAACTTTAGAGCGGCCATCTGCATCTGTTCATATTTCTAAGGCCAGAATTTATTTTACCGAGATAATCCGCAAAAGCGACAGACAAGGGGATACTGTATTGAGACTCGCTTTGAACGAGAGAACTCCAATCGATTAAGCCCTTACCATCCAACAGTGTGACAGGTACATTGCCAAAACGAGGGTAGGTAGCCTCTGTTTGTTCCATTCTTGGGCTCCACCGTAGCTGAACGCCGCATTGACGATCTCATTTTCATATCATAGTTAACTCTTCCCACGACAGGGACCAAGCAAGTGGTTATACCTGTGTGTCGTAACTAGGGCTTGCGCCAGTGACCTGGAAACTTGCTTTTATCAAAGGGGGGAAACATTGAAGGTGGTCGACAGTACCGGTAGTACCAAGGCTCTATTCTCATCAAAGTGTTATAGAATGAGACAAGCTCCAAGACTTCGGTATACATCCAGCCAACCTCTTCCTCTCCCTCTTCTGTTTCGCCGTCCTCCCAGCCCGGGTGTACTATATAATCTCTATCGCCCGGGCCTCGCATACCGAAGTTTTTGGCAAGCACCTTAATAACTGGCCATCTCATATGGTCTAATGATTCCAGACAGATATCATCAACAAAGAGACAGAAGTTATATCGAGTGCCAAGAGACCACGTTATAAAAGATTCATTCTTACAGGGATCGCGCAACTCCTGCTGTTCAGAAGGTGTAGTGTCCATTTGCTCCGTCAAGGTATCAGCAACCCAGTTATTAAAGTGATCACGGATATCATGCGACGTGGCGCCCTCAAATTTAGCCTTGTCATCCATATATATCGTCTCATTGAAAAGAAGCAAATCCATTCGCTTGCTTATTTTAAGGCTGTCCATTAACTCATTATGTATAAGGCTCTTCATTCTCTGCCATGCCTTCTCATCACTGTATGAAGTTCGGTAGATCACCCAGCCCCATGGAAATTGGGACTTTAGTTTGAACCTGACGATGCCTTTATAGTCGTCAATCCAACGGAGTTCTCTCTCGTCTGCTATCGAAGCAGCCGCTTGTGGACAGTTAGTTATCCATCGAAACTGCGGGCGAAGCAACAGCGGGACACCGCCAGAGCGTGTACAAAGGGAGAGATAAGATGTTTTCGTGCGGTTCTTCGCCACAGCGCGGCCAGGGATGCATCTCAAGAACATTGGACAGCAGTGAGCCGGTTACCACCTCGGAGGGATCTGACTTGGTTGGAGATGCATGAAAGTGAGAGAAGAGGGAACAAGTAACTTAGTTGACCATCGTGGCGGAGCATCCTCTATTAATACTTAGCAAACTTGTTCACTAGTTAAATCCTTGGCAAGTGGCCCCTTTTTTGGCCACTCTGTGATGTGATCCTTGTCGATATCAACATATTATTACAAGGCACTTAGTTAAGCCAACGAGCTAAATACATAACTAGGTGGAAGCTTCAGAGACTTTCTTAGGTTGAAGCTGTCCTGACTGACGATTTGAAAGTACCAATGTTACCTATCTTGCTACATGGGACCTCAACGGTTTTAGTTATAAACAGCAACAAGCAGCTAGTTATTCCTTGTAACTACTTGGTTACCAACGAGCCAGTGAGTTATGTAACTAAAGGCAGGGATGCCTGTTAATTAGTTACTCTGTCTGTACTCTGTACTTTGTACCTGTCATCTTCGCCAACCAACAGCAAATCCATTTGTTCTTTATAACCACACTTTCACCGCCGCGAACAAATAATACCCCAAACCACTGAAATAGTACTGTATTTGATTCACTGGGAACCATGCGCCTGTTGGATCTCCCGCCTGAGCTTTGCGATGAAATATTCCGCCAGACAGTCCTTATCTGGGGCCTAGGAGCGTACACAGCGAGATTTGTATGCAGTATGTACAACGCGTACCGATATGCCTGGCCTGACCTTGCTACCCAGAGACTTCAATCACTGACCAGCCATCGCCTCTTGCTATACTCCAGAAACCTTCGATTATGGAATTACTCAGGCCTATATGAACGTGGGAGTAATGAGAATTCTGCTTAAAACGATGTGTTATCGGCTCCCTCGACACCTGCTTTACAATTATATAAAGCTCAGAATTCTTCGCGATGAAGATAATTCGACATATTTACTCCACACTATCAGGGAGACACTTAATGCCTTGCTCCAGGCAGAAAACACAACTTCCCAGGAGGTTAAGGCTGAAAAGGCCCTGGTCCTGGCCAGAGCAGCATATTCTTCTGTTAGAACCTATATTATCGTTGAGTCACTTGAAGGAAAGTGTATATGGGAAAAGGGATACCGCCGTAAAACGCAAACTCCTAAGTCACCTATCCACGTTCTATCCGCGGCGGTTCATGATGGCAACTTCCAGGTGGTGACTGAGCTATTGAAACGAGGTGTCTCGTGCAATCAATCTAGCCAGGTATTCGGACCTCCACTTTGCATCGCAGCATATAAAGGAAACAAGGAAATGGTCAAACTTCTACTCAAGTTTCGTGCCGATCCAGCTTACTTCTATCGACTTCATGAACGATCTCATCCTCGAACTCCTCTCCAAGCAGCTGCTTATGCCGGTCATGACGAGATCGTAGACCTCCTTCTTCAGCCAAAGCTCGGTGTACCCAAGTTCGGCAACAGATTCTATAGAGCCCTGGTGTTTGCTGCCAGAGGGGGCAATTTCAACACTTTTAAACAGCTTGTGGATGCTGCAGCTCCGCAGAATAATCCTTTATTTCAATGGGCAGATTGCCTCATGGCCGCCTGTTATTCTGGTTCGGTGTATCTTGTACGCTTTATATTATATAAAGGCGGGGATGTGGGATGCATGAGACGATCTGACACACCGCTAATACTCGTCGCCAGGAAAGGGTACCATGAAATAGCTCGCGCGCTTCTGGAAGCTGGAGCTGATCCAGATTATGATTCATACTGTCATTCAGCTCTGACTATAGCGTCGAGGTATGGTCGGCTGGAGATGGTACGCCTGCTCTTACAGTTTGGAGCATGCTCTAATGCAAGATTTGGGGCAGTCCCAAATGCGGCAGCAGCGGGCAATAAAGATATCATTCAATTGCTACTTGATCACGGAGCTCAGGTTTCTGGGGCGGAACCCAACAAATGGGGCGATACTGGACAGTATATGGGCCAATGGGCTTATAGACAGGCAATCGATCATGGCCACGATTCACTGGCTTCCTGGTTATTGACCCTTGGAGTTGATATGGATAATCATATTGATACTATATATGAATGGAGTTGTGACGAATCCCCAATTATAACCAGTGACGAGGATGAACTGCTAGAAGAAGAAGAAGAGGAAGGTGAAGGTAATGAAAACGAAGAAGACAAGAATGGAGATAGCTGAATATATATTAAACAAAACGAAAATAAAATAATCCAGATTAAAAGGGGGAAGCGAAGAGAAATTTTAGTAGCTAGAAGGTGATGAAAAGCTCACGAAAAATTGTAACTCTAGGCCTGAGGTCAATCTAACTGGCCTGCAGTTTTTTCATCGTCCTAGACCCAGCAAAAGCATGTTTGCACCGAATGCATATATTTTCTTGATCGTAAGCCCACCCAACTCATTGTGGTGATCTGCTAGCATATGAAATACCCCCTTAACATTTGGGGTCCCGGCTAATGCTGTGAAAGCTTCATTCATTGTGTTGTCGTTGGGATCGGGCGCGAACTCAGCTCGCTTGTCAGTGTTACGTCCTGTGCGGCGAAGAGCTTCCCGGATTGTTGCAATAGTCCCCTGGTTAATTATGTTGTTCCGTACAATCCAACGAAGGTTCTTCGCATCATCCCCAGCGTGCTCTTTCCATCCTTCAAACGTTACATCAGACCACCGCAGTTGAGTATCCTCCGGTTGTGTATTGTCAATATTGACATCGCTCCAGGCGACAACCATAGTCTTTTGGGCTTTGTTGTAATAATTGTCGGAAATAACATCCTTATTGGGATCATTGGAATCTTGCTGGGGCTTTTGCTGGTCGTTATTATCTGCGGGGTGTATTTTCACAACGGTACGGTCATATTCTGCACTCTGGTCTAGCCTCGTCGCTTTCCAAAAGTCCCACTTGACGTTTGGTTTGTTCTTGACCACTTTTCCGATAACTTGATGGGCATGTTCAACCTTGTAACGAGGTTCAATGTCAACCGCCGACACATCTGGTTTCTTGTTTTTTAATGCATCTTTCAATCGATTGATTACTTTTGCACCATCTTCCATATACTCTTCCCATGTCAAGATGCTGGTGTTCTTCTCGTTACCCCTTCCATGACTTAGGCCCGGTTCAGACGTTGGTGTTGGCTCTTGGGCTGAGTCTGTGGTTGAGTCTGCCTCAGAACTGGTACGCGATTCTGTCTCTGTAGGTACGGGTGTCGAAGCAGATTTTGTTGTGGAATGATTATCTGAGCTAGTGGTTGGTTTAGCATCAGATGTAGATACGGGTGTTGAAGCTGATTCTGTCGTTGAGTATTCATCTGAGCTGCTAGTTGACTCTGTCTCCGAGGATGTAGGTACAGTAGTATAGGATGACTCTTTCGTAGTAGATGAGCTGGTGATTGACTCTTTCTCCGACGATGTGGGAACGGCTGTAGAGCTTGTTTCCGTTGTAGTGTGTTCATCGGAGCTGCTAGTTGACTCTGTCTCCAAGGATGTAGGTACAGGGGTATAGGATGACTCTTTCGTAGTAGATTCGGAGCTAGTAGTTGTCTCTTTCTCCGACGATGTGGGAACAGCTGTAGAGCTTGTTTTAGTTGCAGTATGTTCATCGGAGCTGGTAGTTGACTCGACCTTAGATGTAGGTTCAGTCGTGCGAGCTGAATCTGTTGTGGATGGTGTCTCTGAGCGGGTGGTGAACTGTTCCTCTGAAGTTGTGGCTGAACTTTCTCTTGAGCTAGTTGTGGACTGGGAGCTTGAGCTTGAACTTGACTGCGTAGATGACTTCGAGCTCAGTGTTGTCGTTGAAAGTGTCGTTGGCTTGGCAGTTGATGTTGGCTTTGACGTTGACCGGGAAGAAGTTGCAGATGAACTTGCCCGAGTGCTGGAGACAGCTTTTGAGCTGGTCGTCGAGTGTACCTTGGAGCTAGTAGTTGGCTTCGCTGTTAAAGTCGTTGACGAAGTTTTCGTTGGCTTGGTGGTCGAAACAGCAGGTGATTTTGTCGTGGTGCTTGACTTTGGAGTCGTGGTAGGACCGGTATTTGGTTTGTTGGTCGTTGCTGGTCTCCCTGGCTTATTAGGGCCATTCCTGTTGGGCGCTCTTCCCCTTTTCTCTAGAAGGGCCGGGATACCAGTATGATATTCTAAATCGGTGGCCTTGATGGTCTCATGCCCCACACAACCGAGAGTAACTATACATATTAGTTCAAGGCTTAGGAGTGTGTAATGAGATTTGGGAATTAAATACCATCACACTTTGTTAAGCTGGAGTCATCGCTTCGGTTGATAAGTCCAGTAGTAATTGCCCTAGGGACAACAACAGGTTGGAAGAGGGCACCCACTGCCAACAAAGACAGCAGATTTGAGGGAGTGAAACGCATGATGGTTATCTCGGTGGAATATACCAAATGGCGGGGACTGAGATGTTTGCGAGTCTGGTTTTCCTAGGTTTGAAGTCGTCCGAGGGCCTCCTCTTTATAGATTTGAGTCTATAAGGTCGTTCTAATAATTCATCTCTCGAATTTGAAATGAGCATGTCAGTTGATGGTCTGTGTCAGCGCTGTAGTAAGCAATACACTGCTTCAAACACAACCTGCAACCAAATTAACTAACAGATATCGATCGCGTATGGGAAATTAAACCCAAGCTGGGAGGGAGGTTCATATCTTTCCTCAACGCATGTGTCTTTCGAAATCCCACTAAGCTTGGGGCTCCAGCCCCCAATTTACTCCGTATAACAACTCAGAGATAACAGCCAACGCAGAAATACTACTGGCTCCGAGTTTGGCGTATACGCCAAAACGAGGCGATAATTCCAAGGCCAATTATCGGTTCATGATGTTTTGACGGAGTAAGTTGCCAAAGGTAGATTGCCAATGTTGTAATGGGGCCGAATAACTGTTGCTTTCGCGCTTAATAAACCATACTCCGACTTAGATGAAGTAATTTGGGTATAATGCTACTGCAGCTGGTGTTCGGAGCTTCCATGGCTTATCATTCGTGGAAGCAGCTGTTCTTCTTGTGGGGAAAAATACTCCGAGTCCTTGATGCAGTATTTTGATGAGTAATGCAAACTCCGAGTATACAAACAGCGCAGGTGTTTGGATACCACAAGCCCGGGTTGGATTCTGATACATATGGCCCCATCAGACATTCATTTACCGACTCTCTGGCTGAAGCTGACTATAGTTCGTGCTGTATGTATAAGCTATAGTAAGTCTTGTCGATCTTCATAGCTTAAAGCGTAATGAGCGAAGCTTCGCCAAGACATTTGGAGACTTTCGGAGCGGACCGGACGTAAACCTTATAGCTATCACGTGAAATTTTTGCTTCCATCGCCATGTCCCAAAAAGGCAACTAGTTCAGTCATGCCAAGGTGCTAAGCACCGTGGGCAGCTTTCTTGTATCTTTCTAATGCTTTCCCTCTACTCTCTGAGTGATTCACGATCGGCTTCGGGTACCCATTCTTCTCTGCTATCTTTTGAGCACCTCGCCCGTAAGGATCATGAATAGCAGAGCCCTCAACATCTCGCAGCTCCGGTACCCAATGCCGGATGTAGTCACCGTCTGGATCAAACCTCTCGCTTTGACGCAATGGATTGAAAATGCGGAAATACGGCTGGGGGTCTACTCCTGTGCTCGAACCAAACCCCCAGCCGCCGTTGTTTGACGCGAAATCTCCGTCGATAAGGTGTAGCATGAAAAACTGTTCCCCACGTCGCCAGTCGATAAGTAAGTCCTTAGAAAGGAATGATGATACTATCATTCGCGTGCGGTTGTGCATCCAGGCACAGTGCTTGAGTTGTCGCATTGCGGCATCAACGATGGGAAATCCTGTTCTCCCTTCACACCATGCGTCGAACTGGGTTAAGTCATATTCCCATTCTAAATCGGTGAATTCCGGCTTGAAGCACTTGTTCATACTAGTGGTACTAATCGTTATTACGAGTTCGTATGGCTACATCGTTCAATGAGGGGGGATTGCTTACCATATAAACGGCCAGTGGACCAACACATGTTTGTAGAAGTCTCGCCAGGCCACTTCGCTGATCCATGTAGTGTACCCAGCATTCTTTCCGGCGAGCTCATTGCTATTAGTATCCTTGGCAATGCGAACTGCAGTTCTAGCACTTAGGGCACCACAGCTGAAATACGGGCTCAGGACAGAGGTAGACTGGCTAGACATAAAGTCCCGTTTATCGTGATACTGTCTTCCCTTTTCCGATAGAAATTTTCGAAGCCTTTGCATTGCTTCGTGTTCCCCCTCGGGATACATATCCCTGAATCGTTGTTGTTCCGTTTCAGATAGCTTCATTTGGTCCGGGGCTTTGGGAACATCACTATCAAATAGGTCTTTAAAATCTTTCCGTGCATCACCCGCATTGGCACCTGGGGCGTCGACCAGGTCTAAATTCTCTGGGTGCTGTTTGAGATAGGCCACCCAAGACCGATACCAGGGAGTATATACCGCATATTGTTTGCCTTGTTGTGTAGCCAATGCTCCAGGATCCACGACACAAGTATCATCCTCTGTAGCAAACTTAATGGCTTGTTCAGCACAGAGTCGAACAAGCCTCGCTTCACGACGCAGCTCATCCACCTCGTACTCTAAATTGGCAAAAATATGCTTTGCACCCCATTTCTTACATAGCTCAACTATACGACTGGGAATCTCCTTTCTTTTCTCTTGTGATTCCATGTATAATGGGATATCTTTCTTGGCCAATTCTGATTTCAGAGTGGCCAGCGTCCGCAACATGAGGTCAACTCGAGGCCGGCTGCAGAGGTGTGCAGTTAGGTCCTCTGGCGAGAATATATATAAACAGATAAGAGGAATGTTGTGACTGCGAGCGAGACTGTATGCCCTGTGTAGCGAGCGATTGTCCTGAAGGCGAAGGTCTTGTTTAAACCAATGCACTACGGCTCTGCCCGGTTGGATGTCCTTGCATTGCTGTGCTGTCTCCCTGTATGCCCGTTGCAGTGCTTCAATGGGGCGCTCCAGTATGCCTTCATTATACGCATGGCAGCGTGCATTGCTTATTTCTGGGGGATAGAAGTCGCGTAAGATAATACCGAAATCTTCCGTTTGTTGTGCGTTGGGGTGCGGTTGCCTTAGGTCTGACTGCGAACGTGACGTCGTGTGAGAAGACGCGCTGTTTTGACGTGACCCTTCGGAAGCGAATGCCTCGGATCCTTTGCGTTTCTTTGCTGGCATGATGAAATTATATCGAGCTGCAAGTGTGATTGTCCGTGTTAATGTGCGCGAATGAGATGTTGTTGACAGGTACATCTCAAGTTGTTGTTGTCGTCGTTGTTGGTTATTTAAATATTTTCTGTGGTGACGTCACTGGCGCGTCCTGCAAGTTTAACGTCGCTTCCCTCTTTCAGCTGCACACAACAGAAAGACTTCGGTCGAAATATTGACACAGAGACGGGGGCAGGCTTGCATACTAGTGAAATTAGCGAGATGAAGGCTGAAGTGGGCTCTTTTAGTTAAAAGCGTTCTGGGTGACAATAATTCGACGAGATTGGCCACAAAAGAGCCAATCTGCTAGTTAAGACTTGCTATCAAACGCTTCGTTCAACTAATTAGCTACTTGACCGAGTGTTGAAGGTTCTATTGTGGCAAATATGGACAGTTGAAGCACTTCTATTGCTGGTTTCTTCAGCTAGGCGATATTTGTTATATACTCAAGGGTTTGCTATAACATGCAAAGAAGCGAAATCGATGATGATACCCATTTTCCATCCGATGAATCGATAAAGAAGGCCCATCCAGTACGCATGGGTAATCATACCAATGAAGAAATACTCATTTGCTACACATGGAAACGCGTCTTTGGGCGTCTTCCAGCCATAGAGCAACTTGGAACCTAGATTCCTCTGATGGCCTCGATGTATGCAGGCCTTCCGGCAGTAAAGATTTCCCCTTCAGGCTTATAGTCCTCGAGCCTTAAGAATTTGTCAGATATCAGGCCCACCTCTGATGGGGGGAATATCTAGACACTTACCCATTCTCTAATAAGGACGTTCTCACCATGAACTTGTCGCCGCCGAACATCATTGGGACAGTCCAAAGGGTGCACCCACAGCGAGTACAGAAGCGTTTGTGCTTGTCGTTGCCAGTGGTGGTATCCTTGAGGGTCCAGGTGCCAATGAGATTTTCGCCAGAGACTACCTTTACTTGCTCCTTGTTGAAGGAGGCTACCTGTTGGAAAGAATGTTAGTCTGGCCCGACGACATGTCAAGATACCACCAATAGCTCCTCTCCTACAGACTTACTATTTGAAAGGCACCCCCGGCATTAAGCTTGCAATGCTTACAGTAGCAGGCCATCGTCTTCTCTGGCTTGCCCTCTACCTCGTAGACGACGCCCTGACACATACAGATGCCGCGTCGTGTAAGGTCAACCATCCTTTTTGTTTGTATAAAGGTGTGCGACGGGTCGAATCTAGGAGTGTGAAGCTGCTGGTTGAAGTCGATACAAGTCCATCCAACTGTAACTAACTACCCAAGCGATATATATACGCGGGGTATCCGGCTAGTTCATTATTAACCAGGTAATATAACAGGTTGGTTATAGGAGGCCCTTGTCCCTGTCCTTCCAGGATCTCCCTTTGTCATACTTCAGCATTGCATATTTATGTCTACCCCGTATATGCAGGTCTCATACTTATCCAGTGATTACTGATCAATTCTATGATCCTCCAAGTATACCCCAGTTATCTCTTTATGCTTTGTATATCAACACTGTCAATTCAGAGTCCAGTACATACGACCACAGGAAGTGGAAAACAGAGCTTCCCGTCCGCTCAGCTGTACTTAAGCCACTTGCCGGTCGGTTAGTAGTTGGGTGGGTGACCACCAGCGAATCCCGACTGTCTGTATGCTTTTGATCACCCATTTTTGCTTTTTTGTTGCCCATTCATTTTCTACATTCTTATGAATCCATCCTCTCTCACCAACAATTATGCTTGCTCGTTACCTCAAATATGCAAAGGGCTGTTCTCCGAAAATTCCTCTGGTGAAATACTGCTATACCAAATTTTATTCGCGATATAACCATCATCAAATCAAGACATATAACGCAGATGACAAAGAAAAGATGAGAAAGTATCTCAAAAACAAAGCCTCTAATTCCTCTCAAGGGACCAAGCGAAGAGAAAGTAGACATCATGCCATTGGAAGCATATGGAAGGGCACATGGTGGTCTTGCCAGCGTAAATAAGGGCACTCCGGTCGAATAGGCTCTAGGAGAAAGGACTTTCCAGGTATACTAATGCGAGCGTTTCTTCTGCTTCCAGAAAAGATTCGCTTGTTTTAGCGCTTGCGTCTGCCCCGGTTACTTATATAGGTAGTTATCAGGCCGTATACCGTGTTGCGTATTCCCCAATGTTTGATTCTAGAATGGTTCTAGTAGGATTTTGAAGATCCAATCAATATTTGGAAGTTGTAAATGCTGCTCCGGTTCTCCTGGGAGATATTTTCAAGCTTATCCAATCTGTTTGAAATTTCCTGGACACCGTTTTTAGCCTCCAGAGCCCACTTGTGGGTCCTCTGAGCGCCGCTTTGAATCTCCTGGACACTGTTTTGAATGTTGTGGAGGGAAGACGCAATGCTATGGAAAATTAGCGACTATGAAAGAAGAGTATATCTTGGTCTACTTACCATGTTGCCTCTACGGAAGCTTCAGAAGCGACATTCTCGTGCATGTCTATATCGGGCATACATATATCCCTCAAGTCCGCATCCCATATGTCCGCATCTTGCATCTTTGTATCTTGCTGGCCGTTGTGATCGTCAATGAGATGTGAAGAGGGTATATCAAGATCCATGGGTATAGTATCCTCTTGTAGAGTGCTAGACTCGCCCAGGTTCGCCAGACTATCGTGTCCAGGTACATCGGTGACGTGCTGCACAAAACCATAAGAATTTCCGAGGCCTAGGATGTGATGATGCTGTCTATCACCTAGTCCTCCGTCTTTCCCGTCCACCCTAACCCCCATATATCAGTACCACCATCCACCCAGTAACACCACACATCAAGAAATAAAAAACGGTAACCGCTCAGCAGTTATACGCGGGGGTAGGCTTCTTGTCGCTCGCAAACAGATGTTTATGCGGCGGGACAGGCGGAGATTCTGCAATTTTGATTGCAAAGGCTATATAAGCGCGCATAGTACCACTATGTATAAAATATTGCCCAGAAAAGCGGTTTGCCATGTCCTTCTAGACCTTCAGTCTTGATTTCCCCCTGCCTTCAGCCCCCGACTTCTTGCGCTAGCCTCATTGTCCCTTGCGATGATTTCTTTGACGCTTTTCTGAGCAGGACATTTCACAGTTCAACCGACTGCCTCCATAAGTGACCAGGTGGGAAGTCATGGTATCAATGTTGATACCATCATCGTCTTACTCTATATATATATATATATATATATATATATATATATAGGGGGGATGCCGCTCAAAGACCGTATTATGTTAGCTGATACGACTTAGAGAGAAAGACTCACTGAATATCTTGGTTAAATGGGTTCCAGGTCGGGTAAAGAGCTGGGGCTTGCCCACTATAGATATTAGAAAGAGGGGTGTTGGTAGAATTGGACATGGCTGGATGATTCCAGCTGAGGCTACCTAGATCGTCTGTAGTAGTAGTAAAGCCAGTTTAGTTGGCGAGTGCTGGTGAGGGAAAGATTCAGCAGATGAAGAGGAGCCCGGGCAATGGGCTCTTTATGTCTCCGTCGCCCGGGCGCGCGGGGCTGCTTCGTGGCGAGCCTCCTGCACGGTTAGACAAGGCTGAACAATGCATAACTACATCGCTGAGATGCGAGCGGCTGCAGCAACGGAAGTGAGGTCACACCCTCAGGGAGCCCTGACTGTAACCTGTCTGCATTGTTAATGTGTTGTTGACTGCTGATTGATCAACTCGCGTCCGAGCGCGTGACGCGTGATCGACGCCTGCTCACCTGATCAAACCTCTTACTCTATCGAGGAGAGCGTCGTCGCCGCTTTTTCCCGTCCCCGCGCCGTCTGGATGTACCTGGATGTACCTGAAGTCACCCGGATTCACCCGAGGGCGCAACTGCCAGCCGCCTCCTTATCCCCCAGTCCCCTGCCTATATAGCTAACTCCCTAGTATTCCACTGCTGTCTGTCCGTTAACTGACTAACTAGTTAACTATGTAGCTGGCGCCAGTGGGTAACTAATGTACAAGCTAGGGCGTTAACGCAAGATGTTATAAACCCGAACCGCATCCCAAGCCCCTCCCCATTAGTTAACTACTTCGTAGACACTCATGTTCCTTCAAAGCGACTGAAACGATGTCTGACCTTATAAGCCTGGCTTCCGGGCTGCTGGCTCTGTCTACGTTTGCCTTCAAGGCCAGTGTCACGCTCTTCGAAACAGTGCAGAGTTTTAAGTCTCACTCCAGCCGCGTCAGCGAACTTTTGGAGGAGCTCGAGGCCCTGAGTGGAGTGTTAGGCCCGCTCGCAGAGAGAGTTGAAACCGGCGACTTCGGCCTCTCGACGCTCAAGCTCCCCTTACTACGATGCGGCAGGTCCTGCGAAGAGTTCGAACAAGAACTGATAAAGTGCTCGCAGCGGGCCGGTGGCGGGCGGACGAGCTTCCGAGACTGGGCCAGGCTGAGGTACCTGGGAGAAGACATAGATGGCTTCCGGCGACAGCTGGCTGGGTATAAGTTAACCATCAACATTGCGCTTACCGACGCCAGCCTGTGAGTCTCCGCTTATGTCTATGTAGTTAATATTATAGTTAGCAATAACTATTCCAGATGAACCTTTGGTTAATGAGTTGCCTGACTAGCCGCCAATCCTCCGCCACTGCCGAACGCCTCGATGGCTACAGAGACCTTATCAAGGGTGCTCAAACTAACCTCGAGGATCGTCTTGAAAGTATCGACGAAAAGCTTGAGCTCTTTTTTGGGCAAACGGTGGCAGAGTCCGACTCGGATACTCTAGAGGTACAGCTGATAAAAGAGGAGCGGCTGAGCACGGAAAAATGTCTCCAAATCTGCGCCCAGCTGTCCACCACTATCGACCAGATTCAAGTCTCGTCTAACCGTGATGGTAGACCTTCTGAGCTACTTGAAACAGATTCCTTATCTGAAAGTGCCACCAATAATTGCTTGGCGGATTGCAAGAATAACCTTCTTCTTACCTCTGCAAAGCTGGAGAAGCATATGCGTGATCTAACGAACCGGTTATTGGCAAAATCAAAGGCATCGATGACGTCTGAGGAGGACATAGCGGATCTTGCAAGGCTGCACGATGAGTGGGAGACCACCCGCCAGTGCATGGACATCTGTTCCAGGGCAGGCCAGAACTTGCAAGAAAATGTTAGCAAAATCGACAACTATGCTACCGGAGACGCTGTGCAGTTCATGGTTTCGACAAACGGAAAAGTCATCCACGGTAAAAATCGCGGTCTTGGATGGAGATCGAGGCAGGTTGGAGGCTACCTCGACAACGACACGGTTAAACAGTTATCAAGAGACATGGCTAGTTACGGCGTCCGAAACACTGAGAATCATCAGGACCTCCCTTCGCGAGGCAATATACCGCGCGCTCCTAACGATGGGGCAGAGGATACACATGCTTCCGAATATGAAAAGCTGTACGGACATGGTTTTAAACTCACATCAACGGCGTCTCCCAGTCCTATGTCTTTTACAGATAAAGCCCAGAGTGGAAGAAGTGGCCCAATGCGATAACTAATTATCCTAACGTGCTTTGAATAACTATCGAATATGCCCTGCTGGTTAAACGAGAATGTAGGCGTCCTTCGCCTCTAAACAAAGCTAGTCTTTAACAACTACGGATATATAACTAGCAGCGGTCTTATCAGGCCTTTAAGGAGCGCTAATATTAACATCTAAGTGCACTTAAGTATACCTCGGAAAATTTAACGTTACTGGGGATAGATGCAGGAGATAAAGGCTGGAATATTTCCATATAACTCTAGCCGGAAAAACCACTTTGCATCTACACCTCCAACATGAATCCATATGTAGATGATTCTTTTTTACCTTAATATATATTTACAGCCCTGCTCTTACGGAGTACTTCCTAGTGGGTGGAGTTGTCTTAGACACGCCTTCACCAACAGTTACAGTTGACTTTAACTTGCCCCTTCGGACGATATAAAAGAGTCGGAAATCCACCGATAGTTAACTGAGTGGGTAACTAGATATTAATTAAACCTTGTTTGATAAAATTTAGATCCAACAAAAGTCCACGCCAGATACGAAGCATAGGCCTGTTGCCTAGTAGGCACGGAGTAACTAACTAGTTATTCAAGTATCTAGTATTTCTTACCAACAAAAAATCACTTTTCTTATATACCTATACCTCCAACGTTTGTTTAAACGGAACAAACATACAGATTATTCAGTTTTAAGCCAGGAGATACCAACAACATGTCCTCGGACGCAACCCAGCAGCCAGATAGCAAAAAATGCTCTGATACTGATGGCGATGGTGATGATGTACCATACTCAGACGCTTCAAGCTCTTACTGGCCTGAGGGATGGAATTGGGCTCGCTTCGCCGATCCTAGCGGTTATCGCACACTTTTATCAGAAGTATCAAAGGATGAATTTGTTAGGCTCTTTGAGGGCTTTGAGGATGTGCTTGGAAAGGAGGGTATGCGTGAGATGTGCAAATACACGGCGCAGATACATGAGAAGAAGCTACAGGAAGAGCGCGGCAGCTCTATACCCCCATATAAAGCACCGCGTTTCCTCGAGGAATACCGAAGAAAATTCCCTAATCGTGACCATCCCTGGGGATTTGTTGCCTTCCGTACAGTCTTATACGACAATGAAGCTAGGTGGGTTGATTTCAAAGCTCGACTCCAGCGGATTCTAAATTTGGCATTTGACGAGGAGGTAAAGCGCTATAAGGGCCATGAGTATGAAGATATTGCAATAGGGCGAAAGCTGTTTACTCTTCATTGGATTGAGGATAACGAGCTTGATGGTGCCATTGAGGATACCCTACGGGAGTGGTATAAGAAGATGAAGCTTGAGAAAGAGGTCCCGATTGGCATGGATTACAGCCTATTTCTGTCCACTTGCCCAGAGGCCGTTGACTCTGTATTTGCCGACCCTCTTCCGACTATTGATTCGTCCTTTTGGCGCGATGATGCACCATTCCTACTTGTTGTCATGGAGTTAGCTGAGGGGGACCTGCCTACTGACCAATATGATTCCGATAACCCATATGATCCCGATGATCGCCTTTGCGAGAACAACTGGTTCAAGTCCGTCTTCAAGGTGGCCGTGGAGATAATCCCCAACTGCTTTTGGGAAGAGGTTGAAATGGGAGTAACAATGGGAACACCGCTTACAAGGCTGACAAGTAAGGTCAAGGGATGCAATCAGTTGCTGGGAGGACCGGTACCTAGGGGTGTCCTTAGAGACAATTTGAGAGAGCTTTGGTGGACGTCATCACCATCGCCACAGGAGAGGAAAAGGAAACTCAAGATGATCGATGAGCTTCCACCAGGAAGTGTTATTATATATCCTAGGCATGGTGAAAAGTGAGAATGAGCCGTTGCTTTATTGATACATTGATATTCATCCAGTTCGTTCCATCCGCTGAGCCGCTAACTAGTTAACTACCTAGGTAACCTCTAAATAAAAATTTGGCCTTACGTTATATACTTACATAAAATGTCCCTAATACATGGTAGCTCTGGGTGAATATCAGAAGAGCAGATGACTGCCGTCATGGTTGCCTTTTGCTACTTTCTTTTTTATATATAGTTCTTGAAAAACCAGACGTGTACGTAGAATATGCATCAATTCTGCTCAAGTGACTCTGTCAAAATTTAGGAAAGAGGAGAGGGCCATCCTTGCGCCATTGCTCTGTTTTACCTTCATCTGATCCAGCCATACTCTGCAGGAATGCTTCCTGCGACGTTATAACATGCTGCATCTTCACCTCATAATCATCAGGACTCACAAAACCATCCCGTCCACTATAGGCACCCAAATACTGAAAAATTTCATCCATCAATTCGACTCCTTCCCATTTCTGCTGGTCTGCCCTTTGCTTAGCTCTCTCCGTGTCTGTGACATCAATAGGACAAGGAACAAGTGGCTCCCCAGCAGCATCCACTCCCACTATTTCACCCCACCTGTCAACTGCTTGCATTAGGTAGCCGAGGACTACTGGCTCTCCATCGGTAAAAAGAGACCCAGCAAGGCCCATCAGCCGACTCACCAAGGTGTCACGACCATGTAATGCGGACCCTGCGGCTCTGCACTGCCGCAGTAATTCAATCTCATAGAGAACATATAATGCTTGCTCATCACGGAGCTTCTTTGCATAAATTTTCTCCTCCGATTGTAAATCGTCAAAGTTTTCGGGGAAAGAAATTTGAGCCTTTCCGGAATGGGACCATCGAAGTCCAAGAATGCCGGTCGACGCGCTTGTAGAAAAAGGGGCGCGATATGAGCTGCTTGCCAGTCAATCAAGCATGTTATCTTGGTTGGATCGTGCGGATCAACGAAGGTATTGTCGGTGTGGAGATCAGGGTGCCATAGTACACCTTTATGGGTATCTTTATTGTTGGGAAAGGGTATTTTGATATGGACAGGTACAGATCCAAGGCATGAAGCTTTGCAGCCTTAGATGGCTGGTATATATTCGGTCCATTGAATACTCCCTGTAGCCTTGGAGAAGGGCCCAGGGAAATAATTGATTCACGCTCCCATTTTGCATTGGCAGCAACGTAGTCTTCAGTCGAAAACCCTGTCTGGTGTTAGTAAGATGAAAGAAAATAGATCCAATCCGTTAATAAACCTACAGAGACCTCGATCCAAGGCTAATGAACCTCTTCCGTCATCAAAGTATTTCCGGTAATTGGTAGCACCAACAGTAAATTTTTCTCTCGTGGTATCACTATCGGAATAGTACAAGCTACCGTATGCAGGGAATGGGTTCAACGCAAGAGATTTTTCAAACAACACGATGTTTTCCACAATTTTCGACTTTTGGACAACATCCATGTTGTCCAAGAACGTGGAGAGCTGAGCTCCAGGAGTTTTCCCCATGATGATATATTCCGCGCCGACCCTGCTTTTGCTGGCATCCGAGCACCACGAATACACTTTGGTGCTGGTATATGTAAATAATTCCTGGCCTATATTAATGTAATGAGTTGGACGTCTCTTTTCTCCCCACGTTCCCTTCTGCTAAAGTCGAGTCGAGAAAGGTACTCACAAAGTCCATTGTTGCGACCTCGCTGAATGTGAGAAAGTGAGCACGTCCAGCATTGGGATTTGGTATCTTTGCAATGACTTCCTTTCCATCATCCATTGTGAGAAGCAGGACTTTGTTGAAGTTGCCTTCCGTCAGCTTCGTGATATCCGTACATGAACAGGAGCCTACGGAGTCCGCTGCCACCTGGCGAAGTGCTCCAACATTGAACTTCACATAGCGAGCGGACAGCTGAAGATCTTCGTCCCAAAGCCATCTCCCTGAGTATATTTAAAAATGGAGTCATGAATCTGGTTTTCTTGGTGATTGACCGTTGTCTGAGACCGTGTCTGGGCAACTGAAGGAGAGGAACTGGTGAAGGCTTTTCGTGTGGAGGCCAGCACAGCATGCGAGGTAAACGCGCTGTCTATTGTCTCTGCTGGAAGATACTCATATCGAAAAGTTGGTAACGATAAGCTCACAACACACTCGATCCAGGGAATCGGCTGACTTGGTCCATGCTGGTTGTTTTCTTAAGCAGAATTGGGCGAGGCTTGAGCGGCCGTCCAGACCGTGAGGTTTCATTACGAGCGACACGACAGATGTTGATAATGAATCACCTTTTAGAATCAATAATTTTTCTGACATCGAGGTTGATTTCGTATGGGGATCAGCCAAAGCGATACTGTAATATATATTAAGAAATCCCGTCTAGCAACTGTAATGGGTCTTAGGCCAAGTTACTCTAGTAGGAACAAGCATTGCTAAGAAGCACGCCGGTGTCCTGGATAAAGTACGGCCAAATGCCACCCGTAAACATGGTTTAAAGCTCGTTGCTATGACCTTTCAGTAGTTACTCGTATTCGGAATCGCAAATGACATATATATGGGAGAGCTCTTTAGTTCTCTTTGAATAGAGACGAGAGATGTCATCTCTACGAAGGTATCATGACAATGCGACCATCTCGGCTACTGCATGTAATGAAGGACTCTGGCCAAGGCAAAAAATCCACCGAACATCACCGCATCTTTTAAGAGAGCTATAAGATAGTTACTATCCCTGGCTCGTGGCAGTGGGCAAGCTCCTAGCTATCAAAAGATAGAGTTGAAGGTTGAATACATATGCAATCAAGCGCTGTCGCCCTGGGATTGGGGAAGAAACTCAGTCTTGCAGGACGGGAGATGGCCTAGATGGGACACACCCCCGAGCCTCTGCTGCTTGGACGCGGGTCTCGTATGATATCGATGAATCTGTTTGTCATGCCATTTCGTTGATTGGATATTTTGATCTAGGCATAGTTATTGCTTTTCCCTAGGCTTGTTTGTGCCTGTTTGCTCAGTCTATATCAGACTGGTTATCGACGTCACGGCCGCTGTTGCCCTCATATTTATGCCCTACTTGGAGTTTCTCTTAATCATAAACATCGATAGATAGAAAACGAAAGCGTGGGGTTGTTATTGAACGTATAAGCCGGACTCTGTCGTTCGCTGAAGGGGATTTAGAGCCGAGATTCTCAGTGCTATAGGCGCTGATATGCATCACCCTTGCGAGAGCCTAAGAGGGATCATCAGTCAAATCCCAGCCTTCACGACCTGCAATACTAATTACAGACGTGTCTTCCATGTGTCGAAGCCGATAAGTCTGCTCACGTATAGCCCTCGTGCCGGCTGAGATGGAGCCAGGGAGATGACGGGCTGATCACCAACCCGCTCCTGATATGTAACCCATCCCATCTTCTCGGGATGGCAGCTCTTATCGGCCTGTCAAAAGGCTCCTCGGGCTTGTTTCGATCGGCAAGTCTTTAATTAGAACAAAGAGAGAGAGTTCCATTTCGGTGGAACTGTCCAGTGATATAGAGTCGATATATCAGCTTGCAGGCATTCCTATGCTTGGTAGTAAAACTATGCAGCCGGAACCAGCACGCGGAATCATCTCAGGCCATCCATCACACCGGAACCGAGACTGACGCTGACACTGACACTCGCAGCCAAGTGTTTGTTGTCTTCACTTCTTCTTGTTCTTCATCTCAGGCATGTTCGAGAGAGTTTCATCTTCAGGGGCTGCCATCCTTGCGGCTCCCGCTTTCAACAGACACCAACCAACCAACATCTCGACTCGAGTCAAGAGGGAGCAGAAGATCAACAGCCCAGAGTCTCGCTTCTGCGTTCACGTCGCCTTGCGTTCCCCTGTGCAAAGGTTCCTGTGCTGTCAGGGGTATGGCTGCAGGCGCTAAACTCGCGTCAACTTTGCTTGTTTGGCAGGATGTGGATGTGGCTGGTGAGGACAGGCCAGGCAACCAAGTCAACGAGTTAGTCGCAGTTGACGTACGTCGGTTGCAGCCTGGGGAGATACAGGGTCATAAAAAAAGATGTTGGCCGTGATGTCGATGCCGAAAACTCCATGGGCAGAGTTAAGGCGTCTAACTGTTCGATAATAACTAATTAACTACTGAGACGGACGATGGTTCTGTACAAAGAGATTCAGGCGTCCAACGCCCGCATCAGCGAGTCGACGGCACTGCAGGTCGCTGTCTTCGCCGGAGGCACTTCAGGCATCGGAAAACTCACCATCAAAGCCCTGGTCAGCACTGGGACATGCATGAGGATCTATTTGATCGGCCGCAAGAGCTCTGAGGAGCGCATGATAACCTTCATCCAAGAGCTGCAGGCCATCAACCCAAGGGCTGAGATTGTCTGGGCTGAAGGCGAGATCTCTCTACTGGCAGAGACGAAGCGAATATGTGACGTTATCAAGAGCAGGGAGCCTCGTGTTGATCTACTGTTCCTTACAGCGGGATACGCCCCCTTCGGCGGACGCCAGGAGACGGCAGAGGGCATAGAAACCTCCCAGAGCCTGGAGTACTACTCCCGCATACTCTTTGCTCTCCACCTCCTCCCTCTGCTAAACAAGGCCGAGGCACCCCGGGTCGTCAGTGTCCTGTCCGGGGGCCTTGAGAAGACGAGCATCGACCTGGATGACCTGGACCTCAAGCGGCCGGGCAACTTTGGCAGCGTCAAGGCCCAGATGCAGTACGGGACAATGAACAGCATAGGCTGGGAGAAGCTCGCCCAAGCCAATCCCAACGTCACCTTCATTCATTCCTGGCCTGGATTTGTCAATACGGGGAATGCGAGGAGAGGATGGGATCCCAACTCAATCATGGCCTGGGTTGTCAGGCATATCCTGGAGCCTCTTCTTGGACTATTCGCTTTCAGTGATGAAGAATCGGGAGGGAGACACCTGTTCCAGTGTACCAGTGCAGCCTATGGCGGTCGTGGTGTTCCATGGCAGGGGACACCAGGCGTAAACACTCTAGAGAAGGAGGAAAACGGCCTGTTTCTGGTCAACTATAAGTGTGACTGTACACCAAATGCAAAGGCCATGAATACACTCCGCGAGACGGCGCGGGAAAAGGTCTGGGACCATACACAGAAAGTGCTTCAACCCTATTTGTAGGGCTTTTCCGGAACATCTCCCTGAGTATCCCCCAGGTGAGTGAATTTTATACTCTGTGCGGAGTGCTATCCTGTCCATTGCCTAGATGTATACTTAGGAGCCCCGGTTCCAAATCAGCTGACAGCATGTTTAGCAGAGGTCAAAATATGCTTGTTTTCCTTTTTACGCCTGGGGGCGTCTAGGGGGGTAAGCACTGTACTTAAGTCCGAGCAGTATATTTATGGAGATACCAAATCCAGGATATGATATATTGTTTAGCCACACCGTGTCAGCCACTGCTTCAACCCCCGTAAACTTACACTGGTAGTTACTTTGGTGAAGGCTGCGGGAAGATTTGAAGATTTGCCGAAACATAAAGATGTTTTCTAGCCGCTGGACTGCCCCTTGTCCGGGGAACAGGCTCACCAACGTGTCTCCCCATATTGAATCCACCGACAAGTCCACCAATACCTCTTGCAGCTGTTTATATTTTAACTATCTAACTATTTGCAACGGGATAACTACTAACCCCACGATTTCTGAAGTGGGGCACGGTCATAGTATTAGTATATGATACAGACCCTTGCCATGGCTATCACCGGCCTGATATCCCGAAATACGACATCTTGGATTCAGAACCCTCACCCTGATCCTTAATCCTCGTCTGTCCGTGGAAAGATCTGCATGAACCATGGTGCTTGAAGCCAACATGGGTTATGTTCGGCCGGAAACATGCGGCGCGCTGCCCCAGACTCCAGACTATGAAGTGGAATGGGAGCCTATCCTTCAGGAGTATCTTCGGGCCCCTTCAACCCCCCCCCCAATCTGCCTCGGGATACCATGCGACTTTCGGGGACGTGGAGATGATCAAAGCATGGGAGACGATCAAGGGAGATCAACATATATAAAATCCAGCTGATCCCCTTTCCCATGGGATGATACCCAAGGAGTGTGAATTCTAGAGGAGGAGATTCTCAAGCCCACGGATCCCCCTTTTATATATACTCTTTTGATCAACATGCACGGCCTCTTGCTTGCCGCCGGGCTTCTCAGCCTGCCTCTCCATGTGCTCGCACACCCCCAGCCCTCGACAACCACCAGTCTCGCTGGTCGAGCCGGTACTGTCGATCTGAATGAGTTCCGCATGGCCCACCGATCCAGCTACACTGGAAACGATGAGATGATGAAGCAGCCCAGCATTGCTTCTTTCCGCCAGGGCACCTACCTCGAGGTTGCTACTGAGCTGGTCAAGCAGACCATGCCAAACATGGAGTTCCGCCTTGTTGATGACCACTACGTTGGCGACTCCGGTATTGGCCACGTCCGTTTCCGCCAGACCATGCACGGAATTGATATCGACAACTCCGACTTCAACGTCAACGTAAGTTATAAATCCATTTTCCATTATCACGCAGCTTCTTCAATCTCCTTCATGCTGCTTCCGGCCCGAAGCTTACCATCCGTTCATACTAGATTGGCAAAGATGGCAAAGTCCTCTCCCACGGAAACTCTTTCTACACCGGCCCAGCTCCCTCTTCCAACCCCATGGTCAAGCGAGACTTCATGGACCCAATGCAGGCTCTTCACGGAGTTCGCAAGGCTCTTAAGCTCCCAATCAAAGCTGATGGCGCCACCGTTCAGGACATGAGCGAGCACAAGGTTATGTTCAAGGGTACCTCCGGTGCTCTTTCTGACCCTACTGCTAAACTCTGCTACATGGCTAAGGAGGACGGTTCTTTGGCTTTGACCTGGAGAGTTGAAACCGATATTGGTGACAACTGGCTCCTCTCCTACATGGATGCAAAGGAATCCGCAAAGGTTCACAACGTAGTCGACTACGTTGCCCACGCCACCTTCCAGGTCTAGTACGCATACCCTTTACTATTCTCCCCCTATTTTCAAATACATCAACACTAAGCTAACTTCTTCCTAGCAAATGGGGCCTTGCTGACCCAACTGAGGGCAACCGTGAAATCCTCAACAACCCCTGGAACTTGAAGACTTCCCCCCTGACCTGGCTCGCCGATGGACAGAACAACTTCACTGCCACCCGAGGCAACAACGCCATTGCTCAGTACAACCCAGATGGAGGCAATGACTATGAGAACAACTACCGACCAAGCCCCAAGAACTTGAAGTTTGAATACCCATACTCAGCCAATATGGACCCACCCAAGACCTACATTGATGCCTCCGTTACCCAGCTCTTCTATACCTCCAACGTCTGCCACGACCTGTACTACATGCTTGGATTTACCGAAAAGGCTGGAAACTTCCAGGTTAACAACCGTGGCCAAGGTGGTAAGGGCGGCGACTACGTTATCTTGAACGCCCAGGATGGCTCTGGCACCAATAACGCCAACTTCGCTACTCCCCCTGACGGCCAGCCCGGCCGCATGCGCGCCTACATCTGGACCCGCGCTAACCCACCCCGTGATGCTTCCTTCGAGGCTGGAACCGTCATCCACGAGTACACCCACGGTCGTAAGTTATATAAAATGCACCCAGGTATCCCTTTGCCAGGCTAACGCTGCTCATAGTCTCCAACCGTCTCTGCGGTGGCCCTGCCAACTCTCGATGCTTGAACGCCATTGAATCCGGCGGTATGGGAGAAGGATGGGGTGACTTCTACGCCACTGCCATCCGCCTAAAGCCCAAGGACACTCGCAAGACCAACTACGTTAAGGGAGGATGGGTAAACAACAGCCCCAAGGGCGTTCGCATGTACCCATACTCCACTGACATGAGCGTCAACCCTCTTGTCTACACCTCCAACAACAAGCTCAACGAGGTCCACGCTATAGGTACCGTCTGGTGCAGCATGCTCTACGAAGTCCTCTGGAACCTCATTGACAAGCACGGCAAGAACGACGGCCCAGTCCCAGTCTTCGAGAACGGCGTTCCAAAAGACGGAAAGTACCTTGCCATGAAGATTGTCATGGACGCATGGCCATGTATGTGTTTGAGAATTCCCCCCTCCCCCCTCCCCCGTCCTCGATTTCAAACTTGCCCCCCTGGTTCGTTCCGTGTCATGTTTCATATAACTAACATCTTTAATTTTAGCCAACCCTGCAACCCTAACTTCGTCCAGGCTCGTGATGCCATCCTCGACGCCGACAAGAACCTCACCAAGGGAGCCAACAAGTGTGAGATCTGGAAGGGATTCGCCAAGCGTGGTCTCGGTGTCGGCGCTAAGTACGATCCAAAGAACCGCACTGGCAGCAACGAGGTTCCAAAGGAATGTAAGTAGTGTAAGAAAGAAAGGGGTAGAGGCAGGTGTTTCAACTGGTTTTTGACAAGCCCTTTTGACCTTCAAATGTACATATTTTTCCAAGATAAATACTCCGCACATATGGAATGAATTTTACGTCTTCATAATCTCTTCACTATTATTTTTATATCGTACGTCAATATCCAGGAAGCCAAAAATATGCTTTGTCGCCCAGAATTCAAATATCCCGATGGCGAAGCTTCTCGCATATTAATTACACTTATGGCCCAATAGGCCGAGATCTCCTTGATTATGGGAGTTACTTCGAAACGTATCTATTAATGGGCTTTGTCGAGGGCCAGACGTTAGATACCATCTGGGATTCTCACGACGACAACGAAAGCACTTATTTCCAACCAACTCAAGGGCTATTTTCAAGAGCTTCGTGACATTGGCCAAGGGTCCTAACATTGGCTATGCTGATTATGGGCCAGTGACAGGTCCGATTTTGTCAAACTTTCGCAACAAAGGTTGGGTTGGTTATTGTCTACTTCTGAGGCAAATTGAACGTATTCTAATTTTTAGTAAGTTAAATAGGACCGTTTTCATTGAAAGAAGAATTCAGCACGATTATTGATGCCTACCTAGGTATGTAGCCAACCTACCCAAACGTCACATTAGGAGATTTTTGACTGGAATGTTGTTCGAGGGGATTCACCTATAGTGACTTCAGACACCAAAATATTATGGTAAAGGAGGGAAATATTGGCGATAATTGCTATACGTTTGGAGCCGGCAGAACGACTGGACAGATTATCTGTTGCAAGTTCTTCGGCCATACTATGTTGAGTATGAATTTCACTCATTAGTAACGGCGACGCTTTGGTGAGACAAGACGGCGTCTAACAATCTCGAACATAGGCACTTCCATCAATATTTATACAGTAAGTAACTACTATATAGAGACCCTAATTAGGTAGTAAAATTCAGTCCAAAACCTCTCTGAAATGGCTATATACACTGTATCTAAAGACCACGACCTGAATTAGCACCTTTGGCGACGCCGCGGTTTACTCCGTACACGGAATGAAGTTTACGTCTTCATAATTTCCTCCATTAAAATTTATCTCGCCCTTCCGTTACATTTCGATAACTAGTCGCCCTTGGCAGAGTACAGACGGCACGACCGGAATATAGGTTCTTAACTCCGGCCGTAAATATAGTGACAATTGGTGGAACTGGCAGGGGGCCGTCATTCCCGTCTCTTGAAATGAGGAGGGGTTGACTCAATTGTGTTATCATATTGAGTCTGCTCTTGACGTCACAGCAAAGACCGCTTCTACATACATGGCCAAGTTGGTACGGAGTACTCCATGTAAAAATTGTCAAGGCAACAGTTTTGAATGTGTAGCATGGCTCCATCCTACCCGCAGGATTACGGCGCAAGAGCAAAAGAAGTCATGAGAAGTGAAGAGTTTTCCCATGCCAGCTCCATCCCCAGCCCGGAGTACATACTTGCTTGTGTATCATGCCTGCATTTTGACAATTAACAGCGCATACTGCAGCGTGTTGGGGTTGCCTGTTCCTATGTGGAGGCAGCTCGTTTAAATCCTTCGCCCACCAATCACTTTATAGCTAGTGGCTGGGCAAGTCACTGGGATGGAGACGCAAGGTGGTTGACGTCAAAAAGCTGTCCCCAGAGACCAGTTCGCTGTGGAAGGACTCCAATACCCAAGGGGACCTCACAGGAAAATATTTCATCCATCAACCGGTGAAAGTCACGCTCATCAGATATCATGCCATAGATCTCCGTTATCCTCCATCAGACGGGACGTGATCCTTCTTAATTGACCAGACTGGCGAATATGCAGGCGACCACAACGCGCCCTTGTTGTCTTTCCCCGCAATGTCAATCTCGGCGCCGTTGGCATGGGTTTTGATCGGTTATATCCTTGACAATATGCTGCCTACGCCCTTGGAATTTATAGAATTGACATCCAGCGTGGCAGGATCCCCCATGGGCGAAGGAGGAATGGGAGGCAAAGGCAAACAGCTGATTCTCACACTGTGTTCACCGAGTTAGCACAAACTTCGACTTCGACACGGGCGCCTGTCCCGCAACTCGCCAACCTTCGTCGCCTCCCGTCGCCATCATCTTCTGCTTCTTCATCGTTGCCATCGTCGTGTGTTCGTCGAAGTCGCCGTCGATCTTCTGGCGATGCAGGAACAAATCGGATCAGCGTTCTTAGTCAGCAGACATCTTGACAAAGAAGAAAAGAAGAAAAACTCCGGGGATGAGATGCGAGTAAAAGCCAGGGATCTGCACGGCTGGCCGACAGTTTGCTAGCTGAGAACTAAGAATTGCCCAGAAACGCCCTCTTTCGCACCTCGGGTAGCTTTGTTCTTGCTTGTTTGCTGGCTGGCTGACTGGCTGGCCAGGCCTGGTATAAAATGCGAGAATCCCCCCCCCCCCCCGTGAGAGGCGTGGGAAGCCGGACACGGTTTGTTAACAGGAGAACTGCCTAGAAAGAGACAGGAAGAGCCATTGACACGATGGTGGCCTACAGCTTCTTGACTCTGATCTCCCTAGTGCTGGGATCGCAGTGTGCGAGTGCCCTTCAGTATGGCTACAACCAGGTGCCTACACACACCGAGTCCAAGATAGTCGCAGGGAAGTTTCCCCCGATAAAGGGGACTCGTCTGCTGTCTCCTGCCTTTACTTCTCCTGGAACTATTCCAAGGGGCTTCTCTGACGGATCGTCTGGGCCTACCAGAGATGAGACCATGGGTGAGTTTTGTTTGTTTTGCTGGTACTGGTAGCTCAGGTGCTGATGGGGAATAGATGGCTTCCTGCGCCGCCTGGCAGGATCGAACAGCTGGATGACCTATCACCAGGCAGACTTTATGTCTGAAGAGGGCCGCAAGTTCCCCTACATGTATCTATCAGGGAGCAACTCTTCCGTCGAGAGCCCTAGCCCCCGCAAGTTGCGAGTCTGGCTCCAGGGAGGTGTGCACGGTAACGAGCCTGCAGGCGACCAGGCCATGCTTGCGCTGCTTGGGGATCTGGCCGCGAACCAGAAATGGGCTGCCAAACTCCTGGAGAAGATGGATATTCTAGTCCTTCCTCGCTACAACCCGGACGGTGTCTTCTATTTCCAGCGCTACCTGGCCACCAACTTTGATCCCAACCGTGACCATGTCAAGCTTGCCAGGCAACAAACCAGAGACATCAAGAAACTCTTCGCCAAGTTCAGCCCGCACATCGCGACGGACATGCACGAGTTCACTGCAGGCCGGACATTCGGTCCAAAGAAGGACGTCATCTACGCTGCTGATGCCTTGTTCAGCGCAGCAAAGAACTTAAATATTGATGAAGGCATCCGTCAACTGTCGGAGAAGCTATTCGCCAAACATATGGGTAAGGACATCGAGGCTGCGGGTCTTCGTTGGGGCCCATACATCACCGAAGGTTCATCGTCCAACTCGAGACTCCTTCTTGAAGAAGCCGGCACTGATGCTAAGATTGGAAGAAACGCCATGGGTCTGACCCAGTGTGTTGTCTTCCTCTGTGAAACCAGAGGTATTGGTATTGCCGATCAAAGTTTTGAACGCCGAACCCTTAGTGGATTGGTCATGGTTAAGAGCATCCTTCAAACTGCTGTTGACAACTTCGATGAAGTTTACAATACCATTGAAAGGGGCGTCAGGCGTTTCACTAACAGCAGAAATGACATCGTGCTTACTGACAAGTCACCAATAATGGAGAAGACTTTTGACATGATCAACACAACCGACGGCTCTCAGCTTAAATACCCCATCGACTTTGCCTCGTAAGTCTTTCTTCTTGCATGGATAAACCCTTAGAGTTTCCAGACTAACAAACCCAGAACTACCCCTGCGAAGGCCGTTTTGACTCGCAGCCGCCCAAGGGCATATCTTATCCCCCCTTCGTGGCTAGATGTTGTCCAACGTCTTGAAGTTTTCGGAGTCAAAGCTGATAAGCTATCCTACAGCTATATCGGACCAGTGGAGGCCTTGAATGTTACGTCTGTTTCGTTTGACAAAGAATACTACGAAGGCGTTGTTACTGCTACTGTGAAGACGAAGCTGGTCGAACGTGACATCAGGCTTCCTGCAGGTACATTCTTGGTGAAGGCAAACCAGAAAAACGCTGCTCTTGCATTCCTTGCGTTGGAGGTAAGAACCCTAAACTTTCTTTGACCATGAGATGTTGCTGACGCTCCGACGAATTTAGCCTGAGTACATGGACTCGTTTGCTTCATTTGGTATCATCCCAGTCAGCACTGATGATCAATATCCTATTTTCAGATTGAGGTAAACTATATTAATTTATACTACCTAGAGGTTAGACTAGTTCCGGTAGGGATATTCATCTATCTTGCATATAATCTATCATACTAGCATATAAGAAACGTAACTTGAATCTGGACATTAACTCTGATCTAAATTATCTAATGTCATAACCCCACTGCTGGAAATCTATCTATAAATCTATTTATCTTCTTCATCAGCCCAAAAGTTGTCATAAGAATATTCAACGCTAAGATCAACAAAGCGAGTGTATTTTCCTCCCGGAGCATCCCCAACTGCCTTGAACTCCTGCTCTGTGAGCTCGACAGGGTGGAAATTGCTCGTGATTCGTGACAGCGTAAAAGATTTTGGGAGTACTGGATAACCCCGTCTCACACCCCAAGCTATGAGAAGCTGTCCAATGTCACAGCCTTTCTTGCTAGCAATATCTCGAAGTACATGTCGACCACGAGCCTTTTCCGCTTCGCCACATGTAAGGACCTGGGACCCAAGCGGCGAATATGCCACAGGAAGTATACCATGGTCGAAGCAGAACTGAACAACCTTGGTGTTTGGGAAGAAAGGGTGAATCTCAATCTGGTTTGCAGCAGGTGGTATGGATGCAAATTTCAGCAGCGAACGTAGTCGTGAGACAGACCAGTTTGAAACTCCAATCGCGCGTGTGAGACCGTCTCGAGCAACTTTCTCCATTGCACGCCAGGTGCGCTCTGGATGCTCTGTGAGTCCCCTCTTGACAATGTACTAGGTGGCCATCGTAAGTATGCAATTCATACTTGAGAGCTGAATATACACACCTTTCCATCAACACCCACAGCCTCTCCTCCTTTTTCATCCTTTACCGTCGCAATGGGGTAATGCAGAAGATACAAATCAACATAGTCCAGTCTCAGCTTTCGGAGGGACTCTTTTATGCTGGCCACCACATCCTCTGGTTCATGCATATTGTTCCATGCCTTGGTGGTGATAAAAAGGTCCTTACGCTGAACATCAGGACGAGCCTCGAGAAATTCATGTATCGCATTGCCGACGAGTTCTTCATTGATGTACAGAGCAGCACAGTCGAGGTGTCTGTACCCAGCATGGAGTGCATGGAGGGTCGCAGCGTATGCCTTTTCCGGGTGTTTGGGGTCAAATGTTCCGAACCCGACGCCGGGTATATTGTGCCCCGTATTGAGTTTGAAGGTAGGATTAGGCATTGGATCGTAATTGCTACCAAATAACCAGATAGAGCGTTGGATATGTTGTTGATGTTGAAGTAAGTAGAAGATGGCGGGGTAGTTGGCGGAAGAAGATCATTATAGAAATTAAAACTTAAGGTTAAAAAAGGTTAAACTCTCTTCTCACACCTTGATCGAACGACAACATCAGAAGAGATGAAAGAGAAGATTGAGTCATTATTAATATTGATCTCTACGGCATGGACACTGATATTTACAGATACAAGAACTAGCAAATGCTACTTCACTGACAATGCTCTCAAACCGGCGAAAAAAATTTGGCCTCATTGCTTGAGTTCGCCTCACCACTTCAGATCCAAATATAAACAGAGCCGCTTCCTTCTAACCGCTGTTTAAAGGGCGATAAAAGATGAATAGAGGATAAAGATGGCATCGATGCTGATATAAAAGGAACGGATGAAAAGATCACCACGTGAGTTGGATCTGGGGTTTGTATGATTCACTCGGATTTACCGCTATGACTCAGGCATACAGGCTATTTAATTGAGATCCCCAGGACCTGTACTCGCAGACAAACACCACCCTCAGACAAGTTACCGATCACCTAAGATGGTGTCTCTCACTGCTGCCTGCAAGGCAAATCACGCCCTTGTTCTTCCTGGACTACTTGCTGCTGGTTATGCGAACCAGGCGGATGGCGGAACCACGGTTTCACTGAACTACGAAGAGGACTTGCAGTCCGTCGGTCCAAACAAAGAGGCTCTGAAACTAATTACGGAAGATGGAAATGTTCTCTACAATGATGCCGTTATTCACTATCTACGGGATAATTCCTCTTGCCTCCAACTTGGTAATACGGATCAGGTTTGTTCTTATTGCTGCAGTTTATTTGTGCTGAAATGTGCTGAACCAGGCGTAGGTATCTGAATGGATTGTGAGATCTCTGGATCTAACAGCTCTGGACTTCAAATCCATTGAGAAGCCTCTCAATGAACTCGAAAGCCACTTTACTCTCCGTTCATTCATCGTCGGGTATTCTCTTACCCTTGCTGATATCATCGTATGGGGTACGATACGCGGAAACAAGGTTTCCATTTCCACCATTAAAAAACGTGCTGGGAACATACTTCGATGGTTCTCCCACATTGAGGCTGAAAATCCCTGGATTAATCAGATAGTCCTCGACCTGGAAGCCTCCGTCCGGAAAAAACGAGCTGCTGGTAGCGCTGCTGGGGCCAGTTATGAAATTGGCCTGAGCACCGAGAACATCGTCACCAGGTTCCCACCAGAACCTTCTGGTTATCTCCATATTGGACATGCAAAGGCAGCTTTGCTTAATGATTTCTTTGCCCATAAACAGTCAGGTGGGACGATGATTTGCCGCTTCGACGATACAAATCCCTCGAAAGAAAATGCAGAATTTCAAGATTCTATTCTCCATGACCTCCAGCTACTTGGAATTACACCAGATAGAGTGTCATATTCTAGCGACTATTTCGATCTTATGTTTGATCTTTGCACTAAGTTAATTTCTAGCGGCAAGGCATATGCCGACAATACTGACAAGGCGATAATGAACCATGAGAGACGGCATGGCATAGCAAGTAAGTGCCGCTACATTTCTGTGGATGAAAGCCTTTCCCATCTTTTACAAATGAAGTCCGGCTCGCCAGAAGGGCAAGCTTGGTGTATCCGGGCAAAGATATCAGTGGATGACCTCAACAGGGCAATGCGAGACCCAGTTATATACCGCTGCAATCCTCAACCGCATCATCGGACCGGTGATAAGTGGAAAATATATCCTACATATGACTTCTGTGCTCCTATTCTGGACTCTATTGAGGGTGTGACGTACGCTCTTCGAACTAATGAATACCGAGATCGAAATGCACAATATGCTTGGATGCAGCAGGCTTTAGGGCTTCGTGAAGTTACGATATGGGATTTCTCACGGATAAACTTTGTGCAAACTGTTCTCTCAAAGAGAAAATTAGCACTCCTGGTAGAGAAACAAGTTGTCTGGAACTGGGATGACCCTAGAATGCCCACTATCCGTGGAATTAGAAGGAGAGGAATGACAATTTCGGCTCTCCGTGAATTTATATTGAAGCAAGGCCCAAGCAGAAATATTATTAACCTTGACTGGACGTCAATATGGGCAATCAACAAAAAATACATCGATCCTATTGCTTCTCGCTACACTGCCATTCTAAAGGAAGGTATGGTCTATGCTAAGATCAATGGAATCGAGGGTCTTCCTCTCGTCAAACGGAAACAAAAACATCCAAAGAATCCAGAGCTTGGATTGAGAAATGTTGTCTACAGTCGCAATGTCTGTCTTGATCAAGCTGATGCACTATCATTTCTTCCCGGCGAGGAAATTACCCTAATGGCATGGGGAAATGCCATTGTCCGGGATATCATCAAATGTCCCAAGACACAGTTGATCACCTACATTGAGTTTGACCTGCATTTGGAAGGGGATTTCAAGAAAACAGGCAAAAAGATAACCTGGCTCTCGCAGGATCAGGACCTTATCCCCGCTGAGTTAGTTGATTTTGACCATCTTATTACGAAAGATAAGCTGGAAAAAGAAGACGACATTATGTCCTATGTTAACTGGAAATCCGAAAGTCGTTCATATGCATGGGTTGATGTTGCTGCAGGGGAACTTAGGGTAGATGATACAATCCAACTTGAGCGTAAGGGTTATTATCGAGTTGATCGTGCGCATTCTGATGGGCAACCGCTCATTCTTTTCTCTATCCCTACCGGCAAGATAGCATAAACGCTTCTCCTACTCTTTATCCTTTACTCTAAAGCCTGTTCAGATGTTGTCTTGCCTAGCTTTCTCACAACCATTGATTGCAATCGTTACTTGATAATTAATCTGGCTTCTACGGTATCGTACTAAAACGCAGAATATTAAGGCTTTATAGATATACCGTTCAAATGCAATGCTAGATTTAAAAACTAAAGGCAGGTTGTAGGTCTAATGGTAGCCATTTCCCTGTAGTTACAAGCTGGGAAGCCGAACCTAGCGGGGTAGAAGTTACCTCAACCTGCTTGACCTTGCTCTGCTTCATCACCAATGCAAGCAAACTACATTGTGGGCAATAGGCGATATTGACAGATCTGACGATATGAGTGAAGAAGAGATTAGAAGAAAGCTGGGTCAGGTAAGTATTCTCTCTAGCTGAAAGATATGGATGACGATGTTGATCCCCGCAACAGCTCTTCATAGTTGGCTTTGATGGCTTGACAGCAAACGAAGGCATCAAGTCACTCATCAAGGCACCATTTTACATTGGAAATGTTATTCTTTTCCGGCGTAACGTCGGCGATGCAGAGCAGTTGATCACTCTCACGAGCGAGCTTCAGCGAACCGCGCGAGATGCAGGGCATACCCGACCCCTATTCATCGCTATAGACCAGGAGAACGGCTGGGTCAGTCAGATTAAGCCTCCCATTGCTGCTCAGCTTCCTGGGTCCATGGCGCTGGGGGCAACAGGCTCTACTGAAGATGCTATACGGGTTGCTAGGGCTACGGGTGAATTGCTATATGCTCTCGGTATCAACATGAACTATGCTCCCGTCTGTGACGTCAATTCAGAGCCAGCCAACCCGGTAATCGGAGTACGTTCTCCGGGCGATGATGGAGTAAGCGTGGGACGAATAGCTTCGGCTTTTGCCAAAGGTCTGCGTGAGGAGAAGGTTGTTCCATGCGTGAAGCATTTTCCAGGTCATGGAGATACTATGGTTGATTCCCACTATGGTCTTCCAGTGGTGAACAGATCCATCGAAGAACTGGAAGCGTGTGAATTGATCCCATTCCGGAGGACAACTGCAGAGAACGTCGAGTCCGTCATGACTTCCCATATTGTTTTGCCGGCTCTTGAAGAATCAAATCTCCCTATGACCCTCAGTAAAAGCTGTGTGCAGTTCCTTCGAGAAAGGCTACAGTATGATGGACTATTGGTGTCCGACTGCTTGGAGATGGAGGCTATTCGTGCGCACTACGGTAGCGAAAAGGGTGCTGCAATGGCAATTGCGGCAGGGGTAGATTGTGCGATGGTGTGCCATACACTGAAAGCACAAATGGGTGCCTATAATGAAGTCTACGAAGCCTTCAAACACGGGGTTATCACCTCTGAGGGTGTTGCCAAATCAGTCGCAAGGGTGACAGCGCTGAAAGATAGGTTCGTTAGCTGGGAGTTAGTTTCCAGCAAACGAACCCCTGAACTGCTTGCGGAGCTTCGTCTCGCCCATGAAAAACTTGCAGCGGATGTCTATGCTCGAAGCGTAACTTTGGTGAGGGATACCCAGAATGCCATCCCTATAAAACCGGATCAAAAGGTGGTCTATGCATACTTTGCTCTAGTGGGGGGCTTCAGCGGGGTCCCCCATACCGTTCCATATCTCCAGTCTCAATTTGGAAAAATGATCATGGAGCATCATTCGAATATGGTTGAATGTCCAATTCGTCAGGACACTTCACTTGAAGAAGATGAAGAGGCTAAGGCAAAGATATCCGACGCTGATGTAGTTATCCTGGTAACCAAAGATGCGAAAATGTCGGGGAGTCAGGTGGAACTGACAAGACTTATCGAAAGATTATCCAAGAAGCTCATTGTAGTGGCCATGAGTGTGCCATATGACTTCCTAGAGGACAAGGAGCTTGTCAAAACCTACCTCACAATATATGAACCAACTCCCGAAGCCTTCTTACCCGCTGTCAAGATTATATTAGGGGACCTCAAGCCGAAAGGAAAGCTTCCTGTGTCGGCTAAACTTCGTCAAATACCAATTGAACCTTTCAACGCGGGTAGAGACCTTGCCAGAGTAATCAAACTTTGGCATCAACTCTTGCCCAGATATGCCGTGCCATCCGCGACGCTGTCTCATGTTCTCACCAGGCCGAATGGAGCCCACTTAGTTTCACGCTTTGAAGATGAAATAGTGGGATTTGTGGCCACGTATGTAAATGAAGACCGGCCTACGACATTCATCCCTGTGGTCCTCGTAGACTCTGGTCACCAGGGTAAGGGCGTGGGAACCGCAATGATTGAGCACGCCAGAATATACCTCCGAAAAAGGTATCCAACGTCATCAGTCACAATTGGCTCAAGCTTCCCTCGGTTCTGGCCAGGTGTCCCAACTGATATTTCGAAGCAAGCCCAAGATTTCTTTATTCATCGTGGTTTCTGTCCAGAACGTAGACCATCGGCAAGGGATTATACTGCCGACCTACTCTCCTATGAAGCACCAAAGGGTATCCTTGAGCGTGCAGAAAAAGCAGGAGTCATTTTTGCACCCTGGAGTAAGGAAAAATACGGACAATGCATGGAGAAACAGCGTAAGCTGTTTGGCAAGGACGCCGTGTGGATGGGGGCTTACGAAGGGTTGGCACAAACTGGCCGGTACGACCAAGTTATGGTAGCAACGGACTCATCGACTGGGGAACAGATCGGATGGACATTGATGCAGGAATTAGGTATCGGGATGACGCAGGAGCTTGCCATGCAGCCGCTGGTGGGTATTAAATCTGGCCAAATCGGCTGCGTGGGAGTTGCTCCCGAAGCCAGGAATAAGGGAGTCGGCCTCGCCTTGATCACCCATGCTGCCCTTGATCTGAAAAGACGAGGGATGGAACATGTATTCATTGACTGGTCCAACCATGTCAACTGGTATGAGCGTGCTGGCTTCAAGGTCTGGGGCGAGTATCGGACGATGGTGTTGCATGAGTTGGCGAAGTAGTTAGTGGTTGCTCTTCCCACAGCTTCATACTTACTTATTGATCACGGCCTTGTAGAGGCTCTACCGTATAATAAATACTCTTAACTGGCTCCAACAACCATATTATCCTTTTCAACTCGACAAGAAATACAATAATTCAATGGTTCATGATATGAAATCTTCGTCGTTGATAGAAAGTTATCGAGATGTCTTGGCGCGGACGAGCTTAAAAAAAGTGTTATTCAAAACTTGACGATTGCAAAGACAAGCAACCAAGATAAGAACAAGCAAGCTACAAGCCAGCGACAAGGACGCCCGGAATGGCTTCAATTCGAATACCAGCTATCAGAAACCTCCTCTGCCGGCCTATCCTGCCTGCCCGGCACGTCCAGCGACGATGGGCGCAGGTTCACGATGCCCGCTTCATCACAACGCATCAGTCCTCGCAGGTCCTCGATAAATACAAAGACAAGCTAGCTCGCAAGGCCAAAGAGTACGCATGAGATCCCCAGTCTACATTTGATATGGATTGCTTTACTAACGGGATAACCTACCAGGGAGGGCCACGATTCCGTAACCTCGCTCAAGGAAGCATATAAAGAGAAGATCCAGGAAGTGCGCAGCGCCGACGCAGCACCTCAAACACCACCAACGACACCCTCCTCATCACCATCTGAACCAGCTGGACTGGAGAAGAAAGCTGCAGAAGCTAAAGCCAAGAAAACCTCCTCGTCTGCACCCGGCATAAAGCCGCTATCATCATACCTAGACCTCGAGAAGACCGCCGCCCTACCTCCTGACATGATTGGCAAGCTATGGCGAGCAAGACACGTTACGAACCCGAACTCGATATGTGCCAGCATTCCTATCGAAACGTACAACCGCATGGCGAGCGTTGCGCGACAGAACCCACAGTTCATACTACCGTTGCCGCGCGAGCTGGAAACCCCCTCCGACCCAAACGCAGAGTCAAGCTCGGAAACAGCCGCTGAGAAAGCAATTGGTGCTGAAATGCATTTTCTTCAATGGGGGTTCCATCCGCCTGCGTCGGCGAGTGATTCAAAGGTTCCTACGCCGCTAAATACGCATAACACACATACTTCGACGGTGATATTTACTTCGTTGGCGGAGTATAAGTTGCACGCTGGCTTTGCGCCGCCACACACGGTGATAACACACCATCTGGACTTTGCTGATGATAAGGGGATTGTGTTGATGAATGGTACCGTGGTGACGGATAGGGGTATGACGGTTGATGACGCACAGCTGTTAGTGTTGTGGCTGCAGAAGTTTTATGACTGGGAGGCCGAGGGTGCAGGCAGTCAGGGGGGAAGAAAGGGGGAGATGCTGAGGATGTTTACCAGTGGTGACACGGAAGGGTTTAAGGTGCAGGAACTTATTGATGAGGTGCAGAGAGTGTAAGATGGAGAGGTCGGGTGGCGTGGTGTCACGCGCCGTGCGTAGATTACACGGATGTACAATATAAACTAAATAAATGAGATAGAAAGGGGTCGATTGTAAAGGGAGAAAATTGACTGATCTAATGACGCTATTATTAAAATAAGGTGTATGTCTTCCTCTACGCTGTGTAGCTATGGACAAGACGATCAAAGAGAGTGGGCAAGCATTAATTAAGCCGTAAGCCAACCATCCATGCAAAAATGGGCAGTATCAACCCGGGTATCGTGTCAATGGTACGCGAACATGGGAACCCAGAGGTAGCAAAAAAAACAAAAAAAAACAAATGAAAGGGAAGAAGCAGGTCCAGAAGCCCAAAAAAATCAAACAAGCCAAAGTGCACCGGAAGAACGAAACCCCCCCTGAGATGGGCAACCATGCAAAAAACCGACAGAAAACGAAAATGGGACAAAGGAAAAGCAAACCGGTGACGCCGGGAGATGATGGGTGTGCGTGAGTGTGTGCGTGTGTGTATGTATGTATGTATTTATGGGATTCCGTGGGATCATTGGGTTTTATTTAGTCCAGGACTTCGTCGACGATGAAAGAGTGTATGTACTCGAAATACATGGGCTCGGCAACCGTGTCGTTATGCTGGCCGTTGGGAAACGTGCGCCAGATACATTCCTTCGCTTTGGCCATGCTGAATAGTTGTAGCATGTGATCCGGCCTGGAGTCGGGTTAGACAGATGGGTTTATAGTAGAAGGCATAAGATGGGGGACAACTCACGGAATTATTTCGTCTTTTAGGCCACTGAGGAATAATATTGGTACAGAAGTGATTTTGGGCAACACTTCCTCGCTCAGCCATGTCTGATGACACAGTCTAGCAACATATTTGGCAGCAGGGAAGACACTAGTATTACCCTTATTAGCATAACGTGGCACCCCCAGCGCGCATTGGCATCAACAAACATAGATCAGACATACCTTGGTATCAATTTGCGCACGCTAAGGAAAGTATTTTCCAGAATCAAGGCCTTGATATCTCCTTCTTTCTGGTTTTTCGCAACAAGATCAATAGCCACGGCACCGCCTAGACTCTGGCCGTGGATCACGATTTTAGTGCCCTGCAACTCTGCCCGGTTCCGAACATAGTCCAGCGCCGTCTGGGCGTCTATCTTCAACCCTGCCTCGTCGGGGGTTCCCGTGGAGAGGCCGTACCCTCTATATTCCAGCATAAAGACGTTACAGTCGAGTTGCTGCTCGAGCATATGGGCTATGGGAGCGCGGTGGCCGATATTCCCCGCATTCCCGTGGAACATGAGCACAGTGACCTGCGCTTTGATCTTTCTGTTTGAAGGGCGAATGAAGTAGGCTGCTAGCACCTCTCCGTCGGGGGTGGGGATACGAAGGTCTTCGAAGTTGGTCATGCCGAAGTCTGATGGCTTGGGAACGTTTGTTCGTGCATCGGCGGGTATGTTGCGGGGATAGATCAGGTCACTATCGTATAACCGTTAGCTAGCTGCTGCATGTAAGAAAAGCGTCCGTCCAGTAGATGGTGAAAGCGCACTTTTGTTTAAAATAAAGCATGCCGCTGGCTACGACGGCCAGACCGCCAGATGCCAGGACGGGGAGTCTGAGAAACTGCACTACGTTCCCGGCCATGGCAGCGAAGTTCCAACCCGACGGTGGCTGAGGAGGAGGAGCATCCGCCATAGCTTCTCACCCGCGTCTTTCTTTTGGTCTTTCTCGTCGTCCGTGGGCCTGTATCGGGTCAGGGATTATTGCGTATTGCGTATTGCGTGTTGCGGTGTGTCGGGGGGGCGCAAAGACGCTGCCGCGTTCGTTGTCGAGTCGAGTCGAAGCGTGAACTAACAAGCTGCAGCCAGCCAGGGACCCTCGCACTGATATGATATTTTTGTAGAACGATTCCCAATGAACCAGCAACGTGAGCCCGCCGTTGAGAGAAGGGCCGGGAAGAAGGGCCGCGGGGGAATGGAAGCCAGGCAGAGATCGTAAGTGATAGGTCTGATCTGGATGCGCCACTAGGAGAAATCGTGAGCGTGAGCGGAACCGCGCGTGGATCGGTGAGAATCGCAAGGCGGCAGATCGTTAGTATCGAGATATCAAGGCCGTCGGCAGCGTCGTATTAGTTTATTATTATTGATTAGAAGAAGCAGAAGCAGAAGATGAAGAATGAAGAATGAAGAAGTCGAAGAAGGTGAAAAAGTCGCGGATGTAGACGCCGGCTTACATAAGCCAGGCGGCTCTTCAGGGGGGACGCTCAGGGGCTTCAGGGCGAGCGATGGCGGGAGGAGAAAGATGGAGAAGACGACGGAGCTGAGACGAGCTAAGGGAGCGAGGCTGAGACGAGCGTGAGAGATAGAATAGACATTATCAACGATGTTTCCGGATCTAAGTAGCTACTCCGTAGATTCAAGAAGGGAGGACAGAAAAAGGGGGAGGGAAAGGGGGGATCACTCGAGACAAGACAAGGGGGGCCATTCAACCGTCCATCCATCCAGACATCAAATAAATACATCCATAACGCAGGGAGAAGAAGAGGAAGCATGTAGAACGCAGACAGCTAGGGAGTACGGAGTAGAGGGGGAGGAGGAGGTATGGATATCTCCAGTGTATATAAAAGGGGCGGGGAGGTAAGGCTATGATGCAATGATGCTATGATGCATGAAGGGGGAAAAGGGCTGCATGTACACTGTACACAACATCTGGAGGGAGAACGTCTGACAAGGACCACTGCCGTTTCATCATGAAGAAGGAGATGAGAATATAGTCAAGGAAAAAGATAGGCGGAGAAGGAGGACGGAAGCTGGAGAGAGAGAGAGAGAAGAAAAAAAGCAAGGAAAAGAAAACTCGTAACTCGCGCGCCGTTTTATGTGTGTGTTGGTGTGAATCTGTCGTTCTGGGCCGTGGGATCGCCGTGGTTCTGCATGGCGCTTGTGGTCGTGGCGTGGGAACTGGGCTGCGGTGTTCCCTGCTGCTGCTGCTGCTGCTGCTGAGCAACCAGTTCTCGGGCATAAAACTGGACCAGCATGGTACCGTATGCCTCTAGTTCCTCGACGGGCACGGCAAGACGAAAGTCGTTTAGCAGGAGGAATTGGAGCTCAAGGTGGTTTAGCTCGATCAGCGGTAATCCTCCAACCTGTTCCGCGTTAGTACAATAAACAAGATAAGAAAGAAACAGGAGAGACGAGAGAAAGAAAAGGCTCACCTTGGCGTATCTGGAATTAGTGTAGAAGACATCGGAGAAGAATTTACTAGCACAAGTGACGCCTGCAATGACGAGGCGGTGTATGTTATAGCTATCTACAACAAGGAAATGCGAAAAGTTAAGCTCATCGGAGACATCGGAGAGATCGTCGTCAGAGTCGCTGAGGTCGTGCTCTGGCTCTTGGTCGTGCTCGTCCTGGACGGAAGGTGACCGCATAGGGTGATCGACGGACGGAGAGGTCGGGAGATGTTGCTGCTGCTGGTTATTATGTAGATTCTGGTGGTTCTGCTTGCCGGCTGCAGTCCGGGCAATGGAGGTCTCCGTCGACCGCCGGGAGGAGAGGCGCCTGCGGGAGGCGGGCGGGTTGGCAGGCGAGAAAAAGGGCGAAGAGGAGGAGGTATGTGGCCTGTTGGAAGAAGAAGTAGACATGGTGCGTATGGACGGGTTCGGGTTAGGCCGTAGATGAGCCCGGCGGTGCATCTGCTGCAGGAGATGCGAGTTGACGGTCTCCGTCATGCGGTCGAAGTAGACAAGCAGGCTTATGAATACCTCGTAGGTGGTTGGGCAGTACTTGTGTATGCGACTGAGGTAGTTGAGGATGGTGATGCCGGGCACATTCTTGCCGTGGAACGCGAGCACGCTGGTCGTCTGCGGCGGGAGCGAGCGCTGCTCGGCCCTGGGGATGTGTCTGTGTAGATGCTCGTGCTGCAGGTCGTTCGTGGTCGTGATCTTGGTGAGCAGGCCGGCGACCATCTCGATCACGTCGGCCACGGGCATCGAGCTGATCTCGTACTGACGCTGCAGGCCGCCGGGACGGTGCTGCGAGGAGCCGGCCAGGGCTTCCTCGCTGGCAAAGGACTGGATGTGCGCGAGATCCCGGACTTTTATGCGGGTAGGCGAGGATGGGGATGTAGATGCTGCTGTTGGTATAGATGTTGCTGCTGGTGCTGCTGCTGCGGGAGTCGACTCGCCAGACGCCGGTCGAAAGGCTGGCTGCGAGTGTATCTCATAGCCGTTCGTCCGCTGTCTGTCCGGCAGTCTCTGGTGTATCGTCGTCGAAGGCAGGCTGGTCGTAGAGGCATGTTGCTGGTGTTGCTGCTGCTGGTGAGGATGGTGGAAGCCAGCGGTCATGGAGGCCGGCGCAGACTCTACGGCCGTCGACGCCGCAGCTCCAGGAGCCGACGCGGACGCTGAAGCTGAAGAAGACGCTGCCGGAGACGAGGCTGCTGCTGCCGGTGCTGGCTGAGACGCAGCGGACTCGCGCTTGAGGCCGGCAGAGAGCATGCTGGCGCTGGCGTTGCTGCTGCTGGTGTCCCTGCGATGCTGCTGGCCGCCGGAACTGCTGGCGATCAAGGGCGGCTGCAACGGGGCGCAAGCAACGGCGCCCATGTCAGCATGCACATAGCGGGGAGACGGTCAGGACGAAGAGCAAGCTGGACAGTCGCAGTTATTTATGTAGAGGAGAAGACTTGAATACTTGAAGACAGCGAGAGCAGGCAAGAAAGTGGTGGGGCAAGCCTGGGCGATGTTCGCCACTGATTTAATTGCGATGCCAGATCTCAGCCTGAAGAGCCGAGCATACAAGAAGCAGAAGCAGGAAGAAGACGAAGAAGAAGCAGAAGAAGAAGAAAAAGATGCTTGTTTGGCCTGCGTGAACGTGGGCTTTTGGCGCGCCAGTGAGTGGTCGCTCGTCTTTGCCTGCTGCTTACTTGATGGACTTTAAGCATACGAGATCCATGTCTAGTGTCTGAAGTTGATATCCATCCGATACCCATTTGATAGCCTTGATAGCGGCCCCGATGATGCCACAGAGGAAACAGGTTAAGATACAGGAGAAGCGCCAGGCCCCGTGTAGCCGTTGTCAGGCAGGTAGAGATGCCGGATGGCGCCTCGGTTGGTCAGGACGACCATGCGGATGACGCCGCCGGAGCTGCCGTCCCATTTGATTGCCTCCCGCAGCGAGTTCTTGACGAACTCCACGCCCTCCGCCTCGTCCATGTTCTCGCGCCAGTGGGCGTCGCAGTAGCCGTAGATGTACGTCGAGCCCGAGCCGCCGATCGCGTACGGCTGCTTGTGCAGAGAGCCGCCCAGCGGGATGCTGTACACCTGGCCCCCGTGTCGTTCGTCGTAGCCCGCAATGATTATCCCGGCACTGCATCGGTTATTAGATCTCTTCTTCTTCTTCTTTGATATAGCAATGGCAGTTGGTTACCTTAAAGCATCCTTATTATCGTAGCAGAGCTCCTGGAAGAGAGCGGCGGCGGTCTGCGTAGTCGGCTGGCGGCCGTACACCACCCCGTACATGCCCAGATGGTACTTGACGATGTCTGCTACCGCCTGTGTGTCTGCTGCTGAGCCCGAGCGGCAGCACCATATCGTGTCGTGTACCTGCGTCAGCTTGTCTGTCACCCGGTTCGCGATGTAGGCCCCGGTCGTCGTGCGAGAGTCGGCTCCCAGAATCACCCCGTCCTTGAAGTTGATCGCCATGCTGTCTCCGTCAGTTCATGTATATATATATATATAGATATATATCATGCTGCGTATGTCGTATATATCATGTGTATGTTGTATGTGTATATGTCGTGTGCTTACATCGATGTACCCAGACTGCACCGTTAGCTCTCAGCTCACTCCAACGTCCACAGGAAGAACTTACTTGACTTCTCCCTTCTTCAGATGCTCCATGTCAACGTGTATGCCATCTACCGCCCGTCAGTTCCTCTGTCCTCGCTGTCCCCAAGCTCGCCGGAGCTCTCTGCTAGCTATCCAGAACCCAGCTTCAGCTCCAGAAACTCACCTTCGCCCAAACACCCAGTCAACCCGGGAGCCATCTTGCCTCAAAAACAAACGTAGAAGACGTAACAGACGTAAAACAAGCAGGGAAATAGAGCAGTAAAGGCTAGCAAGACCGTCTCTAGAGAGTGAAATAGAAGCAAAAGACGGACGTTGCTCAAGTTCGACTTTCACGCAGCTCGAAGGCAGCCAAAAGCAGACGTGGCCGGAACATCTTTTTCCCGGATGTACTTGAACAACGGCGATACGATAGATAGAAGATATGGAAGATATATAGAAGATATAGATATAGATGAAGATGTATAGATGGATTATTTGCTGGTAGATATGGATTAATATTAGTAGCTGATGTACAGGATAACAAGAAGGAAAGAAGAAGAAGAAGAATAAGTGTATGTGTATGTGTATAACGACTGGTTCACCTTCCGGCCTCCCTGACCAGCTGCATAAAGGCGTCCGTCCCCTGAGTGCCCAAAGACCAGTACAGCTTCCTCTCTGCTCCTGCTTCTCCGTCCGCGGCCTCTGACGGCGACCGGCTGCGGCCTCGCTTCGACAGACGCTTCGAGCCCCAGCCCAGCACGTCGACGGCGCCCCGCTGGCCCTCCTCGCCCGGCACCAGGCCTAGCAGCTGCGTCTCCAGGCAGCCCAGCACGGCCACGCCCGCCCGGAACAGGATGCGGTCGCCTTCAAACACCCAGCAGTCCCAGATGCGCGAGACGTGGTCGACGTCCAGCCCGTTCGTGAAGAGAGAGCGGAACATGGGCTCCCAGATCTGTGCGTCGGACAGACACAGGTTCTCACACAGGTGCGTCGACAGGCGCGGGAACTTCAGACGCAGCGTTGCAGAGGCCAGGCTGTACGCTCTGGCGGTGGCTCCGGGGTCAGACGTTAGGAAGGCCAGTGCTACTGGTCGATTCAGGACATTGGCCAGAGTCAAAAACGCTGCAGAGGCCGTGTGCAGCTGCAGAAGCAGTACAGCAGCAATGCTCTAGTACAATTTGTTAGCGAATCACAAGCAAGTGAAGATAAAGATATAGATGGACAAAAGATGTACATACGTGTATGCCGTGGATGTAGCCCACGTCACTGCGGTACATGGCATACGCTTCCAGCACCTGCACCAGGCTCTCGTGCAGCGGTCCGCCCTCAGCAAACACGTTCAGGGCAGGAAAGGCACTGGCTGCGTCCCTGCGGATGGCTGCAAACCGCTCGTGGGCCCATTTGTACCCGTCGCCGGTCTTGCCCCTGAGCTGCTCGGCCCGTTCAAGCGCCTTGACATACGACTCTTCCGTCAGGGCCAGCTCGTTACCGATGGCTCGCTGCCACACCGCTCCACGAGACCGAGGCGTGATACCGCGCCACCATAGCTCTCGCGTCCGGGGTTCGGCAATCACCCTGTCCCAGTCGGGGAACACATAGTCGTCCCAGATGCGCTGCAGCATCTTCCGCGTGTCGTCCTTCTTACACTGTGCTGACGCTTCTTCCGCCGCCCGTCGTTTGTCTAGACAAATATTAGCATAAACATTTTTCTTTTAACTGGAACAAAAAAAGAAAGAAAACTAAAAATTTCAAACGCACCGGCTTCCCTAGATAAGGCCATCATCCGCTTGTACTCCTTGAGATGCTTCTTTTCTTCTTTCTGGTCCTTGGGAGGCAGCCAGCTGGGTCGTGTCCGGGAGAGGACTTTTTCCTTTTCTTTGCTTATCGGCAGCGGATCGATCATGATATTCGGTCTCTGCAAAGGTGGAAGCTCGATCATCCCGCCAGAAGCCCGCTTGTTGCTTGGTATCGGTCTAGGCTTCAATCCGGCCTGGACTCTGGCCTCGTGGTCCCGGGCAGCCTCATCGGCATGGAACTCCAGTGCTTCGGTGATGATCCTTGCTTCCTCGGAGAGCTCTGACATGACTACATTCCAGGTGTTTGCCTTGGGTCCCCGACGGTCGGCGGGAGCAGCTGGACTGCTGGTACCTCGGGACATTCGCGGGCTGGGACCCATGGACCGTGACCGGCCGCGTCTGTGTTTTGGTCTGTATTTTGGGGTAGCACTTCCAGGAGGCGGGGAAGTTGACGGAGAAGAAAGCTGTGGCGTAGAGTCGTGTAACGGGATAGGTCTCGGGCCAGGGCTACGGCTCTGCGAGCGACTGCTGTCCCGGCCTCTGGGGCGCTCGTCCTGCGGGCGCGGAGAGATTGGAACATTCCACAGCGTGGCATCCTCGGGGAGATCCTCGTCCGAGTCATGGTACTCTTCCTCCAGCTCCTTGACTGACTTACGGCTCGGCTGCCGCGACATAGGTCGGGAGAGGGTTCCAGTGGAAGAGGCAGACATACCAGAGTCATGGGGCAGTGAAGGACCAGGGCGGTTCCGTGACTGTGACCGGCTGCGGCTACTGGAATAAGTGCTACCACTGGGCGAAGGGGATCGGGATTGTTGCCGCTGTTGCTGAAGATGTTGTTGTTGCTGCTGCTGCTGCAGCTGTCTATTTTTCGATGATGGATGGAGGAGTAAAGACGGATCCGACGTGCTGCTCAGCGCTCGTCTGGCGGAAGGTGGCTGTATAGATAGGGACTGCATGGACTGGGCCATGCCATTAACATGAGGAGTGGAATGCGCGAATCCATGGCGGCCATAGGTGCTGTGAGAAGTGTGCAGACCGCCGGGAGCACTGCTCTGCCTGCTTGCGGGGCCGGTCAGGTCTCTCATGGTCATGACAGCGGTGTTGCTCTTGGTGCGGACCGCGGCGTCTGGGTTCTTCTGGTGCAGGTTCGGGAGGTGCTGCTTGCGCCTGAGGCTCTGTTTCTTGCCAGGCACGCTGGTTGACTGGACAGGATACGGGCCCTGGTCGAAGTGGCGGTGGTCTAGGGCATTACTGCCGAACTGCGCAACCAGGTCATCTTCCAGGGCGATGTCCTCGAAGTTGGAGATGTCGGCAAACACGCCATCGGAGTTTGACTGGTGCGAGGACGTGTGGAAGGAGGAAGATTTGGACGACTTCGACCCCGACAGGTCAGGGGGCGAATCCGGTGCAGCCGCAGATATCGTACTCATTTCATTCCCAGCGTGTCCTCGTCCTCCGTCTTCTATCTATCTATGGTCTGTATGGCTGAATGGCTGGGTGTCCCTGAAAGTTCCTCGTATAGACGCCGTCGTAAAGAAGGTTGGTCGGTAGCGAAGCGAATGGCAGAGGTCGGCCGCGTGCAGTCGGCCCTGAACGCAGAGAAAGCGGTAGAAAAGTAGAAAAAGAAGTAGAAAAAGAGAGAGAGAAGATGCCCCAGGCTGAACCAGAGCTGAAGGCCAGAAAAATACGGACGATCTCGCAGGGGGAGGAAGAAGAGACGAGAAGTTGGCTCGATCTAACTTTCCCCTTGGATCCTGCGGTGGAGAAGCAGCAGCCAACCCGGCCGCGCGCGACAAAGCAGAAACGACTGGCTGGTCCTCGCCGCGGGACAGCAACAGGAAAAGAGCGCAGAGTCACACAAAGGAGAGTCGGAACAAGCAAAAGAGAGTGAAAGACGCAGATGGTTTGTAGATGTTTTTGTAGATGTTTTTGTTTGACGTCGTCGAAGTCGCAGAAAAAAGGCTGAAAGTTTCCGAAAAGAGAAATGAGATCACGTGATATATACATGTGGCTGAGTGGCTGGAGAGACACGTGATGGACTAAAGTGGACTAGCGCTAGGGTAAGCCACCGCCACAGGCGGAAAGCGGTGAGTCACGTTGCTTTTTTCTGCCAAACGCAATTTCAAGTCTTGGCGTTTTTTCAGGGGTAAAAAAGGTTATTTTTAGAACATAAAAGGATAAAAAAAGATGAAAAGATGAAAAGAAGAAGATGAAGATGAGATTAAAGGCGTTAAAGTGGGTGAAGTTGGCAGTAGAAGTAGAATCAGCAGAATTTGCTAGAGGTGGAGAGGTAGAATCAAGATGGTGGGGAAGGAGGGGCATTACAGCTGCAGGCAAGATAGAGAGACTAGCTAAATGACTGCCCGACGGAGCCTGAAGAGCTCGCGGTTGGAGGACGGCCTGCAGTCCCTGAGCACAACATCGAGCCAGCGCAGGACGGGAGCAAAGCGAGTCTGGCGGCGGGCGAGGACACGTCGGAAGGCCGTGGCTCCTAGCCAGCGCACCTGGCGCGGCGTGACGTTGCACTCGAAGCCGGTAGGGACCCCTGAAGCTCCGGGTGCAGACCGGGTTCGACAGGTCCCGTACTCCAGCACAGAGCTGATGGTCGAGATAAGCAAGCCAGCAGAGTAGAACACCGAAGAAGAAGAAGAAGAAGAGTACCGCTGCATGGTCTGGTAGTAGGCACAGGTCTTGAGGGCGCATTCGGAAAAGCAGCGGAAAAGGCTGGCAAGCACAACGGCAGCGGAGGAGTGTTTCGTATCTAGAAACATGGCCTGAGCCTGCAATCGAAAGGCAGCGAGGGCCTTGCGGGTGAACGTCTGGCCTGGCGAGCGAGTCACATCGACCGTCAGCGAGTCGTGCGTTCTCACGGCGCTCTTCTGCTTTTCCTGCTTCTTCTTCGACGTCTTCTGGCCGCTGTCGATGGCTGCAGATCGATCTCTGGTGAGCGCCAGAGATCGGACGTCGATCAGGGCGCCGCAGTACGGGAACTGGCTGCCTTCGAGACGGGGGACATGCCTGCCCGTGACACCGTCGGCTTTGAAATCGATATCGAAATTGACCAGCGTCTTCTCCGGGGCAACGGATATGCCAAACTCCTCATCCCCGGCCAGCATCACTTGCAGGAACCGCTCCGCAAGCCTCCTGTCAGTGCTGATAAGCAGGTAGTCGTCGACATAGCGCAGCAGCAAGACATCGGCCTCGGACTCGCGCAGGAAGGACAGCCGCTCCAGCTCGTGCTGGCCGTAGAAGAAGCTACACAGCAGGCTGGACACCACGGAACCCTGCGGAATGCCCCTTTTCTGGCGGTAGTACTTCTTCCCGATGCGGACCAGGTTGTTGCGGACATGCTTCTCTAGCAGGGCCAGCAGCTCGTCCCTCGTATGGGTCCGATGCACGCCCAGGTCGACGTACACTGCTGCTGCACCGCCACGACTAATGCTGGTGCTGGTGCTGTTGCTGCACTGGCCAGGCGTTGTTGTCGAGGTCGAGACAGCGTCGAATACGGGCTGGAAATCATCAGTGGCTGTTGCCCGCGCCACGAACTTCCTCGTCGGTTTGTGTTTGCTCCTCGTGCTGCTCGACTCCTGGGGTCGCTGTTTCACCTCTTCCCGCCGCGGCCCGCTTGTTCGGCTAGGGTGAAACTCCGCGTGCCTGGAGAGACGGTACGAGTCGTCCACCACCAGCGTATCGACCAGCTGCATCAGCCTTGTTTGTGGGATTGTGTCAAAGCAGGCCTGCACATCTAATTTCACAAAATACAGCGGCGGCCCGTTAGCTCGTGTTGTCGAGCTCGCTTTAATTTGCAACTGCTCCTTGAACTTTTTCAGCCGGGGATACATTGCCGCGGTTGAGGGAAGACTGGATCCTACAGACTCTGGACACTGGTCTCGCTCGTAGCAGAGCACCTGGTATAACGGAGCTAACTGTGTGTTTATGCTTGCTCCGAGGAGGGCGTGTCTTGACCGTCCCTGGAGCAGCACCGGCCGTCTCCTGAGATTGGCTATGGGTCTGGCTCCTGTGGTCTTTGGTAGCAGTCTGATACTGCTGTAACCCAGCGACTCGCCGTTCAGCAGCCGTTCGGCTTTACTGTGCTTGATGTCCTGGAACAGCGAGGCCCTGAGGCCCGCCATGACGGGCTCGGACAGGCGTTTCCATACATCATGCCGGAAGTAGAACAGCCTGTTCTTATACGTGCTCGACTCGGTCAGGTAGAAGTTCGATCTGACCAGCGGGATGAGCAGGGAGTCAAACAGGTAATATATGAGCTCGAGAAATATCTCTGTCCTCTTTCGCGAATCTGACAGGGCTAGTTTATGTTTGTGGTGATGGTGGTGGTTGTGCTGCTGCCCCTTATTATCCGTGCAACCCCCCTGTGTGCACGGAGGAGACAGCCAGGCGACACATCCGATCCTGAGCCCCTGAATGACCTCGTGGAGAGACATGGTTTCGAACCGGCGCAGAGACAGGAACTGGTCGACGTTGCGCATGACAACGGCTCTGTTGTGGAGGCCGTCTTCGCCGCATCCGTATAGCTCATATGGTATCACCTTCTGCAGGACTGCACGACAGAAGGCTGAGACCGCATGTGTCGGAGTCGCGTAGTCTGTCATTGTCACCTTGTCCCCGTTTACCGTTTTCTACCAAACCGCCGTGAGTTAGCTAGTTAGTCTTGGTTACTCCGTGGTATCAAATAGATAGAATAATAATCTAGTAAAAGGAAGGGCGCGCACACCTTCGGACAGTAGTGCCGGAGCATCTCTACATAGGCACATTGAGCATGTCTTTTCTGCATCTTCCGGACTAGCTCGACCAGTCTGCCTCGCAGCCGCCGGGGAATCTTGTCACCAGGCTTCAGGGCAATCTCCTGCTCTCTTAGCGTGTAGTCCTTGAACGGCATGGTAGTCTCTGCCCTGCTGACGGTCGAGGTAAACACGTTGTGAAGACCAAACTGGCGAGGAAAGATGTACTTCATTACATGCACTGTACTGCTAGTGCTGGTATCTGGATACCTATTCAGTACATCTATAGCAGTCACATCAGTATATATTATCTTTCTTCTATAGGTCTTAGTTAAAGAGGACGTACGGATATGCTGGAGCCCCATCCTGGCTTCCCCCTTTGCATTCAGCGCCGGACGAGCATAGAACATCCGTCGACGCACGAAGACGACTTCAGCCGGTGTTCTAGCTATATCTTTCTTCTCCAGGGCATCCAGCGTATCCATCTTTGCCAGTGGTGTTCCTGTCTCTGTTAATATAACCGTGTATATAATATATCAAAGTAGTAGAGACTCACCACTGAGCTGGTAGTAGGACTGGCCATGGAGATGAATGAACAGCCCACAGTCCAGCAGCAGGTGAAGCATGATCTCCTCGCCGTGCTCTCCCAGCAGGTCCATGGCATCCGTCCAGGGAGTCTTCTTGAGCATGGAGATGCTCCTGTTTGGCAGCCTGGGTACTACACCGGGTATGCCAGACGCAACGTCGTACTCCTCGTGGGCAGCCCTGGGCTCTCTGACGCGGTGGTAGCCATGGCAGAGGACATGCGAGGGCGTCCCTGACGGTCCAGCATGGTAGAACAAGCTGGATACCGCAAAGTTGACCACCTAGGTACGTTTATTAGTACTGATATACATAGATAGGGGTATGGGTATAGGGGTATAGGGGAGTCTCACATCCGCGATGTCACTGGAAGCACCCACGTCTGTCCCTCTGGGGGCCGACAACATGACCTGCGACTGAGTGAAGGCTGCGAACTGTCTCTGTCTAGAGCTGTTGACTGCTGGACTCGCCGGCTTTGAGATGCCTACGATGGTCGAGTCCAGCAGGCCCGCGAGTCTCTGTTTACTATCACCATCACCATCACCACCACCCCCTGAATCCGCATCTATCTTCTGCTTCTGCTTCTTCGTCTGCCTCTGCCTCTGCTCCCTCCCGACGAGCTCTATCCTGCGCCGCCTGGAGGTCGAGCCGGCGGGCAGCAGCTCCAGCAGATACGTCCTCAGACTCAGCAGACGCGGATAGTAGAAAGCGAGCACATCCTGCGTGATCTTTGTATGCTGCGACTGAGACTGAGACTGAGACGATGCATCAAGGCCTGCAGCCTCGTCATGTCTGTCGCTGTCGCCGTCTCCGCGTCCCTGGGATCTCTTCCTCTTCGTTCCCATGTCTGTCTGTTTGTCTTCTGTGTCTCCTTGCAGCTGCGCCTGTCCGGTAGATGCAGGTAGCTGTACACGACGGTGAGCTGGCAGCGCCGTGCAACCGCAGCGAGTGACAGCAGTGACCGTCCTACTCTGTATCTACCGTCCCGTCTACCATCTACCGTCTTGTCTACTGTCTCGTTTACTGTCTTGTCTATGTCTTGTCTACTGTCTACCGTCTACCGTCTACCGTCTCCTGTAACTGTTGTATGTATCTTGTCTTGCCCCTTTTCTGCCTCGAGACCAGCAACAAGACAAAGATCAGAGACAGAGACAAACTAGTAATAATAATCATGATATAAACTAAATAACAAAGAAAAAGAAGCAGAAGAAGAAGAAACGAAGCCGAAGATCCAGCGAGACTCCTGAAATCAAACCCGAAACACTCGCGCTGCCGTCGACCAAATTTCAGCTACCGCTAACCGGCAGCAAAGCCACTCGCCGCGAGCAGCAACCGCTGTGATTAACTGCCCGGACTATCATCTAACTGACACTACCAGCTCTAGAAGAAGCAAAGAAGCCGAAGACGAGGAGGAGAAGAAGAAGCAGGAGAAGAAGCAAAGAGAGAGCGAAACCCCACAGTCGCAGCAGGTTCTTCCGTCTCTTTAACCGTAAAATGGAGATCCTCCAAGGCTAGATTTGAATTTGCAGAGAGAATCAAGAGACTATCATATCAAAAGCAGATATCAGCAGAGATCAAGCAGATATCAAAAGAGAAGAAGATAGGAAGAGAAGAGGAGTATCAGGAGTATCAAGGCGAATAGAGAGAGAGAGAGAGGAATGAGATCAACCACGTCGACTTGCATGCTGCAGCTTCAACCTCCCTGCATGTCCACAAACAACAACAACTCGCAGCCGAACAGACGAACAGACGAACCGCAGCGAACAGACGAGCAGAACAGACAAACGGACGAAAAAGAGATGAGAAGATGAAGTGAGCCACGTCTTACAGGGTCATACAGTCGGCTCCCTTGCTTTTTCCGCCTGCTTCTGCGCTCCCTCGCCCTGGCCTGCCCTGTCCTGCCCGGCCGGCCCTGAAAGAGGCGGGACCCCCTAGATGAAGGCCCTCGCACCGAGTCTGCCATGTCCGCCATGTCTGCCATCGCTGCTGCTGCTCGAGAGTGCGACTCAGACGAGCCGGCGGACGCTCTGCTGCCCCAGACGACCTACCAGCCCGCGGACGCCTTTGCCGACCCTCACGACTACTACCTGCAGCGTAACAACCTAGACGAAGACCGCCAGCGAGGAGGAGGAGGAGACAGCCAGAGTGACGGACGAGCCAGCCAGACGAACAGCATCGGCAGAGGGAGAGGCAGCAGTCTCGCGGACAGAGGGCTGCCGGACTTCTCTCTCCAGCCCAGCAAGACCCGGACGGCCACCGCTACTCCGGCATCAGCATCGTCATCTACGTCTACCTCTACGCCTACGTACAAGAGCAGACAGGCTTCGCTGCAGGACCTCGTCAACAGGTTCAACCAGACGCCAGACGAGGTCGTGCCCAAGCCGTCTGCTGTCTCCGCACACGCCCATGCCAGGCCACCGCCCGCCAGACGGCCCTTGTTCGGCGAGATCATACCCAAGCCAGTCACCGCAGCGGCGCCCATCGTCACCACCACTGCTACTACGACTTCTACTTCTGCTCTCACGCATCTACAAACGGGTGCAGCCTCCCGGAGGGCCAGGAGTGGTTCGGACAGCTGCATGCATACGCCCAAACAGCTACACTTCCTAGACAGCGCGTTTGCTCTGCCGCATCACAGTCAATATCAAAATCAGACTCCGCAGCGCCTCCAAACGAACCATCCACCGCAGCAGCAGCACCATCACCTCCAGCATATACAAGTCGACTCGCCGACTGCATGGTATCTGCCTGCTCTCTCCCACAGACGCTCCCAAAGTGACCTGGGCTCCCCCGTCTTGCCGCAACTGAACATGAACCCACACCCCATCTCGACATCTTTTTCATCCCGTCAGTATCAACACCAGCACCAGCACCAGCAGCAACACCAGCAGCACTCGAGAATACCTCTTCCGTCCCGTCGTGCCAGCCAGGCCTCAGACTCAGGCAATTCCTCTCCCTCAACCCGCACAAACTCCGCCCTCGACCGGTATCCTCCTCTCGCCGGCCCTCTCCCGCCAAAGGGAGTCAGCTTGCTCCCCAAGCCAACCTCTCCTCCTACTTCCTCTACTGCTACTTTTACTCCTCGATACCGTAACCGTTCCTCTTCAGCAAACACCACCACAACCACAAGCTCGACCGCCAGCCCCCGTCGACATCAGCAACACCACATCCCTAGAGACCAGAAGAGTCCGACCCTACAAGCTTTCATCTCTGCTCCCTTGCCCAAAAAGTCCCCTCCTCTACGCAGCTCCAGACCAAGGCAGCCTGTTTCCAGCGCCACCACCTCGGCCTCCCGCGCTAGACTTGTAGATCGCATATCGGGGCTCCAGTCCAAGGAAGGCGGCGCTTCTACTTCTGCTTCTTCTACTTCCCATTCCACCGCGGCTGGCTCTAGATCGGCGTCTGCTTCCAAGAAACCGCCAGAGCTGGGAAACGTGGATTTTGCCGCTCGAAGGCAGCGCATACAGCAGGCTTTCAACCGTACGGTGGAGGAGAATGCTAAGAAGGAGGAGCGGGCTGCTGTACGACGAGAGCGTGAAATTGCAAGGAAGATGGCCAGACAGCACCAGCACCAGCAGCCTCAGCAAAGGCTACAAAAACAGACCCAGCAGGGGAAGCAAAAGCAACCTGAACAACTACCTCAGCTTGAACCTCTACCTCAAACCGAACCTCTAACTGATGCTCTATCTCTACCTCTTCCTATACCTGAATCTGAACCTCAACCTCAACCTCAACCACAGGCATTAGACGCTCAAACAATAGAACCGGTAGAGAAACCGGCTGAACCTGAGCCAGAAACAGGAACAGGAACAGACCAAACGGCTGCTGATCCAACGCCCGTGCCTGAAGAATTATCATCCGAACTAGCGACAACGACAACGACAACGGCTGACCCAGCAAAGGAAGAAGAACAACAACAACAAGAGAAAGAAGAAGAACACACGACAACGGTCGGCAACGAACCGGTGAATACATGCGTAGAGCCGCAGCTATTCACCCCTGACGAGAATCATGATTCCTTCGTTACCCCCCAGGAGAGCCGTTCTCCCGTCCTGCTCCCTGTAACCTACCAACCAGACCAGCGTCAGGAACAACACCAGGAACCCCTCGACATGGCCCTGACTAGCTCCTACAGGCCCAAGACCCCAGAATCAGACAACACAGATACAGTACCCCAGTCCGCCGTCACGGTCGGCACCGAGATCACCACCTTCGACACAGAGCCACAGGATGGCCTGCTCACCCACAGAACCATGCTCAACCACATCATGCAGATGCGAGAGTCCAGTCCCAGCGTCTCCGACACCTCGGACGGACACGACGAGCACGACGACACCGAGCACGAGACGGAGCAGGACGACAGTACCACCGCAGACGACGCAGAGTCGATACGCATCATGCTCCGCCGCTCAAGATATCTCGACTCGCTCGCCGTTCATGGAGCCGGAAACCCCCGTCACAGATGGAGCATGAGCTCGTGGAACTCCTCCTTCCAGGGACATCCGCCACAGGGCGAAGTAGAAGCTGTTTCTGACCTCGGAGACCTCGGACAGGAGGATGAAGCCTTGTCCAAGAACCAGGAACAGGAAGATAGCTGCGAGAGCTCCCACTCCTTGCATGAAAACGCGACGACTCCACAGCCGATCTTCCCGCCGTCTCCACCGTGCGAAGAAGACGCCGATGATGCCAGCAAGCAGCAGGGGCAGCAACAACAGCAGCTTCATGGACGTCATGATGTCGATGATGATAGCAGCGAGTCTCCCGTGCTTGGTAATGATGATGATGCTGTCATTGCCTCGCTGGAACGACGGTTCAGCATGAACATGGCCAACCACTACACCACCATCGCCAAACAGGCTCGCTGGGACTCGAAACGAGCTACGCAGCTGTACCTCCAGGAACTAGCCAAAGCAGGCTACGAGCGGCCCCGGGTACCGATCCTGACACCCGGCAGTAGTGAGAGTGAAGGGAAGCGACTGTCTGCCCACGGCAGTATAAGCAGGGGAACTGACGAAGGAGACGGCGACGACGGCGTGCTGGTGCCGGACTCTTCAACAATACCTACCGCTGAGTTCCTACCGGCGCGAGCAAGCCTGCATCTGCGCGATGACTGGGAGACTTCACCTTCTATCGCCGACTGGATGCATCTGGCCGCTGGGGAGGACGAGATGCTGCAGCAGCAACAGCAGCAACAACATACACATCTTCACCAGCCCGAGCATGAATACCAACAGCATCAGCGCCAGGCCACAGACGCCACTGAGATTCCGCATCCTTTGACGTCTACTTCTTCTGTACCGGCATCCTCCCCTTCTGCCTCTGACCAAGAAGGCGCTGAAACCCCCCGGATCGCTGGACCACCGCAGTTTGCCTCCATAGACGGAACCGTGGAGGGTCTAGGACTGGAAATCCGCGTTCAGTCGCCGCAGGATGGTGACTCGCCTACTCTACCGTCTCCCTTCCATATGCATCTTCCCATCGTGCCCTCGCAGCCTCATCATCCGCCGCCACCGCCTCCTCCCCCTGCTACTTCTTCGACTTTGACAGCTACCGCGGAAGACCGTCACCAGGCCGGTAGCGAGGTATCCCCAAGCGTGTATGCCCAATCTCCCCCTGCTAGCCCAGTGCCCGCTTTACCGATGTTCCACGATGCACCACCTAGCAGTCGAAGCGAGGACTCGTCGTTACACATCACTCCTCCGCATACGATCTCCTCTTCGACCTCTCACACGCAAGAACAGCCTGCGTCCCTGGCACCGGAAACGACCTCTGTGTTCCACGACATCCTAGACCCCGCGTCCCGTATCTCTCCTACCCCTGAAGAGCGCCGTCTCAAGAAACGCCGGCACGTCATCAAGGAACTCGTCGATACCGAGTACACCTTTGGCCAAGACATGACTGTCGTTGTTGACATATACAAGGGTACCTCGAGCTCTTGTCTCGGCCTGTCGCCAGAGGACATCAAAACCCTCTTCGGAAACTCGGAGCAGGTCGTCCAGTTCTCTATGGACTGGCAGGATGCGCTCAAACAAGCTGCCAGAAGCGTCTATGTTCTGCCCAAGTCCCAGCGCTGGAGCAGTAAACGCAGCAGCAAATGTACCCAGAACAGCGCCGCGACTAGCAATAGTCCCGAGCCGCAGCAGATAGCTGATGAAGAGAACGACCGCAAGACGACCATCGGAGAGGCGTTCATGGCTAATATTGAGAGGATGGAGACCGTTTATTCAGACTACCTGCGTAACCACGATGCAGCAAACAGGACCCTCGATGCCCTGCTGAAGAACAAGAACGTTAACATCTGGCTAAAGGAGTGTCGAGAATGGGCTGCTGACCTTACATCTGCATGGAACCTTGACTCGCTTCTCGTCAAGCCGGTCCAGCGAATTCTCAAATACCCGCTTCTTCTCACTGAGCTGCTCAGCGCAACGCCATCAGACCATCCAGACTACACTGCCATATCAAATGCGCTCGCAGCCACAACAGCCATATCCGTACGTATCAACGAGATGAAGAAACGCGCCGATCTAGTCGGACAAGTGGTAGGCAGCGGACGGAAACGCAAAGAATCAGACGTCCGCACCGGTCTGTCGAAGGCCTTTGGTCGACGAACTGAGAAGCTGAAGCAGCATGTTGGTATCACGGAGATGTTCTCAGATAAAGAATATGATATTCTCAGTCAGCGGTTTGGAGATAACTTCTTCCAGCTGCAGCTTGTCATGCGTGACGTAGAAGGGTATCTGGGCGAGATCCAAAGCTCAATGAACAAATTTAATGAGTTTATTGTTGCCATCGAGGGTTATATAACCATTGCGCCCTCGAATTACCCCGAGCTCGAGAGTAAATGGTGTCGATTCCGGTTGGCTGTCAAGGACGTTATGACCGTCGCTCTAGTCGAGCATGTAAGTCTTATTTTATACAACTATTTCCCCCTTTATTGAAGTTTAATATCTAACGAACAACCGAGGAATAGATCGCCCAGGTGCGGAAGAGCGTAGTGACGCCAATGGTCACGCTATTGAAACTCCATGATGGGCCACAGCGAGTCATGCAAAAGCGTAATAAGCGACTGATGGACTATGTAAAGTACAAAGCCATCAAGGACCGAGGAGACAAGCCCGACAAGAAGATAACTGAGCAAGGAGAACAGTTTGTGGCGCTCAATATGGCGCTAAAGGATGAGCTACCGAAACTCTTATCGTTGACCGGCAAGCTGATGGAAGCTTGTTTGAACGCCTTCGTCCAGATCCAAGCCACCTGGCTGACCCTGATGCAGAAGAGGCTTGGTTATACCCTCGACAGGCTGCCGCAGGACATCAACCAGATAATCACCGATTGGTCCGGGGATTTCTCGTTCAGTGAAGCCCAGGTACTCTCTCTGGGCGTCTGCAATGGCTCGATACTGGCGGATACAGCGCTTGTGAACAATTATAGCTCCCCGCCGCCTTCGCATGGAGCGGATGCTAGCTCTTCTCGTCGTCCGTCGACGGTCAACAGTGCAACTGGCCGTACATTCTCCGGTGAATCGGGAAACTCGCCCAAGGGTTCGCATGAATTCCTCTCGCGAAGCCCAGAGCATGTGATGCAGACTCCTCCCAGCACAGGCTTCATGCAACATGGTAACGGTTCATATGTCTTTCCGATAGCATCGGGATCCCGCACCAGAGCCAACTCGACATATTCCGTCAGAGCAGCACCGGATGTAACAAGCAGCCATATCCCCTCAATACCATCGATAATCAACTCGACCCGCTCCAGCGTCACGGCTCAAAGCGGTACTAGCAACACATCCTACCGAACATCAGACGTTTCTCCCAAGCTCCCTCTTCTCGCCCTGGATACCCCTCGTCTAGAATTCTTCCCCGACCACCTCATGAGCAGTAGCAGGTACAACGTCAACGTCAACGGTACCAGCAACGCCACCAACCGCAACAGCCATAACCACGTCGCTCCTGATCCAGCCGAGCATCCTTCTTCTCCCGCAGCCGCTCGCTACTCAGGCTTCTTCTCTTCCGCCATGCCCATGGCCGAGAACCCAGAGCCACCCACCCGTTTCTATTCCCAGCAAGCACATACCAGTGTCCCCATGAACCGCAGCGTAAGTGCCGGCGCCAGCGGCCATGCAAGCTACCCCTCAGCACCCAAGGAACCTTCAATTCTATTCTTGGCCGCCAGCATGTTTGAATTCAATATCGACCGTGCCCGGCGTGAGGCAGGATACCCGTACCTAACCTATGTGGCCGGTGAGATCTTCGACGTCATAGGCGAAAAGGGTGATCTCTGGCTTGCTCGGAACCAAGACGATCCCACGCACCAGGTCGGTTGGATCTGGACGAAGCATTTCGCCAAGTTAGCAGGTTGATCCTTCCCCCCAAAAAGCAAAAGCAAAAGTGAAAAAAGCTATATCATCAATGATTTATTTCGTCGTTATGTTTCCTATTTATCCTTGCCATCATCGGATATATTCCCGTCTATGCTTTGAGACAAAGCCATTTCCTTTATCTTTTTCTCTCTTGTCTTATCTTCTCTATTTGTCTTTTCTTCCGATCTATCATCTCCTTTGTTATTTGGGCGATAATTTTGAACTCACCAGCATGTTTCTCTCTTTTTGTTTGCCAGTTTGATTTCCTTATATCCTGCCAGTACCCTTTCTGTCTTTTTTTTTTTTTCCTTTCTTCAATGGTGACTATGGTATTGGGCGGGTTTGGACGGGGGCTTCCTATATCTTCACAACTGCAACTTGACTTGACTACATATACCCCGGCGCCCGGAACATATACAAACAACAACACGAAGACCACTATTACTACTACTCTATTACTACAAGAAAGGAAAACTATACAGCTAGCTACAACCTCGAGCCCGGGAAGAAAAGAAGAAGCGACAGGAAACGAGACCAACCCATCCTTATTCCCCCCTTTTTCCTCGTTCGACCTTTTATCTTTCCCTTTTCTCTTCATCTTTAGGGCATGCCCAACGCTGCTATACCTGTTTTAATTGCCTCGCCCCTACTTCTACCTTTCATGTAAATCTAGATATCTTCATCATCAACTTCATCATCTTCAACTTTCTTTTCGTGCCAAGAGCGATGACTTCACTTTTCACGTGACGTTCCATAAAATCCGGGGAAAGCAAAAAAGAAGCAAAAAAGCGACTTTTGTAACTGCAGAAAGACGAGTAAATCATTGCTTTTTATGATCAGAAAGTTCTCGGCTGGACGCTGCTGACTGCGAAGCCCAGACTTGTCAACTTTCTTGCACTGTTTGAACATATCGTGAGGCGGCTGCGTTGGGAGTTCATTTCTCCCCCGTATAACGAATGCTGGTTGCCACTTGAATCTACCACAGTTAAAGCAGTTGAATAACTTCGCCTTCTTCACTTTCTTCTATTTCTTCTCTTCTTCCTCAATCATTGTCGTGCCACTGATATCTTCGTGTCGACATTGATATCTACGTCCAATCCCTGGACCCGCGAAGAGGACAAGAAGAACAATCGTGCCTCTATCTGTACACTCCGGCAAGCGGAGAAGACTTTTGAAGATGGTGGACGGAGGATTCGGCCGTCTCAGGAACAAGTTCAGAGAACATTTCAATCATGACTCGGTTAGTGACTGAATCGTGTCTCCTTTACCCTGCTTAGTCTCTGCTGTGTTTGTATGCTGTACTTTGCTCTTTTGTCGTTTCAGGTCGTTTTTTTTTTTTTGCTGCGTCTCGTTTGCTTAAGAGGTGTTTGATATAAGCTTGCAAAACATGCTTGCTACCAAACCGCCTCGTCTTCTTTGTACGGAACAGATGTAAGACGGTGACGGTATATATCAATCACGGGGGGCATGCTGTAATCTCACCGGAGAAACCTGGGCTGTCTGCTTGTCTACTTGTGGCTTTTGCGGTCCGTTTTGTTGCTATGGCTCTATACCAGCGGATCACCCGGCAGTTGTATAGATGTATGAATGCTAACATGTTCAAGAGCCCGGATGATGTCTATTTGACCTGTGAGTGATACAGTTGAGCTTCTCCTGGTGTTATAGTATATCTTTAAACAGATTTAACTGACAATGAGTGCTGCGAAAGACCACGATGCAAGCGGTAAGTGATTATCTTCCTATTTCTTTTCTCCTGATTTTCATTTACTGACATCCTATATAGTTACATATGAAGATCTTAACACGCTCAAGTCCGACTGGCTAACGGACAACGTGATTGGATTCTGGGAGGAGTATGATCTCGTTACGTCTAGTTTATTTAGGACGACCATTACTGACAGATTCTGCAGATTCCTGGAGCATGAGGTGCTGGCAATGTATAAAACACGCATAATCCTCCTTCGGCCCAGCATGTCATTTCTGCTGTTCCAGACTCCGGATCCAAAGACTCTTGTGAGCGCTTTGCCGGACTTCAGCCGTGCTTCTCACATCTTCCTGCCCATCAATGACTGCCGGAATGGCATGCAGGCTGAAGGCGGCACTCACTGGTCTCTTCTTCTCGTCTCTCTTGCAGACCAGGTAGCTTTCCATTACGACTCTCTTCCCCCTGGAAACATCACCGAGGCACACGAGGTTACAGAGAAGATTAGTAGGCTCTGCAACAAGTCCATCAAGTTCATGCAGATGCCGGACTGCCCAGTGCAGCAGAACAACAATGACTGCGGAGTATTCGTCTGCATGACGATGAGATATCTTCTCCAGCATCGACTCTTGCAGGCAAACTCAAAGGAATACATCACCATGTCCCTAGACGGCGTTCCGCTCGATCCTGCATTGGCACGCAAGGAAATAGTGCAGATTATCCAACAGTTCAAGAGAGACAATGGCCGGAGAAGATCGTACGTAACTTCATCCGCTGAGCCTGTTGCTGCGTCCCGCGTATTTGCAAAGCCTCATTCTATCATTGCCCGCACTCATGCTTCCTCTGCCTATCATACCTCTGCTCCCGCTCCTGCTCCCTCCACAGACTCTCCTTCTTCAACCCATCCTCGCCACTCAAGAGTCTCTTTGTTTACATGTTTCTTCACCTGTGCCTTTGTTATTGTTTTTATCGCGGTTTCCCTTCCTTTCTACTTCCCCAATATCAACATGGCGTCTGTTTACCATGGCTACACGCACATTCAACCGCCTGTATGCGGCGAATATTGCCACAAACTCGATTCGCTCCTTACGTCTGCCCGTTCCCAGCTTTCCCCTCACCTTCATCAGATGCACGCACAGTTAAACGAGCTCCATGTTCACGGAAAGGAGCACTTTGCTAAGGCGTATGATGCGTTCGCCCGCTTGAGACGAATCTAGGTCGAGCAGCCAGCACAAGCATAAACCACCGTCGCCCGAAAACCCTCTGAAGAAAAAGATGAAGGTTGCTATCGGACTCGAGGATTAGTCCACTATTCTACTACTCATTAGTGTTATCGTTGTTGTTCCGGACATTTCGTTTATTTTGCATTTTGCATTTGTTTTGATAGTTAACCATCTGGGTGTATCCCGTTTATGTGCATCCAAGCAAACCATTGATACCACTACAGTTAACTAGCGTTCGGTATATTCTAATACCCCCTTTCGTTCCACTTCGTTTCTCTGTGAAAGTGCAGTAATGAGCTATGCGGTATGAGTTCTGGAAAGTACGCCGTATCATATTTGATACCCGTGTTTAATAACTAATTCTTAATTACGGCCGAATAGCCGAGTCTATGTAATGTTTAATTCTCTAGTTGGCTAATAATTAATCAATTAATCAATTTCACTCTTTTCCAACAAAAACACTGGTTTATGTTCAATTCTAAGGCGAGACAATGTGGCAGCATCGAGTTCATTCAGTAAGTCTAGATAAAAAACAGTTGAAAAAAATTGAACATGACTCTAAGCAGCCGGGTTGCAGTGCTCGGTCAAACGCCGGCTGTTCTCAACCAGCACAGCGCTATATCGACAAAACCGCATCTCGGCCTCATATTACCGCGGCGGAACCTCAAGAGGCCTAATTTTCCAGCAGAAAGACCTGCCTGCGTCTCGAGATGACTGGAAGCCCATCTTCCTCGGAACCATGGGCTCCCCGGATCCCCATGGCCGCCAGCTCGACGGGCTTGGAGGTGGTCAGTCCAGTTTATCAAAAGTCTGCGTTGTGTCCACGGCATCAGACCTGAGTCGAGCCCAGGGGGCCCAAGTGGACTATACCTTTGTTCAAGTCGGCATCAAATCAACCGATATCGATTACTCGGGGAACTGCGGGAACCTGTCCAGTGCCGTGGGACCGTTTGCCATCGACTCAGGACTGGTCAGCTTGAGCAAAGAAGACCTCAAAGCAGGCAAAAGGACAGCTACAGTTCGCATATACAATACAAATACCCAGAAGATAATTGACTCTACGTTCCCCATATGCGTTTCACCCGATGGAAGCGTTGAGGCCGAAGCAGACGGTAACTTCATGGTCGACGGTGTTGCTGGATCGGCGTCAAGAATTCAACTCGACTTTATCAATCCCGCCGGTGCTAAGACGGGGAAATTGCTGCCCACGGGTAATCTGATTGATACCTTTGACGGTGTACGAGCAACATGTATCGATGTTGGGAATCCCATGATTTTCGTCCCGGCTTCCGACCTGCCTGTTGAGGGGAAGATATCCCCCAACCAAATATCTTCTACACCCGGCTTACTCAACCGTTTAGAGAAGATCAGATGCCAGGCTGCGATTAAGATGGGCATGGCAAAGACCACAGACGAAGTCCCGGCGTCCATACCAAAAATCAATATCATTTCTGCGGCCGACGAGGAGGGAGTTGATATCACTGTTAGAACTATCTCAGTAGGCCAACCGCACAAAGCTCTTCCCATCACTGCCGGGCTCAGTCTTGCCGTGGCCACGAAGCTTGATGGGTCGGTTGTGAAGCCGTTTGTCTCGAAGGCGAATAAGGCTGCGGGTGATGCTGTTGTTATAGGCCATCCAGGAGGCACATTGGCCGTGGGTGCAGAGTTCGAGGACGGCGAAAGTCGAGTGGTCAATAGAGCAACAGTGTATAGATCTGCCAGACGGCTGATGGATGGCCTTGTATATTGGAAATGATTCATATCAAACCATCATGCATGTTATATTAGAATGACTAGGTACGGAGTAGACCTGCATCTCACTAGCTATGACTCAGGTGGCTACACAGAGACTTGTATAAAGAGACACAACGTGAGAGCGGCAGACATTGAGATTTTGATGCTTTTTATTCTACTTTCAAACAACTATACAGGCGGCAGCTACATCTAGAGGGAAACATGACTTCTACATCCCTTCAGGGCCTCGAAGCCCTTCTCCAGTCTCTGGGAGTATCGACTCCAATACCGCAGCTTCCGCGCACCAATGTCCTCTCTACTCCAACGGACATCTATCGCTCGTATATCGCAGAGGCATTCCAAAAGCTTGTAGAATGCGACGAAGACACCGCGTACGATGCCATTCAATGGGCCAATGCTGCGACAAATGCCGATTTGATGCTTGTAACTGCGCGTCTGAAGCTGAAGGGAATCAACCCAAAGCAACTCGCCCAGGATATAGTCTCAAAGGTACAGTCTTACATCCAATCTGCATAGATAAATATATCCAATAACTATAAGAATGGTTCTGTACTGACTATGGATAGTTCCCATCTACTCCGTTGTTAAACCCGCCAGTTGCTAATGGGATATTCGTCCCCCTCTCGTTCTCACCAGATACACTGCCAAATCTAATATTACCTTTCATCTTTGACCGTCGAGCTTCGTATGGATCAAACCAGCTTCAGGGCCTCCAGGATCCTAAAGACGAAAGCTCCGGCAAGAAAAAAGTCATCGTTGAGTTCTCCTCTCCAAACATCGCAAAGGAATTCCATGCTGGCCATTTGCGGAGCACGATCATCGGCGCATACATTTCCAACCTGTATGAGAGCATGGGCTGGGATGTGGTCAGAGTGAACTACCTGGGCGACTGGGGCAAACAGTTTGGTTTGCTCGCAGTTGGATGGCAGAGATTTGGATCTGAGGAGCTCTTTGCAAAGGAGCCATTGAAGCATCTCCTTGAAGTATACGCGAAGATCAACTCGCTATTTGCGCCTGAGAAGGAAGCCAGTGAACAGGCTCGGGATAGGGGAGAAGATACCTCTGAGATTGAAAGCAAGGGCCTCTTTGCAGAGAGAAATGCATTTTTCCAGAAAATGGAGGACGGAGACCCCGATGCTATTGCGTTATGGAAACGGTTCCGTGATGTCAGTATCGAGCGATATATCTCGACTTATGCTCGGCTCAATATCAAATTCGATGTTTATTCTGGGGAATCAACTGTGAAAGCACTGACAGTCGAGAAAGCAGAGTTACTTCTCAAAGAGAAGGGGGTCTATACTGAAGATAACGGCACATGGATCATCGACTTCAAAAAGCATGGTGCCCCTAATCTGGGGATTGCGGTCGCTAGAACCCGAATCGGTACTACGACCTACTTACTCCGTGATGTTGCAGCTGTCTTGGAGAGAGTTGAGAAGTACCAGTTTGACAAAATGATCTATGTCGTCTCTACCGAGCAGGATCTCTACTTCCAGCGCCTCTTCAAAACAATTGAACTCATGGGATACCCTGACGTGGCCGCTAAACTCGAACATGTTAACTTTGGAAAAGTCCAAGGGATGTCATCTCGACTGGGTACTGTCAAGATATTGAGTGATATCCTAGATGAATGTGGCAGCGCCATGCACAACGTCATGCGAAAGAACCCTACTAAATACGATCAAATTGAGAAGCCAGCTGAAGTCGCAGATATCCTTGGAATCACGGCAGTTATGGTTCAGGATATGGCCGGGAAAAGAATCCATAACTATCCATTCGACATTGCCAAGATGACCTCCTTTGAAGGCGATACAGGGCCGTATCTGCAATATGCCCATGCAAGACTGTGTTCCATTGTTCGCAAGGTTGATATTGACCCCCAGGAGATTACAACTGCGAACTTCTCTCTCTTGAAAGAGCCACATGCTATTAACATTCTTCGGCTCATGGCTCAGTATCCCGACGTTACATGCAACGCTTTAAAAACATTAGAGCCAACCACGACCCTAACATATCTCTTCCGGCTAGCACATCAAGTCTCCTCAGGGTATGATGTGATCAAAGTGATTGGTGCTGAAAGTCATGAGGTGACTGTGGCCCGTCTAGCTCTGTATGAAGGTGCCCGACAGGTGCTCGAAAATGGCATGCGCTTGCTAGGGTTTTCACCTGTTAAAAGGTATGGGTTATTCTTCCGATGTAATAACGACTTGAGTTTACTAACACATATCTTAGAATGTAACATGTCAAGGGGAGCAGCAGCGGTCAGGAGTTCCTGGCAGAGAGTAAAAATTATGAAGGAGAATTTTAACCTTCGTTTATTCCTGGCAAATTTTCAGGTCAAACCGGACACTGTTTGTCCTTCATCTGATAGCGGGTCTATGTGGGTGGAATGGATGGGTGTAGTCAGCATAATGCGTAGCAGTGATTCTCAATACTAGTTATAGTGCCGAACTAGATAATATCTAAATAGCGTGCCTTATATATGATATAAGATATGTTCATAGTCCCTAATATAGAGATGCAAGGTTATATAGTATGGCAAATATTGGTTGTTCCATAGTTGCAAGGTTGTAGATTGTCAACACCAATGCATCGCAAAGCCACCCCGTGTTGTTTTATCAGCCACAACTGGCTCTACTTGACTTGTCAAGTGTTATACCTCATTTCCATAGGGTATAATGGGTCAGAATGGGTATAATGCATATGTTGAGGCCCATTTATACAAAATTTTCAACCACGAGTAATCAACTCGAAAGTACCATCATAGTAAACGCCGTCTCTTGTAAGTAGCGTAGGATTTGTTGTTTTCCTGAAAGAGGGTGTGTCTGGGTGCTGTGTCACAGAGCGTAAGGTAGGTGTAGGCCATAATAAGCCGCTATATCTCCACCACCTCAAGCGGAAGAGAGATGATACCTAATTCACTGTATCCTACCTTTGTTTTGGCATAACTCTGACTCCTGTTTTTAGTGGTATCAAGCTCGTTGTCGTTGGTAGGGAGAGTCACCGTAGATCTATATTGACGTAGAGAACAACCCCAGGCTCAACACCACAAGCGTGTAGGAGCCTGTACGTGTGTAGAAGACAATTGTAGATGTCTATAAACAGCGTATAGAGATTCTTGAGCCCCTCCATGCTGGTCTGCGTCGCTTCCTGCGCTGCTTTGGTGGAAGGAATACGACGCACAGGCCTTGATGTCCGTTTTGACGAAACGGAAAGCGAAGGTGAAGGAAGTAGAGGACGCTCAGGATACTGAGAAATCAGTCTACAACTGTTTGATATGCATTACAACTCTGGCCTAACGTTGCATGGCTCTACCTCACCGTCGTTTGGACTGCTGTTTTGCGTCCGAGAGCACATCTAGCAGCGCTACCACCAGCGCTCGAAGGGACCTAAAAGCGGTCGCAAACTAGAGATAGACTACAGAGGAGCCTGTCAATACCAATTTTAACGGCTCTCCAGGTCTTTCTCCCTGCGTGTACAGAGGGATGCTATCCAGCTCGGTCTCCGCCCCTTACCAGATGGATGACCGTTCGCAACGCATGATACCTGGGCAAAACTGGTACCATTCGGCTCGTCTCGTCGTGCTGATTCCAGATATGCCCTCGTATACCAAAATTACATACGGGACTTAGGTCACTTTCAGATATCTGCCCTGCCCACCTATTCCACGATACCCCAATACAGCCTCCAGAGCCCGTATTTTTGGCACAAAAAAGTGGGAGGCAGCTTCCCCGTCATTGAATTTGCCACAATAACAGCCTAATAGAGCAATACATCCTGCTTGTATAGGCAATTTTGGGCATCCTCTCCTTCTCTTTTCTAGGCCGCTCTTGCTCAAAATCATGCAGAATTGCCTGTTGAAGAAGGACCGGGACCGTAGGATGGGTATATGGCATCTCTCCTCGCCCAAATTCCCCAATTTTTTTCTTCTCTTTCTTCCCTCACGCTTGCGTCTCCAGCTTACTGCTCTCCATACGTTCGTATCCAGTGTTCACGCCGATACTTACCGCTTCTACCACTTTCTTGCTCTCTCCAACTCCCTCCTCTCTCCGGTGGTTACCTAACCACCCTCTACCGATCTCAGTGTTTCATTGTTGCTGTTCGCCATGTTCTTCATTCTGTCTGTAAGTTTTCTTGCTTTTCTGTACTTTCTCGGCCATCGTGAGGTGAGTTCGCGCACCGGCGCCATCGCACGCTCACGAAAGGCCAAAAAGGTAAGTTTCGCACCTGTCGTCCGCTGCTGGGTCCCCCGTCGTCGCGTTCGTCGTACTGTTGCGTGTGCTGCTCCTAGTGTAGTTATAGAGCCGGTTGCTATAGAGCTTCCAGCTACCCCCCCTTCCCCCTCCCCTGTTTCTTCTGTAGCTTCCTCCCCTTTCATTTTGTCCCCTGTTTCTTCCGCTGCCTCTTCCCCCTTTATTTTGTCGCCTGTTTCCTCTGCCTTTTCTTCCCCCTTTATTTTGTCCCCTGTTTCTTCTGTTGTTTCTTCCCCCTTTGTTTCTTCCCCCGTTGAGTCTGTTGTTTCTTCCCCCTTTATTGTTTCCCCTGTTGAGTCTGGCGTTTCTTCCCCCTTCCTTGATTCCCCCTTGTCTTCGCGTTCTGTTTCTACCCCTGTTCCCCCTTCTGAGTTGAGCGTTCGTCTTGCTGCTTTGCGTTCCCGTGTGCTTGCCCTTTCTGGCCCAGCAGCGGACCATACCCCCCTTCCTGTTGCCCCCTCCCCTGCCCGCCGTGTTGCTCGTATCCGCCAAGGGGTTCCCTTCGTGGTGCGGCCAACACGGATTCCCACTCCCGTCCCCTCCCGCGTCTTCTCTGCCCTTCCGCTAGTGTATTCGAGAGATGCACGCCCCTTCGCTGAAACTCTAGGTCCCGTCGCCACAACACCCATGGACATCCGGAACATCCTTCGCGCCCAAAGGCTAGCCGCTCCCGTCGCTGCTGAGGCACGCAGCTCCAACTCTTTACCCAGAAAGAGTGCATTGCGAGTCACCAACAGCGAGGCAACCCCCAAGCGGGTTAGCTTTCACGAAGCTGTCACCGTTGTGAATGTCGAGAAGTGGGTGGTGCCTGGTGTTCACTCAGAAATCGGTTGAGTCTGGCCAGCCCAGCCGTTCTGTTGTGTCTCCAGTGCGACCATCGCCTGAGGTCAGTCTAGGGTCTCATTATTGTCACCCTCTTCTTCTCGCCCCATCACGCGGAGTTGCCCCTTCATATTCCACTGAAAAAAAAACCAAAAAAAATCTGCTTCCCGTCGTGCGTTCCTTTTTCCATGACTCCTGGTGCTGCTTACGGGTATATAGATCTTGCTGAACAGGTAGCTCAAATTGGTAAGTCACCTCACCGTCGATGTGCTTTTTTATCATGGGTATCATGCTAACATCGTTTTAGGGGGTCCACCGGGACCAAGACTGGAGCAGGGGTGGATGGTGGCTGGCGTTTGCCAATTCAATGGTAAGTAACCTTCCTTCTCTTCCCTCCCTCCCTGTTCATACAAGGAATATGTGCGCTAACCGCTTCAAACTCCAGATTCGGGTCACCGTGCTGCCGACACACGCCTTGTGTGTCGGCAGCATGGTGGCCCACATGTCCATTCGGCTGCAAGGGAGGATTGGTCTGTCTGTGGTAGCGCAGAACGGATTGCATTGAGGCAAGTATCACATCATCTCATCATTGTCCACATACTGACGCTTGTGCAGACACTTGCATGCATATATATAGATATAGTGTGGCTTCAAGGGAGGATGCAAATGGACTAAAGACAAGTGTCCCCTCATTCCATCATTTGTTCATTCAAATACTGACGATAGCACAGATACTCCATACGTTGCAGGTTGCAAGGGAGGATTGGTCTGTCTGTGGTAACGCAGTACGGAATGCATCGAGGCAAGTACCTATCTCATTACCTCAACCACTATTCACATACTGACACATGTGCAGACACTTGATTTATTTTACTGGTTACAACGATTTTGTATCTTTGTTTGATAGGTAGCGCAGCGCGTGCTACGTCGAGGCATGCAACCCCATCATCCATCTTCTTGAACATGCTAACACGCGCGCAGACACCGGAAGTGGCTTCGAGGGATGGGTTCCTGTGGTGGCGCAGCACCGGCTGCTTCGAGGTATGCATCATCATCCTCGTTCTCTCGTTACCGTCTTCTCCTTACTCTTCCTCTCCTCTGGCTCTGTCTCTCCAGCTCCCCAGCAACCTCCCTCTCCCACGCACCTGCAACAATCCGTCCCCAAAGTTTCAGGCTAACCCCCCTATCACTTAACAGGCACGCAATCGATGCGGAGGGACATGGTCAGTCTAGTGGTGGCGCAGCTGCGCTGCATCGCGAGTAAGTCACCTCATCTTCTTGTTATTATTATTGTTGTTGTTGTGGTGGTGGTGATGAAGTTGAGATGTCGTTGTCTTTTCCTTTTCAAGCAGTGCATCACGTGGCTAACCTTATGTAATCCTTTATTTCACAGCGTCCGTGTTTTCCGCTTGCGGATGTAGGGGCAGGGGTTGAGCGTGGCGGGTTGGTGGGAGCTCAACCCTATGGGTTGTTTTTTTTTACTATCATCATACCATCATAGTGTCAATCAAGATGCTACTATTCTTCTTCTTCTTCATCTAGTTGTGGCAAGTAATCATACAGTAAACGCAGTATAGGAGTAGTCAAGGTACAAGAAACAAGATACATGTGGATGATGTACATGAGGATGACAAGAGATACATGAAAAGGCTTTAGGGGCTACTGCTCCTTGATAGTAAGGGGAAGGGCTCGTAGACGGCGGCTGAGGAGTTCCAGCTCGCCAACAACACCACCAGAGGACAGGGACCATTTCTCACCGACCAGCCGTCCGTCAACACGGTCTCGCAGCAGGCCACTCTTTGCATAGTACTGCAGCAGGCCGGCAGCCTCGTCCTTGCCCAAGCCAGAGAGCTCAAGGTGGCCCATGTCCTTTGCCTGAGCAAAGAGCGAGACCACACGGTCATCTAGCTTGCCGTACAGGACGGGGTAATCAGGGGATGATGGGCTGGTTCCAGCCTGGCGAGCAGCCACCTGCTTGATTCCGAGTTCCAGAGATGGCAGTCTTAGGGAGTTCGATGCAGCAGTTGCATACAGAGCGAGGCCACCATTTGGCAGGGCCTTCTTGGATTCCATACGCATCAGAGAGAGGAAGTGGTCGACAATGGTAAAGTCGTGGGCGTGAATGGGCTTATATTCAGCATTGCGGTAGCTGGTATCAGTCATCCAGTGAGAGAGGTTGTCGACCGTGACGAGAAGCGGAGGACGAGCAGTGAATGGCTTGGTTCCCTTCGCTGCCTTCGTGTCCATTGCGGGTCCCGTTGCTGTAAGCTCAGACCAGAGGGAGCGGAATATCGGCCACGAGAGATCTGGTTGTTGGATGCCGATGTTTGCCAACTCAAAGAGAGAGAGCCCGGAGTCCTTTACATTGGGGTGCGATCGGGAAATGTGTAGTTTTGAAAGAACATCCTTGTTTCCCTCGGCTATGCGTTTGAGCAGTTCGGCCGTGGCATTTTTCTGGAAGTATTTAACCGGCTGGGAGTTGAGGACTGGAGCATAGGCAGTTGTGCCGTTGACAAGGTTCCAGGCTATCTTTTATGTTAGCACCTAGCTTGAAAAGTGTCATGGGGGTGAGATAACAACATACCGTCTGGAATTGTGACGACTACCCAGTCCTTCAAGAACGCCATGGTGGTGGCCTGGAGCAGATGAACACTCTTCCCTGTGCGTCTACCACCTGTGACAATCTTCATAACGGCTTCTGCGCCCTTCTCCTTATCGTTGATTTGCTCGATCAACCTGCCCAGCTCAACGGTCTCTTTCCTAACCACGGTGCAAGGCCGTCTGAACAAGCTCCATCCCTGGTTCCTCCTGAAGGCCTCAACGGCTCTCAATCTATCAAGCAAATTCATTGGCAGGCCCACGACTTGAGTTCTAAGCTCTGGGCTGCTCAAGTTCGCCACACTAAGCTCTTGTAGGCCGGTAATCTCGAGCGCATTGTTGTTACTTAGCACAATTCGATGACTGAGAGCCTTTCGCTCCTCCGGGCTTCGTCGAAGTGGTTTGGTCGGTTTCGCTTTTTTCGAGACTCGTGAGCTTCGTGCTTCACGGAATTTTGGCCCAGTACTCTGATTGTTCTTTCCCTTCTTAGCCGGAGCGGCATTGAGAGTTGCGCTGGTGTGGAAGGACGAGGTTATGGCTGGCGTACGGAGAAGAGTTGAAGGTTGTATTAGAGCTGGTAGCGAGAGGGTTCGTGACGGGTATACGGAGCGTATCTGGGAGACACATCTCCAGCAACATGAGGAAGCCATCTCCAGGCACGCCAGGCTGCTAATCTGGCTCGTACCTAACGCCAATGGCTCGCGGTATTCACTTTGCAGTTCGTCGTGGATGATTTTTTTGCTTCTTGACGTCGTTTTTCTACTTTGAAGGAAAAAAAGCGATAAAGGCTGAAAAGGGAAAATAGGTGTCGCCGCCTTTAACTGCTCACGTGATACCACTGATATTGGAAGCTTCTTTTAAAGCGGCAAGGAACATCCACTTTGATGAATTTTTGATTTATATTTTTGACCTTCGCGAAGATAAAATTGAATATCAAAGAGAAATCAGTGGCATCATTGGAGATTAAGAGAAAAACAGCCTGGAAAAAAATGCCAGACATAGCCATGGCAGATTCGAGGGCCGATACCAAGGTTAAGTCAAAGCCAAAGCCAGAAAGACTGTACGTATCTTTTACTTCTATATTAGTTTCAACATATCTAACATTCAATACAGACCAATAACCGTTGAAAAACCCACACCATATGTATTTGATCTTGGGAACCTCATGGCACTGGATGCGAACCCAATTGATCTTCCTCAGGCCGCAAAGTCTTCGCCATTGGTATTAAACCAGACTCTTAAAGCTACGGCACGCGATGGCGCCCAGTGCCTTGTCAACCAGCTCCTCACCACTTGTCCGATAACGAGTTCAATGCATGATGGGGTCCTTCTTACCCTTCCACGACCAACAAGCATGGTACCTCGTTTCAAGCCACTGCCGACTCCTAAACCTCCCACCAAATGGGAGCTCTTTGCTCGCAAGAAGGGAATTGGCAAATACAACTCCAAGCTGGGTAGCGGTCTAGCCGACACTGAAAGAAAGAAAAACTTGGTTTATGACGAGGAGAAGGACGAATGGGTGCCTAAATGGGGATACAAGGGAAAGAACAAGGGGACTGAGAATGACTGGCTTGTGGAAGTTGATGAGTCCAAGTGGAAGAAAGAGGAGCAGATGAACAGCGAGGGCAAGTCTATTCGAAACGAGGGCAGAAAAGAACGAATGGAAAGGGCAAGGAGAAACGAAAGAAAGATGAGGGCGAACGAACGCAAGGCCAGAACTGGGAAAGCCAGGTAAGGGCCGAAAGTCGAGTTGGCATTTTTGCCAGGTGTTACGGTCGTCTGGAATAACGGATTGCATGGCGTTAGGGCGAGCAATGGGTATATCCTGTAGATTAGGGATTTAAAAAGTGAATGGTTATATTATATCAATTATATTATTGAATCAATCTTAACCTGTCTACGTCTTCGAGTGAGTTAATGGGTAAAGGCCAAACTCTTCCATCAGGAGTTCCGGGTAAAACAAGATTGATGGGGGGAAAGACAGCAGTTTATTAGACAATATTGAAAGTGATATTAATTCAAAAGGATTTATTCAACTTTGTATCAGCAAGAAACAAAACGACACAAACAGTTGCCAAAAGGGAGGGTAGGTGAGGGAAATTCAAAAACCACAAAACCAAAAGGAAAGGGAAGGGAAGGGAAACAAAAGTAGAATAGAACGTCCCAACGCCAACGAAGATATCAAATCGCTCGATGCGCCGAACCAATGCTTTCCGCGTAGGGCCAATAAAAGCAGATACTGTAAAAAAAAAAGTCGTCAAATAGCCAGCCAGAGAGGGGGTTAGAGGGAGGAAAGGTGATAAAACGGAGGATTCATTAAGGAAAATCGGAATAAGAAGGAAGGTATCGTCTGGCAGTGGAGAGAATCATATTTTAAAAGGGAATAGGTGCATGAAGTTGGAGAAGGGAATAAGTGTACTAAACAAATATAAGTAATCCACTGCAGAAAAATAGATGAGAAAAAGATCTTTTTAAAAACGAAGATTAGTTTGTAGCGGGAGAGGATCTAAAGGGAAGGGAGCTATACGCTCTATTGGGAGAATGCTTTTCTCCTGTCGAGCCTGCTGCACGCCTTGAATAAGGGAGTAGGACGGTAGGTTGTAAAGAGAGTTCAAGGGTATCAGGTTGTCAGTTCCGTTGAGAATCGGATAGGTGATAAAGGAGGGCCCAACTCGGGGAGCTGGGAAGCTGATCGTGAATGAGTGCTGGGGCGGGCCACTTCTTTGCTAGACTTCTTGGGACTAACAGAACGAGCCGAGTTTTGTCTCGGCGGTATAGCACGCGCTCCATCCGTACAATCGGCAGAGTTACGCGATCGTTGTCGTGGCGATTGTTGCGGCGATTGCTGCGGCGATTGTTGCATCTGTGGCGGTGGCTGGCTGCTACCGGACGATGAGATGGCCCTCTCATCACCCGTTGCACCAGAGGTCCTCGAAGGTGCTATTGCGGAGGTATCTAAAGGATAGCCATTCTGCTGTTGCTGCTTCTCCCTCTCTTGTCTATCAAGCTCCGCCTCGATTTCAAGATGCTCCTTCTCTGTCCAACATCCTTGCCAACAGTTCTTCCAGTCACAGACGAGGAAATTGAAACAGTAACCGTCTATCTTCAGACAGGGCTGGAAACAGATACACAAGTTGCGGTAATCCATTTTGTTTTTGTCGACGTAAGAATGGAGGAGGCTGAGATGGCATGTGATTGTGAAAAGAAGGTAGTAGTTATATGGAGGAAGCTTGGAAAGCTCATCTTTAAGTAATTGTGGTGCGGTAGTGGCGCCGGGGCATTCAGCTGCAATTTTCGCTTGGGTTGCTTTTGGCAGGATTTCATCAGGGAGACAACGGAGCCAGGCTTTGAACATAGATCCAATGGTGTTGATATCGTAAAGATCGGGTTCATCGAAAAGATTAATGTCGAGTTCTATCTGTGTCTTAGCACGGTGTATTACTCGGGAGTTGTGGACAAGGGAGACAAACCTGTATCAAACCGTCGTTGCCAGTGTTTCACTTCCTTCCCACTTCCGGGAACACGATATAGGCCTTCCTCTTCACATCCCTTGAAGTTGAGGTAACTAGCAAAAAAAAAGCAATCAGTATCACTGCACGATGAGATCATTTGGAGGGGAAAATATGATGTGTAAACATACTCGATGCACCTCCACGGTAATGCAGGCATCCAGAATTCTGTCTTGTCCTTGGAATTTCTCAAACTTTTCACCATTCTCGTTCGCCGTGTCTGCTCAACTAGAGGCAGATTAATAACGGAGCACACATAGTTGTCATCCGGGACGACTTCTCGCTCATTGCTGCTACCACTCCGTGCGATTTTTCCGAAAAATCCTTTACCAGCCTTGCCGATACGGTCTGCGGCGCCGCTGGAGGTGTTCTTGATGTTGTTAAACAGCGATGAGCTTGCCACAGAGCTCATCATTGAGCTCCCATGGCTCCGTTCTCGCTTGGTAGTGGTGTAGTGCTGAGAGTTGCCGCTATTCTGGTTAGAGGAGAGAGTCCGACTTCCATCTCGGGTTGCCGGTCGATCGGCTGAGCGGTTGCGGGAAGTCGAGCCCATCACCTCTCTGAATGTTCGCTCTTGTTGCAGAGGTGCGGTTTTCAGTGGAGGGTCGGTATCGGTAGTAGTCTCGTCAAGACGTAGCAGACCGTTCGAGGGACGCTTCTTGGGGCCAGCGGAACGGGGACTTTGTAGACCGTCGTCAGCGCGGATGGAGCGGGTGCGAGCCAACAAACCCCCAAATCGTGGCTTGCTTTTCTTTGGGTTGAGGGAATGTATCGCTGCAGGTGCAGATGGTGCTGAGGAAGAAGGTAGTGGAAGTATTGGTGGGTTGAAGGTCGAGGTGGAGCCTTCTGCTGGTTTTAAGCTTGCGGAGCGTAGAGGGGGGGATTGGTGATCTTCACTTGTATCGCCTAGGAACAAGGGGTCAGGGGCCAGGGTTAGCGTGGTAATGTGAATGAAACCGGGTGCAAACATACTGTTAGGTTTGTCGGTCCGTTTAGGTGAGTCGGATTTTGGCGATGTTCGCGTCACTGCGCCACGGCCAGCCCTATCCCTAGAGCTGCCTCGGCTCATTGAAGATTTCTCTTCTCCCGAATGGCCACTTGACGCGTCCGAGAGATGTATTTTCTGAGCAGATTTCGATGCTTTGAGGTTGGAGAAAAAAGATTTGGACGGATCACGGGCGTGTTTGCTGGTCTGTTGGGGTGATGAAGGATATGGAGGAATAGCAGTTATCACTGGTGATTGTGGATGGTCAACCTTGTTTGTACCATTTTCTGGCTCCCGGACCGGCTCGTTTGATGAAGTGGACGTGACGGGTCTGATGGTTGAACCCTTTGGAAATGTCGAGGTGGGACTGAGTCTTTGGGAAGAAGATGCTTTTGACTGAGGAGAGGTTTCCCGGCTAGACTTCTCGAGCTGCGATGGAGACGTTTGGAACGACTTTCTGGCCATGTTCGCGGATACGTAAACTGAAGATCTATTGGGCCTTCCCTTGGGAATGGAACGATAGGCCTGGTATGCCGATAAGAAGGCTGCGAAGGGAATATGAGAGTGATGGAGGAGTTCTGCGCCAGAAGGCAGCGCAGGATCAGGGTATTTGCTAATAAAGTCAGCGACGTCAGTCATATTGATGGTAGTGAACACTCAAGTGTAGGTAAATGTAGAGCAAGGTGGAAACAAGGAAAATAGGATATCAGGCCGAAATATGTTGCGCCTGATAAGTAGCATACCGTTCTGGATATAAGCAGAGGACGAGCCAGGCAGGTTTGTCACTCTGTGCTGCAATGCCGTCGCACCGGCATAAACCCAGTGTAGAATACTCCGCCAAAATGTGGACTCTGAATCAGGATCGTCGTTCTATCCGTCGACCAGTGAACAAGGTATGCGGGGAGTATTTTCGGAGTTGGGTTCCAACGCAACGGGTGAAGGCAGGTATGCCGGGCGATGATTGATCAGGCACACTCCCTGCACCACGTATGTGTTATGAGCCCCAAGGCAAACCAGGGCGATAGGAGGGCAGTGTCAGGCACAGGCCATCAATTGTGTAAATGTTGTTGACTTCGGGCGTTTTAAGCGGCAGGTTGCGTTGGTGAGATATGAGCAGTCGCCGACAGAAGAAAGGGTGACACGAAAAAGGGGCCCGAAGGTCAGACGGGGAGCTGCTGCCTTCACGACGAAGATACGGCTCTAGACAGTAGATAGAGTAAGCCAGGTTCATTTACCGTAAAAGAGCAAGAAGGCAGGATAAAAATCAATATTAAAAAACGGTGAAGGAATCAACGAGACAACAAACATGACAGGACATGGTAGTTATGCGTTGCACGTCGAAGTTGACTGCAGAGGACCACAGGAAAAAGCAACCTCCAACGGGCAGGGGATAAAGAACAGCACTGGAAAGGCTTCGTGCAACATAGAGATACAACAAAAAAAGATAGGATGTCGTGAAATAGGGCTGACTTTTTCTCAGTCTCGGAGTTGTCTTGTTCTTCTTTTCTCCCGCTTCAAATCCTATGCTCTTCTGGGCTCTTGTTCTCCTGCGTCACTCCCGCTCTTGCTCCGCCCTTTGTAATGGTTCTGTATCAGATAGAGTGCTCTGAGCAGCCTCGACTCCATCGACGGATTTGATACAGGTACAGAGACGGAGTTATTCATCCGCTCCGGGAACTGAGACGATCGACAGGTTCGAATACAAAAGAACAAGCAACAGACCAGAAAACAACACCCGCGCGGCCAATAGGGCAGGATATGGTTGAAGCTGAAACAGAAAACAGCCGAAAGCTGAGGAGGATTTAACCCTACCTTTTCCTGATTCGCGCAGAACGACCGCACAGCTGTATCCAGCTACACAGTAACTTTTCGAAAAATAAGGAGGGAGAATGTTTGAAACGGAGGATGGCAGAAGAAACCGGACAGTTCTTGTTGCGTGTGTAAAGCAGGTTGTTGATAATGGCCACATAGGATACTCCGTAGGAGAAAGAGGGAGCGAGGAAAAGGGTGAAAAAAGACAGCGAAGCAAGCAAGCCCCCGGCCGGTCGAGGGGGATGCAGGCACCAGGTCGTGTTAGCGTCGATCAACTGGAGAGACTTTACGAACAATACGCAATGCACGCACACACGCACGCACGAGAGTCTGGACAGTAGTTATCCGTTCGAGCGTGCTGTCTCTGGTCGATTATAAGAAAAAGAAGATGCGAGTGAAGCACAAATCGATAGTGGTGGGTGTACAGTGTTCCGTACGGAACAGTGGTCTCACTGATAGCGCCAGTACGACTTTAGCCTGGTTTTCGACCCCCCCGCCACGGGAGAAGAGCGAGGTTGAACCGGCGGTAAAGGGAAGCCGGGGATCGATCGGTGGGACAAGACGAAAGGCGAAGTCAATAAACCCAGTCCACGACAGACAGGCAGGCTGACAGGCTGTATATGATCCCAGTTCGGCGGTTGGGCGCTGCAGGTCTAAGTAGCAGGATATAAGTTATCGATTATTATGGCGGGCTAGAGAAGCTTGGCTAAAGGGGTAAAGGAGGCGGCGAAAGTCAATGTTTCAGCATGCTCTGCGCTTGGCAGCTGCAGGAGGACGTTTCCACAGGGACAAAACAGCCGAAGCAGCACCAAAATGGCGGCACCGGCGATGCTGTGAAGAGCGCGAGATGCAGCAGAAGATGAAGATGAGGTTGAAGTTCGAAGTTGAAGTCGACGATGTTTTTGAGGTCGAGACTTGCCGAAAGGAGACGAAGGGCGATGCTGATGTCAGCGCCCGAAGGGGACTAGCGTGACAGCTGGCGGCTACAGGCTTGGCATGACGTGTAGCTTATGTAATAAATTCCGCGAGAAAAAAAAAATAGGGGGAAAGAGGAAAGAGACATCAAACATCGTTCGTTCTACGGGAGATAAACGGAGTCGAAGGTGAGGGAAGGGAGCAAGGTTGATTATGTGCCCCGTCGTCGAGGCTGAGGTTGGATCGCCCTTCTTAGCGGTAGGCAGCTCTCCTGGGAGCCCAGACAGCGTGTCAAGCAACGTAAGGCGCTTCCTGGGTGGGGATGGGCGCACTTTCAGCCCCGGGAACAAGCATATTGATCAATTAATCACTGAGCGGAAGAAACGCTTTTACATGCAGACCCATACTCTTCCACCTCAGTATGTCATGCAGCGAGGGCTTCGCTTCGGACAAGGCAGTGGTGGTCCCATGACGGCTACTTATCCGTGCTAGTTGGGTGGTAAGCGCTGTCGTATTCGCCCACCGAACCACAAGATTGGAACAAATTCCAAGTCTCATAAAGATAATTAGGCCCCAAACCTAGGGTAGTGGTTATTTCATGCAGGTGTTATAAAAAAAAACCTAAAACCCGGGGAAAAGAAAGTCTTTTTTCACCATGGCCGCGTCTCCAGATATATCTATCATATTTTCCCCTCGACGTGTGCCTGGAACAATGCCATCCCTTGTTCTTGGTCTCTGAACCTTGTCCCGCTGAAGTATTATGGAGTTTGAAGGCTAAAACTGAGTGGTATAGGCACGGAAAGATATCGTGTGATACCCCCTAGCATATTTCGCGGGATTGATCGGTCAAATTTGCCCTGTTCGTACCCCCATTCAGAAGGTTCCAATATGTTGTAGGACAGTGGAGAACAAATATGTAACCGGTTGCCCGTCTAGAAAACGCACCAATATATGGATTACACGCGCTTCCTTATGCATGTAACGAGTCAACTGCAGCCGAAGCTTGTCAGACGGTGACGGAAGGATATCTTTAGCAAAAGCCTTGCTTGTTGCACACATAGGCTCAATTCTTAGCAAGTCGGAATACGCGAGATCAAAGTCAATCAAATCAAGCAGGTAACAGCAATAAGGAACGGAATGCCAGTGATACATCTAGGTACAACACTTTTTGTACGAAGGAGCTGAGGCTATCACATTTAAACCGATTAAATAATTGCTTGGTTGCCACCCTATTGCGAAAACACATCCTAATTCTTTAACTACTCGCTTCTCGTAGTTACCCCTGAGCCTCAAAGCTAGACAGAAGTTGATATAGTTATTGCCACTGCTGGCTTGGTCGAAGAATCACTCCTCATAGGATGGACGATCACTATGTATTCTTACGATTTCCTGTTTTCTTCGTTCCTACCACTCGAACTGTAAGACAAGTAACATGAAGGTAACCTTCAGTACTATCTACGGAAGCCTTATAGCTGCCTAGGGATAAGTCTCGGGTAGTTACATAGATTGAAGTGAACGTATTGCAACTCACACTGTGCGGAGTGTTCAGTATTCCGCAATTCGGAGATACGTGTGCAAGAACAGAACCAACAAATCAAGTTGGTCATTACAGAGTACACTAACTATAGAGTGGAAAACCACCTCGCATAATTCGCACGGGTATTTATCCAGGGGCCCTCAGATAACTCGATAAATAAATTGGCTGGGTGTTAAAGTTGAATGCCGGTCAATATATATGGGAATTCGAAAATAAAATGAGAAATATTGAAGGAATAATTGATTATATAACCAAGCCCTCTTTCATTTTGTACGCGGTCACGTTATACACTCGAAGTGTGGGCCAATTAACGGCTTGCATTCTTGGAAGTTAATACTCCTCCAGCCTAACCCCCGTCACCCCACAAATAAAGCTCACAAGACAACATATCCAGACTGCTCATAGAACAACATTCATGGTTGATATTCAACTGAAGATATTCGAGGCATTCCACACGGTGGGAGCAACTTAAATCCTTGCTACTCAATTGCGCGGATTAACACAGGGGTAAACACTACAGCCATCATCCCTCACATCCCACGGGTTATCTCTCATGTCCCTTGTCTCAGGCCCAGGCAGAGGCGGATCTGCCTCTGGAACGCAGGAGCTCTACATTCAAAAGCATGTCGACTACATAAAGAGCCTAGATACTGTGCGTAAGATTCCCCCTCCCTGGAGCTGCCGCCTGTCTGTTTACTGATCGAGACCCTTTACTAATCTCTGCCTTTGCCAGCGAAGAGATGAACTCGAATATTGGCTGACGGAACACCTCCGGCTCAACGGTGTCTACTGGGGACTCACAGCTCTGCATATACTCGGACATCCAGATGCCCTACCCCGTGACAAGACAATAGAATTTGTTTTATCCTGCCAGAATGAAGATGGTGGTTTCGGGGCGGCGCCTGGCCATGATGCCCACATGTTATATACCGTTAGTGCGGTACAGATACTTGTCACGCTTGATGCGGTTGATGAACTGAACAAAGATGGGCGCGGGGGGAAGGAGAAGGTTGCTTCTTGTACGTTGAGTTCTGGGGATCTCCACACTTTGGTCTGTGCTAAAGTTACGGGCACTTATAGGGATTGCGAACCTCCAAGACCGTTCAACGGGGACATTTAAAGGGGACTCGTGGGGCGAAACAGATACCCGGTTCCTATATGGGGCGTTTAACGCACTGTCTCTGCTTGGCCTGCTACACACTGTTGATACTGAGAAAGCGGTAGTATATATCCAGTCCTGTGCCAACTTTGATGGGGGTTATGGAGTTAGGCCGGGCGCTGAGTCGCATGCCGGCCAGATTTTTACTTGCGTTGGCGCTCTCGCTATAGTAGGCAAGCTGGATCTTGTTGACACCGACCGGCTGGGTGGCTGGCTCAGTGAGAGGCAACTGGAGAATGGAGGCCTAAACGGGCGACCTGAAAAGAAAGAAGACGTGTGTTATAGCTGGTGGGTGATGAGTGCGTTAGCAATGATAGGACGACTACATTGGATCAACGGTGATAAGCTAGCTGCGTTTATATTACAGTGCCAGGTAGGAATGCTCCTAATATATTTGATGCTCTGAAGGATGAGATGCGCTGACCACTTTAGGACCCGGAGCATGGTGGCATTGCTGACAGACCTGAGGATATGGTGGATGTATTCCATACTGTGTTTGGGTTGACAGGGCTGAGTCTATTGAAGTATCCAGGCCTGAAAGAGGTAGATCCAGTATAGTACGTTCTACTTACACCCACTTCAACATAAACCGAGAGAACCGTTTGCTAACGACCATCCATCAGCTGTATGCCCAAGGAGGCTACAAATAGAGCGTTAGGTCGCTGCGTATAGTAATGAATATAAAGCATGATATATTGTCCAACTGTAAGTTATTCCCGCGCAAACAGCTAGATACCCCTTAGAGCTTCCTCTTCCTCTTCCTTCCAACTCCCGCTTCTTATGGCCCTTGTGACTTTACAAATGGACAATGGGACACTCGGCAGGAGAAGAAAAACACATACTCGCGTGCCATATATCCACTTGGGGATGACTATATATATTAGCCCTAGGAGCATGGTGCATTGTGTACATAGAACCGCCAGTTCGCTGTGATAAGCTCATCAAACTTATCAACTTCAGACATCTTTTTCTTCTCCATCTACCATGCATCCATCATTCTCCTGATATCCGTGTTGCTGTTATTTTATGCCGGTTGATTTATCCCTCTCTACACGCAGAAAGCTAAAAATAGCAACAAAAACAGCAACATCGACCGTGCTCCTTCCAAACATCTCAACCTCCTTCTTCAGCTCTTGCCACTTCCTTCCTCACATTTGGTGCTTTCCTTCGTCCTCATGTTGCTCTTTCTTTGCCAATGGTAGAGAAGAACAACAAATATCCCCTTTGAGCAGCTGGCGAGGTCCCTTTTCTCCTCGCTGTTTCTCTTCGTTCTTCTTCCTCTGTCAAGCAACATCGACTTCAACATCGACATTGACATTGACAGCGGATCTTCAGTTGCCCCTCCAGCCAACGTCTTCTCGTCTTCTCGACTTCTCGTACTGAGCAAGAAGCCATCGCGGAGACCATTGAACAGCTTGATTATCGTACTGCAGTATTGATACCTTACTATTATCCTTCTCTCTTTCTTCCTGCCCCGAGACCTGCAACCCCCAGGTATACCGGTTCAATGAACTCCAACTCGGTCGATATGCCACAGTCGAAGCTGAAGTGCAATATATGTCCCCGGAAGCCCAAGTTCAGCGATGTCTCTCATCTGCTGACCCATGTGAGCTCAAAGGGCCATCTATCTCACTACTTCAAGCTCCAGGTACGCAGTCAGCAAGAGCCTCAGGCCGGTGAACTGCTGGCTGCGTATGACCGGTGGTATCAGCAGAACAAACTTGCAAACCTGTTGTCAGACCGTATGCTGGCCAAAGAAGCCCGGACTGGAAAAGGATCCCGTTGCAATAGCCGGTCAAGCCTTCCGGTTGCCTTTACTCATCGGCCATCTGCAATTGTGCCTCCGCCTGTCAGCAAAAATGCCCCTATTGCCTCCAGTCCTCGGAGAGGCTCTCTTCCCAGTTTTCTAAACCCCAAGCTTTCTCAGAATTACTATACCTACGACAGTCAGGGCAATCGTGTCTCTGGCAGGTCGTACTCCCCCATGTCCGTTAGCAACATGATCAACCCCAATCCTCACCCTGGCTACGGCTGGCATCAACAGCCTCAATATCAGCCCCCAGCCCCTTTGCAGGTCTCATCTATGCAAACTGGGTGGAAGGATGGAGATGAGACAGAATCAGACGGCGAGGGAAGTCCTCTGATGGCCAGGCGAATGAGACTTGGATCGTTGATTGACCCGTCTCTTCACCCCGCCCGAAGACCTCTCACTCCCGATCCCTTCATTGACGATGATGCTGCATATGAGTATGATGACCAGGAAGACTATAGCCAGCGGGGAAGTGATGAAGTTAACAAGCTGAAAGGGGTATTTTGGCCTGGTATGGATATTTTTGACTCTGCCACTGAAGAAATGAGACGCAAGCGCAATCAGAAGAAAGACGGCTCTATTATCAAGCAGATGGAAGAGACATCTGAAAGTGTTGAGCCAACTGAGCTAGTGTTTTCGCCTAACGGTACCCTTCGGAAGCAGCGTGTCATCTCTGGCATGGTTGATGATAGTAGCCCACTGAAGGGAGAGACTCCTATCCCGAAGAAGAAGGTAGTCCGTCCTCGTAGGCGTCCCATGTCTCAGCTGAGTGGGAATGTCCAGATGGCACAAAGCAGATACAAGATGAGGATTAGAGAGCAAAGCCGTGCTGCTCAGCTAAAAAAGTTGTCTCAACAGGCACTTATGATCGGTAAACCCGGCGACTCGATGAACTATCCGCCGTTGGACTCCCATCGCCAGGTCCTCTACAATACTTCCAAGTATGGACTCGAAAATTCCGCGAACCACCCTTATTATGGCGCTTTTAAACCTCCAAGCACTGGTTGGTAGCTTTATTTGCATCCACAACGATAAATCCTCGACTAATTTGTTTATCGTACTAGAAACTTACCGTGGAAAAGAGAATATTGACCCTATGTTTTCTTATGAGCGGAATATCCCGAAACAACAGTACTACTATGGATATCCATCCCAAAACGAGAATGACAACTATGGCTATTCGATGAACCCCTTGTCTTATGCCGCATCTCAGCAATCTTGTGACTCTGGTACTAATAGAGGTTGTATCAAAGATACTATCACGGTTGATACCAGTGATTTATTTGCTCAGCAGACACCAGGAGTTTTCAAGAACTCATCCCCCAAAAGCCCCATGTCGGACGTGGGCCATGACGATCTTGCTCGGATGTATTTCAATGGCCCTCTAGAGTGATTATGGGTTGGATTCTCAAGGTCTTACCTAAGTTTGCGTGGATTACACCTATTACCCTCTTTATATATATGTTCTACTGTGAGCGAGTGACTGAGCCACTGCCTACAAAGATCCTACTAATTTCCACCAGCGGACAGTCAACTGCTCAATATATTACGACAAACGGCACCTCGCGCATAGCAAAGCGATTCCCATCATTAGTGAGATGATCATAGGTGTTTTAAACTTACCTATTGATACTTCAGCATACATTTTTTTGATTTTCTAGGCTTTTGAAGTCAGGTATACATAGATCAATTCAGTTCAACGTCAACACAGAACCAGGTCAGAAATAACATTACTTTTGTACGGTATTCATAAACCTTCAGTCACGTGTAAACTTTAAACGGCGCTTTAATTGGATATTACCTAAGCATGGCGACTGGACGCGATTTTGACGCGTTGAAAGAGATGCCTTTATGAGCAGCTTCAAATGGATAACTAAGGACAACGGAATACCCGACAATATAGTTGCTCATTGACGGACACGTTATCGGACTGGACGAGTCAGCTTCGTCTGAAAGGTGGTAACAGGTAAATAATGAGTCAAACACCAAGCCTGAAACGAAAACAACAGACGATATCTAGCTTCTTCACCAAGACAGTTACTAGTCCGTCATCAAATGGCAGCACAACCGAACAGAGGAAAGGGAAAGTGAATACCAGCAATAAATCTACCCCTGAAATACCTGCCAGAGCAAAATCGAGACCCCCACCAAGGGGAAAGAGCAATGGTAGGGAGCAGGGTGTCGAGGAGGACGATGATGAGGACGAAGACATACTCCCGGTGAAAAAGCGGATAAGAAGCAGCGCCTGGAAGCCTCCCGAGAAGGAGGCAGAGAAATCGATAACAGGGGACAGTCATGCAGAGGAAGAAGAGGTGGAAGAGGTGGAGGAGGATGGAGAAGAGATTCGACCATCTAGCCCTATACAAAATGCAGAACCTCAATCTTCCGCCTCTCGAGCAGAGAAATTTCGCTTCCAATCCTCTTCTGCGCAACCCCCAATAGACGAACAGATATCACCCGCGGAGCGCAAAAGAAAGGATCAGTTACACCAGAAATTTGTGCGTCGTTTGGGTGGGCCGGACTGCCTTCCGGCGTTGAGCTCTCATGATGGTAATTCAGAGGCAGATCCTACTGTCGAAGGCACAGCAAGCGACGAAGAGGAGGGCCCTTCCCCGCCTCCCCAGCCGAAGGGCAAATCTGCTAAAAAGGTTGGAGGTTCTAAATTGACGCCAATGGAGAAACAAATAATAGAGATCAAGAACAAGCATCTTGACGCCGTGTTGCTGATCCAGGTTGGATATAAATACCAATTCTATGGAGAGGATGCAAGGATAGCAGCCAAGGTTCTCAGTATAGTGTGTATACCAGGAAAACTCAGGTTTGATGAACGTTAGTTCCCCTGTTCTACATGTGTTATAGAATATTTTGGCTAAGACTTGCTGCAGATCCATCTGAGGCACACCTGACTCGTTTTGCGTCGGCAAGTGTACCTATTCATCGTCTCCACGTACATGTCAAACGACTGGTGGCCGCTGGGTATAAGGTCGGCGTGGTAAAACAGTTGGAAACTGCAGCTCTGAAGGCTGCTGGCGACAACAGGAATGCACCGTTTGTACGGAAGCTAACCAACATGTATACCAAAGCAACGTATATTGAAGATGACGCCGAGCTTGAACTATCTGGTTCTCTGGAGCCATCTACAGGCTACTTGCTCTGCTTGACGGAGAGTGGTGCTAAGGGCCAAGGAGACGGCGAAAAAGTCCAAATAGGAATTGTGGCAGTCCAACCAGCAACCGGGAATGTTATACACGACAGTTTTGAGGATGGGTTTATGAGGAGCGAGATTGAAACTAGACTGCTCCATATAGCCCCCTGCGAGTTACTCCTGGTTGGTGAGCTGTCTTCTGCAACGAACAAACTTGTCCAGCACTTATCCAAGGGTAGAATGACTACATTTGGAGACAGTGTTCGGATTGAGCGGAGGGAGAAGACCAAGACTGCTGCTGCTGAAGCGCATAGTCATATATCCAGTTTCTACGCCGGAAAGATGGCGGCTACAGGAGCACCAGAGGATACAAAATCAAGCACTCTACTGGACCAAGTGCTGCAGCTACCGGACGATGTCAGTGTTTGTTTATCTGCTATGATTAAGCATCTGACTGAGTATGGGCTGGAGCATGTGTTTGACTTGACGAAATACTTCCAATCATTTTCAGCAAGATCCCATATGATGCTGAATGGAAACACGTTAACAAATCTAGAAATATACCAGAATCAAAGTGACTACTCTTCGAAGGGCAGTTTGTTTTGGAGCATGAACCGGACGCGGACGAAGTTTGGTCAACGTCTACTCCGGAGGTGGGTCGGAAGGCCATTACTGGACAAAGCGAAACTAGAAGAGCGCACAGAGGCAGTTACGGAACTTCTCGATTCAGACAAGTCTACTCTTACATACAACCTGGGATCTACCTTAACTCAGGTCAAAATTGACCTTGAAAAAGCTTTGATTCGGGTATACTATGGGAAGGTAAGTCAGAGAACCGACTGGCTTTGACATGCGTTGGTATTCTAATTACTCCTAGTGCACTCGGCCGGAATTGTTGACAATGCTGAAAAGCATGCAGTCAATCGCTATGAGCTTTGCCCATGTAAAGTCCCCAGCTGATACCGGCTATTCGTCCCCTATCCTGAGCGAGTCAATTGCCATCCTACCTACAATGCACGATGACGTTGTTTCATACTTGAATAAAATCAACGAAACAGCTGCAAAGAAAGACGACAAATATGATTTCTTTCGCGAGTCAGAGGAATCTGAGGAAATCGGCGAACATCGTCTGATGATCGGAACGATCGAGTATGAGCTTAAAGACCATTTAAAGTCTATAGCCGAGACGCTGGGCAAGAAGAAAGTCCAGTATGTTTCAGTTGCAGGGATCGACTATCTAGTTGAGGTTGAGAACTCTCAAGGCGCGCTGAAGAAAGTACCGGCCTCATGGCGGAAGATTAGTGGAACTAAAAAAGTGTCACGCTTCCATACCCCTGAAGTCGTGAAAATGATGCGAGAAAGGGACCAACAAAAGGAGTCTCTGGCTGCTGCGTGTGATACGGCATTCTTGAGGTTGTTGTCGGATATTTCAACGAAATACCAGCTATTTCGAGACTGCATCCAGGCTCTCGCGACGATCGACGCATTGCACTCGCTATCTGTCATTGCTGCGCAGCCAGGCTACGTTAAGCCAAAATACACAGATGATACAATAATAAACATCTCTCAAGGCCGTCATCCGATGGTTGAGAAAATTCTAATTGACTCCTATGTGCCCAATGATACCCAGCTAAGCACGGATGAAACTAGGGCTTTACTCGTTACTGGTCCTAATATGGGTGGCAAGTCTAGCTATGTCCGCCAAATAGCTTTGATATGTATCATGGGCCAGATTGGCTCATACGTGCCCGCTGAATCCGCTACGCTAGGCATGCTTGATGCCGTGTACACTCGTATGGGGGCATTTGACAACATGCTTGCGGGCGAGTCTACTTTCATGGTCGAATTATCGGAAACGGCCGATATCCTGAAACAAGCTACGCCACGTTCACTTGTGATACTTGACGAGCTAGGCCGTGGAACATCTACGCACGACGGTGTGGCCATAGCGCAGGCGGTGCTGGATTACATGGTTCGTAACTTGAGAAGTTTGACGTTGTTTATCACCCACTACCAGAACCTGAGTCGGCTTGCAAGCGCTTTTCCGGGCGGCGAACTACGAAACGTCCACATGAAGTTTACTGAAACCGGTGACCAGGGACAGGATATTACGTTCCTATATGAAATCGGTGAAGGAGTGGCCCACAGGTCGTATGGGTTGAACGTTGCCAAGCTTGCAAATATTCCAGCTGGAATATTAGAGGTAGCTCAGGTCAAGTCGGAAGAGCTTGAGGCTAAGATTAGCAGGAAGAAGATGGGTGGTATGCTCCAGGGTATATTCCAGGCCCTGTCTGACCAAAACACTAGTGATAGCACTGAAGAGCAGGTTGAGCGCCTTCTTCATGATATTGAATTGTTGTAATATAGCGTTTGGGTATGTTTAATATAGATGTACTATATGAATGGCATCCTTGGTCGAAACCTGGATAACTTAGAGACTCCCTATTCTCTCAGACCTTCTTTATTGTGCTTGCTGGCCAAACAATAGAAGTGTAGCCCTAAATCAATTGCTCGTCGGGGTATTTCGTGAAAGTTTCGACCACGACAACTCGTGTCTCTGTAAACCTAGCTCCCAAGTCGGTGTTCGGTCCACGCAAGTAAGGGTAGAAAAAAAAGGAAGGAGAATTGATGAAGTTGTTTTGAATCTCTTGATCTCGTTTATTTTTGGGACATCAAAGGCCTCGAATTAAGAACCAGTAGTAGTAACAGGAAATCGCGCCCAGTTTAAACACCCCTCCGTTATCATGGCCACCACCAAACAACTCGCATCTATCGGAGTCTGCGGGCTTCTCTTTCGGATTCAAGGAGGCAGAGGATATCGTCAACACGGACTGTAGAGGCGATCCTTGTTAGTTATGGGCGTCCACAAATCGCAAACAATTTCTCATAATCTCCACTGCGAAAGAAGAGAACAAGAACTCTCTAAATTGAGGTACAAAAGCGGCGCATACCTGGGCCCTTGACGTTTCGGATGATGCTTCGGTTGGAGTCGTCCATGAATTCAACGCGGACCTGAGTGACACCTCCTCGGGAACCTATTCCAAGCAAAGTAACAAGCAAATCAGCCTTCCATTCTTCAGCTAAACCTGACGCTTTTCCTCTGCATATCATGCACACGGGCATCTTTCTGATCCTCCTCTTTTCCTATCCACTGTTTGTATATCCCCTTCTATGCTGGCGGGCTGAACGTACCGGTGCGACCGAGAACGCTGGTCACCTTAGCGTATTTGGCGGGAACTTTGCCAGCATCCATGTTGGGCGATTGCGGATAGAGAGATGATGGAGGAAGATGTTGGCTTCGTTGCTGCGGTGGTTCGAGGTGGTCGAAGTTGAAGAAGGTCGAAGTTCGCGATAATCGAAAAAAGAGCTCGAAATTTTTGGTGGTTTGTGGGAAGCAGTTTCTGCCGACCCGCGGCCCGCCAGATCGGGCTGGGCGGTGAGCGTCGGCGGAAGGTTTACCCGAATATTCACGCTAGCCTGATAGAGAAATAGCCCTAAGCCCTAACTTAATTCTTAAAAAGGAAGGTCGTGTTGGCTCTTTGGCAGTAGCAAAAGACGAAGATGAAGAAGAGACAGCGGACGAATAGTGATAGTTGTTGGTGAAGCTGACATTATTAAGGGATATGCTTGGGGGAAAAGAACGGTGGAAAAGGCGGGAAGTTGTTGGGTACTGCGGAAGTAGATCGAGGTTACGTTCTACCTAGTTGTGACCAAGTATATACTCCGTATACTTGCTACCTCTATGACGATCACCTCAAAGGCTTGAATCACGGCTAACGGCGCTGATAGGAGGCCGGAAGGCAGTTATAGAGTTCCGCCCGTTGATGTGCGTACACGGATATGAGCAGCGTGATCTATAAGACGACCGGCGAAGCCATGTCTGTCCTCTCTGGTTCTCCAGCCAGCCATCAACCAAACCGATGCAGGCTGCCCGAAACCATCCATGTACTATTTCAAAGCCGGCTGGACCCCCGCGGGAAATCCGGAGCAGGCATCTTGACTGATAACAATGGGACCAACGTGGACGCTTGAGGGGTGCTTTCAAGGCCGTCATGGTGGTGTACTTCAGGAGCTGTACTCCCCCAGGAGGCAGCGTGATCACACCCTACATTATGCTGCACTATCAAGGACACCCTTCATCAAGAAAACGCCGTCTCATTGGTAGAAGGGGACTCGTATAGCTGTATATGATTGTTGGGCTACCTTGCTCGACTTATCTATCAGCGTTTGAATAAGCGATATTACCTTATATCAACTTGAACACCGTTCTGCATGGAGTCCGCTTGCTCCCACAGCTATCATGCTATGAGAAACATGCCGTTAAAGAGTAACTAGATCTAAGTGGCGCATAGAAGCTTTCCTGTTAAGAAAAACCCCTCTAAGCTCAGATAGCGTAGTGAGCAAAAGGGGTGTAGTTAATTGGTGGCCTAAGAAGTCCCTTATCAAAGATGATCCGAAGTCCTTCCCGTGCTTGCGATTGGACCGAACTATAATAAATAACTAGCAAACACAAGCTACCCGGTATACTTATCTCTACTTATGCAAGAGTCATTTTCGGGACTTCGAACTGAGCTGCACTGCGCATCTATTGAACAACCGACTAAGAGAAACCGGGGGGTTTGTACTACATCTCATTCCGCTTGCTGCTGCCTCTCTGCACCCTGGGATTTGCCCTGTGAAGCTATATATCAGTTGCCAGTCGTGCGCTGTTGACTCACACCCCCCTCCTACGCCTGTTTCTCCTCGAAAGCTCCGTTGGAAATGGATTTGGTAAACCAGTGAGCAATTCCTACTAGATATTACCTACAATGCATAGCACTCCAACCTGGCAGACGGGCACGCTGACCCGTGAAAAAAGTCTAGAAGGCCGGCTGCTGTTCGCAGTGCCCAAGAGCAAGTGCAGCCCTCTCCCCGCGATGTGGAAACGCAAGGCCAGCTACAATTAACACGAGATATTTACTGCAGAGGGCCGCCTGCAGCAGGCTACAATCGATCTGCTGGACGGGTCTGATATCCAATTCCGCAGAGAGCACCGTTTGGATATAGCCTTGGTCAAGAATCTCCCGGTTGCTCTTATCTTCCTGCCGGCGGCTGATATACCCACCTTCGTCGGCGAAGGTCGTGTTGACCTGGGCATTACGGGACAAGATCAAGTGGCTGAGCATAATATGCGTGGGCTACCGGGCCAACAGTCTGGCGTGGAGGAGATTCTGGACCTTGGCTTCGGCGGATGCAAGCTACAGGTCCAAGTGCCGGAGAAGGGCGCCATAACTGACCCCAGGGAACTCATCGGGAAGAATGTCGTTACAAGCTTCACGGGCCTTGCAGAATCCTACTTTGCTCGGTTGGAGGGTGCTAGCAGGAAAGAGGACGGAACCTGGGATCTAAAGACTAGGATCAAGTACGTTGGCGGCAGTGTAGAGGCTGCTTGTGCCTTGGGAGTAGCTGATGGAATCGTTGATCTTGTTGGTATGTTAGCTACTCCATTATCTTTCTAGTCTCGATATTTTCTTGCATATCTAACTTGATAATTTAGAATCCGGTGAGACCATGAAAGCTGCTGGCCTTAAAGCCATCGACACAGTCATTAGCACCAATGCCGTCCTTGTCAAGTCTCGAAATACTACCAACCCCTTAGTCGACCTCATTGTTCCAAGAATTCGCGGTGTTATCAGTATGTTTGCTAAAATCCTCCTACTGAACTACACGGTTTTTTTAATACTGACTCTCCCTTTAGCTGCCAAAAAATATGTACTCTGCCAGTATAACGTTCCTCGCAGCATCTTGTCCAATGCATGTGCCATAACTCCTGGAAAACGAGCTCCTACAATTACCACCCTGGAAGAAGAGGGATGGGTTGCTGTCAGCGCCATGGTGGAAAAGAAACAGATTGCGAATGTCATGGACGACCTATCGGCTGTTGGCGCCACTGATATCCTTGTAATGGGGATCGCAAACTCAAGAACGACACCCTGAGCATGGCTTCTACTTTTGCCCTTTTAATGAACTATTTCATGATTTTATCTGTCAGCTGTCCTATTGGCAGGTCTCTCTCTCGTCTGCTATTTTTTGGACTCTAGGTACTCCGTAATTCTGATATGAACTGGCTGCAAGGTTGGATCTAGCTGCCATTCAATACATTTTAGGGAAACTGGTAATAATTATTTAAAAGCATTACAGCTCGTAGTTATTCCATGAAGTAAATAAGAGTAGCTTAAAACATCAAGTAGGCTCCGTACAGTAATACAAATGATATGTTCATATATAAAATTACATCAACGTCGTTCTACCTCCAACATCTCTTGCGCCTTCACCAGTGGGCATCTCCCCATTTCTGCCCACTATGAACTCGCGATATATACTCTCTAACCTCTTCCTCTCTACTGCACTGATGGAGCAGCGAGTGGTAGCGAGCGACCTCTCAATATGTGTCCATTCAATGCAGATCTCATCAGAGTCCTTATCTTCATCATCTAGTCCCGCATCACCAGGAGCCTTGTTCGCCTCCATCTTTGACGTTGGATCAGATAGAGGGTTGCGCTGTGCCTGCTTTTGGCGCAGGCGAGCTTTCTTAAGTTCCTCGATTTTAGCTGCAATTACAGCCGGCGGGTCGAGGGAAGTGTTTCTCACCCCCCTGGAGGTAGTAGCGATACTATGTTCTGTCGAATCGTATAGGAACTGGATAAACGGTTTGCTGGCTTGTGAGGATTTCGAAGAAGTTTCAGTCGTTTCAGAGGATGAAGTCGTTTTTGATTTCTTGGAGGACTTCGATGTCGTTTCGGGAGCTGGTGTTCGGTCACCTAGAGCATCATGGATGGCTTCGAGGTGGGCATTATATACAACGGCCTGAAGGTCGGCGCCAGAGTATCCTTCTGTTCGGCCGGCTACTTCATAGAGTCGGGACATCACATCGTCGCTGAGTTTCAGTTTCCCACTCAGCGCTTGAATTATATCAACACGGTCGGCGTGGTTGGGCATATCGCATAACAAGGATTTGTCAAGACGGCCAGGTCGTAGCAATGCAGGGTCAATCAAGTCTGGTCGAGAGGTCGCTGCTAGGACATATACTCCAGACAGACCTTCGGCACCGTCCATCTGTGTAAGCAGCTGATTGACGACTCTGTCTGTCACACCGGTGGAATCATGGCCACGCTTTGGTGCAATACTGTCAAACTCGTCAAAGAAGAGAATGCAAGGGCGTGCAGCTTCGGCTCTCTCGAAAAGATCACGCACACTCTTTTCACTGGCACCGATATACTTGTTGAGAATCTCAGGGCCCTTCACGCTAATAAAGTTGAGACCGCATTCTCCTGCAACGGCACTGGCAAGAAGCGTTTTACCACATCCGGGGAACCCATAAAGTAGAAGACCGGAACGGAGTCGGAGTGGGCATTGGGAGAAAATGGGGGCATATTTTGTAGGATACTGCAGGGTTTCAAGGAGGGTGTTTCTTGTACTATGCAAGCCGCCAATCGCTGAGAATGTGGTCGAGGAGGAGGTAAGAGTTACGTTTCGTAGGGACGCAGGTGTAAATCCCTTTAATGCTCGGTCAAAGTCCTCTGTACCTAGAGTGATGACGGTTGAAGAAGATGTAGTGTCTTGCACTGCACTAATTAAGGCCTCATTCCTGGCGCGGGATACCAACAGCACCAAATCACCGGGCATATAGCCATCTGTTTTGCCTGCTAGATCTAGGAAATCAAGATCTCTGCTCAGAACGAACCCATCGGATTGACCAGAGGATCCCGGTCGTGATGTAGAATTCGATGGGTTGAGCCAGGAATCCTGAGACGAAGAGCTAGGTTTGCGAATGTGGCCATTCATTTCTCCCTGCATGTTGGGAGCTTTATCTTCCTTCGTCAACTGCTCGAGAATCAGTCGTCGCCCATCTTTATTCGGTGACTTCAGGCTGATGATCTCTCGGACAACATGGCCACCAATAATAACATTGTTTAAGGATTCTTTTGCCTGCGCAGTTGCCAGTAACACCACTGGCGATGAGGCAGAGCAGAATTCCCGGACAGTAGAGCAAACAATCTCACTGATTTGGCGGCTTCGGCCATTCTCACCACCGACTTGGAGCTCCGTCTCGACAGGGCACAGTTTGTCCAAATCGTCTAATACGACAACTGAGTTCCCACCGAGCCTTGCACACCAGGAAGCTGAAAGGAACAGCCGCCGTAGGGTTTCTTTAATTGCGGAGATGCGAGTTTCTTCATTCAGCAACTTTCGGCAAGGGAAGTATGTGACATTGAACAAGTGGTCTTCTCGTAGTTGGTGAGCAAGTAGATGCGCAAGCGATGTCTTGCCCGATCCTAGCCCACCAGTGAGAAGGATAGATGAAGCTCGAGTAAGGTTCGACATGCAGTTTGTAATAACAGGTTTGATTCCTACTAGCTTGGGGATCTCAGTAGGTAAAACTTCATCGGGTGGTATAGGCTGGAATGAGAGGTCCGGCGGTTTGGGTATTGCTGCTTGTACTTCAATGGCAATCTTGCTTTCGGAACCAAGTACCCAGCCAAATGCCAGTTTGGCATCGGCTGAGTTTCCATCCAGCGGAGGGTCAAATTTAATCATTCCTCCGTCGAAATCTAAGGTTCTCATTTGGTCGTCTAGCTTTGGGAGAAACATTCCGTCTGTAATGGGGCCGCTCAACATGCCAGTGTCAGAGCCGGGACTCCCGTATACCATTTTTAAACGTTCGACGAACGCATCCCGAGAGCTTGCTGAGTCGCCGCCGAATCTGAAGCCATCTTTCTTTTTTGACAAGTCTGTTCCAAAGGGAAACAGTTTTAGTGTCTTGACTGCTGGTTTCTGGATTGGAGATGGAGCAGCCTCTATGCGAACAACACCGCCGACTGCGCCATCAAATTCCAAGGCAGAACATAAGAGGGACGATAAAGCGACATGTTCGGTATCTGGGCTCTCATCCCAAGGGAGAAGCCTGGCCACAAGCTTCCTCGAGATACTTCCAGCCTCGGGTGAAATCAGCTCCTTCTGCTGAGCCTGTTGCTGTGGGTCGATAGGTGCTTGTAGTGCAGCTGGCCGTATGATGGATACACAAGCCCAGGAAGATCCTCGTAGCTCATTTTTTAATAGAACATCACGGTCAATCCATACTTTAAGGCCTTCATCCTTCTCAGCTTCAGAATCATCCTCGAACCAATTCAAGGCTGTCTTCCGGTCTACAGCCCGTAAGAAAAGTGCGCCTCGTGAGGACGATTCTGAGTGACTACTGCGGGGTCTCTGAGCACTGCTAACACTCCTTGCTCCCTGGCTCCTGCGGCCAGTGCTCGCGGTACTCCGGTTTCCACTCTGGGACGATCTTCCGGTCTTCGGACGGACTTTGGGTGCAACAATCACTTCTGCATCGGGTGATATTTTCGCGAAAGGCGATGTTGACGGTGCCTGGGGAGTGAGAGATGTAACGGTTATATTCGCAGTGGAAGTAGGTGAGAGATGTAGAGTTAGTGGATGCGTGTGCTCTGCTTGTTCGGTAGATGGAGCATAGGCAGGGTTGGGAAGCGCCCTGATTTGGGATAGGAGGTTCAGCTCCAGGAAGTTGGCATGTAGCTCGATGACTGTAGGCAATATTAGTCATTACTATGTTCAGATATGCCACATTATAGGTTACATACTCTCCCAGTCCGCCGGGGTCAACGGTTCAATGTTGACAGTATGGGCAACCGGTGGATCTAAGTGTAGAAGAACACCAACCTAAGGACCAATGTCAATGAAGATTCCCCTAACTTCGGCATTGAGGAGGAGTATGGGAGGTATGCATACCTTCTGTCCGTCACTCAAACCCAATACTCTTCCAAAGGTTGAATCAATTTCCAGGACAGCCACATCCTGGTCCTTTTGCTGCCCCCTTGTGCCGTTGATACCGTCCCGCGTTACAACCGGTGCCAGCTTTCTCTTACTAGGCATACCTGTCCAGCCGACATGTGTTGATTTCTGTACTGCCTGCCCATTTTTCCCAGAATTGGAGGGGGATGTTGATTGACCGCGGTGTTGTAGTTCGACAATAACGTTTTGCGCAGGCTAAATCACAGCATTAGATAGTGTACCGTAAGCCAAAGGATCACATTGCACGTACAGTATTGGCATTGACAAGTAGAGAAACCAGCGGCGAGGGCAGGTTGACCAGGCAGCTCTTCAGGGGTACCAGGGCAATCTCCGCTAGAGTTGGGGTTCTCTTGCTGGGAGCCATAACTGCATAGGAACTGGAGGAAAAACAACGCAAAAGAACCAGACAACCTGGACTAGATGAGAGACTGCGCAATAGCTGGTATCATCAAAAAGACCAGAGACCTCGATGCATCTTTGTCCCTTGTCTATCGGTCTGTCTGTTCTGCGTATATTTACTGTCTCTCTGCGCGAGCTTGCGGCTTTCTCCAGCTTCCTTTTTACTTTCTGAGCACGCGGGAAACTCGTGATTCCGAGCAAAAATAGATTTTCCGTCTCCGAAAAGCCGACTGTTCGGACCGAGCGTTTCTCCATTCCGGCTGAGTCATTCTTTGGTCAGACAAGGCTAAGCCTACTTTGGCAATATTAACGCGTCGCGTTTCTGGCTCGCGTTCCCGCGCGCTTAACTTTGAGTTTGTTTGAGTTTCGAACTTCGCGATTTCGAGCGACAAAATCGCAAAGTCGCAAGTCAGAGCCTGGAGATTTGCAGTCAGCCCAGCAATTGGCAGCGCACTCTTGTTACGGCTCGGCAGACATTTATTCTGTTTTGCCTTTTACGGCACCCTTACCTTTTATACCATCGCGTGAACTATCCCCCCTACAGCTGCCGTGAACGCGTGTGAAGATGGCGCTCTTCCCCCTCCGTCTTCAAATCAACTACGAGGAGGAGCAGAATGTGCTCAAAGAGTTTTTCAAGAACTTCAAATCCAGCCAGTCTGCCTCCGAGGCCTCTGCGACCGAAGCGATTTCGGGTCTCAACATTGACGAAGATGATATTGATGCGCTAGATGAAATGGACGAGGATGGCGAAGAGAATGGACGCACAACGAGGGAACGACGAGAACCGAAGCTCAAGTATATGGCGCTATTGCAAGAGGTTGCAGACCGAACAAAGAATCACATCGTCATAGAATTGGATGACTTGGATAAAGTACAATTACCCTATGGAAACAGTGTTTATACCCCTGGTTTGACACTCAAAGACTAATTGGTTTGCATTTGCCAGTTCCTGAAATCAGCACCCGAAGGGCCACATTCGGACCTTGCAGAACGAATTACAAATAATGCGAAGCGATACATTGATGTGATTTCCGAGGCGATTGATGAGATAATGCCCAAGGAGAGCGCAGAAGTAACGTTAGTACAAACGTTCTCATGAAGCTGGGGACACGATACTGATGTGGACCATGCTTCTAGATTTAAAAATGATGTAATTGATGTCATAGTTTCCCAGCGTGGACGACGAAATGATGCTATGAACATGGCCTTGGAAGCAGACCTGGATGTCGGCATGCAGCCATCAACATTTCCACCAGAGCTTACTAGGAGATACACTCTTAATATCAAGCCAATTACTACATCCGGATCAAGCAGCGACCCAAAAGCTAAAGCTTTTGCGGTCAGAGATGTCCGTGGAGCACAGCTCGGAAAACTAATCACAGTTCGGGGCATCACCACCAGAGTCTCTGACGTTAAACCCTCAGTTAAGATCAATGCATATACCTGTGATCGCTGTGGCTCTGAAGTATTCCAGCCGATCACCACAAAACAATTCCTTCCACTGACTGAATGTTTGTCGGACGAATGCAAAAAGAACAACAGCAAGGGCCAGCTTTTCCTCTCCACTCGTGCGTCAAAGTTTGTCCCATTCCAGGAGGCCAAGATTCAGGAGATGGCAGACCAGGTGCCTATTGGGCACATCCCCCGTACGTTGACAGTACACTTGATGGGTAGTCTGGTTAGACAGTTGAATCCAGGAGACAATGTTGATATTGCTGGAATTTTCCTTCCGACTCCATACACTGGTTTCCGCGCCATCAAGGCTGGCCTCCTCACCGACACCTATCTCGAAGCCCAGCATATCACCCAACACAAAAAGGCCTACGATCATCTTGTAATGGACCCGGTAACCCTGAGAAAGATTACCAGGCACGCAAGCTCGGGTAATATGTACGAGTATCTCTCGCGTTCGATAGCACCCGAGATATATGGACATCTTGATGTTAAGAAAGCCCTGCTACTCCTTCTGATTGGTGGAGTGACAAAGGAAATGGGAGACGGCATGCGGATTCGTGGTGATATTAACATCTGCCTGATGGGTGACCCTGGAGTTGCAAAATCTCAGCTTTTGAAGTATATCACCAAGGTAGCCCCGCGCGCCATCTATACAACTGGAAGAGGAAGCAGTGGAGTTGGTCTTACAGCGGCCGTGATGCGTGACCCCGTTACGGATGAAATGGTCCTTGAAGGCGGTGCCCTTGTCCTCGCAGACAACGGTATCTGCTGCATTGATGAATTTGATAAGATGGACGACGGAGACCGGACTGCTATTCATGAAGTTATGGAACAACAAACAATCTCGATATCCAAAGCTGGAATCTCAACTACCCTCAACGCTCGTACCTCCATCCTTGCAGCTGCTAATCCACTCTACGGCCGGTATAACCCGCGAATTTCACCGGTTGAGAACATCAACCTCCCCGCTGCTCTCCTCTCTCGTTTCGATATTCTCTTCCTCATGCTCGACACTCCCTCCCGTGATTCTGATGAAGAACTCGCCAGCCACGTTGCTTATGTACACATGCACAACAAGCACCCTGAGACCAATGCTGATGAAGTAGTTTTCACTCCTGCCGAAGTACGGCAGTACATTGCTAAAGCGCGAACATTCCGCCCTGTGGTACCAAAGAGTGTCTCAGAGTACATGGTGGGTGCATATGTCCGTATGCGCAAACAGCAAAAGCAAGAAGAAGGAAGCAAAAAACAATTCACTCATGTCACACCACGAACTTTGCTGGGTGTCCTCCGACTGTCTCAAGCCCTTGCACGCCTTAGATTCAGCGAGCGTGTGGTTACCGAGGATATTGACGAAGCCCTCCGACTGATCGAGGTTAGTAAATCTAGTTTACATCAGGATTCACAATCTGGTATGGACCACAGTCCTACAAGCAAGATCTACAACCTCATCTGCGCTATGAGAGAGAGTGGTGCGGCTGCTATCGGTGATGGAGACGAAGGAACTCTCAGCATGAAGAGGATCCGGGAACGAGTTGTCGCGAAAGGATTCACGGATGACCAACTCAGCCAGGCCATTGATGAATACGCAGAGCTTAGCGTAAGTGCAACATTCATCCTCCAGCTTTCGCTTGTACTGCCTTACTAATATGACTACTTCGCACAGGTCTGGCAAGTCAGTGGAAACGGCACTCGGCTTGTCTTTATTGAAGCCGGGGACGGCGATGCAATGGATTTGTAGGCTTTCATTTAAATTATAACGATTGCAAAACATATAGCGTATGGTTCGATTAATCTAGTCCTTTAATGAGCCCTTGCTTGCATCGCTCCCTTCCCCAAATACATCCTTGACTAAATTCCTTTCTTTCCGATGAAGCAATAAAAAATGGTCCTCTACAATGCAACGTCCAGGGATCATGGGCTTTCTCCGCCCAATACTCAGCGGGCAGCTACTTGCATTGCAAGCTAATATCGGTGTCTTACATGCATGGTATACTGGTTGTTTGTTTGCGAGTACCTCCGTATACGAGCTTTCCATGGAGCCGAACAAACCGTTGAGGCCGCCGGGTTGATCACAATCAAACATTCCAGCACACTTCTAGGTTGAATACCTAACTAGCGAGGGCTGAACATTATCTCTATTCATAGCACTATCCGAAACATAACAATAACAACACAGTCCACATAACATACGTGCCAATAGCAGTGCCAGGAACAGGGTTGGTTACCCCAGAATGCCGATGCACGCTAAGGCTGAATTAGTTCCGACTCTTCGCTTGCGATGACTTCATTATCCCAACTTTCTTTTCACCTCGCCTGGCAGTTAATACGCTCCAGCAAGCGAGATGTCTCAGCGCCATTAAGCTCTGCCATACGAAACACGGCGAATGAGGAGCAGGCGAGCTGGCAGGTTCGCCGCTAGCATTGGACAAACGAGAAAGGGCGTTTGGATGGTTCGGGTCGGCGACCATTCAGGTATCAGGTTATGACGGCCTAAAAAGAGGAAAACAAAGCTACAGCGTCGTATTATTCGAGCTCCCCAGCCATCAACAGCCAGCTAGACTGTGAGCTGCAGAGCTATACGGATTCACCGGGAGACTTGAGTCTCGCCTACGGAGTACGCAGAGTGCATACCATGCTGGAGGCAAAGCCGAGGCCATTGAACGTTTGCTGGCACCAATGACAAAGTGCTTTTGTCGATGGGAGGCTATGGATTCTCGTTCGCCCGGTAAACGGTAAAGATGTTCTATGCCCATGTGGAGCGCAAGGATGCTCTCTGGGATTCATTGTGCTCTGTGGACAAAACAAGATTTCGCATGTATCACAATCCTGGGAGAATTCGGGCCTAGACGGAGGAGAAGCCAGGTGATTTTCAGCCTCTTCGTCCACCCATGGTCAGGCCATCCATAGTATGATACGACAAGATGAATAATATGGCGTGGTCTTTGTTCAATATACCCATTGAACTTCCGTCTCCGTTTCGCAGATGATATCAGAATCAACATGATCTTCAGCAATCCGAACTCTGCCCCGAATGGTATGTAGGATACCAAGGCCGAGACATTGAGAGATCATTCGATTCTAATTGCAAGCTGCAAACCCTATCAACCATTCTTCTTCCAGGCCACAACTTGACGAGATATTCTTCGTGAACTTGGCTAATGCTATTTTTATAGCGTTGCTAATAATAGTTGCACCGAAGCATCAACGGGTAATTTGACCATTTACCGCTGTTTGCCCTCAGGCCTATGGAGGAGCAGCTCCTTTGCAGCTGCATCCTGAGCCGGCTCTTGCAATGTGAGATCATTTCCGTATCAGGAGCGAGTATGATTCACATCTGGACGGCTTCTTTTTTTCAAGGCTACTGAACGCGGACTATACGACCTACCTAGCCTCTTGATTGAAGAGGATTAGGCACCTTCGGGGGCACTGCCTCGCCATGAGGTCCGACAGCCACTCAAGGAGGTAAAGCCTATCGAGCTAGCCAGATATCTTCCACCCCTTCCTTAGGCTCCGCAAGGTAGCATTGTCACTATGGGGCAAAGATCCGTTGCTGAAGTGAGACAGCTCTCAGGTTATCTTCCTTGGATCTCTCATGGGCTGAAAAAAGTAGTGTCCATGGAAAGACATAAAAGGCAGCATTGAGCTCCCCAATCTCTGAGAAATATCATCCAGCACTCAAAGACAAACACATCGAAGCAACAGATTCAATAAAACCCTCAACCAGCCAAACGATTTATCAATAAATCAGTTTAAACAATCCATCAATATGCAGTTCAACCTTTTCACCACCGCCTCCATCCTGTTGGCCAGCACCTCTCTTTTGGCTGCAGCCCTCCCCCAAAGCCTTGCCAACCGCAACTCTCCTCCAGTTTGCGGTACTTGCAACCCAGTCTCTGGCAAGAACTTCTGTGACGTCACCACCTCTTGCATCAACACTGGATCTACCTTCCACTGCGCCTGCCGTGCTGGCTACAAGGCGAGCCCTCGCAACAACGACTTCAACAAGCAGTTCCGTCTGCCATTCAAGAACTACGAGTTCCTCGTTTTCGTGCCAGAGAACACCGCTTGCAACACCCTCTGCAACGACTGGACCCTGCCACCACCAGCCTTGTGCTCTGAGGTTCCTCTTTACAACCAGTGCAGAGTTTAAATTGCTACAATAGCAATACCGATGGTACTTGACGCGGAATGAATAAGGTCTGGAGAGAGGGTTTTAAGCCGAGCTACCGATTTAGATGGGAGGGGATGTAATTAGTGGGGGTAGTTGATTGGTTTGATGTGACTGGATAGTTGATGAGATATATTGTGGTTCTAGTTTACATTCCTTTAATGAGAGCGCTGCAATGCAAATATATTTGCCTATTACATAGCAGACAATCCCTATTATTGTAGTGCAATTTTTCCAGAGCCAAATATGAGTATCAGTGTCTGTATGGTGGCCAAAGAATTTGTATGGGCCCCTATATGCTTAGATCTCCAGAGTATAACATGAAATATAACCTATATCCAGCAAAGAGCAAGGTAAAATCTACCCAAACCTAGCGCCAATACAACAACCAATGCCATCAAAGCCCTGCCAATATTTCCAGAACATGCCCACGATGCCCGTGGCCTTGGTCTCGTTGCCGCTGGAACTTTACTGTCTCATCGCGGGGAGGGTGCGATTTGACCTAGTATAAGGAACTGCGGGCAGCCTCCGTCGGAAATTCGAAGGAGCTTCGGCTCGGACCAACCACAAGCGGAACAGCCGCAGAAGATACAGGCACTACCAACCGTCTGTGAATTACTTGGAAAAGCGTTCATGCAGTGGTTGCAAGTGACTAAGGTACAGATATTCATGTCTGCGAAGTGAGTGCGCCAGTGCTGATCCCACCACTTCGTGGGTTCATGGAAACGGCTCTCTGCCATGCCGAGTGCTCGTTTGCATTCACGGATCCGTGAAAGGCACACCTTCTCCAAGTCACATAATTCCTCGTCCCAAGAACTTGGCAAACCTGCGTTTTGACAAGTGGAGATGATCGGCTTGAATTTGCTCTTCAGACTTGGTAGGCAGCCCTTGACGTAGCTTTCCACGGTTAGAGTGCTGCTGTTTGTTCGCTCACGCATCGCCCTTTTGTCATGGTTGAGGGAGCGGAACAAGGGGGTCGAGTGTGGGCCTTTGTCTATTGGTGGATGAAATGGGCATTGTACATTTTTACCCAATTTTGAGAAGAATTTGCAGCAATCACATTTTTGGATTTTCCCTACAGCTTTTCTGACATTCCGTCTACTCCTCATCCGGCAGAGGAATTTGCTGTTGTGTCCAAAATAGGGGAGAAGAGGGGAGTCATATAGCAAGCGTAGGGTCCTGATACGCGCGAAAGGACAGGCGATGGGATGATAACCTTTCATGGGTATAGACTCGTGGAAAGTTTTACATGTCAGCCAGAGCATTGTACGCTCAACAACAGGTAGGTGATCAGCGATCAAAAGGATGACATCCAGCGGAAGTGTGGTTAGTGAATATACCTTCGGCTGATAGGCCTTTTTGGATATGCTGAGTTTACCAAGGTCCGGTAGAATACACTGCAAGAGGCTCTGTTCTGAAGTACTAGGCACTGCTGAACTTTCCGATGAGGATTGCTGCATTGCGATTGCGGAAATACCTTTAACAGGGGCAATTTAAGAGATGGTAAGGACGAAGCAACCGTAGGCGGTGAAGTGATAATATTGCAAGGAAGAATATAAAAATAAAAAAACAGGTGATTCGTGGATGTCGGCGGGCCTGGCTACGAGAAAGAAGTATTGGGGAAAAAATAAACAACTGCTGGAGTCAATAACTCGTGATTGTAGAAAGGACGGAAGTGCATGAGGAAATGAAAGGAAGAAGGGGATTAGGAATTTAAGGGAGCTTCTTAAATAGGTGGAAATTATACCAATGACGACAGCGCTACCACACTATTCCAAAACATGTGGCCACAACTACTGGTGGTGGCGTCCAGATTCTTATATAAGTACCATGATATTGGTATCTGAACCATGGGAGCCAACAGTGTGATCCTTGGTTCGGATACATCCGCGATGCAACGTCATAGTGTGAACAGAGTCAATTGAACGGTCAATCGTTACAAACTGGCTGATTCTGGAGGTATATCAGATAAGGATGTGGCTTTAGCATAGGCCAGAGGCGTCAAACTCCATGGCTGACTTCGACCCATTAAAAGCAGACTGCGTGTCTTGCTGAATGCTGTTTTTGAGCAAGCTTTGTATAGGAACTTATCTGGTATCTCCGGTAATATATTAGGATATAATTCAAGAAAACGACCAACTGTAATATTTTATATATATTCAAGCTCAATGCTGTTGATACTGGACTTTTCATCTTTGATGTTTGTTGATTGTTCACATTGATTGGATGACGTCAAAATAGAAATGCGGATAATCGTTGACCCACCAGCTTAAAGTGCTTAGTCATCGGTTAAGCTTATTCATCTTTTTCTTGTCTATTTTTATTTTTCTCCTGTCCCCTGAAGGTCAAGTCAAGTCACAGCCATGTACTCCGGAGACCATCGCATGACTGAGCTCTTAGGTACTGCACTTCTTGCTCAGCCTATCCTGGCAGTGCTCAGCCGCGCTGCAGCCGTTAAGATGGCATGTATACGGAGTACCTGCTGTGTTGTCTACAATTATTATCTCTAATCATTCCTCCGGTACGTACCCCTGTACCCTCCCTTTGAACCCCCGCGTCGCAGCCATGCCTTACTCGTGAAATGCAGTGCGACCAAGGAGGAAGGGTGAACTGTCATGTATATCCACAGTCTGGAAGCCAGTGTAACCTAATCCGCGGGGGGTGCAGAGGCTGGCCTCGAACCGCATAGGATTCCGGCTGCCGAGGCTATTAAAATCACAATATTGGAGGGCTTTCTCCCAGGGATGTCGGCCAATTTCAACAATACCTTGGGCGCCTGTTCGATTTACTGGTCAATTCCGAATAATCAGATAACCCCTCTGGTTCTCGTTTCTTTTCGTCGTCTCTGAAATGAGCAATGAGGAGGCGGTCAGGGCGTTGACTGTCACAACGGGAGATCCTTGTAGGTTCATAGTTGCTTTTTGCATTTCGTGTTCCACAGTCATAGTTACCTCAAAATTTTCTCCTCTTAATGCTTTGATAGACGCCGTCTCTCCGGCATCCTGCACATTGCTCGAGCAAGAACTCGACTCCGTTGTGGCCGTAGACGATTTGGTATAATGGCCGTGAATTGCAAGAAGCCCTGGGGCTATCAGTGGCGGTCCTCCAAGAGCTTTATCATTTTTATCATAGTCCTGGCCTTATTTGCTGGTATGTGCAGAGATTATCATTCGCTAGTGCTCTTTATCTTGAGTGTTTCTGACGTAGTCTGCTTTTATCTCTAGACACATTTCTGTATGGATTCATCGTCCCTATTCTGAGCTACATGCTCGAAGTCCGTCTAAATATCGACCCATCGCGAACACAAGACCTCTCCTCGTCGCTCCTCTCCATCCACGGTTTCGTGGCTTTGGTCTCAGCGCCCATCGTCGCCCATTTTGCAGACAAGACGCCAAATAGAAAAATACCACTGTTGATAGCGCTGGCAGCATGCGCCATCGGAACGGTACTAGTTGCCTGTACCCCTTCCCGTAAGTTCAATTATCAAAGAGACATATGCCATAAGAGTAGGTTGCTGATGTAGGTTCATAGTTTGGGGGCTCTTTGCCGGTAGAATGCTACAAGGAGCCGCCGGCTGTGCCACATGGATTGTGGGATTCGCTACGCTAGTGGATAATGTTGGAACTGACAAGATAGGGCAGACCATGGGTCTCTCGATGTCCTTTGTCATGGCCGGCGTTGTCCTTGGGCCGGTGGTTGCTGGATCCCTGTTGCAACTCATAGGATACTGGGCTACTTGGTCGGTTCCTCTGCTTATTATATGCTTCGATATCATCGCCCGTCTACTCATGATTGAGGGAAAGAAGCAATCAGAAGAGCGTCATGATCAATCACTGAATCAACCAGCCGACACCCCGGCTGATGAACAGACCTCCCTGCTTCAGCCAAGCGAAAGCAGCCGGCAATCATCCAGTGTAGATGAACCGGCCAAGGCAGATGTTGAGAAACCGGCATCTTCCCGTGGTTTCTACCTTACGACACTGAGCGATATCCGTGTAGTGGTAGGCCTTGCAAGCGTGCTTACCATGTCTTCCATAATATGTGCATTTGACGCGACCCTGCCGCTCCATCTAAGAAAGATATTCAATTGGGGCAGTTTGCCCGTCGGAATGACGTTCCTTGCCCTGCAGATACCCGTTATGCTCCTCGGTGCTGCGTCTGGATGGCTTCGTGACCGGGTAGGACTCAAATATCCCACTGCAATAGGCTGGGCCCTTCAAGCTCCACTAATATGGCTTATGGGTGTCCCGGGAGATAGTCATTTCCCGTGGGCCGGCGCCGATAATAATGGACAGGCCATCTTTGTGTCTGCCATTGTGGGAGTTGGAACTGCTTCCACCCTGATTCGTGGTGCTGGCGTTCTCCAGATGACTAGTATGTTGACAAAATGCTCTGTTTTGCTGCTGTTTATTATTGTCATGTACTAATGAGTCTCTATCTCCAGTGGTTGTGACTGAGCTGCAGACCAAAAATCCAAAGATATTTGGAGAGCATGGAGGTAACTCTCGAATCTCCTCCATGACAGAAGTAGCTTTCAGCCTTGGAATGGTCATTGGACCTGCTGTCTCGGGTGCGTTGACTGAGTTGATAGGATACTACTATATGAGTTTTGTCTTTTGTGAGTACACTTCCATTACCCCTTATTAATCTTTATACTAATACGTCAGTAGGCGCACTATCCGTGATTCTCGCATTTTCCACTTTCCTCGTATTTGATGACAAGCGTCCTGCTGAGCGTCCGGAGGATGTCTAGACATGCTGTTTTTCTGTATGTTTTAATGAATTAATATGCCGTCTTGCGCAGCGTCAACATGGAATAGGGCATTACATAGACGTTGCCTTTTGAGTATAGTCCAACTGTACTCATGGATTTGATGCATTAATGATACCCAGGCTACAGCACTGCTGCGATAGCTACGAGACCTGGCTCCATTTCCAATTAGAAGATGTTGGCTATATCATGATGTTTGCATCGAAGAAAAAACTGCCACATTTGTTCTTATTGTGGTTGAGAAGACTTACATCATTAATCAACAGAACACGGCGGGGCATACTAGGCTCTGAGGCTGTATCGCGGATGTCATAATGCTGACCGGAATACCAAGGAGCAAGGAAGAAGACAACTGTGGGAAGATGATGAACAGAAGAGAACAGATGCAAGAGCAGCTTCAGACTTATAAGCTTATTATCGGGCTTAGATTAGACTAAATATATAAATGCTATAGGTTTTAAAGGACTAGTGATGTATAGTTGAATAATATAAAATGGGAATAGTCAGTTAAATTTCTAATATCTAATCAAAATATATTATAAAAGCAATATATAGAATAAACATCACGTAGCCAAAGTGGAAAGGTTGTTGAGGGCAAGAGGGATGCGCACCTCTTAGTCCTGCTCAGTAACGGAGGGTAGAGCGGATGCTCCCACGGCCAGTATAGTAGTAGCAGCAGCCCCTGTAGTAGCCTGCGTGGTTATAACCCACCGTGCCACACCACTGCGCTTATTTTTAAAGGATTATTTGCCCTAGGGCTTTAGAAAAAAAACAACCACATCTTACATCCTCATCAACCTCCGAATGCATAGGTTTTAAGACTTTTAAATCAGTACATTCTGTCTGTACTGCAGTGAATAATTGGCTCCTAAGACCTTAGATACACAAGGTCTTGCTAGAGAGCCCTCATTCCTTTGTTTCTTGCTCCGCGAACCCTTACCACCAGTTGGCCATTCCAGATCTTTGGCGTATTCCTTCTGTAGTTGACGGCCTCCCACGCCGTCCAGATCTTAAGATGTTTGTTTGTATGGCGAGCATAGCTTCGTCTCCAAGTATCTGACTCAAATAGGTCCAGGCAGTTGGAGTCTTGTAGCTCCTGTAACCTCCCATAAATCTGAATAGCAGTAGGCAGCCATCTCTGGCCGAACGTGCTCAGGGCCAATTCCACCAGTTGCTCAACGATCCTTGGATAGTTGCGTTGGCCGCACGGTTCTTCAGCTAGGCCCAAGTCAAAAGTCAGTAGATTGTAGTCAGCGATGGAATAAGTCTTCAGTCCTGCCTCAGCAGGCTCTCGGTCGTCAGCCTCGCTAGAGGTGTTTGGACTGGATGTTGAGTAGTTAGCCAATAACCAACTAGAGCGTCTGACACAGATCCGAGTCCGGAAAGCTGTCATTATAGTGGTTTGGTGCTGGCATCATATCTCAGCTGTTCAGCATGTGCGGAAGGCGCGGAGATAGCTTTTGCTGTGTCGGAGGGATGTCTTGACCAATGATGGCGCCGGTATTGAATGGGATTCTGGATGTCATTGTGCGGCGGATAATGCGCGGCAGCAGGGAAATGCATAGGGGACGGAGGCGTATCTGTTAGCAAGTCCGCTAGGCGAAGTTGGCTCAGGGATAAGGTCTCTGTGTGCCGCTGATTATTGTCTGGAAGATTTCGAGGCAGCATAACTTTTCTGGTAGTGACAACATAGACTTAGAAATGACTTTCTCTTTGCAGAGCTCTGTTGGCAGGTCAATGTTTGTCGAATAATATTGGATATCAATCCCAGTCTCTTCCAAATGCTGTGCTTTCGCAACATTGTTTGTTAACAATATCTGATTGACCTGCTTTGGTACGGTCAATTCCTGGCAGTATTTCGGTGCAGTCAGCGCTTTTTCTGAGGGACCACTTCTTCCCTAGGATTGAGTGGGCTCGACTCAGGCTGTCTTTCAAGAAGTTTAAACTATTTGTTCCCGAAGTTACTGCGTTAGGCGTGAGACACCAGGTCGGCGGCCACTTGTCTGTCCTACCCGAGAGAGTATCCAAATTATATAACTGGCCCACTCCCACATCCAGGACCTCGTTACTCCCAGGGCAGAGAGAAAAATAGCGATTCAAGAGCCGCAAGGTAGTCCATCTTTCGCTCGGCTTCTGGTCAATTTGCAGCTACCTAGGTTATGATGATATGCCTGCGTGCCGAGCCTGACGCAGCTGGTCCTGCTGGAGTGAATTAAATAGCGAAATAATCAAATAGGTAGACTCCCAATAAATGGTATGGCCTCATCGCACCAGCTTTTGGTTAGTTATAACTATTTGTGAAAGAGACGCCCACCCCAGAGGTAAGGGGGAAGAAACAGCAGAAGATAGACCTTCTGTTCAGTAGCCATATAATTCTCTTGGGCTAGACGGAGCCACAGGCCTCACTTGAGGATGGGTAGTTGTTCTGTATACCACTAGGGTTGATGTGAGACGTTTTCATGCCTTATTTTATGGTTGGTAATAGGCAGAGGAGATAAGCCTCTTAATTGCTAGGCGTGCTCGGGGGATTCCGGGTCATAAGCACTGGTATAGATAGTACTGGCTTAGGACATATTTAGTCCTCCTAGGCACCCTTATATTGCGGATGGTTCTTTGGTATTGGGTTCTTTCCACCATAGGCTGTAAGGAGGCATGTGGCTTGTGACGCGACGTCCGGTGCTGCTGACATGCGTGACAGTGCTGCAGATACCGACGTAAAAGTTTGGAACACTGGTAGATGCTAAGATGCAGTAGGCGAGGACGACATTTATCGTATCCTTGGTGTGAGTTGTTGTCGTGGACAATGTGAATCAGACCAAGAATCTCCATGCATCAAAACTCGCGATTTGTTGTTGATGGTCGCTTGTAGTATCGATGTCTTTAGTCAAAGCGAGAGTGCGTTTCCTGGACGTCTCGTCTAGTTTAAAACTCCTCTAGTAGGGTAGTATATATTGCTTTCATGGCCTCCATTAAGCCATGGGAGTTAAGGAGTAAATAACTTATCCTCGTTGGGTAATTCAAGTAACCAAAAGGTGGTCCATGGCGCTAGATGTATATTCACAGCATCAGTCTCAGTTATATCGCCTGCCGTAATCGGTTGCCCGAGGGCCGCCGGGCTCAAAAGCTGCGGTGGCCCCTCCTCTCTTCTTCTTAGTGATTCAGTGGTGAATCTCTCAACCTCGCTTCGGATTTCGTGTTTGTCACTGGCCGGCGCCGGCTAACGTAGCCCAACAAATCGCCGCATTTGTTCGCAAGCAGAGTTGCAGAGAGAATCCAGATCGAGGTATATCTCATCTTTCTGCATAGTTGATGATATTTCGACTTGATGTTCTTCAGAAAGTGTCCTTCATCAGCAATCACTCTCTGAAAAATCCCCTGGTAAAGCTTAGTCTCTACATAAAATCATCAGGCTAGCATTAGTTATTGGCACACTCGCACATTTGATGTGCAGATCAAACACAGCTATAACTGGGGTGTGTTGAGACTTACCCTCGTACGTTCTAGCGTACCAAGTTGCATATGTAGTAACTACGACTATATTTGCGGTCTTGATGTTGTTGTAACTCAGGGACAATGGCCGCCAACTCCTCCATTGAAACCACCATGAACAATCGACGGGTGAAGCCACAATGATGTCCAAAAGTTTGGCGGTGTAATTTTCAGCAAATTCGTTCACATATTCCACCCTACTATTATGTTCGATCCTCGACGGTATTCCAATTGACGCCACATACTCATCAAAGGATGTGAACGTAGTGACGGCGGGTAAGTTGATCGGGGGATGTTCTTCTCGAGGACGAAACTGTTGCTTCCGGCCTGCACAAAGAGTCTCTGTCTTCGTTTCTATCTTCTGGAAACCATGCAAGAAGAGGATTGTTCGAAAGTTGGGTTTTACCCCCGTTTCTTGTTTGAAACACCCCCACGGCTAACCGAGCAGGAGTAGGAGCGGAAGCACTGCCTTGGAAGACGCGCCTACCCAGTTACTAGAGTAGCTTTTATAACAACTTTGACGGGGCCAATAAATTGGATATCACACCAGAAAGCTCACCGTTTCTTCAACACTTTCCTTATAGTGAGCTGCCGGGCCAGGCTCAGTTTCCAGTTTAGAAAATATCCCCCCTAGCTGACCTACACTTCGGACACACTCAACATGTTATTTCCGCGTTGGCATATGGCGGCGTGGAGCATATTCCAAATGGCCTCTGGCCAGCCACTTTCGTCTTCAAAAGATGGTTAAGCTGTATTTGCTCTTCTGTAAGCTGCCAAAAGAGCAAGCCTGAGAGGCATTGCCTGGATCCTGCTGGTCGTCTTTGGGGACTGGTTTGGATTGGACTCGTGCGCGGGCATACCATGTTCCGTAGGCTGTGAGAACGACCGTACGCGCCGTCTCAATGTCTTCCGAGTTTGCTTTCAGAGAGGTCATTAAGACCCCAAATTCTTCCGCATCAATGGTATGCGCTGCTTTAGTGGGATCTCTGGTCGTTTTACGTGATCTGTGATAGATCAACACCTTGAGTTCTGAAAAGAATCTTCTTGCTTCGTCTAACCACACGGACAGCACACTAGCACCCACTACCACAAGGGTAGGGGTGTACTTGCCGACACTGGTCAAGAGGAAGGTGACACGTCTTTTGGGTCAGCCCTCGGTGTCATTATCGACAGTAGTAACCACGACGCACTTTTCGAAGGGGCCATTTCCAACAGTGCCGCCAAAAAGAGGAACAAGTCCTTCCCCTTATAGTGAGAAACTGGAGACACCCTATCCCAATAATATGGGGCCAATTTAGCCTTGATAACCCTAGAATAGCCCCCAATTCGAGCCGCATCAGATCGGGCAGCATGGAATGGAGCTATAACCTTATCGCAGATAGCTCTTCTTGAGATGCAACTTCGGCTGTGTTTCCTTGACAGTATCCTCTAAAGTGAGGTTTATCGAATATCATGTCCTGCGTAGAGGAGGTCTTTATCCTGACACACGGCAGCTGTGTTTCAACCTCTTTTTATCCACAGGAGGAGGTTAGCAGTCGTGGCTATGGATGGCAGCAACCGCCGAGCTAAGTTGAGCGTAGAGTGGACTCACGCCATGAACGTCTTCCCGGTTTTCCAGATTCTCGACATTAGCTGATATCGTTTCACTAACCACCAAATGCGATCCATCTAGCAACTATCTGTCCATTGCTCCCGCCTGTAGCGGGGAAATTCCGTGCAGCCATGTAGGTGTCCAACATTACACGGGAGATTCGGGCGGCAAAAAGGAAAGAAACAAAACCACCGAGTGAAACCTCCGTTAGGTGGTAAATATAGCGGGTATTCTGGGTAGAGGTAATCCTCTTGGGGGACTGCATTGTAGGGACACACCGTAAAGTGGTCAATGCCAACGTGGTAGAAACGCTACCAAATTATAATGGACCGTTCCCATTTGTGGGATATGGGTATCGCTTGCTGAGTGTGGACTTTCTGGTTGAATAGCATACTAGACACTATCTATAGCAGATGAAATAACCGCAAACGTAATCTTCTGGACACCAAGAAAACACGGCAAGGGCGTGAGTCCAAAATAATGCCACAAATTGGTATAAATGTCAAAGTAAATGTCAACCTAAATGTGTCAAAATATAGCCCCAACATGCTGACCACTGGTGTGGATTCTCTCTTCGGCCCACTGGGTTTATTCTTCAAACAGTTCCGCTACCCTAGACCGGTTAATAATATCCCACTAAGAGTTTGGAAGGCTAGGTAACATACCCTCATGTACAAAGTCTAAGACACTATAACCACCTGCCTCTATTTTAGATTCAATCTTAAGTCCATAGACATAGAATGCGTTCTCTAAGTTTGTGGATGGTGTCTCGGCAAACGGACCCCATATAAGATCAGCCCTCGCAACTTCAACTTAAAGGTCAAACCTTTTAAGAGCACTATCGATATCAAAAGCCACTCAATCGCGCGTACGGATAGCCAATACTCTTAATAAGATAGACGCTTTAATCACTATTGTATTAATGGTAACCTCCTCCTAATATTCTTTCTTTAGAAGCATCACTGCTTTCCAGTTTATCTCAAAAGAAACTAGTTGATGAATAATGGCGTATTGTATCTGGCTCTATTCATAAATTAGTTGGTTTGGAGTATCAGGGGGGAAGCTTTTCATGCGAGTACTTACTCCATGAGCATTCACATGCTGCAGTTTTGTACTTGCAGTTCGCACATGAATTTTCAATTGAAGCGTCGTTCAGTCGTTTTGATAAGATGCCGAATTCAGTTGAGGGAGCAACGAGCAAGGGAGTGTGTTTGCAAGAAACGAGATGTGAGTGAACTGTCTTGAATCTCAATATATCAGAAAAGATTTTCGTCCACGCCGAGTCGTAGCTGGATCTTCCCATTCCTTATGTCTAGTACTTGTATTCCGCATAACATGGTCATGTGTATGGTTGTGCCACAATAGCTTCGGTCCACGAAAGCTTCGATCCAGTATACCTGAAGAATGGTAGCAACGATTACTCTGTATCATCTTTAGGAGTAAGTAAAACCGACGAGGGTATATGCTGTGGGAACTGGGACAATGTTCTATGCCTCAGTCTCAAATAAATGTTGGGCCATGTCTGTGATGCAACCCAGGCCATCCGCCAGACGATCAAAGTCGGAGTCAATGCGTCCATCGCATTTACATCACTTGAATGGAAAGGATGGGGAATGCGAGCCCTTCGATGTAGTTAAAGGTGAAACATTATGAAATTCGAAGGAGAGCTCATTGCCATTTCGTCTCATAGTCGCAGTGGCTGATGAATCGTAAAATGGTTTATCGTCCAGTGCTGAATTAGGGCTTCGAAAAGCTGTCTCATGACGGAAGGGGTATCTCTCTGTAGCTATGAATTGAATGGAAGGCCTTGACATACTCATCATGCGACAATATGTCACGAGAACCAGTACGACGAGTAGAAACTCGGACATCACCCTCTTTACTACCGAGTGTAGTAACTGGAATGTCCTTAATATTGGGCGACAGGTGAAGGGCAGAGAAAACGTGGGACTTGCTGCATGGGCTGCAAGTGCTACCGCTATCGTTACTTCATCTTGAGTATGGCTGCAGGGCGAGTGTCCTGTGGATATCGTCGCTCTCGACCCATTCTGACTTGAAGATGGGAGAGAGGTATCCAAGGATGTCCGAGGCTCTGTTTATGAACGGTATGGCCGTCAGGAGCCAGATGTGGCGGTGCCTCATCCTTAACTATAGGCGATGATGCATGCGGGGCCCGAGGGAAGTCTCTGTGGCAGTTCCAGGCTCCCTCAACCGACTGCGTTTTGAGGTGTTATCTGTGCCAGTTTGGTTATCAGCGTTAGTGCTATTGCTTATGTTCTGTGGTCGCTTTCTATCTGCTAACAATAGTAAACTGTAGCGCCTGTAAGGGAATTGGTAAGGCTTCGGATTGTCCGTAGAATAGCTGATCGCCAACTGTGATAATTAAGGATACGTGAATCATTATGGTAGACTGCTAGTGTTGAAGTATCCAGATTCGGCTGTTCCGAGCTGTTTATATGGTTATAGTCTTCCACCACCCATTCTCGCCACTTGTTCCAGCCTTATTCTTTTGGAAGAAAATCTGTAGTAATGTTTGCCGTAATACCTGGGCTGTTATATTTTCCATATTGGGTTGGAAGGTCGGCTACGAGAGTGGCCGTTACTTCATGCCCATCACTATCTTGAGCGACAAGCGTCCACTCGTCATACATCGTGATCTAGCGATCAACTTGTACGGCCTGCTTGGGTATAGCCCGGAAATATAGCAGGTGCAGCTCTTACCAGTGCCACGTTGGACCAGGTATTCAGAATTGTAAGGGAGTGACACAAGATGCTGTCGATGACACAGGAGACTCAACACAGTTCCTTGCTAATGTGAACGTGGAGGACTAATTGCTGGTTGAAAAACCGTCGTGGCTCGGCCATATCAGTTTCTTACAAATTCTCATTTCCTTGGGATGTGGAAGCGGTTATATTAACGATTGCCGGCCAGATATATCCTTCCCAGCACTGCCTCTAGCCACCAGTGGGCGTCCATGGCTAGTTTTTCTATGCTTTCTGATAACCCGATCTCTATTACTAGAGATAGCTATCTATCTCCTTTGGGTATGAAACTGCCGTCTGGTTCTTTGGTCGATTTTTTATTTATACTATTTGGGCTTTCTATCCTTGTCGCACCACGGTAGGTGTAGATCTTCCCCATTTGATCGATACCATCCTAGATATATTTTACGAGCCCCATGCTCAATATTTCGTATGGTAGACGTACCATAGTTTCAGCGACTGCAAGGCTTTCGTTAAGATTGATAGAGAAGCGCGGGGGTTTGTCACCGTAGAATTCGTCGACGTCGGCAATAAAAGTAGAACTCTCGCGGGTATAACTTCGAGCATACCGGGGGTAGTTATGTATCGACGACTCGAGGGTATCTGTGATCCTTTGAGTGATAAATGCCTTTGTAATAGGGAGATTTTTCATTAGCATCTCTCAAATGTGTGAGCCAAAAGAGTGAGCCCACACCAGTGGCCAGCATGTTGAAGCTATGTTTGGATGGTGGTGCTGTTCTCCATGTTCTTTCCGCGATCTCAATCAAAGTACGTCTCGCAATAATGATATCTTTCTCTCTTTGGGTCTCCTTTGAGTGTTTTCTGCCCATATCCGTTTTCTGGTTTTATTGAAAGTTCAGGTCGGTAGAGGGTTGGTACTTTGTGGCGATCAGTATACTACCACCAGCGTCTGTACCGCACCAAGGATGTCACTCTTGAGTAAGTCCCCTAATCTTTGCAGGAGTTCAAGCTTTCGGCTTGAAAGGAACTCTGCGCTTGGTCCCGAGTCGCGCATTGTCTCGGCCACTTTGAAGAGATAAATGCTGCGACTATGAGCGTTGTGTGTGGCGATAATCGTGAGAAGGTAGTGACGGAAAGAAATGGAACAGAAGAGAGAGTAAGGGGGGCGACTTGCGAGGTGCAAAAAGGAAAGTCACAGTGCAACCAAAACACAGGAAGTCGAGCTACACCCAAGATCGAGCTGCTGAAGATTTTCCTTTATCTTACAGTAGATCTGGTCCGCCGACCGATTTGCGCCACATCAATAATAAGGGCAACCGGTGGAAATGGGCAGGGGTAATTTCCTGATTGCTGTGTATAGGTTCACCTCCGGAGGTGAATTCGTCCTGGAATACGCGATCACAGAGTATATTTCATCGGCTTGTACCCTCGGACCATTCCATTTGCATATTTTCCTTTCGATGTGAGTGTCGAGGGTTTGTCGCTTCTCTTAATAGTTGATCAGAGGCCGGCTGGAGAAAATCGTTCTTCACGTTAGTTACGGCAGTCTTTATCCACTAGCCGCTTTCGAGTGTTTAAGATGCTCTCGACCTTCTTTGTCTGTGCCTTCCCAGGGGTGAGGCCTGTGTTAACAAAGGCATCAATTCGGTTCAGTAGATGTCAAAGGAAGCAACATTCTCAGCACAAGGCTGTTTCAGGTGGTGGTGACAAGTCTGTCAATTTCATTGAGTAATAGTAGCAATCGAATGAGTTTGTATATTTCTTGTTCAAAGTCCTGACCCAAGCGTTGAACACGGCCCATCGCCGAGACGCCCGCGGTCATGAGCCTGCCATTCGTGCGGGCTTGCTCTTTTGACTTGGATGGTATATTTGACATAATTTTGTCGAGCAAATTGAATGTTTTCAGAATGATGTCGCACCTCAATTGATCTAGTCGGAGCCTGGACGTACAACAGGTAGTATGTGGGGTCCTGTCGCATGAGTTGTTGGCCCAGTGATTGATACATGCTCCTACACCAGCCGTAGCTGGGCTTTCCATTGACGAGACGTTGATGCCACAGATACATATCGAACTCCTTGAAAACATTAAAGATGGCGGCGACATCAGCGCTAAGGAGCATAATTCGGGTGAAGCAGCAATCACATATATCCATCGTTGCGTTTTATACAACGCAGATATCGTCGTATGCAAAATACACGGCCGGATGTTATACTGTCATTTTTCAGCCGGGAGAATAACGAAACCTGAGCCTGCCCGCCTGCACCACTTTGTTGAAGATACGAACTAACATATGGCTGTAGCTGGTGGGGATCTCCAACTAAAACATACTTACTGGCTTGGTAACCTGTAAGTATATTTAACGTTGCCGACTCTCGAGCATTGACAGCTTCATCAAGAACATGATGCTCGTCCAAGCCGGGTCGTCATTTGTGGTGGCTGAATCAAGTTTTCAACAGTTCATGAGACCTGGGGTACTGGAAGTATCATCTCCCTTCCGGTCCGCCTGTTATCTCCTGGTATTTGCGGCTTTTATTGACTGTGTCTCCGTCTCTATGGCCTATCAACCTGGTCACAGAAAGGCAGGCACTGGAACCATTGCTTTCCCTTAGCTAAAGCCAGAGGCAGGGGCTAGATACTAGTACCCTGCATAGCTGTTGACAAGCTCTAAAGGCCCACGAACGTAACGGGAAGATGTGTGCCACATCAATCACAGGAGATGGGCCATCACACATCTAGCCCTCTCGGTATTGTTATTGCTTCGGCAAGAAAGGTTGAGATAGATGGGGGAGGTAATGTAGAATGATATCCGCTTTTAGGTAACAATCCTGTTGCCGTGGAGTAACGAATAGAGTGATCCAGCTGCAGCGTTAGGCACCAGCCAGTGGAGGCCATTTACTGGTCATTACCGCAGATATCAGGCTGAGGCTTAGGTCAAGTAAGAGAGGGAAAGGGTTTATGGTCATCTCCTTGATTATCGATGCTTCAAGCCAACAGTGAGCATCATTGATAAGCCACCTTTTTTAGTATGATACTATGATATGAAAGCGGAGGAAGCCATCGACAAACCAAAAGGTAACCCGTCTCTCTCTTTGGCATCTAGGGTTTGACCGTGCTGTTTATTCGTGTGTATTGTTGTGGTTTGTGGAGAGATCTGCTGTGGTAGTCGCCGGTTGATAGGTGCAGGGCCTGCATTGACGATATAGTTGCTGCATCTCAGACGCTAGAAGAACACGAACAACACCCGTATGAAGTACTCTCTACTCTTGAGGGGTACGGCGTGTCGTTGCAACCATCCAAATCTGAAGAGTGGTCAGTGGAAGCATAAACCGACGAGTTGGCTGTTGGTTGTAGGTGAGGCAAACAAGAGGTCCAATCTGAGTCGTGACCCGCCTGGGCAAAGTGATAAGGTAGCATTATCTCGACCGTTTGGTTCGTCGGCCTGTGGGTCCCTGGCCGTTGAGTAGAAGGTCAGGATCCACCAAACGCCTCCGAGGGGTAACGATGGGAGCTGGGGGAGCGGCGGCAGCAGGGGTAGAACCGTTACCACTGCGAGTAATCTGACCACCGGACCGGGGAGTTAGGGAGAAGAGAGTAGGGATCGTAGCATGTGTATCATTAATGCTAGTGGCGACTGTATGATCTCTCGTAGTGATGCTGTATTTGGACAATCCTTCATATAACCAGCAATAAGAGATTGTCTCGATAGAACTTTAGTAGAATATCCAATAACCCCAATCCCTGGTGGGTTATTCTTTCTGGCATTCTGGGCGGAATAAGGTACCCAAGAAGCGTGGAACGGACCGTAGGGTATACGCTGGTATCTTCATTCTAGCTGTAGATTCCTCGAGCTGAGAAGCTGAGGTTGGTTGCTTCAACTTCAATTCGCACAGGCCAAGTAAGTGGATGGGGACAAAGGCCTCCATTATAGACCCAGAAGAATTCCAGGTTGTATACGCATTTTAGGGCTGGCGATTGCCGTCTGCAATAGTAGACATAAGCGATCAATTCAACCAGGAGCACAGTAGCATATTCATGTGCAGACAAAACACGGCTGTACTTGGACTTGGGGGGTTGAGACTTACCCTCGTATGTTCTTGTGTACCACGTGGCGTAGACAGTCACTACCACGGTTCGCCCGGTCTTGAACTCCTCTTTTTCCATCACTAAAGACCTCTCGACCACGTCTGCGGTTGACTTGGATCCGTGGATCTCTGGGGTATACAGGGTATATTTGGGGTATACATGTGTGCGCCGGAAGGGATGCATTTACTTATCTCTCCATTGGTTTTCTCACACATCGTGTTCAGGTACTCGGCAACGGAATTGGTTTTTGGTGTTGAGTAGTACCTTTGCCTCCTGTATCCAAACTGAAATCACTGGCACATGGACCACAACAAGCGTAGAATGGAAAGGGGGACCCTTCTGGGCTTGAATATAGATGAGAGATAGGGCCTACAATGTCTTTCCCAGACCGCATCCGTCATTAAGGATTCCGCTTTTGACATGGCCATCCTCTTGTGATTGCCATCTGGAATAGCAGGTATTGTCCTTAGACTAGTGATCAACAAAAGCTAAGGCAGGGAGACCCATCACTACACCTGTTATAGCCTGAGAGTGGTGATTTGTGTGAGAAGCATAAGATCTCTTCCAGGTATCCGATTCGAACAAGTGAATGCAATTGTAATCCATGAGCTCATCCAATCTCTTGTAGATCCGGCTCAAAGTAAGGGAGCGGGAAAACTGTCAAAACGGCTGAGCCAAAAAGAGTGAGCCCACACTAGTGGCCAGCATGTTGAAGCTGTATATTTGACAGGAATTCTCCCATGGCACCTGAAGCGCAGTCGGATAATTCTGCGGGACCGAATCAGCCGTCAAATCGGTATAACTCGTCTCTCTGCTACCAACAGACTATTTCCACAAGGATGGAATCATGGAAATTGTAGAGGCAAAGCACTCAAGGGCGGCTAGATAGATAGCCCATAGTCCGCTAGTTATGTCGATAACGGTGATTCTGGAAGGCTGGGGATAGTAGGCTCCCCTGTCACTCTCGTGGCGCCGTTTTTGTGAACCACCTCAATTGATTGCACTACTGACACGTTTGCCTAATGAGAACGGGTTCAGCCCTTTCTTGTCTTCTGATAACTCACTAGATGAATCAGCTTTTTGGGCAGTATCGTAGGAAGCTATAAGAAAGCTGCATCTTCTTCCCGAACACAGGGAAATTATCATCTTCTTTGCTGCAGATTGACGACGCTAGGTCCAAAGTTCTGGGCATAGCAAAGTGCGATCCACCACTGGGGTGATTATTATAACTAGTGGAGGTGCGAGAAGGGGTCGGCTCAGGCAGTGTGTTCGTGTTCATCTGAGCCGCCATTTGGTGCATTATAGATTCCATCCGAGTACTTTGGGGTTAGCAGCCTCAAAACTGAGATACCAATTGGCATCTGCAGTTCCCCTAATGTTGAATTGCGCTTCGTAAAGGGTGAATACTGGTTGCCCGGCAGCGGGCCCAATATTATCAGAGATAGAAGTCTTGACAGAAGACGCAGTGAGATTATTGATGGTAGTTATGCGCCTATCGAAGACATCAACCATGCATGGCTCACTCCATGGACGGCCGCCTGTTCATAGGCCTTCATTGTCCCCATAGTGACTTCAGGCTCTGCGTCAGTGTGAGTGCTTGCTGCCATGGCTGTAAGGCTATGATACATACTTCGGCACCAATCGTAATTAGGTTTCTCATTGACAAGGCGCTGGTTGACCTTCGACATATCTTGTTGCTGCACACACGCCTCTTGATATCCATCCCGACTTATCGAGGACCAAAAATACCCATTCTCGGGTACCTCGGACAACCTCTTCCATGTTGTACCGGCAGAGCAGAGACACCTATCTCAGCGGCGCTCGTTCTCAGTATGGCCTTCAGCTGCTCTACTGTTGGAAAGGCAAGCCTTCAGCTCTCTCAGTCCAGTGCTGCAGTAGAACTACTGGAAGCTTAAGGCAAGAAGCGCCATACCCGTTGGAAGTAGTTATAGGACGGCCCAGTTCATGTAGACGCAGTCTATACTGCCCCAGCTTCGGCTGTATAATGTGGTCAAGAGATTGCAAGGACAGAAGTAACACCCGCGAGTAGTCCACACATGCGGCCAGATTGCCCTAGAAAACAGCTGCTATTCTCCTACGGAGCAATGGAACGACGTAATAGAGAACTGAAGGCTGAGAAACGCAAGGAGGGAATAAAGGTTGTGTCGCTGTTCGGGACAGAACCTGACACATCATCATGCATCTTGCGGGCAATAATGCAACAGCATCCAGTATTGGACTCGCAGTGATATTTTGTTGGACCACAAGGGACAAAAAGGCCTGATGCCCCAAACCCGCTTAACTCCAATCTCATGTTGGGTGTTTCGATGCCCAAGTTTGCACAGCAAAATGCACTTGGCCAAAAAGTGTGCAAGGCATGGGGAACAATGGCGATTATAAAGGCCGCGCTGGATGTATTTTCTTCGACGTCCTTTGGAGAGGATGCAGTCCTGGTCTGTTCCGAGGACCTCCACAGAGCAGTGGCCCTCGTCTCCTACTTTAAAAACAGATATAAACCAGATGGGGAACGTCAGGCATCAGTTGCAGCGGCGCCAGTGACATACAGAGATGATGACAACAAAAAGGCGGATGATTCTAAAAATACGCTGACCCAGAGTAACAAGGAGGAAGAAGCATTCACTGTAGGTATTCTTGGGTAATGTGTGCGACTCTAACTAAAGTAGAATATCACAACATATTCCAAATTTTCTCCAAAGCTGGCCGCCGTCTCTGAATATTGGAAAGAAATTCTGGTCGCAGTTTCATAGTGCAGCGGAGTCATCTAGGGCTGGGTCGAGGACTGTTGCACAGTTTTTGGACGCACGTACAAGCATAGCTGCTTCAATATATGTTGTTGCAAGAAGAAGCATTTGATCGCACTTCATATTCCGTCGACAGGCTTCCATAGGCATTTGGAAATCTCCACGACATAGGGTCTTTGCAAATGTTTCCCTTCAATGTCTCTGGATCCGCTCGCGGAGATAGGTCTCTTTGACGAGAGAGAGATAGGATATCCAAGGAGAAGTCTCTACCTGCTGCCTGATGCCTGCGGGCTCATTCTTGAGTTGACGGGTAGTATTCATCGAGACTCGAGCACCACGAAGCCCCAAATAAATATGGGCGTGTAACATATTGTAGGATAAAATACTGGTAACTCAAACATTGGAGGCTCCTATGAGCATAATAGAGTATCAAATATGCCATTCAACAAGAAGAGCGAGCGCAGAACATGAACTTGGCGACTGATTTCAGCATTTTTAGATTCTCCCGGTTTGTTCCTGGAGCCAAATTTGACCCCGGTCTGACTTCTAATGAACCGGGCGGATGGCTCGTAAGAGACAGGCGAGTTTGAATCTTCCGATCAACTGCTCCTCTAACTGTTGGGGGCTTTGTGCATCTCTTGAAGAAACTATAAACCATTGCTGGGCTCTTTTTTGTGGAATTGTGTAGCTGGTAGCCAGCTACGTCTGCCGTTTGGTGGTATAACCGTTATCTCCAAGTATGTATATAGTTAATCCAGGACAGAAACCGCTTAGTAGTTAGGCCAGTGTCAAGATGTGCCAACCATTGCGAGGTATTGTTGCTGTCCATCGCATTCAGGAAAAACAAGCATTGGATCATCTCAGTGGACCTCAGTCCTGCACAGCCTCGGTGTCCTCAAACCCGCAGGCTTCCATCCATAACTGCGGTTATTTCCGCAAGTCATCTGCTGGAGGCCGGACACATATTGTCTAAGACACCATGTAGTGTCATGAAGTTGTCGTTTCCAATACCAATAGGCGTAACCCTAGAATGAACTATATATTGACTTAGAGAGTGCCAAGCCATGGTAGGTTTCTTTCCAACAAGCAGACGAGGATGGCATTTGTTGACGTAAAAACATTTATGGTGCGTGAAACACACGATAGACTGGGATCATTCCAGACCCCCAGTGCAAAGATGCTTGATAAGACGTTCTCTCTCTATACCAAATGAGGGCATCGTTCGGGATCTGAATGTGAAAACTAGATCCTGAAGAGAGAACCGGATTGGGGAAAGTATGGAAGGAGAATGAGGTTGGGGCAGCATTGTAGAGTGAACAGCTGCAGGGTCCATCAGTTCGTGTTGAGCTGGAGGAAGGCTCACGATCAGTGTCTGCGTAAACTGAATTTCAGGCTCTGCGGTAGATTGATTGGCGTCGCCAAAGGTGTCTGATATGGGCTTTGGCTTTAGGGGGGATTCTAGTAGTGGTGTAAGGATGATAAGAGCCCAGTGTATGTATATAGTACGCAGGGTCTTGTCTCATCAGCTGCTGTTCCAGAGAGTGGTGCATGTTGCGGTACCACCCATGTTATACACGACGCGCCATGACTCGACGATGATCTTGGTGGACTCAACGAGGGAGGCTTACGTTGCCTGGTACAATCTCTCTATAGAAACGAGTTGCCCATATTTCTGTGCCTTCAGCGACTTTCCCTGGAATACAACACATGTATTTAGAGAACTTGTCCGTGACAGTCATAATAGCGTTGAGTCTGTGAGACTTGGGTAAATGAACGATAAAGTCAATGGTTAAGGCATAGAATGGATATGGGGATGAAACTGGTTGGAGTTGTCCGTGAGGCTTGCAAAGATGTAGGCAAGGCAAAAATCAAGCCATTCAATCTTGAGGCAGATCGGAAGTGCACGAATCCTGGCCACTTCAAATGTTTCTCGTCCGAAAAACGCTGGGGCATTGAATCTCTGTAGACCATAGCAATCTTGCCATCTAGCGCTACTGGATACTGGATAGGTAGACGCCTGGGGCGCCTCTGTCTCCTCTGCGAGCCTGACAGTGCCCACACCTGCCGTCATAAGTATCTGGCTCGTCGCCTTTGGGGTTGCCATTGCCCATTGTCAACCTGCAGGCCGCCATCGGCGTTAAGGGAAATGACGCAAATACTAGAGCGTTAGGAGTATGTTGTTTGTGATGATAATAGCAGTGGACCTTGACGCCCGTAGAGCTCCCATTTTTAGGCTTTTAAGGGAGATCCTGAAATCGACGCCGATAAGATCGAGCGATGCTTTATCAGATATCCCATCAAACCGCGGGTTATGGTAGTTATCGCTACCAACAAGAAGAATATGTTGTTTTAGTTCTTCTGATCTTTCAGGCCTCACATCCGACAATCATTCATACGATGTTATCCTTCAGGCCGGCCCCCTGTTACTTCTTGGTGCGTAATGCAGGATATATTTGTTCTCGTTGCGCTAGATTGCTCATAAATAGGCGATCCAAGGAATCCAGAGCTGATAGGGTTATCGAGGACCGGCAAAGACCATAACGTTGACCTTCAAATGATTAAGACTCATTCATGTCGGAATATCCACTAGGACGTTTCTGGTTCCAAAAATATCCCACGCAGAGATAGATAGGGTGCTCGTCAATCCAAGTTGTGATAAGGATGCCATTTAAAATGTTAAAATGTATGCGTCGTCCGTCCAAAGTGTGAATTTAGGTTGGCCATTGGGTGTAGTCAGTCCTCCCTGAACATGGGTGTCTGCCACATGGTCTGCAATTCTGGATAAACGGGATTATCAAAACGACTCCCCGGGTAACAAATAGTGCAAAGGATAAGGCAATCGGGAGGTTCCACGCGATAATTATGGATATCCCGTATGGTTCTGTCAAGCAGGAAGTTCGTCGTGGTTAGGGGGCTAGCCAGTATCACGACATATGTTCGACACCAAAATTCCACTCCCTCGTGATAACTAAGTAGTTAACTATCGACAGGATAATTTTGCAATTTTAGTCTGGCGCAAAACATTCCTTGGTGCTGCTTTCGATGAAGGCCCTCCTCGTGGATGTAGATCGTTGCTAAGGCGGAGAAGGGAACAGAGCCACTATCTTGTATGGCATTGCTGTTTGATAGAAGTGGTGGGCATTATTTCATCCGAGATATAGAATGGTCGCGAAATGATATGTGGCTTTCTTATGAGTAGTCATTGTGGAAAGCTCGACAAACGACTGATGATGAACGAGCAGGAAGACAAGGGCGACACCACGGATATATCTCCAGAAAAATGCTCCTTTTGTCTCAAATGTTGGTCAAGCTGTGCCATTCAACCAAAAGGGTGAGCCTGGACAGGATGAAGTTGTCTCTCGACACACAAAGAGGAATATTCCAGGAAACTGAAGACCATCATCCACCGGTCAACTTGTAAATAAAATGTATGCGAAGAAGGTACTCCGTAATCCTCACATCGAAGGCCCCAGTGACTATCCTGATGTCGTTGAAGAGATCTGGTAGTAAAGTCGTATAGGAAGCCCCCGAGATTGGATGTTCGGAGAAAGCCCCGACTCCGATAAATAGTACCGGAAAGCCAATAACTAGAATTATCGCCAGGTTGCCGACAATGACATGTGGCTCAGAACCAGCTGCTAGGCCAGTAGTCGTCACTGAAAAAGATAAAAGGGTTTGATAAAAAGACATCCCTTTCTTCTTCGATCGATGGCCGCCGGTTTTATATTAACTGAAGTCCTATTGTTCATGGTATTTCATCTGCTATTGATCAAAGTCCTAATATATAAACGGTCAGCTTAGGTACCGTGTCAGGGGGTAAATGGTCTTCTTGTGTGGAGCTCACCTTGAGATGGGTACCAAACTGGCGCCCTTCAGTATATATATAAGAGAAGATATTTTCACCTTTGGGGTTTTTGCCATGGCTTTCGTGGAAAAGGGTTTGGAAATTTATACTTTTCCAGAGCCCGGACAGTTGCTGCAGATGTAGCGTATATATTTATGAATTTACCAGCTCGCTCGTTTATTTTCTGATAATAGTAAATCTGGAAGCGTGATATTGTCTCTCTCGAAAATTGAACGAACAAGTAAAGCGTAAAAAACAGATATTGATATAATTTTTTTTGAAGACCTTCGAATCCAGCTGTGTTCAGGGAAACCATGCTCGCAAATCGTTAAAGAAAATAAGGTTCGTAACGGCGCCTCAAGTAGATATATACGAGTTGATTATCGTTTTCGGTCTCCGGTGCACATCTAGCCAGGCAAGCTGTTCCATTTTGACTAGCATTGATGCAGAGCCAGAACGAAGGTCGAGTATATTCCGTCAACAACACCGCCATAGTAGTTCAGATGGCGGCCATGGGTAAAAAAAAAGTAAGTGTGCTGTGTCGAGCAAGTCTTCCGATGTTGTAAAAGCTCAGACTTTCGAGCTCGATTCAAATTCTGCGCTGGGCCCTTCTAAGAACGTCACCGGCCAGGCCCAGAGAATGCGGCGGAACTGGCAAGCGGATTTTGTGTGGCTTGAAGCTGTGTACTCCTAGTACGCCAACTTCGTGTCTACTTCTCCGTTAGCATAGTTGGTCAGCGAGAATAATGCACTTATAGCAGGTAAAACACTTACTGCTTAGGCCTTGATCCGCTCAGATTCCACTGGTGGCGTACCGGTCACCTTTATTCAAAAAAGACCAGTACTTCGATCGTCAAGACCTCAAGCTCGTCTCCTTCAGGGCTAGGTATCACCACAGGTATATTGTACTTGATGGGCCTGCGGCTGGTGCCCGGTGCAAGGCGATGTAGGACACCCACTTCAACGGGACACGTGTGATGGACGACACGGACGGGGCGAGGGGGAGGAGGAATGGTGGTCAAATCAGCAGACATGATGTAATGGATGGTAATGATGTAAGGGCAAGAAATGCACTTTGATATTGAAAAGGGTGCTGGAAAGGATGTTGGAAATGATGTTGGAAAGGAAGAAAAAATACTGGCAAGGAAGGGGTATTTATAACTTTCCGCGAGAGAGTCAAAGAGCTCTACTTCACTAATTGCTTCGCTGCTCAAGTGACACGCAAAATTCATTGCCATAGGCAAAGTGAATAGGGCCGCTGTAGCAGCCGGCAGGGAATGGGTATTGCCACATAGTGACTGAGGGAGTTGGAAGAGTGAAGGGAGCTGAGTGGACGGGTATAGACATGGCACGGCAGTGAATATGGGAATCCAGGCCAGCCTTGTCACTTGAGATCGTCAATGAAATGCTGGAATTGGAACACTGCATTCAATGCAGATTTGATATCGGATAGTTACTGTAGCTCGTGTACATGTTAGCAGTTAACTAATGGGGTTGGTCAGTGGTCACGACAGAATATGCGCATTGCGGCAAGAGATCAGGGTAAAGGGTGCAAAAAGCAGATCTTTCTATTCTAAGAATATTTCAGTAGCAACCGAGACACATAGTGCGCGACGGCAACGGACATCGCTCCAACGTTGTACATACTCACTTATCTCAAAAAACCGCCTCCATCGACAGGGGCAAACGGTGTGAAAACTGCAAGTGCACTAAAATGGGGAATACCAATGCTTGACGCCGTAGATCGAACAAACGCCAGAACACGGCGTCCAACCAGATGAGAGTAGGACGCCTCATAGCTTAGCCTTGGCCCTGCTGTTCTCCTTCTTGATCATGTCTTTCAGAACCCGTCTAAGAATCTTCCCGCTTGGACTTTTGGGTATAGAGTCGACGAATACGACTCCGCCTCTCAGTCGTTTGTATGGTGCGACCTTGCCAGCCAGCCAGCTAGCGATCTTCTCAGCAGTCTTGTCTCCCGTCTCAACGCCCGGTTTGACAACGATGTATGCACGCGGAACCTCGCTCCCGTGCTTTTCGCTTTCAACGCCAATAACAGCTGCATCGTCCACATCTGGGTGTGAGGCAAGGTATCCTTCCAGCTCTGCCGGTGCAACCTGGAACCCCTTGTATTTGATCAGCTCTTTGACGCGATCGGTGATGTACAGATTTCCTTCATCGTCTTGATGACCCACGTCGCCAGTACAAAACCAGCCATCCGCAGAGAGGCAGCCTGCCGTCGCCGTGGGGTTGTCTAGATAGCCTGAAAATACGTTGGGTCCACGGAGATAGACCTCCCCCGTTTGCCCGGCTTGTACCTCCGCAGGTTCCGACCCTTCTTCAGCGCTAGTCATGTATTTCACTTCCATATTAGGAAGCAGTTTACCGACAGCGCCAGCCTTTCGATGCCAATCCTTCCAGGACAAAGTGTGGGTTGTTGGGCTGCATTCGCTCAGTCCGTATCCTTGCTTGGCTCCGACCTTGATTCGGTCATGCATGGCTTCTAGAAGTTCGGAAGTGAGCGGCGCAGCGCCAGAATTCATCATGCGAAGCGATGACAGGTCGTATTTCGAGACCGCTGGATGTTTGGCGAGTAGTAGAATGACCGGAGGCACAACATACGAAAATGTGATGCGGTAATTCTGGACATGGGCGCACCACCGTTCTATGTCGAATTTGGGCATGACGTACAAATGGTACCCAGAGTACATCGAACTATGGATTAGGCAGGTCAAGCCTGGGGAAAAAATTAGCACAGTTGACGCACGTCGCCGTAGCAAGCAATAGGACAAAGAATTACCATAAACGTGAAAGAACGGGAGAAAAGCCAGCATGCGGTCTCCCTTGCCGTCTGGTCCACCATTGCAGGTGAGATTCCCTTCCTCTCCCGCCTTGAGTTGAAGAATGTTTGATACGATGTTATAATGGCTCAACATAACACCCTTTGGCACACCGGTAGTTCCAGACGAGAAGACCAGAAATGCAAGGTCCTTCTTTGGATCAATACGCGCCCTACGATACAACGTTGCACCGGACAAATTTCGGACAGAGGTGAAGTGCTTATACTTCAAGCTGGGATGCCGTTCCGTGCCCAGCAACACAATGCAATCGTCTGAAATACCAACCTTCGCAGCAGCCCGCACAGCAACATCAAGGCAAGACATGTGTGTTACAAGGAAACGAGCCCGGGTCTTTTGTAGCTGAAAGGCAAGCTCGTCTGCCGTGTATGCCGGGTTAGCAGGTGTGACTACACCGCCAGCCCAATGCGTACCCCATAGCACGGGCGGGATGTCGATATCGTTGGGCGCAAAGAGAGCCAGCACATCGCCCTTTTTCCAATCGTAAGAAGCCCTGAGACCTGTTCCGAACGTGATGGCAGTCGACTTTATCTCGGAATAGGTGTACGACCGTAGAGTGTCCGCATCCTGGTAGATCACTACTGGCCGTTAGACTGGGGAGAGCTCTCTGGGGTCGTGAAGCTGGGGGTTGCTTGCTTACCTTTGTCATCCGCGAAGTCGCGCTTCTCATTTTCGAAGAGGAACTTCCACAGGTCGACGACCGGGATGTCGATTGGAGGGTACGGGGAGGGATAAGGCATGGCGGTAGAGGAATGCTGCTGGCGGTGCTACTGGTATCTTGTCTTGTCTTCGTAGCGGAGGGAGAGAGATGGGAGGAGAACAAGCCGGGGATCTCCAAAGATATAACTCGCAGCCGCTCTCCGCAGTGGAGAGGCCTCGGGCTTAACTAGCGTAACGCCGCCGTATCGGCCTGTTTATCCAGCTCCAACACCGCATCAACTTCAGCATTTTGATCGCTATATCTCGCTGTCTTTCTCTCCATCTCGTCGTCCGTAAATTTGATATCGTCTTCTATGCAAAAAATGAGTTGTAGTTGATTTAAAAGATGAACAAAGCGATGTTGCTTTATTTCCCCTTTCGGCGCTTTACCTCGGCTTCGGCTACTGTCGCTTAGTCATCAGGTACTTCGGCATATACTTTCTCCACTCCGACAATGGCGTCGCAACAACTATATTCCGCCCCCGTCTTACATAACGTATTATTACCTAAGCAAGTCAGCCCAACCAATCAGCATGCGTCGTTAGCTTCAAAACACCACCTTAAATACCAAGTCGTCTTCCCTTCTTATGCCTTCGGGCATTTGGTCATAGTAACGATACAGAGAAGATTAGCATGGCCCCTGCACTAAGGATGACACGCTCAATCAAAGAGAAGCTACCAGTTTTTTTTTGGCCATTGCGACGACGTTTGGGAGGTTGAGCGTTGACGGCACGCAGGAGGCAGTGGGTTCGAAGCAGCCGCTGGGCAGGTTTTTATTTATTTTTATATTTTGTCAGGCAAGGACAAGGATAGGCTACATAGGAGATGCTGTCAACACCAGCAAGAGCAGTAGAAAGGAACAGAGTGTCATTATGATTAAACCATCGACTACATACGTAACTAGTTGTGCATTTTATCTAAGTGGCCAGACCAAAGACAAACAAGGAAACCCGCGTGAAGCTACCTCTCCTGCCTGCCTCCCTCCCCCCTTTTTTGCTTGCTTTCCCAGGCTCGCCATAATACCTTTTTTTACTTTTTTTCTCACTTTTGTCGTTTTGCATATGTTATGTGTTGCACCTCCATGATCCATGTCCATAATCAACGTCGAAAGACGGTTCAACCGTGATATTGTAATGTATGTGCGTGCAGCCCAGCTTCTTTTCTTCCCCTTACTCCTTCTCGACAACAGCGGTGAGCAGCTTACCTCCACCGACACCGTTGATGCTGGCCTCGCGGGCGCCGGCAAGGCCGAACTGGCTTGGGATACCTTCAATACGGTGGGTGGAGTTGATGTTCTTAACCATGGTGATTTGCCAGCAGGTAGCACCTCCTTGACGGGAGGTGATGGTAGAGTAGGCAAGGAAGTATTCCCAGATCTGTCAACCGTTAGTGTTTCTGTTCATATTTACGTATTAAATAAATATTATGTTCACGGTACTTACTCGGAACCATCGCTTGCCGTACTTGGCCTCGACCTTCTCCTTGTTGCCCATCCAGTTCCTGTACCATCTCCAGAGGGTGGCAGAGTAGTGTACACCCACGGTGTCGATGCCCTTGATCTCGAAGCCAGCTCCCTCAAGGCGCTCGGTGACGAATCCAAGGGGTGTGCTTGCGTCAGCGCCGGGGAAGATGTACTTGTTCATGAACAGGCCCCAAATTAGATCCTCGTATTGCCACGACTTACGTAGACCAGCAATCTGGAGGAAGAAAACACCGTCGTCGTCAAGCATGTCATACACCTGGCGCAGGAAAGTGGAAAAGTGACGGACACCAACGTGCTCGGCCATCTCAAGACAGGTGATCTTCTTGTATCCGCCAGGGACGCTAGGAGCATCACGGTAGTCCATGCACAGAATGCGGGATTGAGACTCTTCAATGCCAGACTTGCGAAGGCCATTGTTACCCCAGGCGGTCTGGTTGCGGCCAAGAGTAATACCAGTGACATGGGCACCATAGTGGACGGACGCATACTTGGCAAGAGTGCCCCAGCCGCAGCCAAGGTCGAGCATGGTGTCTCCGGGCTTAAGGCCAATCTTCTCACAGACGACAGCGAGCTTGTTGTCCTGCAGCTGCTCGAGGGTCTCTTCCTCGTTGATGTTGGAGATTATACCAGAGGTGTAGATCATGCGTGGACCCAAGAACCAGCCGTAGAAATCATCACCACGGTCATAGTGTCCACGAACTTGCTCCTCATCTAGAATGCGGTTTAGCATTGAGCTTTTAACGAAAGAAGGGAAAAAAGGGGGGTGTTCTACTTACCCTGGCTTCTGGTGTGCATGATAACCTCTGGCATCATGCCGGTCAAGAAATACTTGTACAAGCTCCAGGTGAACTTGAACTGAGCCCAGTCATGTCTGTACTCAAGCATCTCCAGCGCATCACCCTTGAAATCCACCTGTCCGTCAAAGTACATCTCATGGAAAGTCTCCATGGGGATCTTGGACTTGCCATGGTACTTGGCACGGTCATGCTCGCTCAGGAAGTTGAGATAGTGCTCGACAGGACGGCCAGGATACTTCGCCTTTTCATTCTTTCGTGGAGAGATGGTCGACGCCACAGTCCAGTAGGCCATAAGGATCGGGATGCTGGTGAAGATGGCGAGGAACAGGGTTGTCCATAGTCCACCGGACACCTGGCGGGCAAGGTACGCAGGTACCAGCACCAGCAGGGAGATGAGCAGAGTGTTGGAGAACGAGTCCGAGCCAGCAGCATCAGCGGGCAGAGGAGCGTTTTTGATCGCAGGATACTATATTGCAGGTTGGTTATATCAGCATTGACTATCCGCAAAACATGCTGGGTTGAGTGGTTCTTCTGTCCACGTATATAGTATGCCCAACAGAAAACCACAAAAAAGCTGGCTATAGTAAGATGAAGTAAACAGACGACGTACCTCTGTCGTCCTGACACCGCATGGCTCAGCATTCGGGCTCACGCACGAGGCAGCTGGGGTCTCGATGAACTCGAATCCTTCAGCACCGACGCCGGTGGTCGAGGAGGCCGGCTCTTGGTTGACCGACTTCTTCGCCATGGTGGGAGGAGGGTAGGGTTAGCTAGCTGGCAAGGTGCTGCTGCGGTTGAGGCGACGAAGCGAGACTTGCACCGACGGCCAGGAGCGGGCTCAGGTTCAATTGGCAGATGCAGTACCTGTCTGAGCAGAGCGAGACGGTCGATACAGCCAGCAGCGAGAAGCACAGGAGTTGCTCGCTTTTGCTAAGGGGGGACGAGGTGAAGGTGAAGGAGATGGAAAGATGTTTAGTTAGTTAGTGCGATGGTGGGCGCTTGGCGGGCCAGCACATGCATCGCTCGGAGCTTGACGTTTCAGGGGGCAAAGCGCTAGGCCAGGGAGCAGGAGCATAGGATTAAGCAGCGGCATGGGAAAACTCCACCAGAGATCCCTGATATTCTTCAGACAGACGGCTGAAGCAAGATGGAGATGATGAGATTGGTAGATCATAGGACTCTATGCAATAATAATAAAATATAGGGATAATACAGAAATAATACACAGTGTCAGAAAGATACGACGGATGCCCTGACGCCTTATTCCCCCTTTTCCCCTACCCCTTAGTCCCCTCCAGATGAGATAGTTAAATAAAAAGAACAGGTAAGAAAAAGATAGGGGCGTTGGTTAGATGAGAAGCTGAAAATTAGCACTCTCCTCGTCCTCCACAAAGACTTCGTCGACGCTGGGGATGTCTATACCCAATAACTCTTCAGTCGTCTTGACTTCGTCGTCAAAGTACCCGGCAATCTTACACCGAGACCACATCTCAGTGCCAAACGCAGGTGGGCCGTAGAGCTGCATGTACAGTTCCGGGGAGAGGCTGTCTGTGTCGTTCTCTTTCTGGTCTTTCTTCCTGCTGGTTGACCTGCTTGTCCTGGAGCTGCTCTTGGACTGGCTTGGCTCTTCTCTCAGGGCAGCCAGCACTTCACGGCCCTTGGAGTAGCCCAGAGTGCTTCTTGAGCTGGCCACGGCAGCCGCATGGCGCATGGAAGATGGGTTAGTCGGCTCTGTAGTCTCCTTCTTTTGCTTTGTTGTCGCTGCCGTTGCAGCAGCAGCAGCCTTTGCAGCGGCCTTTGCAGCTAGCCTGGGCGAACACCTGGTTCGTACACTTCCCTTGGGGTCCATGGCCAAGGCCTGTGCTGCACTCTTCGATCGAAGAGTAGACACTGCTCTCTCTGACCGCTCGGATGTAGTTGTGGCTCGACTGACGGGTCTACTCTCCTCCACTTCGCCTTTGGCGTTGTCCCCTTCCACTTCCAGTTTAAGAGTGCCAATGCTATCGATCTGGGCCTGGATTAATTCATCGATCTGCTTGTTATATGCATCATCAAGCTCTTTCTCTTTTCGCTGCTTGGCCGTTAGTCCATCAGCACCTACACTGGTGTCTTCATACAGCTTCCCCCATCCACGGGCAAAGTTGGTTCCTTTGAGATGTGGGAATGTCGTGTCATATGTAATATATCCATCGTCGTCAGGAAGAGCTATGCCATTCAAATTAGTATGCTTTTAAAGTCAAACCAGGCAAATTGACTCACGCTTTGGCTTCGGAGGCATGTATTCAATCTCCCGCTCAGGCTCCTCCTCTACGGCCACCACAGCCTTCTCCTGCGTCACCTGTGCAAGCAGTGGTGCGGCCTTCTTGATCTTGCGCGTTGAACCCCGTTTAGCACTCCTTTGCTTGATCGTCCCCATCATCATGTTAGGAGCCGGAGTCTGGAATGCCCGCGCCTTTGCATTGGTGGTCTTCATCCCCAGTGGCGCCCGCATTGTGCCTTAAAGCTGCATTAGCCCATGCCCTCCATCAAACACCGCACAAATCTACAGCCAAAGGAAGGTCAAAAGACCGCCTTCACTCACCCGCTGGAGTAGCCAACGCCTTCTTCTCCGCGCCTTTCCCCTTGCCCTGCAGAGTCGCATTCTCATCTTGTCCCTTGAGTATATTTTTGCCTATCCCGGCCCCCATCCCCTTCCCAAACACAAGTGGTCTGTTCTCATCGTGTAGAGGCAGTCTAAAGGGCGTTTTTGGAGGCAGCTTGCCCGGTGTCTTTGGTGGCAGATGTCGCGTTCCCTGGTTCAACGGCTTCGAGGCCGCTGCCGCCTGGTGCGCGTTCACCAGGTTCTCCTGGCCCTGTCCTCGGATGGACAACATCCTCCAGCTTTGTCTCTCTCTCCCTCTCTATATATCTCTTTTGCTATTCTCAATATCTCAGCCAGTGGTGCTCGTAGTCGCGTAATCGCCGCTCATCATCTTGATTCTGTCGTCTGCTGTCGTTCTTTTCTTCTACGCCGTCGTCGTCCATCCTCGACATCGCTTCCTTGTTTCCTCCGTCGTGTCGCCCCGGCAACCGCGTCAGGAGAAACATGTCTCACGTGATAGACTTCTTTATGTAAGCATTGGGATTGGCCAGTACCAAATGTAAACCTACTATTTTATTGTCGCGCATACTCCGTAGAAAGATACCATAACTCCTGTATATCAGTCTCAGCTATGGCTTCGCACTTCTACTTTTTATGGGACACCAGTCTATGTACAAACGGAATACCCTTAGGTTGGACAATCATCAGTAGCGGAAACTGCACGACGACACAAAGAATAAAAGCGAGCAATGAATTTGCCCAACTGCATCCGAGGGATTGATACATATGTTTGGCCAGCTAGTCATTGCTCTTTCCCGTGTGATAAATACGAGCCCATGCAAGGCGCCTGGTCTTAGGCAACCAAGATCGTCTGCCTCATGCTAGCTTGGTCATATAGAGGTGACTCCTCAGCCTCACCGACCTTGGAGTTGGGGGGTTTTCCAATATGCACTCTTTAGCACAAAGCATTCCGCTATCATGGGATGCTTGCAGCGACTCCTCGGCCGGGGACGTTGTCATCCTGTTGCCCCAGAGGGCGGCTCTGTTGCGCTTCAGACCGTACCATCCATCGTGGCCAGCCAAAGGAACGCTGCTGATGCAGAACCCCAAGACGCTTGCAGAACCCCAAGACGCTTCCAGTACCGCGAACATAGGTAAGGAGACATCCTACGGATTACCAAGGGAGCATGCTAGCTGAACTATAGGAGATACGTCCGACGTTGATCCAGCCGTTAAATCTTTAATTGAGCGAAGCATAGCTGCGTGGAGCTCTCTTCACTACACCGGGAATGATAGAGAGGTCATGATTAACATCTCCGCTCACCTCTTGAGATGCAAAAAAACCCTCGATGATGTCCTTGCAAGTGGCAAAACTTGGTTCTTCCAAGAGAAGAAATCGTTCATGAAGCAAACCCTTTTCTCGAGATGGGACTCGAGCCAGTTAGACACCTACATCCTCATACCAGTCGTACCGGGTTTCGTGAATAAAGATGATTACCTCTTTATCAGTCACTACTGGAATACCCGGGAGCATCCTGACCCTGACGGCGAGGACTGTCGCCTCCTCCAGGAGTATGTGGCTGAACATTCCTGCACCTATGTCTGGGTCGATTGGACCTGCATTCCGCAGGCTCCGCGCAGCGAGCTACAGCATAAATATTTTAAACGCGTCCTAACTCAAATCACAATTCTGATAAGAGATTGCAGCTTTCTGTGGAAGTTCCCCAGCTTTCAACCACGCCTATGGGTCCTTTTTGAAGTAGCCGTTTTGATCCTCTGCCACCGGAACACACAATTACCCTCCAACCAGGAAAGCGCACAATTCATATCTGATGTGTTCCTAATGGTATATAAGGACGTGCGATCCGTTGTTCGTGAACGCGGGTACAAATGTACTAATGAGAGTGACGCCGATATAGTTATTGGATGGTCCTTATCGTTCTCTGGAAGATCGTCCCCGCATGTCGCCGAGAGACGGCGAATTCTTGACCTAGTTGATTCTTTCACAAGTAATTTCTCCTACTACGGAGCAGTGAAGGTCGACTTTGACCTAGCAAATGGAACGATTACCTCAGGTGGAGTCACCCACAAAGTTACTCCCATGCCACATTTGAAAAGCGGCGCAGGGTTCATCGTACGATTTGCAGAATTCATTCTTGCCGACCAGGTAGTTATGTTGTCGCCCTTGAACGTGTCAAGGATGTTCCAAGCGCTAACCTTCCCTTGACAGAGAGTTTACCATAATGAGGTGTTACTTGAGCGCCAATGGCGTGAATTTGACAAGAGATTGTGGGCCTTTGGACCAACACATCCTACGACTGTGATTGCCCTGTGTCATGTCCAAGTGGCGCTACACATAGATGGAAAACACGAGGAATCCGAAGCTGCTCATATGAGGATGGTAGACCTGAAGAGGGCTGCAATGAAAATCCTTCTTGCGGAAAACAATTACAAGAAAGCCGAGGAGATGCAACGCGCCATAGTGGATTTGTTCAAGGAGATATACGGCGTTAAAAATAAATACACGCTGGCAAGTATGGGAGTGTTAGGAAACCTATTGATAAAGAAGGAAGAAGAGCTTGATGAAGCGGAGAGCTTATTGCGCGAAACACTCAAGTACTGTGACACTGTGCTCGGCCCGAGCATAGATTTACCCAGAGCGTTTTGAATAATCTGGGTTTGACGCTGCCTATGCAAGGGAAGCGTGCAGAGGCAAAAGAAATATTCTGCCTGAACCTACAGAGGAAGGTCAACGCCTTGCGAGTAGGCTTGGATGATCCGCAAGTCGCTGATGCAGTAAGTAATCTTGCCTCTTGCCTCGAAGATAACCAAACCGTAATTCTATGCAAGTCAAGCAACCCGGGGCCAAGCACCGGTTCAAGCGGTGTGCAGGTGGTCATCTGCCAGCAAATACTCGCGTTTTGACTGGATTTTGACCTCAACGGAATTTTCATCTTAATGGTTAATCTTCTATAATAGTTATATGAAATTGTACCAAAACCCTGTCCGTTGCATTCAATTATTATTCAAGCCAGTTGCTAAAGTATTACCTACATACCTGTTTCAAAGCTGGTGCTTATATGCTTACCTTTCATCTACAACTCCGTATTCCGTACAGGTACAGGTCACTGTATAGAAAGGGATACAAAGATATCAAATGGGGAAACTCTTAGTCCAATTGCTACCTCATAACAAGACCATCGTATCTCGTATCGATATCACATAAATACATTATATAGACGCGAATCCAGCTCAAGTTAATACCCCAGGCCTTTTCTCACTTGTAGCCTATGCGCATCGCTATGATGGTAGTTGGTAGCTCGGATCGGGATGATACTCATCTATTAAAGCATGTTTCAATATTGGGACTTGAGGAAACTCTGACCACATCCAACCATTTGATATGAGGCGAATAGCCATGACTTGTTTGATGCTATCCTTTGATATAGTATATATGTTGGTGTAGAGCTGGTGAGATTCTCTTTTCCCTTATAATACTTAAGTGGTTTGCATGGTATCAAGCTGCTTCTAAGTATCACTCAATAATTTTTAACTTGTATTATTGCAGATACCGTATGAAGCTGTGTTGATTTTCCTTGTGTTTACTCTTTACCTCCTGCCCCTTTGCTGTTCCGCCGTGTCTCACATGACAAGCCCACTTTACGTAAGCCTCCCCAAGCTCCTTTACTCCTTTTTTGACTATCCTGTATCTACTTCAACCTCCTGGACGATCAAGCAGAGGACGCAGGCAGCCATATTCTTCTTGCACAGATAAATACCAACCGCAGACGACCTTCAAAGGACACTTTTTTCAAACCCAATACTACCCACCGATACATCCCACACTAGTCACCATGGACGGCATCAAGCGGGTATGTTTACTCCTCCTACTGCCGCGGGGCACCAGGCTCGTCTGGGAGAAAAGACGCCTAAAGGGACCCCCGTCATCCACCAACTGTTGCACTGCTGCTTAGCACCAAGATACCCATGCTAACCATGACTCCCCGGATAGAAAATCGAGAACATGCGTCAGGAGATCGACGATGGCGTCTCAAAAATCGAAGAGCAAAAGGCCCGCATCAAAGAATTAGAGCAAGAGAACCTAGCCAAAGAACAAGAGGTAACCTCTCTCACCCACCGGAACCAGCTTCTTGAGGAGCGGGTAGAGACTCTCGAAACCACCCTCAAGGAGGCCAAGACCAAAGCGAGCGAGGCGGCTCAAGACAGTTCACAGAACGAGGCCCTGCAGCGCCGTATACAGCTTATGGAGGAAGAGGCCGAACAAACCGATAAGACCCTCAGAGAAACCAACGAGAAGTGCGTTCATCTCCCGACCTTACTTTCTTTTTCTGTGTGTATGTATATGTATGCTAACCTTTTTTTTTACTGCAGACTACGCCAAACGGACGTCAAGGCCGGTCACTTCGAACGTAAGGTGCAGGCTCTCGAGGCTACACGCGAACAATGGGAGACCAAGTACGAGGAGATGTCGAAGCAGTATGCTGCCGTTAAGGAGGAGCTCAAGGAGCTGGAGCGGTCTATCAGCGATGTCTAGAGCTTTAGAATGCACAAGATAAAATTAAACCTCTGTCACGAGTGTCCCCTTTACACCTTTTCAGTTTCTTTGCCCTTTTTCCTCAATTCATCCTTCTGTCGCATTCTACCACACCCATGAAAAAGATTTTAATTCCGTCTTTCACCTTCTCTACCACTACGTCCCTTGGTATTACTTTGTTTTGGAACTGTTTCACCGCCCTTTCTGCTGGAGTGTGATGATATACTCCCCTAGCAAAGTACATATTGTACATCAACAAATTCTAGTACATTCGTTACCTTCCACGTTCTATATCTAGCATCCCCGTATCCAAAGGTCGTAGATATTACTCTTTCTTAGCTTTCCTTGCCTCGGCCTGCTTCTTCTTCCTCCCACGCTCCTTAGCCCTGTTTAGCTTTCTCTCCAGCGGACTCTCATACTTGAAGTCCCGCTTCCGCTTCCGTTTCTTCTTTACATCTTTATTCGGGTTCTCTTTCGTCCATATCTTCTTCTTCTTCGACTGTCCGCCATCCTTCGCTTTAGTCCCTTCTCCGTCTTCTTCTTCATCCTCGTCTCCTGAGTTTTCGTCTTCGTCTTCGGATTTCTCATTAAGCTCCCTCCTCGGAACCAATCCCTCCTTGGTAGCTTCGATCTCTTCCACTGTGACAGTAGTATATTTATCCTCGTCGATATATTCCGCCTCATAGTCCACAGGCGGCGGTTCGGCAATCCCGCTCCATTCTTCTTCCTCGTCGTTATCCCCTCCTTCTTGCTCTGAGTCAGACCCGGACCCTTCTCCCGTAGCAGGGAACCCATTCAGTGCCTCCATCTCAGCCCTATGCCTCTTCAACGCTTCTTCAAATTCCGCCTTTCGTTCTAGTCGGATCTATGCTCAAACGTTAGCCTTGGTCCACAGGTCAATTGCAAGTAGAAACTGTCCCACCTTTTTCCGCGTCTCTCTCCGCTCCTCCTTCGCTCTTTTCTCCGCAGCTTCCTGGGCCTTTTTCGCGCGCTGGACTTTTCGCTTGTGGAATCCAGTCAGAAACTCCGCGCGGGATTCTGGGTTGAATGATATTTCCTCCGGCTGTGCGGGGGTCGCAATCTTTCTTTTCTTGGTGGGTGGACGCATTTTTATGTATGTTGTAGAGGTAGAGCTGTATATATTAGCTTATCTGTATATTGACTGACGCAGGGGCGGTCTCTTACCAGAAGTAATAGCTGTTGTTTGTCTGTTGAAATCTAGAGTTGAATTTATTTTATTTAAGCTCGCCATATTTTATCTCGGTCTTGGCGCTTGACGGGTTAAAGCTTGGCATTTATTCTTCTATTGTGACATACACTCGCTCTTGTTCGCCCTTCTCCATTTATGGATATTTGTTGCTCTTGAGTCTATTTATGTAGTGACATGTTGTGATATTCGTGAGAATATTCATTTCCATTAAATACTCCAGTAAGAATTTTGGCTAGTTTCTCTCTATATTGATAGGCATCTTTTACTGTTCAAGTTTTTCTATTTACTTCAACTGACTAATTAGTTATTTGGCAGGTTTGGTTGAACATTGAATGACAACCATATTCCAGCCCGTGTGTTATGAAGTTATTTCAAAGCTTCACTACTAATATTGTTGATATTGTCGATGTACTACCACTGACCACATACAAAGCTCCAGGGGTTTCACCTTGATATTTATCGTTCAATAAGTATAGCTTCAGCTCTAAGATTTAATAATAATGCCTCATCTTATAACATTTGACTATTTGACTACTTGAGATACCGCTCTGTAAGCCCTTGAAGCAAGTATCAAACCGTCATATCCATAATTAGCCATATTCGTATAAATTCTATGTCTGTTGAGTCTACAATATTGTATTTACCCCCGTCCCAGTTATCTCATCACGTGACCCATCTTTCGAGTTGCTTGATCAAGTTGGGATCATGAAACTGAATCGACTTGCAACAGATACGATATCCAACCCATCACGATGCAGCTAAAGACGTGCGGGCTTTTGGCCCTCGGCGCCATCATCTCTTCCGTTGATGCTTTCAGAGATACCTCTCCGTTCTTCTTCTTCTCAACCAACAGGCAAGCACTCGAAATAGGCAAACCATCAACAGCTGACACTAACACACACTCCCCCAGCTTCAAAACACAATCCTCCCAACTCCAATCCGCTAGCTCTCTGCTTTCATCAGTCTCAGAGGAGCTCTCTTCGTGTCCCTCAGATTTCTATATCCTCGTGTCACAGCCCGGCGTGCATGTTCTAGACTTCAGCAACCGGAGGTCAGCTCCACGGCTACGAGAACGAGTCTTGCAACAGGACGATCTTATCAAGTCAAGCTTTTCCGTCAGTGAAGTGGCAGGCGAGTTCGATGCGGCATCACTACAGAAGCAGCTAGAGAAGAAGTGTAAGGCGGAGACGATTGTGGTGAACGGTGACGGTAGGTGGCTGTACCTTGCTTGCGCATGGACAAAACGGAATACCAACTAAGTTTTGATCAGTCCTTCCATCGGGATATAAACACCGGCCACAGGTTATAATGGTCGAATTCCCTGCTTTGCCGACGGATGTTAGCAGGTCGAGTCAGCTGGTTGAAAATGGTCAGTCCTAGCGTCACTGTTCTGCGATATTTCAACAGTACTCGTCTAACTGTGGTGAATAGATGGATTCCTTGCGACCTTGATCGACTTGCTTCCATCATCCAACTATACTGTCCTATACACAACCACTCCCCGAGGAACTGAGCCAATTGCTGAAGCCGATATTGGTCATTTCGAGATGGGTGGTAGCCCACTCCAGAACCCCCTTACCTTCAAGCGAGAGTTCCAGGGTCGAGCTGCGAACGACGATAAGCCCAAGCACAAGCAGAAGGGCTCTTTGTTCACCGAGTACCAGTTCCTAAGCCCAGGTAAGGACTGATCCCTAGCTCTGTCTCTCTACCTCCTAGCTAACGTGACTAGGCCTTTTCATGGGCTTGATCACCACCGTCATCCTAGGCACTATCCTCTATGTTGGCCTTTCTGCCTTGAACAGTCTACAGGTTTCGTACGCGTCTTTTGATAAGGAGAATGGGCCTGCTGGCACTGCTGGCAAGAAGCAGTAATAAGCAGTAGTATCTTACGCTTAGAGCTCGGGGTTGGTTTCGTTTTCTTGGGTTTTCTCGTCCGTACTCTGTTGTCTCACTCATCTCTGTATCTTCATCAGTATACTTGTTTATGCAGCACATCCTGTCCATCTATCCAGCTACTTAATATCATCTTCTCATGAACTCCAAGTTCTTTTTATATAACACAGGGCTTGGCGCGCTTTTCCCTTTTGGGCTGTTGTCTCTGCGACTCCAAATCAAACTTGCAGCGACAAACATCAGAGACAAGACAACAAGCCGAAAAAACCCAACCCTGACGACGCACCGTCGGTCACCTACAAACAGTCTTATCCAGCGTCTGATCGTTCGTTTTTGGCGCCCTTGCGATCGCCTAGCCGCAGCTCCTGTTTAAACCGGCTCTTGACATGGCAGCTCAGCCGCCTCGTCGCTTCTAACCGACCCCCTTTAATAAGTGAGTAAATAAATAAAGCCGTCACCAGCCCAGCAACAGGAGATTAAATGTGAGAAGCCAGGCTCTTTCCACTCGTTTTGCGTCCAGTATACTCGATACTCTCTATAGGAACTGGTATAGGCGCTCGTTGACCCAGACTTGGTCCTCTTTTGCTCGACCAACCCACCGATCACTCACGATGAGGCTCTCAGGAGGCAAGGCGCCGCGCTCGACGCTCCTCCTATGCTTGTTCTTCATATGCGTCGCTCTTTTTGCAGGCCAGACGATGGCACAGGATGACAAGAATAACCCGGCGCCGGGCAACAACCAACCCCCAAAACAAACCAACAACGCACCACCGCCGCCGCCGCCTCCCGCTAAGACCGAGAATCCCCCCAATACGCCTGCTTCGAACCCAGCCCCTGCGCCGACTGAAAATAAACCGAACGATGATAACAAACCGGACGAGACTGGCAATGCACCAACCCCCTCCCCACCTCCCCCTGCGAGTACGGATGACAAGAAGCCCAGCGAGACCATAGACTTACCGCCACTCGGCACGTCGACCACTGAAAGCAAACCATCAACGACGAAAGGGTCGAAGCCGACTACTTCTGCAACTCGTTCCGATAGTTCGTACAGTGGGCCGGGGTTCTCTTTGCCCACGCTTACCGGTGTTCCTCAAATCCCTACGGCTACGATCCCGCCTAAAAAGGGTGCTCCATACCTGCAGCACTCCAACCTACCAGAGGGAACTGTGTTCATCGGAGTCGGCGCTGGACTGGGACTCATATTCGTTGCTATATTCGCCTGGCGTGCACTCGTCGCATGGTCAATCAACCGGTCTGTCCGCCGCGCAGCCACCGCTCACCAAACAGATGCAGCGGCCGCTCTTCTCAACCCATCCAAGCGCAAGAGCAAGGCCTACCGCCAATCCAGGGGAGGATCCATGTCTCTTGAGAAACTCAACAGCGGAAACACATCTAGCAACCGACACTCTGCTCTTCACCGCAAAAGTCAACCACCAAACTCCAGCCTTTTCTTTTCCCCGACTGCCGGGGCAAGCAACTTGCACGCCGTCGGAAACAGAGCCTCAGGGTATCTCCCGGCTGGCTATTATGCTGCCAGTGGGGCTGCTCCTGGTTCAGGATCCGGATTTCAAAACAGCACATCTTCAATTGGACTTTCTCCGTTAGGCCCCCAGGCTCAAGGCTACTCGCGAACAAGGTCGATAGGACCAACGCCTCCCGACTCGCCCGCATTATCACCTACTGCGCGTAGATATGAACCAGCCCACCCATCTACAAGCAGTGTCAACCTCTCATCACCTCCACAGGGCCGCGCCCCAAGCGCATACCTCGAGGACCTCTTCGAAAATCACCCCTCAGGTCCCCAGCGATAACCTCGCACGTAAATATAACGCTCTAATATCTTGTTCATGCCTTTTAGATATCCTAATCCATTCTATTTGCTCTATCTAGACAGCTACATCTTGTTTGATTATCTTGACAGTCGTTTCATCCTCCAATCTCGCGTTGTGAGCCTGTTCGAGCTGAGCCATTTGAAGAGTTAAGGTCTAGCAGGAGTTACTGGTTTCCTTCTTGTTTTATTGTTTTGTTATGCTTCGTGGTTCATTGGTTTTTTGTCTTGTTCCAATTTTTTTACCTTTACTTTATCTTATTGAAGTTAAAAGAGATCGGCTTCGGTCCTTGTATTCATACCACATCTCGGCCATTATCTAAACCTTCACAGGGGACATTTCAGAACCTGCCATTAAACAACTAAAAGCCGGAGTGCAGGATATTGTATCGGCTCATGCATCTTTCTTGGCGTCAGAACCAGAAAGACGTTGAGGATCTGACTGGGAAGCGCGCGCCTACGGTCTTGGCATGAAGTTATCTGTCCCTCTTGATAAGCTTTTGCCGACACCCATAGATAAAGAATAAAAATTATTGAAAATACGGCAAGCAGCTCAAGGTTAAGATCGCAGCACATATCTCTTCTTGTAGCTGCTGAAAGCCTAGGGATTTTGACCTAGTTCACTATTTATACCTGCTGCTTCACAATGCCTCGTAAGTCATAGCGAATAAGCCAGCTTCCCGTTCGAGTCAGACAGCGGAGCTAACTGCAGATTAAAGCAGCCGATACCCAGGAAGATGACGACCCTATCACTGCATCGTATGACATATTCATAACCGATTCCCAAATCCGCCGATTACTCCTTCAATACCCCGATCGCCCCGCCGACCAACCATACAATGATTCCATCGGCCAAAAACCCCTAGAATTTAGACTAAAGCCCAAAACAGGCCTGGTCGAGCTAGACATACCGATTGACACTCAGGTGAACTACGACGAAACTAAGGGTCTGCGGTACGGTAATGCGCTGGCCAAAAGCAGAATTACGCAGGAGAATGGCTCCCATGGCATGGCGGGCGGATTTAATGCGAACGGCGGTGGGATAGGGAAGTTTAAAACGGAGGGTACTGGAGCTGACGATGTGAATGTTTACATGGATATGGATGACGAAGATAGGAAGGCGGGTGTTAAGATGACGACACAGGTTTTGGGAGGTAGGATAAAGAAGCCTGTTGATGGTGATCCGGTTTACATGCTGGGTGCTTTCAAAGATAGTGAGTATCCTCCACCCCGCTTTCTGCCTGTCGCACTCGTTATATACGAGATTGAACTGATTAATTTTTCAGATGAACTACATCTTGCGCCGCTGGAGGCGGTGGTGCAGCTTCGGCCGCAGTTACATCACATCGATGCGTATGATGAAGTATCTGTGAAAAGCAAGGTGATGGCCAAGTCTAAGAAGGATATGGATGAGGATTCCGGTCCTCGGAACGCTGCCATGGAAGCTCGAGCAATTGATATGAAGGTTAAATCCGCCGAGACAGAAGGTGCCAGGGCAGTTGGAAACAATGAGCTACTCCTTAAGCTCTTCCAAGACGAGAAATGGGAGAAGTACAGATGGATAGATGAAAATGTATGCCCTCCTGCCTGTCTCTTCATCTACAACTGCTAATATCTCGTCACAGGACCAAGAATCGTGGGATAAATATGACCAGTATATGTTTAACGAAGGGCTAGAAGAGCCTGTACAGCTGCAGTCGGCTATTACGGCAGACGACTATTTGGACAGCATGAGTGCGCCTAGAGTCGACCCTACTAGGCCGGAGATGACTGGCTGGGCGATGAAGAGGAGACAGCAGAGCCGGAGGGCAAGCAGTTATAAAAAAGGAGGGCAACCTCAGGGCGAGGATGAAGGCGATGGCGACATAGACATGGCCTAGCCGTCGTCTAATATCATATAGAAGAAATACCAACACCTATTATCTTATCGTCCATCTACTTTGTTGATTTTTCATACTTCATCGCCTGCGCGAAATATACACGGATTTCCATTTCTCCGCTCCGAAGTCACTTGGTGATATGCCGTATTTGGACTAGCGTAACTGCTGACTTATCTATCACGTGAAATCAGGAACGAAATTTTTCTACGCCAAAAAGTTTTTGATCTTATCGAGTTTTCGATTCGACTTCAAGTTCTTCGAGTGAGCTTCAAGGGGTTGAATGCAGCCAAAAACTCCTTTCGTTTCTTTCTGTTCTATTGTTGTTTTATTAATTGAGAGACCTGATGTTGTTTATTTATTTGCTTGAGTATTATTACATTTAATTGTGTCGTTTCTAATTCACTCCTTCACTCCCTACCTCCCGACCTCACTCTAGCTATGCTCTCCCGCGTCGCCCACAGAAAACATGCCCTTTACAGGCTACAACGGGCCCATGAACCCCTAGTACTACCTTGGCTATGTCCGGCGCTTTTGCGATCTCAGTTGACGACAAAATGCGGTCCAATTCGCCCTATTGCGAAGCAAAATGTGGCCTCAGCCATCAGCCATCCGACCTCCCGCTCTCTCGCGACGGTGAGATGGGGAGCTATGGATGACCATCATTCTACCTATATTCCGTTCGAAGGCCTCGATGCATACAAGCCTGTCAAAGAACCGGATACGCTACCCCCTCAATTCACTTCTCGGCCTCCTCTATCGGACCCGTCAGATCCGGTAGATCGAGACGCTTCGTCTGTCATCATCCTCAACCCCCTTCTATCTTCAAAACCGACTTCCTTACGAAAGATAAAGAGCATTGGCGGTGATCTTGACGAGATGCTCATCAATCTTGATGTCAGTTTATCGGCTGGGATGTTTAAGCGTGCTAGTCTTCTTCTTCGCCGTCTTGCTGCCGCATACCCTCAGGGATCCCCAGAACTGCTCGACCTACACAATAAATATCTACGGTCTATGATAACTTACATGATCGTTAATCGGCAGCCAGACCTTGTATGGTATGCCCAAAGGTGGTATGAGGTGGATATGGGTCTGCTATCTGTCAAGCCTGACGCCATCACCCTTGCGTGGATGCTGCGTATGAGTTTGAGAATGCTAGCCGGCCCGAAACGTGAAAGAACAGTCCGAAGATACTGGCAATCTGCAGTATCGAGGGATATCCATGAGGATATTCTTCAGTCGTCAATTTTACCCGAATCAGAACTTGGTTTACTTTCTGAGGTAGGTGATACGTCGAATATTTTGTGTCCAAACACCATTGTGGCAAATACTAATTTGTTTGGTAGATCTGCTTCCATGTATCGGAACCTTCTGAAGGTGCTGTTGAGCCCGATTTGGCTGGCCCAGATAGGGAGCTAGATTTGAAACCTAAAGTTACCGACGAATCCGTTCTGCCACCGAATGAAATTATGAACACTGATCAAAAGGGATTGGGCCTCGACTCTCTGAAAGAATCTCTATCACTGTTTAACCCCTCAACCGAGTTCACTCCAAAGAAACTTTGGGGCCGAACACCTGAAGAAAGAGAACAGAACAAGAAGCGCCTGAGACAAGAGCAACTTGAGAAAGACTCTCTAACATCAGCAATTGAACGGTGGAGGAAAGAAAGCGAGGGTGCCATTGGACAACGGCGTCAAGTGGAAGCAAAACTGAATGCATTCATGTATGAATGGTATCAGGGTGTCCTTGGTAAAATCAAAGAGGAATTGGATCTGGCTAAACGATCGGAGTCAAAAAAGAAACTCACCTCAGAGGAAAGCGAACGATGTGAATACATTCCGTTTCTACTGGCTGTTGGCCCAAGTAAGCTTGCGGCAGTCACTATTCTCTCTGTTCTAGGATCTATTGGAAGCTCCGGGATGGACAAAGGCATTAAACTGAGCTCCCTTTTCACCAACATCGGCCGTGCTGTCAAGGACGAATACATTGTCGAAACTACCCGTCGGTCAGCTATTGAGGAGGCTCAGAATGAAAATGAGGTTTACTATCTAAACAAGACATTCCGCCAGATGAAAGTATACAATACGACTGGAAAATTCAGATCCTACATGCAGAAGCACACCAAAGATCAACCCCCCGTCCATTGGCCTGCTTCCACAGAAATCAAGATTGGCGCGCTTTTATCCTCGATGCTGTTTTCCACCGCTGAAATACCCACCTCTCACAAAGATCCCGTAGCCGAAACAGTCACGTATGCAATGGAGCCTGCATTCCAACACGTTTACCAATTGCAAAAGGGCCATAACGTCGGATACGTTCAACTGCACGAAAAGGTGGTGGAAAGGCTGCGAAAGGAGCCATCCGGAAATCTACTAGCAAAACACCTTCCTATGGTTTCGACTCCACGACCATGGGTATCAAACACTCAAGGCGGATTTTTGACCCAGCCAACCCAAGTTGTCCGTACTCGACATGATGATGCTCAAAGTCAATATCTTCAAGCTGCTTCGGATCGAGGAGACCTCGATGAACTTTACAAAGGTCTAACTATTCTCGGAAAGACAGGCTGGAAAATCAACCGTCCGGTGTTTGATGTGATGCTTGAGGCCTGGAACTCTGGAGAGGAGGTGGCCAACATTGTTGCTGCCAATCTCAATCTTCCAGAGCTTGAAAAGCCGGACGCGGAGGACCGCGAAGCTATAAAGACTTACTATCGTGCAAAGACCCGAGCTGATAACAAAAAGATGGGTAACCACTCCCAGCGTTGTTACCTGAATTTCCAAATGGAGATTGCACGAGCATACCTCAACGAGTCGTTTTATCTCCCTCATAACATGGATTTCCGTGGGCGAGCTTACCCGCTCCCTCCTTACTTCAACCAGATGGGGGCAGACAACTGTCGTGGACTTCTCCTTTTCAGTGAGGGACGGGTACTCGGCGAAAGCGGACTAAGGTGGTTGAGAATTCATCTTTCAAACGTCTTCGGATATGACAAGGCGAGTTTCCAAGAAAGAGAGCAATTTTCCATTGACCATGTTGAAGAAATTCTTGATTCTGCAAACAACGGTTTAAAGGGTAAGAGATGGTGGCTAAAGGCTGCCGACCCTTTCCAGTGTTTAGCCGCCTGCGTGGAATTGAAGAATGCTCTCAGTCTGCCCGATCCAACACAATATGTTTCTCATCTTCCTGTGCACCAGGATGGTTCTTGCAACGGCTTGCAACACTATGCTGCGCTTGGTGGTGATGCAATTGGTGCTCGACAAGTGAATCTTGAGCCTGGTGATCGCCCTTCAGATATCTACACTGCAGTCGCTGAGCACGTCAAGGCTTCAATTGCCAACGACGCCAAAGCTGGGGACCCCATTGCAAAGCTGATGGATGGTAAGATTACACGAAAGGTTGTAAAACAAACTGTCATGACAAACGTTTACGGAGTCACTTTCATTGGCGCCACGAGACAAGTCCGACGACAAATTGAAGACCACTACCCTGAACTGGCGGAGTCTGATGAGATTTCCAAATGCGCAGTCCATGTTTCCAGAGCAATCTTTTCCGCTTTGAACTCCATGTTTAGCGGAGCACACGATATCCAGTTCTGGCTCGGAGACTGTGCTAACCGAGTCACCCGCTCCCTCAATCCTAGCCAGATCGAGGAGATCCGTAAGGAACTTGAGGCGCCATCCAAAACCGATTTGTCGAAGAAATTGAAATTTAACAACTCTGTTATTTGGACCACGCCATTAAAACTACCGGTTGTTCAGCCATATAGAGAGGCGAAAGCGCGTCAGATCCCCACTAGCCTGCAGCTTTGCACGATCAAAGACGTTCGTGGCGCAAACGAGGTTAACCGTCGAAAGCAACTTCAGGCATTCCCACCGAACTTCATCCACTCCCTAGATGCCACACACATGATGCTCTCTGCCATCAAATGTGACGAGCTCGGCCTTAACTTCTCTGCTGTCCATGATTCCTTCTGGACTCACGCTGGTGACATTGACAAGATGAACCGTGTTCTGCGTGATGCATTCGTCCGCATGCATTCCGACGATATTGTGGGTAGATTGGCCGCAGAATTCGATGCAAGATACTCGAACAACCTTTACCTTGCTCAACTCCGGCCCAACACCGTTCTAGCCAAAAAGATCAAAGCCCTCCGTGCGGCCAAGGGGCGGTCAGGAAAGCAGGACAAAGTTTACGAACTTTTGGACGAGTACAAACGCATTGAGCTGCTCAAATCAGAGGACCCTGCTGAGCAAGAGAAAGGCCGAAACATGATCACTCCTGGAAGTCTATTTGCTGCAACTGAAGGAGCTGATGAAACCCTGGTGTCCGTTCAATCTCTTGGTGTTGCTGGTATGGGCCATGTCCCTCCCCCAGAGGAGCAGAAAGCACTAGAGGACGCAATGACAGCTGAGGGTAGCTCATCACCAGTTGACACGGTACCAGAAACACCCGAAATGAAGGAGCTCCAGGAATGCGAGGCGGATGCAGAATTGGCCACGAAATCGAAGAAAAAGTCCAAAGCGCAAGCTACTTCTGTCTGGGTCTGGCTGCCCTTAACATTCCGTGAAGTCCCTCAGAAGGGTGAATTCGACGTTCGTCGCCTCAAAGAAAGTCAATACTTCTTCTCCTAATAAATGATACCCAAAATCTTGGTCTCCCAGCCGCATTTCACCTTTCCGCCACTTACCCCCACCCCTGTACATAAGTTTCCCTTTTTCCCTTGTGCATTTAGCGGATGTTCGATTATCTTCTGTATTTTTGGAACTCTCCAGATGGACTGCATATCTTGATATCATCTTCTGCACTTACATTCTCACTTGTACTTTTACTTTTTTTTCTTAACCGTTTTCGGTTTGTTCGGTGTTTTATTGGTGTTTGGTGTTGAAAAGACACGAAGATCGGATGTATACATACGCTTTTTTGCCATGCTTTTCTACCTTTACCCCGTTCCCCCTTTTTATATGCTTACGTGCAAGACCGGCAAGTTGATAGCCGAAATACAACGACAAAAATGAGCAACAATCTCAATGAAAATATCCATTTACAACCAACTTCTTGCCCTTGATACTGTATTTTTTCCAAAGCTGTCTCTGGATATTCAACAACGGTTAGGCGAATTAATCGGTCAATCGTGAGTATGTCTCCTGTTTTACAGCGCTTAAAGATACATGCATCAACGACCCATGACGCCTCGGGATTGATATACTTTGCAAGGCTATCAAGCTTTACAATTATGGTATACGAGTTACCCGTGCGTCCCGGCCCGCCGTGGGGCTGCTACTGGAGCTTGGCTTCTGTTCCAGTTCCAGGCCAGCGAAGAAGTATGACTTCGAGGAAAGGTCACCACTCTGGCCTAGGGGATGGATATCCTTGCGTCGTTTCTACCTCTCTAGCGAGTATAAAAGCCGCTTTTTCGACGATTACCTCCAGACAAAAACTACACGGCAGTTCAATGTATATCGCCTATATTCCTACAGAGTAGTAGTACCTTATTAAAATAGCGAAGTATGAGAATGGATGCTATGGATCATGGAGTGTGATAAATCTCTTCAATTTATCTAACTTGGTGTAAAGATGGCCCTGTCTGTCAATTAAGGAACAGGAGAATCTAGCTGTCTCGTTTGCCGAGTCCAATTATTGCTTCTATCAATGTGGGTTAACATGCCCAAAATAACCGTGGATACGTCTGAGATCTCCCCGTCTCAGTGGCTTATTAGATAACACATCTGAGATCCTGCTCGATGACCAACATATTAGTGAACACTGTCTGTGTCAAAAGTACGGCTGATACTATGACGAATCACATACCACGCATCGATAGCAACCCCATCTAGGCGGATCACAATCCAGCCTACTCCTACATGCCTGGGAGCAGCGGTCACCCTATACCGGAAACTATATTAGCAGAGCACACCCAAGGGCTCTATGGAACTGTCAGCCTACCCAGCGGCGCAGATTAGCAGGAACGGCTGGATCGGCAGGAGATGTCTTTGCAGCCGAGGGCATTGTGAGGCCTGCTAAAGTGGCGCAGAGAACCCAGTTGATCTTCATGTTGGCGTTATAGATTGTCTTAGGAGTAAATATAGACGGTCAGTTGAAAGTTGGGGACTTGGATACAACACATCGTTGAGCTTCGAGGAACCGGTTTATATAGTGGGATTTGATGAGCTTCCGCCTGCCACTACCCGGCTGTTTCTTTGTACAGGGCATCACGATGCTAGGAGTGGGCATAATTCATGTCCGTTAATGCGACGTTGGGTTATAAATCGAGTGTTACTTTGTCCGATTAACGGCTAGCTGCCGGCGTTTGATAGCGAATCTTTGTTAAGGCTGCTGCTCCACGTCGTGTTTGCCTTGCCCTCGGTGACTTGGTTGAAAGAGAAATAGAAAATACACAAAGGCAGCACAAGTCTGGGTCTGCTGCCTGTTGGTAACGAATGGTTAGGTTGACTATGGAGCCAGGCTGCAAAGCTCCTGGATATTCAAACAGCCTCGCCCATGGGGTTTTTTAGCTGCTACGCCGCAGCCGCCAGAAGCCTCGTGGTTGGATAGCCCCAGCTCTTATGCGAAAAGGTGGATTCAGCCAGGCTCTAGCTCTATACCCATGTAGCCTATTAGTTAGTATCTTGTAATCAGCTGTACAAGGCAGATGTTAGTAGTGGCAGTGAAGTTATTCATGCTGTTGGTTGTAGATATTTAGCGGGCACTGTTGATATCACGGGACTTCAGTTGTTGGAAGGCCCTCTTTCCTTATAATTCTTTTGCTTCTTCTTCTTCTTCTTCACCTCCTTGTTATTGATTTCATATTTAATACTATTCATTCCTGCTTCTCCACCTTGCTTGACTGACTGGAGATTGAATGAAGAAATCGACTACGATAGAGAAAGGTGCTCACCAACCGACCAACCTATGTATCAGTTAATAGAGCAAACACATTTCCTTTGACAAAGTACCCTACTGTTATGCCTCATTGCCAAACATAGCTCTGCCCGTTATCGATAGCCGGTGTTTGTTGCCCTCCTATCAAGTTCCTAAGACCTCAAGGTAAGCATTAATACCAAACTCTCTTTTTTCTCGCCGGTGACATCATTAGCATTGCGCTTGAACCGTGGAACCAACTCCAGCGGGATATATAAATGGATGGCGGCTGTTGAGAATGGAAATTTCCATCAAACACATACAAGCGTCAAGACCTGACCATATTATCTAGATCTCGCCATCACTCATCAAAGAAATAAACAAACAAAGAAGAAAAATCTGAAAACGACCCTGTCAAAGCATAGTAGCCCAAGATGTGCTACCGAAAATACTACAAGTACAAGTGCTGTGCACTCGAGAAGGACGTCGACTGGGTAGCCTGTGCGGACCGACCACCAGGTATGAACTGCCCCAAAGCACAGGAACATAACTGGCAGGGTCCGTATGCGCAGTACCAAGGCGAGATAGAAGGACCTTGCTGGAACTGCATGTGGGCATCACACAACGACGGGGGAAAAGCAAAAAGAGAGTTTATCGAGAATTTCGGAAAACGCAAGCCAGGTGAACAGCCGTGGGAGAGTGATGAGGAGAGAAAAGACCAGCGAATGGCCGGGGAAGACTGGTACTGGATCATGCGGAGGAGACAGCAGAAGCAACGCGAGAAGGAGAGGCGGAAGCTGGAAGCCGAAAGTGGAAGAGCGACCCATAGCACCGTCCAGTGGTCCGAGGGAGTTGAGGGAGAGGGGACTTCCGGGAGCAGCACGCCTGGGACGTCCGGAAGCAGAACCGACAGCGTGCCAGTGAGCCGACATGCTAGCCGGCCTTCAAGCAGATATGCGTTCTCCATGGGCGGGACTCAGTCACCATCGAGGCATCTGCCGAACTGAACACTCCAACCGCACGCCACGCACGCATACTCCGTATCACAAACTTATTCTGGCCCTAGTATGGTCGTCTTCGTCGTTTTATCCGTGATATCAAGTGTCCTATTGAACTAGCAGCCCGCATGGAGCGAGCCGTGTCCTGAAGCATATCCTTAACCCTAGACTCTTCCGTTAGTTATACAGTATCTCTATCAAATGCATTTTCACTCATCTTCCATCACGTCCTCGCAGTCATGGTAGCTATCACTGTTGGCTCCTTCAAGCTTTCCTTCGTAAATATCAAGTGTCGTTAAAGTGAAGAAGCAACATGGAAGATCTTCACCAACAGAAAGCGGCTTTTGTTCTTCAGCCGCGCCAAGAACTTCAACTTCAACTTCACGACTTCAACTCGACGAAGAAACATCGTCAAGTCGTTGTGAATCTATCTATCTATCATCATATTCGTTCGGATGTAGGAGTCTGTCTGTAAAGGTGCACGGCAAGATGCCCGCTGGGAGACCTCTATCCATTATATCAAGCACAGGATGGCGCCCAGTGTCTTCCTGCCGTGGGCTTCACCGTCGGCGGCTTCATCTGGCACCCCCGTTTCTCCTGGACGCTTATATCCCACGATACCATCTGCTCTCCTCCGTTGACGCAGCTAAGAAGCGGTCTCATGCGTATGCTCATCTGCGGAACTGCAACCTGTGTCCGCGGCTATGTGGAGTGAACCGGTACGAGAAGACCGGCCACTGTCTCATTGGAGCCGAAACGGTGAAGGTCAACGTCATTGCGCCGCATTTTGGAGAAGAACCTTGCATCCAGGGCTGGAATGGCAGTGGCTCAGTGTTCTTCTCAGGATGTAATTTGAGATGCGTCTTCTGCCAGAATCATGTATGTTCTTGATACTCGTTATGGTTGATGGCCCATGGCTGACGTTTGTTGGCAGGACATTGCTCATCAACGAAATGGGTTTGACCTTACGCCTGAAGAGCTGGCTGAGTGGTATATGAAACTTCAAACTGTTGGAAACGTTCATAATATCAACCTCGTTACTCCCGAACATGTAGTTCCCCAGGTCGTGCTGTCGATACTACATGCACGAGACATTGGGTTGAAGATACCGATTATATACAACACGTCTTCATTTGACTCTCTTGACTCGCTGAAACTTCTAGATGGACTGATAGATATATACCTCCCTGACTTTAAGGTATGGAAAGACAGCACGTCGAAAAGACTACTTAAGGCAGATAATTACACAGCTACGGCAATGGAGAGCATCAAGGCGATGCATGCTCAGGTTGGAGATTTATCGTTTACAGCAGATGGTGTCGCGAAGCAAGGTGTCCTTCTTCGTCATCTTGTCATGCCTGGCATGGAAGACGAAGGGATAGAGATTGTGAAGTGGCTTGCTAAGAACGTGTCGAAAGATATGTACGTGCATATCATGGAGCAGTATCATCCAGATGCGCACGTTGGAAAGAAGAAGAGAGGGAAAATAAGTGATGCTGGAGAAGAAGGGCAGACAGTACGGTACAGTGATATCAACAGGCATGTCACTGACAAGGAGCTCGGAGCCGTACAACTTGCTGCCAGGGACGCTGGCCTGTGGAGGTTTTGCGAGCCCGCAGAACACGGTGGATTCCATCTCTAGGACTATCGTTTTGTATATTTTGAAGGGAAAGTTCAGTTCAGGGCCTTCTTTCTCTTTCCCATTTCGTCACTTTCTTTTTCTTTGGGCTTGGAGTTACCCAACGTTGGACACAAGGTTCTTTGAGAAAGTATTCCACCATTGTCTGGAAAGTACATACGACATAATTCTTTCATACCTTCGAACACCCTTGAAGCCATGAGTTACCTTCCTGCATCTAGGGAGGGAAATAATTAACTTACGCCTCTCTTTGACCACATTTGTCAATCAAGATAGAGGTTCCGGTATTGAACCTTAACGAATACAGCAGGTTTCTTCCATTCCAGTCAACCTCTTCCCTACATTAGCATGGACTACTAGTTATGGCATACGTCGCAGGCTCAATCACATACTCGGTTCGGAGGGCTCAAAATTCTCCTTATAGCTCTCCACATAGCGGCTCTCACTTAGGCGATGACGGAGTGCTCTCCAGTTCCCGATATCGTACTCGTTGTGGCCATAGAAAGAACCTGCATCGAATATGAACGGTTCTCCAGTGGCCTGGTCTGTTGCAGTGTTCTCATCCCAGCAATCTCCGTGAAGAAGGCAGGGCTTTATACTTCTTCCATCGCTCTGAAGAGGCTCGAGTAGCCTGGGTATTACTTTGTTCAGAGTTATATCACATAGCTGTTCAAACTCGGGCCATCGACCATGCTTTTCCAAGTCCATAGCAAACATGTGGGCTAGTTGTTTGCGATAGAGCACCGCCCACGACTGCTCCCATAAATCAGTGACTTGGGTTATGGTACCATGGCAGGTAGTCGTATGGAAGCCAAATTTCCCTGTTGGCGAAACCGAACTTTTGTGCAGGCCTGCCAACCTTGCAGTAAATTTAACCGGGTCTGGAGGTTGTTGGCCGACCTCTCGGAAGTCAGTGAGCATGAAGTAGCTATCTTCCTCCTTATACTTGCCCCAGATCCAAGGTTTTGGTGCGAGTGTTGGTGAGACGCTGTTGATTGCTTTGATGGACTCAAACTCCCCTTCACACATCACGAATGCAGACGGCCCTTTGGCTTCCTTTCACCTTCATCGTCAGCCAGAAGGATCAAGCATCTTATGCAAATTCCGAGAGTCATGCCTTAAGAAAATATGTCTTTATCGTGCCATCAAGGAGCTTGGTGGTTATTTTGGCACATCCTCCCCAGAGAGACCGCCCATAACGATGAGACGAAATAACTTTTGTTCCTGCAACGGGAAAGCCTGTATATAGCTTGTCAGTGGTATCGACCTCGATCTACGGAGTATCGAAGCCAATTCTTACTTTCAATCACGGCCTCATTCAGACCAATTGGCTCGTATATTTTGGGTGGCTCAATTTCTTCCTCGGGTGCCACATCGTTACGACGGTTGGCGTGGGGATGGTTGATTGGCATTTCGACCGGTGATGGGCGTCAAGTTTGTTCAGAAATCAGTTCTTCTTGACAGTAGTTACTTCAACATAACAGTAAATGCTAGGGAATATCGGCATTATCTGTTAGCACTATTCCTTGCATACCTGCAATTGCGATTCTTCAAGGCCGTAATGCCGCCCTGGCGGCATGTCTTCTATCCTCGAACAGTGCCAGAGTACTCCGTTACTCCCTAGGTATCCTTACAGGGGTCTGTGATTGTTTTGCATGCGGAAAGCCACACAGGGAAAGCTTCTATTGGTGTTTTCGGCCGTGCCCATGCATAGTTAAACCCCATGCATCATGCACATCCAAACACCAGCGACTTTTGTGCGACAGCAGCAGATGAGATACTTGTTCACATTCTTTTCGTTCATATTATGATCTGTTACCGAAAGGGCTACTCTGGTTGTCGCTCCGATGGACACGAAAGCAAAACGTCCTGCATGGCTGTATTTCGTCCTATATCAATGGATGCTATTAAAACAGGGGTCAACCCCAAATGTGAAAAGTTTTCGCCTTTAAGATGGCCAACCAGGTTTAATTATTGAGCTAGGGCGTGTCTGACAGACCTCACCTGCATACGAACAGCCAACCAGAGATGACCAATCCCCATGCTTCTGCAGAAAAAGGTATGCTTCTGCATGCCTGCGAACTCAGCTTCTTCCTTTGGGCGCCTGTATGGGGTATAAAGTCAAGGGCGGCAATCTGAAAATGGCTATCCCACGGCTTCAAATATCGGTGGGCAGATTGATGGGGATAAGACTGGCAGACACTCTCTGTTAAACACTGAGATCATCCAATTGCCATGATAAGAGACCTGGTAACATATCTTCCCCCCATGACTGTGGATGATTTCTGATCGCCTCGGATAGTTTAAGAAGCTAAGATGGAAAAATTGGAAATCATGGAAAAGACGGGAACAGCGGACACTAGAAAAGGAATCAAATGATACCCAGTCGATCACAGCGAGACAGCATAGCACTTCTTTGGCTCCTAGTTCTTCAATACCCGAAAATGCTGGCTCTGATACGAAGTCAGCAGCATTCCCTTCGGCCAACGCGGCGGTCACTCAGTCCCCTGTTTTCTCCAATGAAAATCATAGAGTCAGCAGAAAAAGTGCACAAGTTTCCGATCCTCTGGGATTGACATTAATATATAGCTCTGATAATCTTGAGGCCGATATCATCTTTATCCATGGCCTGGGTGGCTCCCCACGGAGAACGTGGTCATACAATCGGGGATGTCAAAAATTTATGGTTGCCTTGGCTTCATGAGGAGACTGGATTATCCAGGACTCGAGTGTTCACCTTCGGGTATAATGCGAATTATGCCCAAGGCACCGCATCGTTAAGTATTCTGGACTTTGCAAAGAACCTGCTTTTCCAAATAAATGCATACCGTGACGAAAATAACAAGCCCATTGGTTCTGTAAGTCTATCAACAAGTTCTTTCGGCCTGCCATGCCTAGTTAATTAACCAACAATCAGCAGCATCCTCTCATCTTTGTAGCTCATTCAATGGGTGGGCTTGTTGTAAAAAAGGTATGGTTAAATCCTCTCTCAGTTATTGTGGACTTGAACTGACATTTTTTTTTCTCTGATTCAGGCGTATATTCTAGGAAAGCTCATTGAACAATATTCTGATATCATTTCACAAGTAGCTGGAATGATCTTTCTAGCTACTCCCCATCGCGGGTCTAACTTCGCGTCAACATTAAATGCTATCCTTCGTATGTCACCCACCACCGGAGCAAAGACATACGTGAATGAGCTCGAGGACGGCTCGGTTTCAATCGACGATATCAATGAACAGTTTAGAAACGTTTGTGGTGGTTTATACCTAATTTCGTTTTATGAAACATATAAGACGGCCATTTCCCCTGGAGTGAAAGTCAAGGTATGCAATATGAAATGCTAGAAGGGCCCTTCAATTTTATAATAACATACCCTATTTGAAAAGGTGGTCGAGAAGCAGTCGGCTGTCCTAGGCTACCCGCAAGAAGTTTCAGCACCCCTTAATGCAGATCATAATGGGATATCAAAATACCTAAACCGAGAAGATAGCAATTACAAAGCTGTTAGAAATGCCCTGAGAATGATAGTCCAGAGAAATACGGAGAAAGGTAAATAGATATTTCTCCCTCTATTCGATCTTATGATGCTTACTTACGATTCAAAAGGGTATCTGAATGGAGAGAGTGCAAAGTTACCAGCACCTAATTTCTCTGGTATAGGAAGCATTTTAGGCATCCAGGAGTTGGGAGATGAGTTGGAAGTTATTAGTGAACCAATTCAACCAGGTTCATGTCGTTGGATACTCGAGAAAAAGAGTTTCCAAGACTGGGCTGGCGACGGTGCGCCAGGTCTGAATATTCTGTGGTTAACAGGCCTACCTGGTGTTGGCAAGTCAACTCTATCCAGCTTCATTATTAACCATTTCAAACAACTCAATGTCGCGGCGTCTTGCCAGTATTACTTCTTCAGGGTAGGCCAACATAAAACTCGAACGATGTCACATTTTCTCCGATCTCTTGCATTCCAAGTTGCAGAGGACCATGAAAGTTTTCGTTCTCGTTTGGTCGAATGCCACCAAACAACAGGAATTCGCTTCGTGGATCTGGAGTATACTGTCATCTGGCGCAGAATATTTGAGGGAATTCTCTTTCAATGCACTCCTGAGCAGCCATTAACATGGGTATTTGACGGAATAGATGAAGCTGAATTTCCGATTACGATTATGAAACTAATGGCTACGATAAAATCCAAACTGCCAATTAGACTTCTACTCGTAAGTAGAGAAACCAGGGAGCTGTCATTATCTATGTCCCTCAGTGGTTGCAGAATCGACCGTGAAGATATACAGATTGACGATACCATTGAAGACATTCGATCATTTGTCTCCATGTCCCTTAGCCGCAATATACAAGATAAGGATATCCTGCAGTCTGTGATTGACAAAGTCCTATCAAAATCTTCCGGATCTTTTCTGTGGGCCAAAGTAGCTGTGGATAGTATCAAAGATAACTGGCATACTGATTCAGATATTGACTATACCCTCGCAAATATTCCGGACGGTATGGAGCTGATGTATGAGCAAATGATGGACTCTGTTATCAACCAACCCCCTAATTTGTTAAAGATGGCATCAGAGATATTGACCTGGGTAGCTTGTGCTTTCAGGCCTCTAAGCCTTGACGAACTTGCGGTAGCTTTGAAGCCTCAATTTGGGAATTTCTACAATCTGAAAGTCACCATTCGCCAGATTTGTGGGGGATTTGTGATTATAAGGAACTCTAGTGTTATAATAATCCATGAGACTGCTAGTCAGTTTCTCGCTTCAAAACATTCGGATGCATCTATCATAGTCGATACTCGCATCGGCCATGCCCGTTTGGCTCGGAGGTGTATGAATTACCTATCGCAAGGACAATGGAAGACGGAACTTGCGACAATTCATGCAACGAGAGAATTAGCCCTCCAGGACCCATATGAAAAGTTTCCATTTCTTTCTTACGCTATTGCGCACTGGACTTACCATACCAGCTGCATACCTATAGAGATGGAGGATTTGCAGGCAGATGTACTTGAATTTCTGTCCCAGTTCGCTCTCGTCTGGATATATGCCATCTCTCTCACAGGTGATTTTCATATAATCATCTCTTCAGCACATTATCTCCGGAAGTTTGCAAAACGAATTATGTATCATCTCACTCAAAATCATGCTTCAAACCCCAAGGAGAACCAAAGCCAGAGACTTGTTCTATGGTCTACCGAACTGATACGTCTAGTTGGGCGATTCGGTCAACGTCTCCTAGAATCTCCCTCTTCCATATACAGACACATCATCCCGTTCTGCCCGAGCGAGTCAATTTTTGCACAGGAATTTCGGCACTTAAGTCAAAACACTTTAAGAATATTGGGTCTAGCATCCAGCAGTTGGGATGACTGCCTGGCAAGGATAACGACGGGGAATGATGAAGAAGCAACCAAAATCAGCGGCAATGATAACATGTTTGTCATTATGCTGGATAGCGGGACTTTGGTCATATGGAGCTCGGAAACACTGTTAGAAATCGGGAGGCTAGATCACAGAGAAACGACAACATGCATCAAAGTTGCAGGGAATAAGAATATTGTGGCCTCAGCAGGCGAAGAAACAGTTCGAGTCTGGGATTTTGATCTAGAAGAGGAGCTTTTGAGGACCTCAAACCCAGAGGGGATCCGAGCAATATCACTGGCTTTCAGAGTAAACGATACTCAGCTATTAATTGCATACAACGATTATACAATAGAGTGCATTGGCTTAAATACACTCCAAAAGGACTGGGCTTCTAGGGTCATTTTACCTTCCGAATACCAATATGGTCCTCCTAGGGACATACTGTTTAGCCCTGATACAAGCAAAATTGCCGTTGTACATGCTACGCGGCCTCTTGCCATATGGCGTACCGATTATCCGAAGCACCCACCACAGAGATTTATGCGACAAGGCTCTGGATACCAGAAATACCAGACTTGGAGAGAAAATTCAATAGACATAGTCAATTCCCCTCGGAAGGTTGTCTGGAAACCTGACTCTGGCGGACTTATGGTCTCGTATCCGGGAATAGTACTCATTGATTGGAGTCTGGACGATGATACCCAAAGCGAGTATCCTCACATTGTTGCCCATGAAATAGCCATCAGCTCAGATGGAAAATTACTACTAACATGTGACCATCACAACACGATACACATTTGGAATACAAGCTCGTTTCGTTTACTCTATAAGCTGAACGCAGGGGGCAATGGCATATTACGAGACATTGCATTTTCTTCAGACTCTAGACAGATTTATGATCTTCGAGATACTGTTTGCCATATTTGGGAGCCTGCTGTTCTGAAACAACCAGAAGAGTACTGCAGGGGTGATAAAGGCTTCCAATGCTCTGAGACTCTCACTTCTCACGAGGATACAGATAAACATCAAGTTTCTGCCGTTACTTGCTGTGACAAGCTGCCTTACTATTGCGTCGGGAAAGAAGATGGCAGCATAACAATCTACGAGACAAGGACAGCTAGCAGCCTAGGAAGGCTCTATAAGCACCCTAAGGGAATCGGGATTATTGGGATCACTTGGTCACCGTCTTCCAAATACCTTGCTTCTACCGACAATTGGGGCAGAGTTTTTGTTAAACGATTGATAGAGCCTGCGCCTGCAACACCGCAAAAGTGGACTGTGTACAAGGCATTCAATCTAAACCCAGAATCTGGGGTGAAACTGCTCTTTAGCACGTCGGAGGAATACCTCCTTGTTTCCAATTCTGAGTGTGATCAGCTCTGGAGCATAACATCCAAGTCTAAAGTGCTTGAAGTGAAACGAAAGGGTGATAGCTATTACCGACGATGGGTAAACCACCCTGAAAGCCCCAAGCTGTTGGTGTGTATAGAAATGGAAACCCAGTATATTCATACCTGGAATAACCTGGAAAGGATTGTCCCTCAAAATGAGGCAGCAGATGGCCAGGTACTAAAGTACGGACCCACACCATTCTCTACCATAGCTTTGGACGCTCCTGAACGCATTTTTCTGATCCAAGATCGAAGCCTTGTCCTTGAGCATTCTGTCAATAATAGATATAATTGCGATACCCAGCCATATGCTTCGTCATCCCGCCAGATAGTGATTATTGACTTTGATGACATGCAGTTACAAAGGAGGGTCCTAAGGGAACTGTCCAGCCAAGTAAGCCGATTGGTAGGGGTCTACCAGGGGCAGCTAGCCTTCCTTAACCATGATTACTGGCTGTGTACCTGGGATTTGGAGAGTGATGAGAATTCCTATCGAAAGCATTTCTTTCTGCCGAAGGACTGGATACTTCCTGATACTTTAGACCTAATTACCATGGACTGCTCTGGCAACCTATTATTCCCAAGGAATGGAGAAGTAGCTGTTATCCAGTCCCAGCTCCGGCTGTGGGATTGAAATCAGCCAATCCCTATGTATATTGAATCTACACTGTTTGGCTAGAGGCTTCTGTGTGAATCTACTTATTATGTTGAAAAATCTGTTATATTCTATCAAATCTCGCAAAGCCAGTCAAGGTTCTGAAGTTTACTAGTTATCAAATCCATATCCCCCTTACCTGTAATTTCTTATCTCATTTTTAGTAAATAACATTCATGCTCGTCGTAGGTTCCACGATCATAGGAAAAAAGAGATTGGAGCTGGAGTACAAGATATCATCAACGCGATAAATAATCTGTGAAGAATTATAAGTGTAATAGGTATGATTATGGCTCGTCCCTCAGGAATCGAGAAATGATGCCTCCAACTGTTGCCGTTACTGCCAACGCCCAGAACGGTAAACCAATAACCTGGTGTTGGAGCCCTAGATGGAACATAGATCCCGACACAGCGGCACCAACGGATCTCGCTAGCGATCCCATAGAAGCAGCAGCTCCGTTGACAGTTGCAAGATGGAGCGGCGACGGGGATGTGTTCGTCACACTATATCATGTTAGCCGACATATCTTTTAGAGACATGTCCTCTTTGCATGATTGCATCTTCACGCACAGAATGCTAGAAGCCGTATAGCCCAAGTTCACGAGAACAGCTTTAATCCAAAGGTCTATCAAGATCAATATTGTCGATAGCGGATGGATCAACCGAGATGTGAATGGCGTGAGGCAGTATAGACATGGGAACGCAAACACAGCCCATCGAAAAACTTTCAAAGCTCCCAGATGGGCAATCAGTTTTGGAACGATGAAAATCTGAGCTAGGATAGCCACCACTACCTGAGACAGAAAAACGTTGCTGATGCTTGGAGAGCTCATTCCAAAGCCAGAAGTGAACTTGAGTAAACTGGATCCTTTCTCGTCTTGGATCGATTCTTTATCCTGAGCTAAGAAAATAGGAATAATCACATCCGAAGATACTTTGTGAAAGCCTAATATCGACGCTGCTAGAATCTGAAGAATGACCTGTGATGAGTATGCCGTTCTTATAGTAGGCTTACCCTTCAGGTCTGAATCTTCATTTTCATCATTAAAATCAGTTTCCTCCACAGAGGTAGACTCGATATCCTCCGTGCAATGAAGTGGGATATCATCATCCCCATCAGGAGATGATAACACAGCATATTTTTGGGTATCGGCAGCGCCAAAAAGCGATCTTGTCTTTTGATAGAGCCACTGGAACATCTCCAGTCCTACGTTCCGGCTATTCTGGAGATGAGAATGTGTTTCTTCAAGGAAGAAAAACCCCAACAGCCCACTGGCTGCCATGGACAAGGCCACGACCAAATTCGGTAGTAGATAAGGGAACTCCTCCCATATGCCTCCCGGTGGAAAGACTGACGGTATTGTCTCCGTGGGCTCAGCCAGCCAGCCACCAATAGCTGGCCCTATCAGGCTCCTGTATATAGCGATATTAGCACCTGGGAAACACATAGCCGAGTACAACTAGATCTTACCCCAGGGCTCTCAAAAATGGCACCACAGAGAATGCTTTACCTGTAGATGCCGTATAAGCCTACCATAAAGGAGCCGTCTAGAGAGTAAAAACACACCTTGGTCCTTCTTGTCTTTGACCAATTCTCCAACACAGGACGAAACGACTCCGACGTTTGGGTTTGTCAAGCCGCCAAATGCTCGAGCTGCCAGTGCAATCCCCAGGCTCTTTGATAGCCCAAACACCAGAGCCGAAACCACGCCGCAAGCCACTCCTATCATCAGGGTCCGCTTCCGTCCTATACGGTCACTGACTTTTGCCCAGGGGACGCTGGTCAAGAACTCGCCAAAGGTGAAGAGTGAGACGGTGCTGGATGCCAGGACAGCTGCCCGTGCTGCCTGGTCACCGTCTGCTCGGAGAAATGACTTCATCATCGTAAAGGCATATGGGAATATGGTCGTCCATGCCAGGGCCTCGCTGAACCTGAAGAGCCCTATCCGCCAGGCATCAAATCTGTGTGTCCTTGAAGCCTAGAGTCCATCTGTTTGAACTCACCGAGAATGACGAGCTGCCATCGTATTCCAGCGTAGTCGCGTCCCCTGGACGGTTCACTCTTGTCTACCATCTTGTACACGTATGGAATATAGGCATCTCAGTATTTCATGGCCCTCTGCCGCGTGCCGACGTTCATGGCCTGAAATATTCAAGTTGACGGTCGAAGGATGGAGAATCAAAAGTTGATCCTCCGAGCTGGACTTTTGACAAAATAACTACGCACCATCTCGAGACAGCGAATATAGACATCAGCACCGTTTACACGGCAGCCAGATATCATTCAAGAGAAAACGCATACTGGTATTACAACCTTTCTGCTTAATATCAGGTCCATTTCCATGCTACAGGCGCAACTAAAAGCTGGAGAACTTGCTGGCCAACGTTACTAACTGCATCGCAGCAAAAACCAACCTGGATACACTCAAACGACCAGAGATACCGGCCTCTTGCCGGTAGAGACAGCTCGTTCCAGTGATACTCCGTCGAGATGAAGGCTATAATAGCTGTTCCGGCTACTCTCCTGCTGGTACACCGTGCCTGGTCAAGGAAATCACTCACGCCGCTGGGCATTGTATTCGCAGCGCTCACCGCGGTAATACATGCAATTCACCCATCTTCTACTCCCTTTGCCCTTTTAATAGTCTTCTTCCTGGGTGGTACAAGAGTAACAAAGGTGAGCACTTATTCCCAGGCGATCTATTTAGGTATTTGGTGGTGGTGGTGGTGGTGGTATTTCCTACAGAGGGCTAACAACAACGGCTACATCCAGGTAAAACACGACGTGAAAGCTCGCCTGACGATATCGGCTACTGGAGCAGGCGGTGGTGAAGGCTCGCGGACTCATATTCAAGTTCTTGCAAACTCCGGCGCCGCCTCGATTTTGATACTGCTCGACTGCTATCGGATATACTACAAGAATGGGGATCTATCATGTCTTCCCTATGGCAGACCGGAAAGCCTTCTCATGGTTGGAATCGTTTCGTGAGTACTGCTACGGCCTCCATCTGGTGTATGCGGACTGCTACTGACTGTCGGTTTCCTTATTGTAGGACATACGCTGCCGTTGCTGCTGATACCTACTCCAGCGAACTAGGGATCCTCTCCAAGAGCGCCCCTCGTTTGATAACCTCACCTACCTTTCGAAAAGTCCCTCCTGGAACAAATGGCGGAATAACACTTATCGGTGTCGCAGCAGGGTCTCTGGGAGCATTCACCATTGCCATAACATCTCTACTGCTCCCGTTTTGCTCCCTCGGTTCGCCCGTTGTCGGTGGCGCAAAGCTCGGTCTCGACGGAGGGAGTGCTTGGAGTTGGAATGAGAAAGCACTCTGGGTCTTAGCAATCACGATATGGGGTACACTGGGAAGCCTTCTCGACAGTCTTCTCGGAGGGCTGCTGCAAGCCACTGTTGTCGATAAGCAAACTGGGAAGGTTGTTGAAGGCAGCGGTGGGCAAAAGGTTAGTCACAACTCGCGATGCCTGTTTTCAGCTCATAGTACTTCGTTAACATAACCGACTAGGTCCTCATTCATGCGGGTGCTCTCACATCTAAAATCATGGGAGATCCTCCTATCCGTCAAGAAACATCCCTTCGAACAAACGAGGACATTGCAAACGCCCTGTCACCGCATACTTCTCCTCATGAAAACTACCCTGGCATTTCTGATCCAGCTCACGAGAGTCGCAAGATAACTGCCGGCAGTGACATCCTCGATAACAATGCTGTCAATTTCTTGATGGCTAGCATAATGGCAATCGGGGGCGTTGCCATGGCCAGCGTGATCTGGGGCATCCCCATCGACAGTATATTCCGAAGATGGTAAAGCCTTCGTTAATGACTAGACGCCGTTACGACAAACAAAATATACAGTAAATGGGCTCCTACACTGCCTTTTTGGTTCCTTTGCTTTTTCATCTTGATAAGTAGCTTTTGATATCCGCCTCCACCCCCTTTTCACGGGCTAAGCCGAGGCGCAAAAAGTTGGGGTTGTACATCGATGCTTGGGTTCACCCGAGGGTCCCAGCGATACACAGACTGGTTGCTATGGTAAAAGTCGCTGCCTGATGCAGTTGATGAGGATACAACGTAGCGGTTCAATTGATCATGGTTACCAAAGATTCTGCTCATGGTTCTTCGTACAGCCAGGTTGCCTGCATAGGCGCTGGTATGTCTGCAACAGCCCTAGGAGTGACGCTGAAACGATGGTATCAAATCGATGATATCAGGTTCTTTGAACGGCGGCCAGCTGCTGGTGGAACTTGGGAGGCAAACACTTATCCAGGTACCGAATTTGACTGCTCTGGTTATATCGAAGTATGGAGTCGCAGTTTAAGAGCTAATGGATCATGTAGGATGCGCCTGTGATGTTCCTAGCGCTCTTTATAGCTTTTCTTTCGCTCTCAGTCCGAACTGGACCGAGCTGATGCCACGGTCAGAAGAGATCAGAGAGTATCATGAAGGCGTCGCTGATGCGTACAATATACGAGACCGCGTTTCTCTCTCTACTGAGGTGGTTAAATCTGTCTGGCAGGAGGATTGCTCCCGGTGGCTTCTCTTTCTAAGAGAAGCCAATACCGGACGGGAGTTTACGCATGAATGCCAGGTCCTGTTCAGCGCAATTGGACTGCTTGTCAAGCCTCGAGAGTGTGATATCCCTGGAAAGGAGTCCTTCAAGGGCCATATTTTCCATTCTGCCAGGTGGAATCACAGTGTCTCCCTGGAAGGGAAGAATGTCATCGTTATTGGTAATGGTTGTACGTACCCTCTTTTACCCACTTCAATCGTGTCCCAATTGCAATCTTCAATTGTCTGACAGGGCCTCAGGTACGGCGACGCAGATTGTCCCTGCGATTGCAAACAAGACCAAGTCTCTCACACAGATTGTTCGGTCAAAACACTGGATAGTACCGTCTATCAACTTCAAATATCCTCCATATGCACTCTGGATACTGCGTAATATCCCATTTGCAATGCGACTGCTGCGGTTTCTCGTCTATCTCGGGGCAGAGTCAGCGTTCTCAATGTTTTATATGACTGAAAAGGGCAAAAGACTACGCCAGGGTAAGCGGACTAGAACAGAGAGGTTCATGAGAAAGAGAGCCCCTGAGAAATACCATGATATACTCATACCAGATTTTGAAATCGGCTGCAAGGTCAGTTTGCTGAACTTCCCGTTATCGACAAGCCCTTTGGAACGAACTAACATCCGGTAAAAGCGTCGCATATTCGACACTGGATACCTTAAGGCACTTCATAATGAAAATCTACTGCTGACGGATGCGAAGATCCTGAAAATCGTCCCTGATGGGCTGCAGACAGGTGACGGCTTCATCCCTGCCGATGTCATTGTCCTGGCTACTGGGTTCGACACAAGCGAGTACCTGAACGGAAACATTAATATACTTGGGCGTGGGGGTAAATCCGTTGCAGAACACTGGGATGAATACGGCGGCCCTGAAGCATACAATAGCTCTGCCATGCATGGTTTTCCAAACTTTTTTATGTTATTGGGCCCGAATACCGCAACAGGCCATACATCAGCTTTAATGGCAGCAGAAAAGTGAGCAACGCCAACAAGCACCCCTTTTTCTAACCTATTGTAAAGGAAGATACATCGTTTCGCTAACTACCATGTCCCGTTGGAAGCTCTGTAAATTACGCCCTCCGCATTCTCAAGCCAGTTCTCATGAACAACGCCACATCAGTTGAGGTAAAGCAAGAGGCTGAGAGCGTCTACGTCAACAAAGTCCAAGCTGCCCTCCAGAAGACCGTTTTCCATTCGGGCTGTCGATCGGTAAGCATCACTTTATTCGTCTTCATTTCCGCTGCCTGACTTAACGGCCCGTGTCTCATTAACAAAAACTATAAAACAACAGTGGTATGTGAATGACAAGGGCTGGAATGGCACAACGTACCCCTGGCCACAGTCTTACTTCTGGTACCGGAGCTTATTCCCTTGCTGGTCGGATTGGGATATTAAGGTAGGACCCTCAACCTGGTTATATTAAGTACTTATTTAAGTGTGATATTATGTGCATCGTGCACAAGATCTAAGCTGACTCTGGGATATCGATGCAGGGCTCCTTGAACAAAACGAACTCTGTTCCTGGGGGTGCCATGTTGCTGATTCTCATGTTGGTAATTCCCACGTATATGGCCTGCCAGAGTACCACGATCAGGGATCTAATATTCGGGATTGCGGGCGATGTATCGTCGTGTCTGGGGAGATCTCTTGAGCAAGGGTTGTGCTTAGTAAAATCATAGCCCTGGGCAAGTGGTGCACTATGTACTCTACTTCGAGACATTACTACAAGCAATATGCAGTAGGCGAGAGCTCAAAGAACTACTGCTCTTTTGAACTTTTTTGATTGTTTGGAATGTTTGGTTCTATATACAATTGATTCATAGCAACATTAATTTACACCCATTCTAGTTTCAGATACAAATACATCTGTTTGTTTAAGGATCCCTCCGCAAGACGCCTCGAGGGTTTCCATATCAATTATACGTTCCTCGCTCTCCGTTCGGGCGAGGTCCCGACCGCGTCCGGGTTCAACAGATGTGGTCACAACATTGTCCCCGTTATGCATGTTCCATGGCAAACTGCCAGCAATGCTAAGAGAAGGGTTTGTCTCACGTCGGTTTTGGTAACGCGCAGACCGGCAAGTGAAAAAGCCTGGAGAGCACTTGGCTCTAGTTTGAGATGATCTCCCAAAGACTCGGGGGAAGAATATTGAAAGCGGCAGGCGGATAATCGGTAGACAAGCGCATATTATGGCCGTGTTCATTTCAACGGTAGCCCACAATGCGTTGAATAGAAAATTGTCTACTGAGTAAGTCAGTATGATTAAGTATCAAGGGAAACAGCGCCTCAAACAGCGTTGGGGATCTTTTGGGGGTAAAATACATGTAACATCAACCGGCTTCGCAGATTGTGGGAAAGTCGTAGAGCGGATTATGCTTATCAAACAGACACTATAGAATGGCCCGTTAGCAAAAGAAGCTATTCACCAGAGTAGACAGATATAGGCAAGGAGCTCTCACAATCCACCGAGAAGGAAGACAAAGATCAATGCAACTTTGTCGCGGAACTGTAGCCCGAGTCGAGAGACGTAGTATACCGGCAAGAATAATATCAAAATATCGGTTATAATGTTTATCAGGGCGTGCGATAGCCATATGCCCAGATCGTTCATGCATTTATGTGGGATACTGCGATCCCAAAAGGCCGCTAGCGGTCGACATTGGAATAGCGTTGGGAAGATAAAGACGATAGATGCCACGCTTGTGATGACGATCATGCTGATACAAGCCCATCGGAAGTAGTTGTTGGCAGTGAACACCCTTAAGTATAGAGACAATATCGATACTTTTGCGAGACCGATGACGAGTTTAAACAAAACTTGTGCACAAAGCAGCATCTGTTACGAGAGCAAATGTCAATTATATTGGTTGGAACGTATATTCACTCTCACGACTGAACATACCTTGAATGCTTCCATTTTATCCTGCGCTGAGATCTCATTTCCATGCTTCCCCAAGCCATATCCAATGCCTGTTAGTTATTATTAGCCACCAATGTTGCATGGTTAACAACCAGAACTTATATCACCCACCCAGATTATGCACCACTGTAAAAACAATGGCGAGGACCTGTACTTGAGTTAGTATACTCTCTGGGAATGTGTAAAAGAGGCGTATACTTACCAATGCTCCAAGTATTGTCCAGTCATCTGCCTTTATTCCATCTCTGAGATATCTGCCGACCAGCCGGAGAAGAACAAAAACCCCAGCGAGGGTAACCATCAAAGTACCAACAATATAAAGCACATATCCCCTACCAAAGGCATCGGCCCTCCCCATCTCACGAACGAGAGCCGAAAAATGAAAACAGAATAAATGTCCAACGAGAATGGTCGTACCAAATTGAAGGACGAGTCGGATACCCCTTGGTGATCATTCGAAGACCTTCCACCCTTATGGGCTTTGAGTCGGAGGTTATGTATCGTTTGTGCTGGGAAGCAAGTTAGCCCGGGCAATTGCTCTCGTGCACATCTCGAAGGTATATATGAAGTACAAACGAGATAATTCCACTGACCAGTTGAGGGCAGTATCCCATCCTTTACATAGTCCTGTTATTGTTGATCTGCAAACTTCCGGAATCAGCACCGTATGGAGAAATGGAGCTTGTTAAATCGTCCTAACAGGGTAGCCATTGGCCAGAAAACAAATGAAGGGGAAAAAGAAACAGCCACGATCGAAAAGCATGCAAGAACATTCGTTCCCTCACGCCTATCGAAAAGTCGTTTGTTTGGGGTGGATATAATGATAGCTGGCGAGATATTAAGCCAAAGACGAACAGGGATTCAAAGAAGTTCCCTCTCCTATCGAACGAATATGTACGTACCCGGGCAGCCAGGGTGGGTTCTCTGGTTATATCTCATTCCTTCCATGCATCACTTGGCCACGGGCAGAGTGGAGACGATAGGGCAGGCTTCCTTCGTTCGAAGGACAGTTTAAAAAAAGCGCCGTCCTTCCTGAGACCCACGCTCGGGCAACAGACTGGTGAAATGGAAGCAGTGTTGGCAGCCGAGGTGGAAGCACAGGAGGAACGGTCTATGAAAGGGAGACTATAGGTGGCCGTCCCACAGGTGTACAAGGCGGAGGTGTCCGCAACCAGGCATGGCAGCCCCTGTGATCAGAGTAATCCGGCTACAAGCGAGTCTCGTACAGGGCCTGATCGCACTAACTAGTTTTCTGATGGGTTTGGCAGCAAAGTGTTTGCCGTATAGAACATCCTGCTCGTCGGATCCTTGCTGCTGAACCAACCCCTTGCTGAAATGTTCGAATAGCCAGGACCCGTGGCTTCCATGGATACAAAGGAATCCAGTCACAGCCGCCAGCTGGATACGGATATCAAGCCCGTCCCAGGGCGTGCCGGAATCGGGCGACCTATCACCGTAAAAGAGCCAGATAGTTAATCAAGGCGTGCCGCTGGAATATTCCATGCACCAATCCGTTCAGCAAACAAGGTAGGATTCATGTTAGCCCATTGGCAGGCAGAATTCTCCCATCCACCATCCCGTCTAGGCATTTTTTCTTGAAGAGCCATGAAACGCGAGGTGGTACAAACCGTATGCAGCTTGAAAGAGCTTCAAGACAAGCCCTAACCCACGCCACGGCCTGGGCCGCAATTGGTCTGGATATAAATAAATTTACCTCATCGCATCAGGATTGGCCTCCGGCAGGTGGAGCGAGTCTGGAGAGCTGAGCTTCTAGAATGTTTCAGCCGTGTCTCGATTGGCTCAAAAACGGTTGATAGATAGAAAATCTCGGCTTCGCACTAGCTGGGATCAGAGCGAGATGAATGTTGTTACCGATGAAGAAGCATAAAAGGATGGCGTCGTGTTCGCCTCAACCCTCCGGCCCCCAGATGTTGATCATACAAAGCAGCCTCAGGAGTAACGGGAGCCCAAGCGAAGTCGTTCAACGGATATTAAATGTTGAATAATCCCGAACTTCCCCATCTTCTCTTTTTCGTGAACAGGTAGAGTGGGAATTTTGAGGAAACCTACGGAAACAATTAACATTGAACAGTTCATTCTAAAATTCCGTTTTTCCTATCCAGGAGACACGGGAGCACAAGAGACAAGGGGGACATCGAACTCATTTCGATAACTTGTTGCACCAGAACGACAGCGATTATTAGTCTGAGAACACACCCGGATGCGCCTGGTCCATGCTAGTGCTCCGTAACTTCTCAGCATGCCGTACGATCAATAGATAGGCTTTAGACGTGTCCGCAGCCATGGCCCGATGCTAGTGGGCCGGACATACTTAGTATACAAGTAGAGTGGCAAGTTGTTGCTTTTGGCTGCACTAATTTATCAAAAAAGGAGAATGGGTACAGAGTACTCCATAGAAACAAAAATGTGCTCCCATGGGTCAACTGGAGGTGTTTGCGCGGTTGTTGATGGATTTTTGGTAGTGGAGACATTGGGATGTTGTTATGCTGAATGTTCTCTACTTCGCCAACACGTGTATGTATGTATAGTAGCCACCCCCTGAAAGCGCTTTAACAACAGAATCATTTCATTATCCTGAGAACTGATTTCTAAGATGTGATTGATCTAGTGGCTGTGCAATTATCTATTCCATCTCAGATATGGTTGTCACTTGCGCCACTTACGATTCCCCAAATGTGACGCCATCAGCAGTCAGTTAAGAAAAGGGAGATCATTGGTAATTAGGCAATGGCACTGCCACAGGGGTGACTTCATCAGGTTTCTTGTAGGGACCTAGATATCTTAGCAGGTAGGCAAAGTGCTAGTCGACGACAAGGCCAGTCGACTCATCATCCCGGAAAGTGGAGGCTGATAGCGAATCCGGTTTTCTCTTCTGGTTTGACTTCTGGCGTGAGAGGGTCTTAAGCTGAAGCGCTCTCGTTCTATATTCAAGGACATGGATGACCTCGGCGAACTCCCTACACGCATCGATCCATTTCTCTTCCGCCATGAAGATTTTCCCAAGTAGAAAGTGTGCAATATCACGAAAATCGCGGATTACAGAGGGATTCTGCTCTTCTATGCGCGTACACTTCCAAAGAACATCGGAGACAGATAACCGAGCTTCCGTATGTTGACCGGAGGAAAACAGTATGGCACCTTCGAGGAGCAAAGTTTGTACCCAGTCAGGACCGCCTGAGCTAAGGCGCTTCCGCAGAAGACAAAGTTCGTTTAAAGCACGCTGCGATTCACCTCTCGCCCATTTGTACTCCACGACGCCTAGCAGTGTCTCGTTTGCAGGAAACGAAACCCATGTGTCCTGTATCCACCTTGGTTCAACGGCCATGAGGAACGAAAGGTAGCTGCTGCTCTTGCGTGTGCATTCTGCGAGGGCTGCTTGGCTTTCCATAATGATGGACCGATGCTCTTCAATGTTGAATTTGAGATCAGTTATTGTTTTCAGAGCTTGCAAGAGGCATCTGCGGGAAGCGTTTCTCTCATCGACAGTTCTTTTAAGCAGGTCTGCTAAATCTATAATAGTGGTTTGAGGGTCTTTACCCTCCATGAACTGTATTGGTTCATGTGCTGAGCCAGGAGAAAATCCTTGAGTATCCATAGGTCGGAGACTTCAAGGGCAAACGATAAATACCAGGATTGCAAATGGCCAGTTGTGTTTTCCTATCTGGCAAGCCTCCGGAAAAGTGCCCATTTTAAATAAGAGCTTCTTAGCCTTGGAAGTGACTCCCTGCAGAGTAACTGGCAACTTCCACCATATCTCTAACTGAGGCTAGCGTGAAAGAAAATGAACATAGTTCAACATATTGAGTCTTTGAATTCTTTATCAGTGTTAAAGGGGGTATAATCACTATTATCTATCACTTTCTTTAGGTCTTCAACTGATATTGAAGTCATGGATGTTGACTTATTCTTTTGTTGTTTGATATTGAAGTTGAATAGATTAGTAATCAAAGGATCTGCAAACAGAGCAAACAAACACCAGATATGCAAACAAATCAAACAAGCAAACTCAACAAACAAAACAAACTAAACAAACAAAGCAAACAAACACCTCGCGGGCCGCAAAATATCAACCTTCATTCTTTAACTCTTCGTTTGTACGAGAATAACGAACGAACAACGAATAACAAACACGCCCGCGGGAGTCAGACGCTCCCGAGGTTGCCATGCAACATCCTGGCAGCGCTGAGAGAGCTGACCCCCGTGTACAACCCCTCATCTTAACTGGATAATGGATATCAGTTCGCTAACTTGACCGTCCCTTGCACAGGATACAACTTGGCGGCTGCGTCATAGTCGTGGACCCATGGAAGCCTGATGATCCTCCTCCTTGCGGGCTCGATTTTGTACCGGCCTGCCCGTGCAAATCAGCGGCCGATGATGTCGCACATTAATGCTTTCTAGACCTGGCTTGTTGGTGGAGGCGGACAGGGTTGCCCGCATACGAAAAAACAAGATAACACCGAAATACCGCGTTGTTGTCGTTGTCCCCGCGGCGTTCTACATTGACACCCTCAGCCCGGCGCAGGCGCGCGATGACTCAAGCGGCGTCAAGCAGCTGTTTGTATCGCAGATTCAGGCTCGGATACTAGACGGTGGTTCTCCAATTTTATGACATCTATACGAAGTCTGTTCTAGAAACTTATTGGAATGATTCCTCATCTCCTGTCTTCGTCCGTTGGGATCCCTGAACACCTTCCATAGCACTCCGCACCATTGTGCAGGTAGTTGGCCCGAGTCCCGCACTACCTCCGAGCTGCTTGTACAAGGCACACCTTTCCTCGCCAACATCTATATATATCTGTATATATATATTTATCTATAACCCCTCGCTTGTTGAAGGTCTGCATCTTCATCAACCTTAGATTTTTCCATCTATTTCTATTTCCTGGACCAATTCACCTGGAAAATTCATCATTGGTCTTGAAACAAGCATCATGTCTCCCATTGCTACATCAACTGTTGATATCGTGGATATCCGCGGTACCAACCTCCAGAACTCGTTATCTCAGGACATCTATCATGGTCTTCAGGCTACAGAGAAAAGCCTCCCTACTTTACTACTTTACGACACGAAGGGATTACGGCTGTTCGAAGACATCACATACTTGGACGAATACTACTTGACGAACGCGGAAATCAAAGTCCTAGAAGCAAACGCTGCCAAAATTGCAGCGCTTGTCCCTGAGAATTGCCAATTAGTTGAGTTGGGGAGCGGGTTTGTTTTCCTCTCCCCTTCGATGCCATTATCTTCCCGAATACCGAGCAATATCACATGTCCCTCTTCACCGGCTATTCGATTTTAACCGCGAATGTAGGAATTTACGAAAGATCGAGATCTTGTTGAATGAGCTTGAGCGCGCTAGAAAGTCGGTTGAATATTACGCCCTTGACTTGTCCCTGGAAGAGCTTCACCGGACTTTTGCGGAACTGCCGTCGAAGAGCTATCGATATGTTAAATGTCGTGGGTTCTGGGGCACGTATGATGATGGTCTCAACTGGCTCAACAACCCCTCCAACAGAAGTAAACCAACTTGGGTTATGTCTTTAGGTTCATCAATGGGCAACTTTAACCCTGTTGAAGCCGCGGGCTTTCTTCGTGGGTTTGCAAGGAGTCTGGGACCGGCGGATTCGATGGTAATTGCCTTCGATCCTTGTAAGGATCCAGAGCGGGTGTTCAGGGCTTACAACGACGGAAAAGGCGTCACAAGGCAATTCTACCTTAACGGATTGTCTAACGCAAACACTATTCTCGGCTTTGAAGCCTTCAAGCTAGGGGAATGGGAAGCAATAGGGGAGTTTGACCAAACTCTAGGGTGCCACAAAGCCTATTACGTCCCACTAACGGATACCGTCATCAACGATATACATATTAAGAAGGGCGAGAAGATATTCTTTGAACAGGCATTCAAGTATGGAGCAGATGATTGCGAAAAGCTTTGGCGTGATGCTGGCTTGCAACCAACTCGAAAATTCGGGGATGATTATAGTAAGTTGGACCCCACCTGCTCAGCTAAACCAGCAAGGGTCGATGCCCCTGTAACGGGCGTTTGCCGCTGTTTATTTATAGCTCTATATTGACAAACCCGCGATTTCCTTGCTGTAGATATCCATATCCTATCTTCAACCGCCACCAACATGAACCCATACCAGCTACCTACGAAGAGGACGGAGTACGTGAAAGATGCGGTTCCAACGCTGGGAGATTTTGAGGCAGTCTGGAAACTATGGGACACTGTTACCACTTCTATGGTACCACACAGTGACCTACTCTCCAGGCCAATCCGCCTCAGGAACTCCTTGATATTTTATCTAGGACATATCCCGGCATTCCTGGGTGAGCTAACTCCTTGGGATTTACATCAGCTACAAAGTTACAGAGCTAATGCACACTTCAGATAGGCACCTCTCCCGGGCAACTGGCGGGGTACCTACTGAACCGGCGGAGTTCCATTCCATGTTCGAGCGTGGTATTGACCCTGATGTTGATAACCCTGACCATTGCCACGACCATAGCGCTATACCAGATGAATGGCCGGCGGTTGAAACTTTGGTAGAATACCAACGCCAGGTCAGGATTAGGGCGAAATCGGTATACCATAACGGGCAGATTGACGACAGGAAAGTTGCCGAGGCTCTATGGATTAGCTTTGAACACGAAACCATGCACTTAGAGACATTCCTCTACATGCTTTTGCAGGGCAACAGTACTTTGCCCCCTCCTCTCGTCGCTAGGCCTGATTTCAAGCAACTGGCGTCCGACTCGGCTGAGAAAGCGGTCCCCAATGAATGGTTCAAGATTCCCGAGCAAACTGTAGAGATTGGTCTCGACGAGCCAGGATCCGATGAGATTCCTAGTACTTCCTTTGGTTGGGATAACGAAAAACCACGACGAACTGCCCATGTACCCAGCTTCGTGGCCAAGGCTAGGCCAGTAACCAATGGGGAATACGCGAAATACCTGGAAGAGAATGATACTGAACAGCCTCCTGCATCATGGGTGGAAAGTTCTCCTGAAAATGGTTCAAACGACACAGTGACAAAGTATGCTGTCCGCACTGTGTTTGGTCCAGTACCACTAGAATGGGCAATGGATTGGCCTGTCGCTGCATCATATGACGAACTACACCGATATGCAAAGTGGATGAAATGTAGGATTCCTACTTTTGAGGAGACTAGGAGTTTGTACAAGTACTCACTTTCCTCCCCAACGGGGAACAGTGAGGTGTCTAATGGGCTCATGTGGGTTTTCTGCTTTGCTACCGCTATGTTGTGCAGTCTATTAACAGGGCTATTAGGGAATCTATGAATGGGTCGGATAAACGAGATCATATCTCTAGCCATCAGCCAGTGCAAACACCATCCAGTGTACACAAGTCAGTGTATGTTGACCTCGATGACTGTAACGTCGGATTTAACCACTGGCATCCAACTTCCGTCACGCAGAATGGGGACAAGCTCAGCGGGCAGGGAAATTTTGGCGGAGTATGGGAATGGACGAGCTCTACTTTAGAGACTCATGATGGGTTCAAGGCGATGGACCTTTACCCTGCGTATACCGGTAGGTTTAAGGTACCCAACTCCCAGCAATTACAATACTAACTTCGCTATTGTAGCGGACTTCTTTGATGGCAAGCATAACATCGTTCTTGGAGGGTCGTGGGCAACCCATCCCAGGCTTGCAGGGCGGTCAACTTTGTATGTTCATATTTCAGTCCTTGATAATACGCTGGATATAGCTGCTAACATTCATTTTTAGTGTTAACTGGTACCAGCGGAACTACCCATACGTCTGGGCTGGCGCTCGTCTTGTCCGAGATGATTGAACATGCCCCCATTTACCCCAGGTCCAGCTTAGAGTACCAGGCTCGCTACGACCAAACCAGGATTAATGATAGTACTCTTCGCCATATACGACGTGTCTTGCCTTTTAATGCATTGATTTATTTTACTGGTTACAACGATTTTGTATCTTTGTTTGATAGGGGCTGCCTCCCGATTCTTGTGACGAGGTCGATGCTATCTACCGTCAAACGGCCAGTAACTATAATATTGGAATATCTTTAATTGCCTGAATGGTACCATACAAACGAACGCTTCTTAATTACTTTTTCGAAGGGAATGTTCTAGGCACTTCACGTACTGTTTACCTTTGAAGACTTCGGCTATGCAGTCGAGATCATTATACATTGTTACAAACCGTGTTGTTGTAGTGATTGACCAGCGGGTACTCACACAGTACTGAAACGTAGGGAAGTACGTAAGTGACAAACAAAGCCAGGAGACAATGAACTCTGTAGATTGATGCATTCGTATTCGATTTTTCTTGACCTCCTTTTCCTCTTTAGAGACACATTCCAGCAAAACGGGACATATAACAACAACTGTAGGACGGAAAACTCAGTCCTATCATTGGACACTGGGTTTTTCACAGACAATATCTGTTACAATTAATGCCTTTTTATTCTAGCTATTGATGGAAATACCCCTTCATTTAACCTATTGGTGATAGGAGGTGACTTGCATTGATGGACTTTCTACACTTAACAAGGGGATTAAGTGATATAGCTAGAGAGAGGTAGGAGGCTGCCATACATTTTGAGGAGATTATTAAAGAAGAATGGTTAAAATCACTATGCTAGCAGGACTATTCGTCTTATTAACTGTATCAGTGAATATCTAGACTATGCCCATTCATATTGCATAGAAGACAGTTAAGAGATTCAGAAATGTCCCGACCAACAGGAGACTCACTCAGACCCTTCAGGTCTATTTAAAAAGCCCAGCTGGTCTCGAGCTTCCTAAAAATGATCTCCCTTCTCAATATTTTATTCTTTACCACAGCTTACCTGCATATCTGTTTTGAGATCTCCTCTAGCAACACTGACGCCCCTGTCTTACCTGGACACAGTACACCATTTAGAACAATAGCTGAGTGTTGGGATCATATCTTCCCTTACCTATATAAAGGCCTTTGTCAAGCTCTGGTACCTTTCTTACTTTGGTGTAGGAAAAGAGCCTATCCACTGCAGCCATGGAGTTAAAGGCCGATGATAACTTCAAATGGGAAGAAAGCCCAGGGCTCTGTATGGCTGCTAATATCTCTCCTCCCCCCTCTCTCCCTTTTGAAGATTGGTTGCTAACATATTATGACCTTCCTGGGTTTTTAGATCATGGATGTGGAGTATGTGGGACATGTCTTAACAGCCCAAAGGCCAAAAGAGCTTGCTATGGGAAGCATACAGAACCTTGCCTGAGGTATCACCAAACAATGTTTTGCATTGGTAAGTTGCCTAAAGCCGAAAAAGGCGGATACCCGAATGAGATACTGACTCGAGTTCCGCTATAGGAAACAGCCATAAATGCGATCCGTAAGTATGCAGTATTGGCTAAAAATAAACTTCTATACCCCATTAACAGGATATATAGTTGCCGCAAGTCAAACGATCTCCACGAAAAACGGCACAGGGACATTGCAGAATTGGTCGAGAAGATCCATGAATTTGACCGAGACGGAGGCCGCACTGTTAAGTTTGTTCGTCGCATTGGCGGTCCCGATGGCCCAATCCTTACTCCCAGAATTCCGGAGATGATGTTAGCCAAGGCTGCCATTATGCGCTCGCTTGGCCAAACAATGTCTCTAAAGGGAACGCCGTCAGCCAAGGATCGCAGGGCGGAGAAGAAGGCCAAGAAGCTGGAGAAGAGTGTTGCCAAGTCGATCAAGCGCCAAGTAGGCCGTGCAACAGTTCCGGGAATCGTCCTTGCAAGCTCCGTCGAACAGGTCAACCAGGCCATCCACGGTATCAGCAAGCTTGAATCTTCTTTGAGCCCCGAGGACGCAGACACCTTCTTCGTAGCCAGCATCAAACGCTTCCAGGAGTTGGAACAGGAGGCCCAGGAGACCGCCGCCATCAAACGGGATGCTCACGGAGGAAGGGAGAAATCAGCGTCTCCTGGAAAAGAGAAGGCCGAATATGGTAACGTCAACAAGTACGAGCTTCCCATGATCAAGGAGATCCTTGACGCGCTCAATATCCGCATCAACAACGGCAACGCGGACAAGGACCGCAAGCAGCTGCTTACGAAGCTTGGAGAGGCCATCTTCGCCGACCTGGAGCTGGTATCAAACGAGGCGAGGGAGACCATGAGGCGCAGCGCAGGCTACTGGCGGTTTGCCAACAGGCGCACCTACAACGCCATGGTCCGGAACAGCAAGATCGTGAACTGGGAGACGGGCGAGAAGCTGACGGAAGAGACCCTGCCTGCCCACGAATCAGAGGAGTAGTTTGTAGTGCCAATCAATCATCTTCAATTTCTATATTTGATCTGTTCAATCCATGCCCTGTGGTTATTGCTGTAGTTGTAGACATGACGTTGAGTTTTGGTGTTATTCCAGTGTTACTCGTCACGCGACCCGCTTCCGCTTTGGGACGCGGGATGCCGAAACTTTTGTCCGGCGTTTTGGCCGCGGGCAGCAGAAAAGCGACGCACGGCGAGAACAAGTTTGATATCTCAGCATTGCAGGGCGTCTTGACAGCGACCTCACCGTCTAGACGAGCGCGAGACGAGCCAGCAGGGCCCGCAGCTTCATCTTGTCCCACGCTGAGCGCCTCCGAGCCATGGCCTGAGAACCCGCGGAGTTGCCAGTCGGTAAACGCGGCTGTTCCATCGTTTCGCCGTCGACCCACCGATACCGAGGACACTTGAGAGTTAACTAAGTCGAACGACTAATAAAAGCGGGCTGGATCGCCAGCTTCAACGTCTGGTCTGACCCCTCGTCCATTACTGCACTGCTGCTGCTACGATACCGAAGGAAGAGAAGTGCTGCGCTGCTCGCCGCCGACCGTTTGACCGCCGACATGGCCTCCGAGACACTGACGACTATCTCGCCCATCACCAACAAGCCGGTGGTAACCAGAGCTGGCGTGACACAGGACGAACTTGCAGCGCTGCCCAAGGCTGCCCAGGAAGCCTTCCGGGCGTTCTCCAGGTCGACGACGCTCGCCCAGAGGCAGGAGATAGTCGCCCGGGCGCTGGGTCTGCTGGCCAAAAAGAAGGATGCCCTCGCCCGCGAAGTGACGGAGCAGATGGGACGACCTATCGCCTACACGGGAGTTGAGATCACAACGGCAGTCAAGCGAGGTGAATATCTTAACCGAGTGGCGGGCGAGACCCTGGGGGAGCCGGTGCCTGGGGACGCTGAGCCGGGGTTCAAGAGATATCTCAAAAAAGAGCCACTGGGCGTCGTCCTCGTCATCTTTGCTTGGAACGTAAGCTCGACTTGCTTAACTAGTTTCATTCTCGCCTTCAGCTCGCGGTACTAATTGAGAATAGTACCCTTACTTGATCCTAGTCAATAGTCTGATCCCTGCGATTCTAGCTGGAAACGCCGTGATTCTTAAGCCCTCCCCACAAACTCCCACGGTGGTCGAGCAGGTGTCGTCCATCTTCCTCGAAGCTGGTCTTCCCCGGAATGTGCTGCAATATTTCCATTGCGGATCGCTCGTCAACCTGGAGACCATCATCCGGTCCCCCCTGATCAACCACATCTGCTTCACCGGCTCAGTTGCCGGCGGCCTGGCTGTCCAGAAAGCAGCGGCAGACCGTATAGTCAACGTCGGCCTTGAGCTCGGCGGCAACGATGCAGCCTACGTCCGTGAAGACGTAGACCTTGCCTGGGCCGCCGAGGAGATCGTGGACGGCGCCATCTTCAACAGCGGCCAGAGCTGCTGCTCCATCGAACGGGTATACGTTCACGAAAAGATCCACGATGCCTTCATCCAGGAAATCAAAAAGGTACTTGCCAACTATCGCGTTGGCGATCCCTTCGACGAAAAGACCCAGATCGGGCCCGTCATATCTCAAAGGGCCAGAGAGAGCATCCTCTCTCACATAGAAGACGCTGTCAAGGGCGGCGCCAGGGACGAAACGCCCGCGAACACCACTTTCGACAACCTCCCGCCAGTCGGCAACTTTGTGAAACCTACACTGCTCACAGGCGTCACGCACAGTATGCGGGTGATGGCTGAAGAGACATTCGGGCCCGTCATACCCGTTATGAAAGTCAAGGACGACAGCGAGGCCATTCGATGGATGAATGACAGCGACCTCGGATTAACCGCTAGTGTCTGGACAAAGGACGTAGCGACAGGAGAGAAGCTGATCCAGGATATCGAAGCCGGCACCGTCTTCGTCAATAGAGCCGATTATCCGAGTCCAGTGAGTCTTGCCGAGCCCCCTGTCCTGCGCTTCGCTGTGCTGTTCAGTTATGTGCTGCGGTTGCATGACATTCTAGTTCTGTTCACAATCTTTTTTCCCTCACACTCAATCCTTTACCCGTACCAAGTCTTCTGGAATCACCGCGTTCTAACGTTCTTTTCTCTCATAGGACCTTGCATGGACCGGATGGAAGAATTCCGGAAGGGGTGTTACTCTCAGCAGATTTGGTTTCGACCAGTTCATCAAGCTGAAAAGCTTCCATCTGAAGGATTATCCGAAGTAGAGCTTCACGGGTTTTTCCGCCTGGGTTTGCACCTTGTGAGTTATGTGATGATTATTTTTAATTTGAGTTGTATGAATATGAATATGAATATATTCTTCTATCACCATCTGCTTGCTTACTCCGTATATCCATCCAAAGATGAAAAATTTTTCCAATCTAATCGAAAGAGGTTAATATCTTCTACTATAATACCTGGGATGCCCTTGGTTGCAGATGCATGGAATTCTCATCGATACGCCGTAGAAAGAAAGCCATTGCCTTTTTTTTTTTACTTTCTATTTACGCCACGCCGGAGGAATGCACCGTCTTGTAGGAGGAGAGCCGGCGGGCATCTTAGGCTGGTCGGTCCATAGCTCCGACGGATTATATGCTTCGTTTCTTCCGCCGCCAAGATCACCGGCTGCTGACTTCGCAGCGCCAGCCACAGAGTTACTATGCATGCTGGATACAATACTGCCATGCATTCGGATGGAGGGGCCATGGAATGCACATCTCATATATGTCAAAGGAGCTAAATGCCGCAGCGGGAAGGGTGAAAAAGTTAGGTCGTGCAGAAGGTTTTGACAGCGTTGTTGCTTTTCATAGATCTTCAACAGCAATGTTTTTGCATGTGTTTCTCTATCGTTGCCATCTTCAGGGCAACACTCTAGAGTTACTCTGTAGACAGGCAAATGGCTTGTATATAGATATCTGCATCATAGAAAAGTCGGCACCTGGCTCAGACGCTGTTTCCGAAGCTTCTCGTCCTCACCTTGATCCCCTGTATTCCCAGCCTTGAAAATTTTGATCTGGTCAAGCGTAGGATCTCTATCTTCAATTTTCACTTGGCGTGTAGCGGGGCTTGGACCCGGTTCCTTGGCTGGCTCGTCCAACTCATCGAAGAGTTTTGCAAATCGGGAGCTCGAGCTTCCACGAGGCTTAGGTGCTGAAGTTGATCGAGCAACAGGCGAGGATGACCCGCTGCTGGAGCTCTGGGGCCGCTTGATGTTTACATGTGGCTGCTTGATAGGCGAGAGTACTGGGTTTGCCCCTGTAATTGGAGCAGAAGTTGTGTCTCCTCTACGCGGGAGAGCGACAGGAGTTAACTCGGAGCCGTACGCTGGTGCTACTGTCTTAGGTCGGACTTTTATAGCCGGCAGTCGGCTTGGTACCCTGGCCTGCACGCCCAGGTCATCATCGTCGCTCGATGCTGTAGAGTGACCCGTGGCACCCGCCGTCGATGGAGGTCGGATATTGGAAATCGGCCTGGCCTTCGCGTTTTCGTCTCCTCCCTTGTCTCGCAGGGCCTTTTCAGCGCCACCACTCGTGTTCGCTGGTCGAGAGCAGCCCAGAGCAACTTTCGTGGACGACCTGATCCCATGCAGCCCCATGAGGGGACGGGATTGCTTCGAGGTCACCATCAACGTTTGCAATGATGTCCCTACCCATGGATCATCGTCTCGGTCTTCGTCACTCATCCCGATATCTTCATCGTTGCTGTCTTCCATCTCATAATCACCAACTTGCGGCCTTCCAACGTCCATTTTCAATTTATCCAGTGCTTCCTGGCGCCGAATATCCGAAGCTTCGCGCTCAATAGTCTTTTTGGTTGCGTTATTCATAGACGTCTGCGGATCCGTAGGCCGCCGTTGGGTCATGTTTATCACTTTCGAGGCATTTTCAGTCTTGGCCTGCTTCTTTTTGCGAGTATATTCGGCCTGGTGTAAATGGGCCGTAAAGGCTCGAGCAGTCGCCAGGAACTCATCCTCCACCATAATGTATTGATCGTCAGCATCGAGGCCGTCTATCATAGGCCTGGGCTTCTGTATTAGCCAAAGATCCCAGTGGATAGTCGGGTATTTCAAGTTCAACATACTCTTCGAAAGGCGGTTCTCGAACAGGCGAAGTCGAAGGTGTTCGATCTGCAGAGACACAATTCAGCCGTACCCTGTACAAATCAGGAGATATACTATGCCTGTACATATATGTACACGCCGGGTGGTTCACTTACTGAGTCTACTGGACAGCGCGGTGCCTGTCGAGACCCGCCATCCTCCTACCTCACGCTTGATAGGCCTTTGTGGCGTCGAGTGTTCCCGCTTTGGCTCATCCAGTTCCCACGGCAGAACTCGGGGCATCGTATCGTCGATAGTAGCATCTTTGAAGTCATATACTCTCGGATGAGTGACGCCGCTGGTCGTAGTGAGTTTTGAGATGTCGGTGGTGTTGACGGTTTGTCGTCGTTTTTTGGTCGGTGAGCAAAAGGTGTCGCCCAAAGTTTAAAATAAGCGCCATGTTTGGACCTCAGGCATCCATCTACGGATATCTTTTGCTACATGACTACAACCACCATATTCAACAGACACGACGAGGAGTGAAGGTACGGAGTGCAATCATAATCAGGAGACATGGAATATGGGCAATTGTCATATCTTTCCAATGTCCTTTTTTTTACATCTTTAAAAAAATTTCATGAACTTTTTGGCGAGTGAGTGTGCGGCTGTAATCACTGTCGAGTGCAGAGATTGATAACCTCTACAGCAAGAAGTCTCGACAAGGTGAGTGCTCTGTTCAAAGTAAATAATGAGTGCTGACTCTAATCGGCGGGTTAATTCTGCGACAGGCAAAAAGAGCACTAAATTTTGCTGGGAGAGACAGTTGAATGTCAGCCATCCTTGCATCCGTCAAAATGGCCAATCACGCAGTCTAAGAGAAGGCAGCAATTCACTTAATAGGCCGGCTAGAGGACTATAGTCGCCGTTGTTAACAGCCAAGGAGACCCCTGTTACCCACGTAGCAAAATAGGCACCGAGTTATCCTACTTGAAATTTCAGTCTCTTGGTACGGCCACTCGATGAACTCATGTAAGGAAGCTCGACTGCGAAGCTTCTGTGCTTTTAAGTATACAGTTAAAGTGTCAAACCATAGCATCTAAACTCAGCGTATATCGATCGATTGATATAACGACGATTGAGTACCGTTAATCTGGTATGCCCTGCAGGGCAGCGCAATAGCCGCATTGGTGAACAACTCCTCGTGCTAACGTAGGTATGCATGTTCATAGCTGAATGGTAACAAGTAATAAGGTCAGATTGAAGCACCTGTTGGAGTCAGAGCCAACAAGAATGGCTATTTAAATTAATCGTCAGGGGATATATGCGCCCTAATGCATCTCATCACGGCATCAGCCAGTGTTTGCCCTAGTAACACATCAAGGGTCATCCTGTTAACGCCAACTCCGAACCAATAATGGCATTTCCACGGCTGTGCTAACTGTTAACTAGCATGAAGAGCAATAATATGAGATTATACCGGGGCCCAGATCCTTTACCAGAGAGGGGAGGCCGGTAGAAATAAATATACTCTGGGTCATTGTGAAAGAACTCAAGGTCTTCGACCGTGAGCCTTCAGCCTGAAGGGCATCACCCTCACATCCAAAGATAATGAAGCGAGCTATAGCCACCGTTTTCTTGCTTCTTTTCGCCCTTTACGCTCTGTTTTATTCTTCAACCGCTGCGCAACGGCCATGGCCAGGAAGGTCCAAATACCAACATGGCTTTGCCACACAACAGCAAGACACCCTCCGTGTAATGTTTGTAGGCGACTCAATGACCCAAGGCAAAGAGGGTGACTGGACCTGGCGCTATCGGATGTGGCAATGGTTTCAAGATCAGGATATTCCAGTCACTTTTGTAGGGCCGTATACAGGCACAGTTGAGCGCGATGCACCAGCACCTCCACTGTACGAATCAACGGAGGCTCCCAAAGCAAGCATTAAGATCAGCGGTGGTTATGCTCCGGGAGTCTCTCCAAACTTTGACCGACATCACTTCGCAATCTGGGGCCGAGCAGCGGCAGTCGATAAACACCTCATTTACGACGTGGTAACCGCTCATCCAACAGACATGATGTTGTTGATGCTCGGCTTTAACGACCTGGGATGGCTTTTCAGCAAGCCAATGGATGCCGTGGCCTCTCTTTACGACCTGATAAACAACGCCCGGAAAGCGAATCCGAACCTCAAGTTTGCTGTTGCAAATATCCCCCAGCGCAGCTTTATCGGCAGAGGCGACCTACCGGTTTCCACAGAGGAGTATAATTCTATCCTGCGACTCGCGCTACCGCAATGGAGCACCGAAAAATCACCTATACACCTGGTTGAGCTACAAGAGCACTATAGCTGTGGAATGAGTGCTTGCGAAGCCAGCTATGACGGGCTCCATCCAAATGCTCAGGGCGAGTTCCAGATCGCTAATGCATTCACTCTCACTCTAATCAATGATTTCAAGATTGGGTCTTCACCGCTGATTGTCCCTTTAAACCTTTGAATTGGACGCAAATTCCAGTGGAAAGATACTAGGTATGCAGCCATCTCAACAGGAAGGGTGGCAAGTGTATGACTGTGTTTATGTGTGTGTGTGGATGAAGGAGCACTTTGCCTTGATATTGAGTCCTAATATAAGAACTTTTCGTAAGGATATGAATAGAGCTTGTCCTTGACTGGTATTGCGTAAATATAGATGATTGCATTGCAAATTCTCTCTCATTCCGTGAAGTGGAATTGCTCTCGGATGGTATCCAATATGCCAATATTTCCACTTGGGCGCTATACCCTGTCGGCTTCCAAGACTCTTAGTAACCGCCCAGACCCGGTTGTCTTTGCGATGAATTGCACATGGCCCTTGCCGTTGAAATGGTTGGCATTAATTCCCTGTAGCTCGTTTGTGGTTTTATATATATTAGTTACTACAGTTAGGCTGTTAGCAAGCTAGGCAGACAGCTACATAAACCCTGCTCACCGGAAAATATTATCCTTCCCCTCCTCTGTGCATGCCGTAACTTTATCATGGCCAATTGAGCGGGATTTGTACATCGTATCTTGCGGGTAAAAAAACCTAGCTTTCCAATTCTCATGCAGACGGGGCGTCGGGTTAGGTAGTAGTTCAAGGCGAAGGATGAAGTGGCAGACATATGGAGAAACAACAGGACAATAACCGGAGGATATCCATGTATTCAAACTAGCCGTGTATCTCCAGAAGCAATGTCATTATGTTCTCGTTACCATGCCTTGGAATCTCCTCGAAGAAGTTACCGCAAACGCCATTTCCTGTCCAAACTCCAGGGAACGGAATCCCTTCTAACATTTCCGACCCATGCTCAAATTCTGTCTTGAAGGTGATATTTACGAGATATCGCCGCCCTGGATAGGTGAGCTCGACTGTCGATGTGAAACGTAAAACAATGCCACAATATATCGATGGGACCGATTGGAGCATTCATGCCTCGCCGGGTCGCTTGCTGTTGCATCCCACTATCTTTACCTTCTGTGCATGTAAGGTAGACTGGTCGTCTAGCTTAAAGGTAACATCTTTGACAAGGAAAGTCCACACTTCATCGCAGAAACGGTAGGTATCAAGATGACCCTGTACAGTGCAGGCGGGGAGTATCCCCCTACAGGTCAGCCAGAAGTGAAAGAAACAGGTGTAGCGAGAAGTAGGCCACAGCCAGCCTCATCCCACCGTAGCATGGGGCGGCTCGCGTTCGTTTAAACCACCGCCCTGATTAGCCAGTATGCATACCTTGAATGAGAGCTTGCACTTCACTTTATCCGCCAGGACTTCAGTAATGACACGGTCGAAGTTGGACAGTATTTTCATAGCCAGCTGGGGTTCGATGCGGCCCTCGTTAATTAAATCATCGAGGGTATCTGTCAGGGATAGTCCAATGCTAGCCAGAGCGAGATCATGTTAGCCTTGCGTCTTCCAAACGGTATCCGGTTGCAAACATACCTGCTGCCCCGGTACAGCTCATAGTACGCTGGAGCACTCATGTTTCCACCTTTCTGCGGCCCTCCTCAACTCTCCACCAGCCAAGTAGCAGCAAGCAAGCAATTTCGAGGGATCAGAGCCAAACACTCTCCAGTAAACCAGCACACGTTGCTGATATCCTCGTCTTCCACCCGGCTTGTTCTCTTTGGAGCCTTTCGTCGTCGCAAAAGTGAAGTCGATATCGACTTCCGAATCCGGTTAGACAACATCACATGACGTTAAATCACGTGTGAGGCTTGAACGGGATTCACGTGATGGGAAATTTAAGTTACCGGTCTTGGCAGTTGATTATCAAATTTCTCCTTTTTTTTTCTTTTCTTTCGTTTTTCGAGCTCAAGAAACGAAAACATTTCATATCATTTGAGATGTTGATAATTTGAATGTCTTCACTGCAACTCCGAATGTTCTACGGAGCACTTCGGATGTGGACCACCCTAATGACGTGTTTGGTTGTTGTTGCTATGGTGGACATGACACCCTGATGATGATGGGCTGGAATTCTATCCAGCGAGCATGGGCTGACTCTCGCTTCCGAGCTTTTCGTACATCCATACCTATACCCTGCTATCAACGGCTACCAGTTCCGAGCTAGGTACAAGGATAGCTGATATAGGCAAAATGGACGAGCAAAAGAAGGCTACCACCAAATATAGGAAACCATGGGAATGACATCACGCTGGTCCATGGACGGGCATGTCAGCCCTCTTTTCCACCTTCCAGCTGGGACAATTCACTCAGTTCTAGGGAGTATACCGGAAAATTCTTGAGCCAAGGGCTTCTCGACCAGCCTTTGCTGCCGTCAATAATAATTGCCGACGCAATACTCAGGGAAGATTCAAATCCCAAGGGAGGGTGGCTTATCCCAATTGCAAATACTACTGTATCCCACCCGCCCTTGAACATGGTGCTCAGTCGTGTCTCTCTAGAATGCTCGGGATTTTAACAATATCCGTATCCCTTGTTGGCAGACAACTCGATCCCGTGTCTTTTTTGCTCGCAGATTTCCATCCAGTCGAGCGCTACTGCATTCTCTGGCTTCTAGAGCTCCGTATACCTGCTGCTCTCAACGGTCCACTGGCGAGGGATCCGTCAAACATCCGGGCCTGCCATGCATGGGTTTTCGATGAATCCTGATGAAAGGCTAGATCATGCCGCCAATTCTCGACACCACGGAGAATTATCCTGCAGAAAGATTGCAAAAAAAGAGCATGCTCTTTATGCGCCCAACCTTTACCTTGATTTGCCCCCCACCTGCCGTGGCACCAGCAGTGTGACAAGGGTATATTTCTTTTTTTATATCGATTCCTTTTTTATCCAGGGGAGATTTGCATTATTGAAGTTAAAATAATTGATGCTGCGATAACTCTAAAATAGGGAAATGCAGTTTATTTCTCATCGAGAAAGAAGCTGCCCATGGCGATTCACGATATGCATGCTGTTGAAAGCTGAGCGCGAAAGAATCCAGGATCCCAACCTCTGCATTCTCCGAGAAGCGAAGAAAATTTCTTCGGGCCACTGTCTATCCGTACCTTCACGTGTCTGTCTGTCAAAAAGCTATATATATGAGCTCCTATCTCCTTCAGTTTTCGAATATTCAACAGCAACAACAACGACAACAACAACAATCAAGCAAGCAATTCCTCAAAGCAACTTCATACTCTCTCAAGCTCTCCAGCTTCAGTTAATATATCCTTCTACATCTACAACCACTGAGACTTCACTCTCCTACCAAATCATCCAAAATGTTCTTCTCCAAGGCCATCGCCGTTTGCGTCATTGCCGCCAGGTACGAAGACCTAGCAGAGCAAAGAATAACCCTCTTAGATACATATCTAACTGTTTAACAGTGCCCTTGTCAGCGCCTCTCCTGCGCCTGTCATCACCCCAAAGCCATGCTACACCAGAACCCTCTCCTACAGGGCCGCCTTCTGCCCTGCCACCTACACTCCACCATGTGATGGCCCTTGCTTCGTTGCAGTTACCACCTCCATCCCTTGCCACGACAAGAAATGCCCAACCACCAAGACCGTCAGCGTCAACTACGGTTGCCCAACTTGCACTTCAGTCTGCCCAACTGTCACCAAGTCTTGCAGCGCTTCTGCCACCCTCGGCCCAACCTTGACCGCCTCTTAAGCGCATATTGATTTCACGACTATACGAAATATGGATGACCGGTTTTAAAAAATGAAGCGACAAAAAAAGTGATTTTTCCTTGGCCAGATGAAATATGCCCCCAGTCTGTTTCTTATTTCCTAATACGACTGCTCTATATGAGCTTTTTAATCCCCCATACCTTCCTTTCACCCCCTAGCCTAGATCAGATAGCTGCAAACAATTGATGATATTAATGATGGAATTTTTCTCCGCATTCGTATTTCCACATGACTATAAAATATAGTATAGTCTACCAGGGCATGATATATAGAATGAAATGATTGACACGGATCGACAGCCACAAGTCCAAACGCCATCGGGAACTTGCATCAACTCCAACTCAATATAGCCGTTAGTATCAAACAACACCAAGTTTGACAGCACCGTTCACGGAAACGATTGCCATAGTGCATCGGTTTCAGCAACAAGAAGACGGGAGCTGGCGTAACCAGGCGTAGTATCTTTACTTCCGCTGAAGAACCACTGCCAATAGCTGCTGAGCAAGTGTTCCCCTATTGTCGGGGAGAGCAACCCCAAGCGTGGTTCAAAATCTCTGTACCCCATATCAAACAGGCATTATACGGAACGCCATAGACCGTGTGCATTGCATGGTCAGGCAGTACGCGTAGCATTCGAAGACGGCTGATTAGGGACAAAGAAAGATAATATCGCGATTTTATTGAAACCGACGTTGTTACGGGTTCTATGCTTGAATCCGGCATCTATAGTATGGGTGATCGGATAATAATCTCTGAGATGGCTTCAATATATATACCACCCAATCCAGCCGGTAGATACCCGTTTGATAGAAGTATTCAGCGAAGTAAAGACAGAAGTCGAAAAAGCATCTCAGCCAAAATAACCATGCAGTTCCCTTTTTTCTTTGCGTTGGCTATGGCCATCCTTAGGTATCTAGTTATAAACCCCTGAATTTAATCCAATAGTTATCACAAAGCTAACATTCAGCCGCTTCAACATAGTTCGGTATCTACCGGACAACTACTACCACCATCGATTGTTCCTGTAATTCAGCCTTGCCCAACAGGAGCCGCAACCCATCTTGTTTCCGGCTCTTTTAGCCTGGAGCCTATGCCGACTGAAACAGCATATCCAGCCTCTGGTAGTGGTGATGGTGATGATGATGAGGGTGATGAAGATGGAGACGATGAGGATGGTGAGGAATCTCCGGTGATTACGGGTTCGCCAGAGATGCCAGGGGGCGATGAGCCGAAGACCCTGGACCCGGAGCCAACCGCGACCCCGGAGTCTAGCATGATGTCGGCACCCATCATGGTACATGCTGCTACTCAGGGAACAAGCTCTGTACCAGACCCATCAAGCCTAACTGAGGGTTCAATTCCGAATCCAACCTCTTTCACTCGACTGATTCCCGAACCCAGTACGATGTCTGCATCCATTATGATACCCAGTGGTTCTCATGGAACGAGCTCTGTACCAGACCCTTCGAGTCTCACTGAGCTTTTAACTCTGGATCCAACCTCTTTCACTCGGCTGATTCCTGAACCTAGCACGATGTCGGCATCTATCATGGCTCCTAGGGCTACTGAGGCCTTTGCCAGGCGAAGGAGACAGGCAAGGCAAGCTGGTTATTCCATGACTACATCCAGGATATCAATCCCGGACCCAACTTCACTGACACAGATGCTCCCGGAATCCAGCATGCCAGCAATGACTCTAGTAACCATGAGGCGACAATGTAAGAGCAATACAAACGGCGCTTCCAGCCCTGCGGGGGTATATCCTTCTCCCTCAGCCTTCGTTGTTGCTTAGGCTGGTGCCTCGCCCTAATCAGTACACAACTGATGGTCCAGAAGATATATGACTCTCTAAACTTCCTGCAACGCTTACTGCGTGGGCGTGGAAGGGAGATCCCAAATAGGGGCTTCGTTATGGAAAAGGGACAAAAAGGGGCTGGTGCAGCGGCATCCTGGTGATGCGAATTCAAACGATAAAAAACTAGAAATTAAACCTTCTAAAACAGATAGGGATTAAAAATTGAATTATTTCGGGATAGCTGAGCCTAGATGGCCAGTTTTTAGTGATTTGGCCAAGTCAAAAGAACCTCCAATCAATAATTTGAACCCTACCGACCAAGTAGATTAACTCATAGTTAATATTGCTTTATTCAAAACGAGAAAGGCAAACATGCGTCAACCCCATCCTATCTATTTTCCATTTCGTTGAAGAAAAACATGACAATGTATATCGTGGGGAAGAGAGATCAAGTAAATCGTAAAACATAAGAAATGCGAGACAATAGCCAAGTGAAGACGGACGTTCATGTGCTTGATACCATGCCAGCCAGGACACCTGCACCAATAATGCCTCCGTCGGAAGCCTCTCGGAGAAACACGGATTTACCACTTTCCTGTGGTCCATCCCATATGACGAGACGGTCGATGAAGCCCTGACATGTCTCCTTGAAATGTGGGTAGTGCTGGATAATACCACCTGTATAAGCAACAACCAACTCCTCCGGGCCAGATTGCCAACCGGATGGGGGTGAGTCCATTCCTGGCGTAGAAGGGTCCTGTGGTGTAGTAGATGCGGGTCTATACACGCTGGTTATGGTATCAGTTGAATTGTTAAACGACGGGACAATGATATTGGTAGATCGCCTGGGGTTAGTAGCACCATCTGAGCGGAGTTGGATTTCCTTTTGACATGCTAAGAGACCAACAACTGCTGCTGCAACGAGCCCTGCAGAGCGTGTCTGTACTATCCTCGCAGTTTTTCGGAATGCACGGGCAGTGTAAATGTCCCAATTCCAACTGCTTGACTCGGGAGGAGGGAGAGTAGACTTGAGCTTCACTACTAGGTCCTGATCGGTATGCATAGGAGCTACATGGTTGGATAAGTAGCTAGTTGATAGCGCATAGCCTTGGATGAGGTTGGCAGGTAGTGACTTTGGTGACAAATTTAGCACTGATGTAAGATAGTCGTAGAAGACGAGCCTGACTAGTTCGCCGATGTATCGTCCTCCGGTCATGTACTCGAACGGCTGGAAGCCAGGCCGCGCACACTGCTCGTCCAGTTGGATATCCCATTTGGTGGTGAATTTTAGCTCTCGTAAGGGGGGAGCCGCACCTCCAAGGGTGAACTCGGTGTTGACTACCGTCTCCATCGCATCTGGCTGCTGTGAGGAAACGCACTTAGCTTTAGACTCGTGTAGGTCTGTTAGTTTCATGGGTATTGTGGCATTGCATCCTGTTCCCACGATGAGGCCCATAGCAACTCGACTGTTCGGTAGCGACTTCACCATGTAGGCTAGAGAAGCGAGAGTGGCAACCGTGTCGTTGGTGATGGCTGCAATCTTTAGCTTCGGCAATGGAAACCTCCTCCGTCGTTTTGTAGAAGGTTCATCAGAGCCGTACGGCCTCCGGGTATGTCTATCGTAGCCTGCTAGTAATATCTTCCCCAGGTTTAGGTCCGATGTGATTGCGAAACCTTTACCCATGGGCATCAGCGTAGCCTCTGCCAGCGAGTCTTGCCTATACAGAGCGTTAGCCAGGTTTAATTGGCCATACATATTGTGACTTCTCTACTTTATCAAGTAGGAAGTAGGTTTATACATACATCATAGGAAAGCTGAAGGTGATGCCCATCTCGAGTTCTTCAGGGGCTTCCTCGACGTCGGGCTTCGCAGCCAAGCTGTCCGCGACCACCTCGGCCATGCAGTCTCCGATCCACAGGAAGAGGTCCTCGGCCTTATCCATCTTGAGATGCTCAGCTATCGGCCATGCTTTCTCCAGCGTCCGGCGCACTCGATGCCTCTGCGCCTTTCGAAGAGTATCACGTGACCTTTCCAAATTGGATACGGCTTCACTGGCCTGAACACCGTTGCTGGTGCTGCTGGCGCTGCTGTTTTCCAGGTCGTCGGCGGCAGCACCGAGTAGTTCGATGAAGGCGACTCTGAGATTGCTCCCACCGACGTCTATAGCCAGGTATCTACCCGTCTCCTGGCCGCTGGGCAGCCGAGTGACGGGTGTGGGCAGGAATTGCTGGTCAGATGTGCGCGCGAGCTCGAGGTAGAGCTGGGAGAAACGGCAGCCTAGCTGGTATAGGCGGGCATCATTGACAGCGAGGGGCGCAAGGAAGTTGTCTATTATCTGATCGTGCATCAATCGCTCCCTGTCGCTCTGCAGGTCGAGTTCAGGCTCGCCGTTGACATCCAATTCGTCCTCCCCCTCGAACGGCTCAACGGCGGCGTTGTGGTCACTCTCGTCCTCCTCGACGCTGTGTACGGACATCGTGGACGTCATTATCGACATGCAGGGTAACTATGGAAGAGATGATGTGCTGATACGGAGGCCGGCCTGAGTTATACGACGGTCTTATACGGAGAGGGTCCCCGTTAACTAACTTAGGTAGTTAGTCAACTGCTGACTCGCTTCGAGAGGAAAACGGTCTCCGAGATGCTACCGTCGCTTATACGCAGGAGGGTATTCGCTGGCGAAGATGAGGCAGGATGAGGCGCTGTCAAGCAATTGCTCGCTCTAGATAGTAGCCTGGAGTTTGGAGGGGAGAAACTGGAGTTATATAACTAAGTAGGTAGGAGGCGAACAGTGCAATAACTAACTCGTTCCACGTCAGTCAAATTATCTCTGGTTGACTGACGTTCAGACTAACAGCAGCCTTCGCAAATACAGAGAGAGCAAGTCCTTTTATAACTCGAGCTGACGTACAGGAAGAGACCGCCCTGCGACGAGGGGAAGATTCTCGTATGGCTGTCAGGATAAAACAGCAATGTGACCCTGCTGCGGTCGAAGTGAACGATATATATATACCTACCTATCCACCGGACCAAGAACAGCTGGACGCTGCTTAGTTATTTTAGTTAGTTACCGGATAACTAGCTAGCTAGCTAACTAGTGGGGTGAAATACGGAGGTCACTGCCAGCACTTGATACGACGCTACCGGTTCCTTATTTGCTGAGCGATTCCTCTGCTGGTGATGGTGATGGCGATGGCGATGGCGACGGCGATGATACGTGACGAACCCCTTTAATCGGCCAGCCAACCGAACAACTAACCAACAGGAGAAGCAGCTTTTGCAGGGAAGATTATAAGTGAAAAGACCAGCTCATTTCCACTTCAGGGATCTATTCTCTTTGGCAAAGAGTTAATGTGCGGTCATGTCAGGATGCCGGGGGCTGATCAATCACTGGGATGCGCACTCGTAGAATATATGACAATCTATCAGCCAAACCCCCCACCGAGGTAGCTACCTAAGGTAGTTATTGAACACTCTCCCTTTAACCGTATTAAACTGACGTCTTGATATTTAGTTACCCACGAACTAAAGTAGGACAACGGTTTGCTTCTGTGCCTTAGCGGCGGAGACCAAGCAGGGATATTCCCATCAAATACTAAGTATGCGCCCGAAGCCAAACAAGCCGGGGTCGAGGAGACCAATGTTCAACCTAGACGGCCTCCTGTTGATGCTGCTCATCTCGTCTAGATAGATGAGTGCGGGCGGAGGGGGAGGTGGCTTGATAGATCGGAATCACGACCGGTCTCGTCTAGCTATGCTCCCTACGAACTAGAAGGAATAATATACTTGCTAGGGCGTATTCCGCGGAAGGATTGATGCAACGCTGTGTCTGATGCCTGTCGGTCCTGGATGGTGATCTGGAAGCTTAACCATGGCCGCATCATCCTCTTCTGATAAGCGGAACCACCACCGGTCTGAAAGATGCTTTCGTTCCATAATCGGTCCACACATGCTGATTGTACTCCGTGTCTACCAGTTGCATCGTGCTCCTTTACGCTATCCATCCATACCATAGAGTACACATGCAAAATTCTTACGCTCGGCTGTCCGGTCGACCGTACCTTACCATGGGTTGGGGGCTAACTTCATGGAAGGAAGAAGAGGTGTTCCATGGACAACCCTTGTCTGGCTAGGGACTCTCTGATACGATGCCCGGCCTTCCAGAACAACCAGATCTCCACGTATCAGCATCTTGAAACTCATCAAGATGGCTAGGTATGTACGTAAGGTTGAACGCAAGGGCTAGGAGATGAGAAACCCAGGCCAGATCAAGCGTCAAGAAGCAGCCAACAAACCTACAACGTAGTATCAATCTGGTCGTTTCTCATCTTCTCTGCAGGGGCCGGAGTTCAGCCGTTAGTATTGGCATACTCTGGGCTCTTGGACTGGCTGTTTGATGCACTTGCTCTGCAGGAGACAACATCCGTGTCCAACTGTAGCTTTGCTTTCGGAGTTGGTGTCTCTTTCGAGGGCATCAAGCGAAGGCTCTTCCACTCCACCATCCCTTTGTTCACCAGCTTCGCCAACCTCCCTCTTTACCGTCCTTTTATCGTCTTTTTCATCATCTTCTTCATCTCGACTTTTTGTCTCTTTATTATCATCAACAAAAGAAAAAATTCTTTGAGACGAAAAAGTATCACGTGCTATCCTTACATAATCGCGCCAAAACGAACGTCAGCAAAAGCGACTTCGAGGACGCCGCGAAGTTGGGCGATGGACGATTCAATATCAGCCAAGCTATTATACACACAAGAGCTGTGAAGACGGGGATGTTTATGTGATACAGCTGTACAAGGACTTGCTGACTCACTAGCGGATAGCGACACCTCCCAGAAAGAGCAGAAAGCAGAGCTATACTCGACATGAAGGAGAAGTATGATACTATCCCGCCACCTGTTTCGCACCGGCAGGATGGCCCGAAGAGCTCCAAGGCAAAGAACTTTGCCAGACACTGCTTGATAGCCGTGTTCCTATGCCTGACGGTCTTCGTCGTGCTGCATAAACCTCACTTCCCGCAGAAATATATCGACGCTGTGAAGGATGCCGCGTCTGCTAGACCAGACAAGCACACAACCACCTCAGATGCCGACAACAACTCGAAGAAAGTGCCCTTCGAGGCGCATATTATGAGCAAGTGCCCGGATGCACAGTTCTGTCTGCACGACCTGGTGGTGCCGGCCATGGAGCAGGTTCACAGGAAAGTCGATTTCAAGCTCTCTTTCATCGGATCGTAAGTCTTGTTGCTTGTTCTACACCGCTGCTACCTGATAACTACATGCCATACATATACTTACCCAACCTGTTTAGAGCCTCAAAAGACTCATCGGCTGTATCCTGCCGCCATGGCCCACCAGAGTGCGTAGGGAACATGCTGATGCTCTGCGCAGCCAACCTTCCATACCCACCACGAGTCGCCAGCTCCTCTTCCTCGCCAGACACCAAGTCCTGTCCCAACTACAACACCACGCCCGTTGTTCGATATCTCGGTTTCACCAACTGCATGATATCCAAGTATCAAGATATCCCTGACCGTGCTCTAGTTCAGAACTGCGCACTTGAGTACGGAATCAGCTTCAACGCCCTAAACCAGTGTGCCAGTCGCCAGAGTGATGAAGGTGATGAAGCTCATGAGGGCCAGGACTGTGATCATGGACCAAGTGGACTTGCTCTGATGAGGAAGAGCTTCAAGCACAGCGCGGATGTGGGCGTCACCAAGAGCTGTACCGTCAGGGTTGACGATAAGTTCTGGTGTATCCGTGACGGCGGTGAGTGGTCGGACTGTGGAGAAGGCAACGAGAGGAGTGATGTCTCCGTCCTGGTCAAGGAGATCGAGCGTCTCTGGGACGAGCGGAACTAGGAATATTTTTATTTTTACCTTTTTTTTTGGTCTTTTAGCTTTCCTTTTTGGTTCATAATGATTGTTATGTGATGATTAGTTTGTCCTTCCCTTTTCTTATCTCTTTGGCACTGTTTATATATACTCTCTAGTTGTTGGTGCTGTTTCCCTGCCTTAATAGTCTTGTCAGGAGCCTGGGGTTTGTTTGTACTTGAGTCTGCTTGCTGTAGTTTAGGACTGGGCTCTTTTACCACGTAATACCAGTATGTTTTATTCTTTTGGTCTATTTTGGCAGTATAAATATCTAATTCCCAGGAACCAAGTGACTTACTCGACGGGACTCTCCGTACCACACACTAAGCTACCTGGACTTCCAAACTATCCCTTATTCCTTACTATGACCCCTTTCAACAAGCAGCCTACCTAAGCTAGTACATTCAGTTGTTTCTCCAGATATCCTCCCTCAGATACCACATCCTGAAAGCAGACCCATATTGACACGTGAATTGGACTATCAGTCATGTCTTTGGAAAGCACCAAGCCTAAGGATAGTAGACTAGCCAGTCTGGACCAGGAGGTGAATGCCCTTGTTCACACATATCAGGCCATCAAGACACCCAGAACAGTCATCCACCTATCAAAGACTCCTGGCTACTGGGAGCTTTTTAACCATGTGTTTGAATACCACATTGGCCTTATCAAAACGCGCTCCCAGGACTTCGAGGATGGCCAAATCACAGTATACGACAAGGCATTGCTGATACTTACCGACAACGGGAACAGCCTATCTCACTTCGGAGCCATGGAACTGTTCAAGGACGAGATATTGGGTATAAGGAATGACAACGATATGGGGAAACTGGACGCGTTGTTTAGCAAGAACATTGCTTTACGCGCCATTCTTGGCCATGGTATGTTCAAGTTAAGCCCTGATATATTGAAGGCAAGATGTGGCACAGCAAAGACTGAGATTGCCTTTGATAGTTACTGGATGGAGGAAGGAGACAGTCCTTGAGAATATTCAGGACGATGCGACGACGCCGGTTTTCGAGAGCAAGCAGTCTAGCTCACAGAAGTATCCAATTTCCCACGCCATGACGTCTTTGAATGCTATAACCAGGAAGATAGAGCTCGCTGAGAAGTGGACATATTTGGCAACGGCTCAGTCAGAGAACCTCTATAGGAAGAACCCAGCAAAAGTGCGTGACAGCGCGGAGGTTCTGCTTCGTCACTACCGTGATTATGACCCAACGAACCACATGGTCCCCGAAGTGAAGAAAGCCTTGAGAATGGCTGAAGCCGAGATCGCGGATGCGAACAGAGGGAAAAAGCGATCATTTGATGTGTCAGACAAGGGGTCTGTAGACCACCGCAGCAGTCGGTCTTCAACTCCTGTAGCTACAGCGCCCGTTTCACGCACACGCCGACGTCGACGGGGAATCCGTGAGCGAGCCGACTGCTACCGGCCATAGTTAGCTAATGGTTACGTTGACAGAACAACCTAACACAACTCCACCGCTCTACGGACGCAGCCGACCTGCTTCCCCGAGACAGGGCTAGAAGGAGGGATTTCTTTCACTATATCTTTTTGAGTCAGCGATCAACGGAGGGGCAAAAGAGTTATGGAAGTTATGCAATGTATGGCGATGGAAACGCTTCAACGCCAGACTGGAATAGGTAACTTGATGCACGATAAGGGGGTTCTGCCTGCTCATGTGTCACGCTGCAGGATGGAGACGATGACGCTCCTGGTGATCAAGTCTGGTGGTTCGTTAAGGTCCTGGGTCCAGCAAATGATAGCACATACTAGCATTTTACCATACGAATTCACTCAGCAATGCTTCCTCCAGTCAGCCTTCTCCCCTTTTGCCGCTCACTGACTCCAGACTGTGCCCGCTAGCTGAAGGCCGAACAGCCGAACACGTCCCCTCCCTGCCTGTCCTCTGATCATTCCTACCCCCTAATCTTCCAATCGCGATCCATGCATTGCCATTTCACCAGCTCCGAAATGCGGAGAGAAAAGGCCGAAGGGATCAAAGATCCAAGGAGATAAGGCAGAGATCAACAAGCGGTCACATGAGGCGGTTTCGGGCTAAGTTAGCTGAAAATGTAGGATATCAAATCGCCAAAGTATTTATACTGTTACCTTCGCCCCCGTTCGGCCATGCGAGAAGGGAGCTGTGTAATGCGGAGTAGTTTCTACGTTTGACACCGACCGACCGAGCCCAATACGCAGTGTCTATGCCGACGAGTCGAGCTCCCTGCATGGCGGAACTGGAGGTGGTACCAACATGACCAAATCAACTCGACCTTTGGCGATTCCGTCGCATATAGATGGCACTCGTGCCGATGGCATTCTCTCTGAGTCGATGTTAACCCCCGGCTCGAGTTCGACGGCGTGGGCAAACGAAGATGTTACTTCTACCAGCATGTCCGGGCGTGGTGTGGGTTTGAAGCGGCTGGAGACTGATATACCGAACGAGGATGATAGGCTGGATATTTCACCTGCTCGAGCAGAAGAAGCCGACGATGAACGAGATGGAGAAGACGATGAGGTGGAAGACTCAAGGAATGAACGATATAGGGATAATCCGGGGCGTGAGGTTGAGGACGACCTGGAGATTGCTTCATATTCGCTGAATTCATATACAGCCGAAGAGGAGAGAAATGTCGTCAGGAAATTCGATAAACGATTGACTATGTTTCTGTCATTCCTATACATGCTCTCATTTCTTGACCGGTCGAGTGAGTCTTCTTTTGCCCCAGAGTATCGTTATATGGACTAATTGAGTGTACATGGTAGACATTGGAAATGCGCGAATCGCAGGACTGATGGAGGACCTGAACCTTTCGTCCGGCCAGTACGAATGGGCCCTCACAGCCTTTTATGTCACCTACATATGCTTCGAATGGATGACCCTGATGTATAAAATCCTTCCTGCGCACATATATATCCCCATCTGTGTCTTCTCCTGGGGCGTCCTTGCGTCGATGCAGTGTCTAGTTACGTCGTTCTGGCAGCTCGTCTTCCTGAGAGCTTTGATCGGTGTCTCAGAGGCAGCCTTTTCACCAGGCGTCCCATTCTTCCTATCCTTCTTTTACAAACGCGAGGAGCTTGCTTTTCGTACAGGCATGATATTATGCGCTGCCCCCTTAGCGACCTCGTTTGCAGGCTCCTTAGCCTGGTTTATCGTATGGGTGAGCGAGAACGGGCCTATTGCTCCGTGGCGAGCATTGTTCCTGTACGAAGGGTTCCCTAGCATCATCGTCGCCTTTATTGCCTGGTCTTATATCCCCGATTCTCCCGGGAAGGCTAAATATCTTACTCCCAGAGAGCGGAAGGTGGCTAAGCTGAGACTGAAGACCGGAAAGCCGAAACATGAGATCAAAAAGGCCAGGTTCGATTGGGGAGAGGTTGGTAGAACGCTGTGTGATCCCAAGTCTTATCTCACTGCGGTATGTTACTGTGTTGCCCATGTCTTCATTATATGACATGATACTGACTTCACGGGTAGTTCATGTTTCTCAGCTGCAATGTTGCATTCAGCTCTCTCCCGGTTTTTTTACCGACGATATTACATGAGTACGTCAGATATTCCCTGGAGTATATAAGTGAGGCTGCTAACAACATTCAGCATGGGTTATTCAAAGCTCACATCTCAAGCGCTCTCTGCACCCCCTTACCTATTCGCCTTCGTGGTAGTTTTGATGACTGCATCCTTATCAGACCGCCACCGAAGTCGAAGTTTCTACCTCATCATCCTCGCTCTCATCTCATCCGTTACATATCTCACCATAGCTCTTACGGGCTACTTTCACTCCCATCTCCCTACATCAGTCCATATCCTGATCAGATATGTATGCCTTTACCCTGCCGCTGCCGGGTTCTTTTCCGCCATCACCATTATCATAGCCTGGACCATGGATAATAAGCCTGCAGGTGAAGGTAAAGGAACCGGCATGGCTATTCTCAATGTCATTGGCCAATGTGGGCCTCTGATCGGTACCAGATTGTACCCTGATACCGATGGACCATGGTACATTAAGGGCATGACTGTTTGCTCTTTGTTTATGCTTCTAGTTGCAATCCTTGCATTCTCCCTGAGGATCCTTCTCCAGCGGGAAAATAGACGGACTTTAGCTGATGCAGCTGGTATTGCCTCAGCAGCTAGAGAAACAGCTCTAGACCGTGAAGAGGATTCTATGCTCCGTGCTGATGAACAGGACGGAGCTACTGAAAGGCTTATGGGACCTGGTGTTTCAAAGTCGCCGGCTGCTATAGAGAAAACATCTCGGCCTCGATTCGTATATATCATATAACCCGCCAATTTATGTACTTTTTTCTTTACACATATTACAAATTATTTGAAAGATCAAGCGTTTCAGATACCCAAATATCACGATCATGATCATTTTACTTCAATTTATCCATTGACTCGATACTATACCTTACCCCATACCATTGCTACCTGCTTGTAGGAGAATAGTGAATAGAAGATTATCAATAATCGTATTTCATACGTAACAAGTACACCACAATCCACAGGCTGGAATAACTGGTTCCCCTTTTCCCTTTATAAAAGCCGAAAAAATTTCTATAATCATGACACTAAACCCCTATTCCGCAAATACTGTATTCCCACCAAAATCAAGTGTATCAGTGCCGTGATCATCTGCACTAGCTCCGCCAAATTCAAGCCTCATAAGCAGCCGATCTACACCCGCGGCTCTCCAGGGGACAAAAACATTATTATCGAGTCTGCCGCGCAGTGTTTCCTCGTTTCCTTTGACCCAGCGAAGTTCTGGGGCCGAATGCCTGGTACTAGTATCCAATGAAGTAGCGCCCTTCGTGGTACGATGATCATCTATATCACGTAGCCGAGCAATCAGTTCTGTCATGGAGTTCTCCAGGTCGGTACGTGCAGCGGATACTTCTGCCCATACTCTGACTTCGTCTTGGGCGTAATCTTGCAGCGAGTCAAAGACGCCCTCGTCTGCCTCAAGGTCTAGGTTCTGCTGAATGGTCTGTAGCTGGCCAAGGAGCGAGACGAAGCGGTCGACATGCGAGATAAGAGAGCGTAGAGTGCGAGTAAATGGGACGTCTGTCAGGAAAAGGGATTGAATTAGGTGGGTAAGATATGTGCGGTGGGCAATGTTTATTGTCTCGGGATCATGGGAGTGATAGAAGGTGGTAGATGAAGAGGCGGTCCCTGGTCGAGAGCCTTGTCCGTATGAGCTTTGGGGTCGCCCGCCATTTAACCAGGCATTGAAATGGCGCCAGGAGTTGCCAATTACCTCGCCCTGGAGATAGCTGCCAAGTTCTGAGAATACGAATAAGGCCGCACTTCCAGAGGCCCAGACGCGACGCATCAAAGCTGCTCGTTTCTTTTGTCTTTCTCTGCCGAGTTTGAGGTTTGCCTGACCACCGGGTTTGTTGCTCATCGGCGGGCCCCAGGGGGAAGGATGAACCCTTCTAAGAGAGGTTCGTTTCCACAAGTCACCAAGTCGCATCTGTCCACGGCGAATGCCTAGCAGGTATGAATGGATCTTGGAGTAGATTATCATATCTGATTGAGCAAGAAAGAGGTCAAGGGGTGGGCTGACATGAAGGGATAAAGTTGTTGGAGAACCAAGTAGAATATCAGAAAAATTAATATCGGATATATGTGAGAGCGCCTGGTTCGCAGATTTCATATCTTTGCTTATCGATGTTTCCTTCTCTATTGAAAGCCGTAATAGAGATCGTGCCAAATCCAGCTCGTCATCCACGGGGTCCTCGGCATTAGGGATTGAATATAATTCTGTCCATGTTTGGGTAAGCACCGTAGACACTTCGCTTTCCTTGAGAGTTAGGACGTCCATGGTTTCTTCTATAGAGACAGCCTGGTAAGTTCGTTTGTGTTTGGTTAATATCCTCTCATCTGCATGAGATACTAAAGCCATGGCAAATTCTCCTCTCCCAAGTAACAGGAAATTGTGCAGTAATGATAGAACCTCCATTATTTTATGCAGTGGCAGCAGTTGCGAGAGAACAGTATGAGAAAGAGCAAGTCGTATCTCTGAGATTGCGTTAGTCAGGTTGATCATGGATATGGGAGATGCTAACGAGGAGAGACATCGGATGAATTCCCCATGAAGTGTCATTTGGGACGATGAATGTTTCGCTTCCTCTCCAGCCGGAAACTTTCCTCGAGCGCGTATATGGCTTAGCGATCGTCCAACAAACAGAATAGACGTTGCCGTCGGGCGAGACACAAATTTAGGCACCAGCTCAGGTCGAAGTATAAAGTCTTCTGTATTGTTGCGCCGGTCAGCATTTGAAGGTTTTTCTTGAATGAAGAAGTCCTCCCGCCCTAGAGATGGGAGCTGTCCATATAGTATAAAAACGGAGAGTTGGCGCATCCAGGCCGTTTCAGCAGCTCTAATAAGACCAAGGGATATCTCCTCCACATCAGTATATCCAGTTTGTGATTCTGTTCGGAGATAGTCAAGAAGAGCAGCTCCTGTACATCCTTTTCCGGTAGATGTCTCCTTCGCCTTTGCGTCCTTTGCCACATGCGGTAGCATAAACTGAGATGTCTCCCAAAGCCATTCTAGCTTTCGTACCCACGGAGAAAACTCCCCTACAATCGTGGAGAGCGGTACTATCCCGTAACCACCTACGTAACCCGCATCTCTCCCGAGTATTGACTGTTCCACCTCTAGTATCTTTTCTTGAAAAGAGCCCAGGTAATCGGTAGATATGGTTGTGGAGGCAGCACGGCAGACAGTGGATGGATGAGAGGAAGATATAAGCTCTGAATGGGCTCTCAAAAGGCTATGAAGTCGGCTCAGACGTGCAATTGGTTCGAGCAGTGCCTTTTCTTGGGGCGAGAGGAGTGGGAAACCATCCTGGGGAGCTCCGCAGTCCTCCGTTGACTGCTCGAAGATAGGGGACGGCTGACCGGACAGGGAGAGGAGGATCTCGTGGAGCATCCTGCATCTGGGGAACCTTTGGGCCTGCTGAATTATACGAGTTAGCTGTGAAATATCCTAAGAGTAGAGGGGCGACTGTGGTGGCAGCACCTAAGAGGCACCTCGTCCCTCCAAGCCGACCGCAGACGGTGCCAAAACAAAATACAGCAACTCAGAAGCTCAAAGCGACACATCCAGGATAATTCCGGGGCTTCTAATATTGCATGTCTCGCGGTCTATACGGTAGAATGGTATAGCGGGTGTGTTATTGTTTGTGTCTGGTGGTGTTGTTACTTTTGGAGGTTCCGACATTAAGAATAAAGACGCGTGAAGCTTATATCAGCCGCAAATAACTAGGTAACTATAAATAGCCCATCCACTTTATTATGCCATAGATCGTAAGATAAACCAAGATATTTCGCCCAGCCAGCAAAGATAGCTTGCAAGATCCATCCCCTCATTGATATTTATGCATCCTTAATATATAAACTATGTTTTGAGTCGTTGGCTTGGATATTGATTCCGGGCCTAGGCAGTTGTTAGCTTATGTCCTGCACCACAGAGTGTAGAATCTTGATACCTACGTCCTTGATTTCATATTTTAGGGCCAAGACCCTTTTAGCGCTTTAATCGATGGGAAAATATTTGGTATCACATCACGGTGATTTAAATAATATGTCATATGATTCACCTCGCAAATAGTTTCATTCGAATATTTTGCCCCATGTGTTTTGCAGAAAGATCTGTTGCAGAGTATGCAAGTTTGTGTATCCCGCGCCTCAGGTCGAGAGCTGAGGCCGGCGTGCTTGTTTGGCCGCCTAGTAGTCATTTGTGTACAAATAAAACAAGTAGCCATGGTCATAGAGTGCACGAGAAAGTGTTCTACTCTCTGGTATTTGAAAGCGAATAGAAAGGACTTCATATGTTTTCCAACGGGGCTGTGCTTCAGGCAGCAATACTGCAAAAATTGAGTAAGATGATTGAGATTGGCTAATGCACAGTATACCGTCGTGTCAACTGTAGAGAATAAAGTCTCCTTGAGATGATACTCTCATTGGACTAGCGATACCAACATTCATCCCAGCTCCATTCTGCATCATTGGTATATTGCATGCAGTCAGAGTCGAATACGGGGAGAACACAAAATAGTTTTAAATCCAAAAATCCGGTTCACAGGACTTATTGCCGAACATGTCTCCCCATGGAGTTACTATCCATATAAATATAGCACCGGGATAGAACATTTGAATCAGACAGAGCCCATAACATGGACATATGGGTTAATGTAAAAAAAAAAGACCCGGAGTATAGGGGCCGAAGAGCTCCCCAATTTCACGCTGGGTCCGGCATCCTTATCCTTATCAGTAGTAATCAGTAGTAGGAGGCAGGATTTCATTAGTTACTGTTGGTGATTAGCTATTATTGCTAATTCCTTTTGACTCGGCGCTGGTAACGATATCAGTTGTGAAATTTTGGAAGCCTGGGTCAGCTTTGTGCGGCTGTTGGAGGTATGTATATTTGATGCCAGTGGGATATCCATCAATAATGCGTGGGCTACGCATGTTAGCATCTTTAATAACTTCTCCCATAGAAGCTAAGGGTATCAAGCAGTGGCTGTAATTCAAAGCCATCAAGAGGTCTCGAGGATGTCCTTTGGTTAACCCTCTGCTTCACTCATCTTGACCACTAGATGCGCTATAAAGCAACTTCCAAATTTCCTATAGGCCATAACAATAACCACCGTGAGCCAGCTATCTCATCTTCTTGCCTCCCCGTGTGTCTCTTCAGGTACTCCGTATGGATACGATCTTCGTCTCCTTCAGCTCCAACTTTTGACCAACTTCTGCCTTGCTGACTCAGCAGCATCACCAAAACCGCAGTAGAAAGTCGAAGAAACAGCAGAAAGAAACAACAAACTCGCTGAATATCAAGAGAAGACTGTGAACAAGTACTCGCTCGAAGCTACAGGAGATATTCCAGCTGTGTTTCTCTCCCTTCTCCGCTTCTTCCTATAAAGAGATTTATTCCCGAGCTGGCAGCTTGAGAGTCCGTCTGTTTACCAGCTACATCTACTACTTCCAACCTCCCCGCACCCGGATAGAACGCCGCATAGGGACGCCGTGAACGGCTTCATCTTCCGCCTCTCAAGCTATATCGAAGGCCTTGCTCTCTGGCAAGGCTTTCAACCGCTGCTTTCACAATTTCCTCTCACACCAGTGACTTGGAAATTAGGAAACGCAAGGCTTCTAGCAGTCAAGTAGATCGGAACGACAAGAAAATCATGACCGTGAGTTCTCCCTTCCCCCCCATTTATGCTTATCATTCTCCTACGAGTTGCGTTATCACTGGAGTTCTGGCATATATTATATTACATCTCCTACTGCTTCTGCAGCTTCTACAGCTTCTGTGGTGTATCTCTTCCTTCAACTCTCCAGCTAACACGTTATAATCTATCTACAGGACACCAAGATGCAGGTCGACAGCCCGGAGCTGGTGGAGAAGGTCAAACATGGAGAGATCGATGAATCGCTCTATAGCAGACAGCTGTAGGTGCTTATTCCGCTGGTTTATAAACGGGCTAGACTGATGGTACTGGTAGATATGTCCTTGGACACGAAGCCATGAAGCGGATGGGTTCATCAAATGTGCTCATCGTCGGTCTCAGAGGTCTCGGTGTTGAAATAGGTGTGTATTTACAGCACTCGAAGCTCTAGGTGCATACGGCTAACTTGGAAATCAACTTGATAGCTAAGAACATTGCCCTGGCTGGCGTTAAATCCCTGACTTTATTCGACCCCGCACCTGCAGCCATCTCCGACCTCTCTTCACAATTCTTCCTTAAGCCAGAGGATGTTGGCAAACCTCGAGCTGAAGTGACGGCTCCGCGTGTTGCAGAACTCAACGCTTATACTCCGGTTTCTGTTCTCCCCGGACAGAGCCTTACAGATGACCTTTCCAGGCTAAAGGGGTTCCAGATAGTCGTTCTCACCAGCACAACTCTCAAAGATCAGCAGCTAATTGCCGAGTTCTGCCATGAGAATGGGATATATGTTATTATTGCGGATACGTTTGGTCTCTTTGGTTATATCTTCACCGACTTTGGCAAGAACTTTACAGTCGGGGATACTACAGGCGAGAATCCATTGAGTGGTATTGTCGCCGGAATCAACGAGGAAGGGCTGGTCTCTGCTCTTGATGATACCAGACATGGATTCGAAGATGGCGATTTTGTCACTTTCACCGAAGTGCGTGGAATGGAAGCGCTCAATAACTCGGAGCCTAGGAAGGTTACAGTCAAGGGACCATTTACATTCTCCATCGGAGACGTGAGCGGACTGGGGACCTACAAAAGTGGGGGGCGTTATACCCAGGTCAAGATGCCCAAGTTCATCGACTTCCACCCATTTAGTGAACAGCTTAAGAAGCCGGAGCTCGTCATCTCGGATTTTGCCAAATTCGATCGACCGGCACAGGTCCATCTCGGTGTCCAAGCCCTGCATATGTTTGCCGAAACTCACAATAACCAGCTTCCTCGACCTCACCATGAAGAAGATGCAAAGGAAGTCATTGCCCTCGTTCAGAAGCTTGCTGATGAAGGCGAGGATAAGGTTGAGATTGACGAGAAGCTTATTCGTGAACTGAGTTACCAGGCTAGAGGAGACTTGTCCCCTATGGCCGCTTTCTTCGGTGGACTGGCTGCACAGGAGGTCCTGAAGGCTGTCTCCGGCAAGTTCAACCCAATTGTCCAGTGGATGTACTTTGACTCTCTAGAGTCCCTTCCAACCACTATCAAAAGATCTGAAGAGCTTTGTGCTCCAAAGAACTCGAGATACGACGGTCAAATCGCTGTTTTCGGGCAAGAATTCCAAGATAAGCTGTCAAACATCAACGAGTTCCTTGTTGGAGCCGGTGCTATCGGTTGTGAGATGCTCAAGAACTGGGCCATGATCGGTCTTAGCACAGGCCCCAAGGGCCAAATTACCGTCACTGATATGGACCAGATCGAGAAGAGTAACCTTAACCGACAATTTCTGTTCCGTTCTACTGATGTCGGAAAACTGAAGAGTGACTGTGCTGCCACGGCTGTTCAGGCGATGAACCCCGATCTCAATGGAAAGATTACCGCCCTGAGGGAACGAGTTGGCGCAGACTCAGAACATATTTTCAACGAAGACTTCTGGGGCACGCTTGACGGAGTTACTAATGCTCTTGACAATGTTGATGCCCGTACATATGTTGACAGACGTTGTGTGTTCTTCCGAAAGCCTCTCCTTGAGAGCGGTACCCTAGGTACCAAGGGCAACACCCAAGTTATCATTCCGAGACTCACCGAGTCTTATTCCAGCTCCCACGACCCACCAGAGAAATCATTCCCCATGTGCACTCTGAGAAGTTTCCCCAACCAGATTCAGCACACCATCGCTTGGGCGAGAGACATCTTCGAGTCCCTGTTTGCCGGACCTCCTGAGGTTGTAAACCAATATCTTACTCAGCCAGGCTATATTGAGCGTACCTTGAAACAGGGTGGGTCTGAGAAACAGACCTTGGAGAACCTCCGCGATTTCCTAGTGACCGAGAAGCCTCTCAGCTTCGATGACTGTATTGTCTGGGCTAGACACCAGTTCGAGAAGTATTACAACAACGCTATCCAGCAGCTCCTATTTAACTTTCCTAGGGACTCAGTCACTTCTAGCGGTGCTCTCTTCTGGTCTGGACCAAAGCGTGCACCAACCCCGTTGAAGTTTGACTCCAAAAATGATACCCACCTTGCGTACATCATTGCCGCCGCCAACCTTCATGCATTCAACTACAACATCAAGAACCCTGGCGCCGATAAGGACCATTACCGCAAAGTGACCGATGACATGATCATCCCGGAGTTCACTCCATCATCCGGTGTGAAGATCCAGGCTGATGATAACGAGGAGCCTGAGGCACAGCCGACATCATTCGACGATAATGAAGAAATCAATAAGCTTGTCAGCTCACTCCCAGACCCCAAGTCTCTTGCCGGGTTCAAACTCCAGCCTGTTGAGTTTGAGAAGGACGATGACACAAACCATCACATTGATTTCATCACTGCTGCCAGCAACTTGCGTGCGGAGAACTATGAGATTGAGCCTGCTGACCGACACAACACCAAGTTCATCGCTGGAAAGATTATCCCAGCCATTGCTACCACCACTGCCTTGGTGACTGGATTGGTGATCCTAGAGCTGTATAAGGTCATTGACAATAACCAGGATATTGAGAGATACAAGAACGGTTTCATCAACCTTGCCCTTCCGTTCTTCGGTTTCAGTGAGCCAATTGCTAGCCCGAAGACCAAGTACAACGGTCCAAACGGTGAGGTGGTCTTGGATAAGCTGTGGGACCGTTTCGAGGTGGATGATATCACCCTGCAAGAGTTCCTGGACCACTTTAAGAAGCAAGGTCTAGAGATTGTCATGGTTAGCTCTGGCGTCAGCCTGCTCTATGCCAGTTTCTACCCACCTGCGAAGGTCAAGGATCGTCTGCCCATGAAGTAAGTTCACCGTTCTATCATCTAATAAAGCAGCCAAGTTACGATATACTAACGTCTCCTTCAATAGGATGAGCAAGTTGATCGCAGAGATCAGCCGCAAGCCGATCCCTGAACACCAGAAGAGTGTGATTATTGAAATACACCCTGAGACTCCTGATGGCGAGGAAGTCGAAGCTCCCTACGTCATGCTCAAGCTTGACAAGTAGTTATCTTACTGAAACGGCCAAAAAAAACGAATAAATGGGGAAAACCAGATAAAAAGGAGTTGTTTGTACATTGCTTTAATGCTTCATGTACCTCAGAATGAACAGTAGATAGGTCGCTCCTGGCTTAATGATAGCTAGAGTAATAGAATTTACCTTACCCATATCGAGGTAGCAAAAATATTGCATAATTCGACGTGTACACAGTTACTTAGATCTATAGTGCTTCCGTCATGCTCGGTCATGAAGCTGTAATCATCAAGTTGAATATCCGTGTAACTAAGCATTAGTTGAGCATTTGTCATCGGTCTGGACTCTCGGCCTTACGCGGGGAGTTTGGCAACAATAACCAACTGGTTAGGTATATAAAAGATATCAAGTTTCCTCCTGTTGATATCTTCAAACTCATCCCTTTCTTCTTCTCTTCTTCATGCTATGATCTCTGTTCTTCGTCCCGTCAACTACAACTTCAACTTCTTCAACACACTCAAGGCCACTTCTACCCCGCTGACGTCAGCCAAGACTCCCTTATCGATATCAATCCGCAGCATGGCGGTTCGTAAAGCCAATGCATAATTAACACTGGTGTATCGAACATACTGACGTTGTGATAGACCGGAAACGACGTGAAGATCACTTCCTGGGTCAATCCAGATGATAAGTCGGGAGAATTCAAGCGCGGGCAGTCGGCGTTTAGGAATTGGATCTCCCGCAAGCCCGGAGCTCAGTTCCCGCCGGAGAAGGACAGATATCACCTCTACGTCTCTTACGCTTGTCCATGGGGTGAGTAGCTGTTTCAATTCTATGTATGTTGACTTATACTGACTGTTAGTAGCTCATAGAACACTTATTACCCGGAAACTGAAGGGCCTAGAAGATATCATTCCTTACACAGCTGTGCATTGGCATATGGGAGAGTTAGGATGGCGCTTCGTTACCCCCGACGAGAATGTTCCTGGAGAGAATGTGACGGCGGATCCACTGAATAATTACTCTCATCTACGTGAGATTTACTTCTCCGTTGATCCAGAGTACAAGGGTCGATTCACTGTGCCGACGTTATACGACAAGAAGACGAAACAGATCGTCAGCAACGAGGTGAGGCAGTCCCATTACCACTGAACCGTATGGTGCCCGTATTGATTTGTGTATAGAGCTCGGAGATAATTCGCATGTTCTATCATGAGTTCGACGACCTGTTGGATGAGAAGTACAAGTCTGTTGACCCGCTACCCGCAGCGTTTGAGAAGGACATCGATGCCGCAAACGAATGGATCTATGACACCGTCAACAACGGCGTGTATAAGTGTGGTTTCGCAACGTACGTATTTAAACTCGCAGGCTTAATCAAACATACTAACAGGATACAAATGTAGTACACAAGAGGCGTATGAAAAATCAATCCCGCCGCTCTTCTCCTCTCTAGATAGGATCGAAGAACACCTGACCAAGACATACTCTCCTTCTACACCTTATTACTTCGGTAAGGATCTCACGGAAGTAGACATCAGGTTGTTCACGACAATCGTGCGCTTCGACCCGGTGTACGTGCAGCACTTCAAGACGAACCTTCGAGATATCAGGTCCGGATACCCGGCTATTCATCGCTGGCTGAGACATTTGTACTGGGACATCCCCGCGTTTGGAGAGACGACGCAGTTTGAACATATCAAGAAACATTATACCAAGAGTCACGGACAGATTAATCCGCCCGGCATCACGCCTGTTGGGCCGGTGCCGGATATCATGGGTAAGGAAGAGGAGGTTAATGCGGCCAAGAAGTGAGGTGAAGAGGCTGTTGCTCTCTTGTAAGTTGAAAAAAGTGTATATCGTATCATATTATCAAATTGGCACGGCTGAGTGCCCCTTTATATCTTTATGTCTTTATCTTTTTTTAATCAACAAGATGTCATGATACAATATGGAAAGAAGGCACAAATGAAAAGGCTCGGCTAAGGAGCCAGTCGCACAGCTCGCAAAAGATATCCAAGTCAAATGGAGCATGTACCCAAGGACGCAAAGGAAAAAAGGAACCAAATAACGTATGTAGCCCTTGAAAAGCGCGCCGGATATATGCGAATGGGAATGAAGTCAAGAAGTGAACTTACAAACGGGATCGAGATGATGAGATTGGGTATAGTAGGTAGATGGATTGTAAATCGTGAGTTTGTGGTGTTGAGATTCTTTAAGATAGGCCGAATAACCGTTTTGAATTTTCGTAGACGATATAACTGATCGATACGGAGGGAACGACCTTTAGCAAGTTTGGCGTCAAGCCTCTGAAGAGGCCATAGACACCTTCGCTCCGCACCGTTCGTACTGTCACATCCACAATTCCGGTATAGGTGGGTTTGTGCAGCACCGTGCCCTGTGCCTGAAGCCGAGTACGCAGCACATTAAGTGGATATACAATGGATGCGCTTAATGCACCGCTGAAGGCACCGATAGCTCCTGTCGAGAAGTTGCTCAGCTGGACATCTGATTCGTGACGGTGAGCTAGTCGAGCACTGCGAGCTACTAAGGTTGATTTTAGGTATTCGAAAGTCATAAGGTCGATCGCGGCGAATGGGAACATCCCCAGTAAGCCGAGGGGAAGACCACGGAAGTAGCCTGCTATGCCGTTTGTTTGCCACATTTTAGATGCGGTGGAGTATATAAGTTGGTTGCCATGGAGGCCACCCTGGACGATCTCGCACTGCATGCGACTATGGAGATGTTAGGAACAAGGGGGTGAAAAGAGAGCAATGATGATATTGGCAGCCTTACAATTTTAGGGTATCAAGGGGATAGACGCAGCATCTAGGATTTAGTTAACTTATGGTTAGTCCTTGCAGGGATCAGACGATAAGAATAGTAGTGGCACAGGGATCCATACTGGGAAATCATGCCACCAATGCCACCAGATAGGAATTGTGAGATGGGGAGCAGATTCTTGGTGTCACCATGACCTTCGAGACTGGCGAAAAAGCGTTTTGAAGCCTGTGAAGAGATCAGCTAACTTGTGCATGCATGCATGCAAGGTAGTGCAGAAAAGCTCACTTCGTATGCACCGAACTTGATGGCAGACTCAGGCATGACCTTGACCACATTCAGGCCATTTCCTATGCATGATCGTCAGCCATGACAAGAGAGAAGTACAGAGAGAGAAAGAAGATCGGTAAGCAACGTACCTGCGAATAAACTCCTGATGCCTCCTGCACGCCATAGCTCCTTTGTGGCCTCGACGATAGGCCAAGACATCCACCCCACGGCCTTAACCGGCGCACCGGCCTTGACTGCGTTGATGGCTGCACTCTTCGCGCTGTTCGTATGCGTCTGAGCGATGAGGTAGACCTTCAACCGATCAAAAGGCGCGGTAGCGGTTCGGGAGACAACACCGGCCATCCCGCCGGCAAGGAAGTAGCCTACATGGGGGGTGGTTTCGGTCAATACTTCTTCTAGGTAGCGGTATGACAGCCATAATCTGACGAGAGAAGGGACGGTGATGAACTCTAGTTCCACTTCTGATCCCTGATCTATTTTATGGTGGTCGTTATAAGGAGGAGCAAAACAAAAATCTTGGTGTGTTGGTCTGGATCAGGTGGGAGTGTAGGAGAGATATCTCGAGTTGAGAGGGAGAGGGAGGGAGGACTGGTGCTGGAGGCTGAACCTGCTGCGGTGAAATGGATAGAAGGAAGGAAACTGGGGGATGAGGAGCTGTACCTGATCCTTGCAGCGTCTTGTTAATGTGCACATCTCCTTCGGGGTTGAGTGTGCCGGTTGCGGAGTAGTATGATATGACGGAACGGAGGTTATGGGTGTCGGGCAGAAAGAGCAGAAAGTCTCTGCATTGGGATGTTAGCAGATTGATCGATAGCAGATAGTGAAGTTGTGTGTGTGTCAGACATACCTCCACTCGTCGAAGGTGATGACTCCATCTCTGTTTGTATCTACATCGGCAAAGAACTGGTCTAGTTTGGAATTCGGTACGGTCAAGCCAGCGTTGGTAAAGGCATCTTTGAGCTCCTGCTTGTCGAGATGGCCGTTTTTATCGTGGTCGATAGCTTGGAAGAGCTGCCAGAGCTGTTTCTCTGCCTGTTGTACGAAGAAGCGGAACTCTAACCCCCACGCCGTCATCATCAGCATTACTTCTATAAGTGTGTGTATTTTATACGATGGGGCCATCAACGCACCAGTATACTGTATTCGGCCATCCTGGCTTGTATCTATCGCCTTGAGAATGTCATGTAGCAGGTCGTCGGCGTTTTTCAATGCTATATACCATGGATATCAATATATGATGTAACCATAAAATGATGATATACTTGCGAAGACAGTAGTAGGAACATACGGTGATCAATCTTCCTCAGCCCCTTTTTGAACCCCTTGAAATCGATCTGCCCTTCTCCCCGCGTATCAAGCGAGCTCCAGAGACGCTCTATCCGGTCGTCTCGCCCTCGCGTACCCTCGTCATCGTTCTGGGGCATTGTTGATAGCCGGAGGGTGGAGTAACTAGCTTTGGAGAGGTTTAGCTACCGGTCAAGCTTGCGCTGCCAGCCAAACAACCGACCAACGCGGGACTCTGGGTTGTGCTGCACCAATGGCAAGGGTGAGAGCGGCAGCGGCAGCGGCAGACAGCAAACAAGGAGACGAGCGGCTGGCCTCTGTCTGCTACGAAGAAGAGCGAGCTCGCAGGTCGACGCATCCAGGCTCTTGCCGGCGGTCGGGCCGCAGTTGTATGTCGCTTCGAGTGGGCTGCACATCAGAACCCACGGCGAGACGGTGGGAGAGCAGTGGCGGCGGTGCTTCTTCTACCCTAGCAGACGGTGTCCGGCAGTCGACTCTCGCAGTATCATCAGCTCTTCAGCTCTTCTGCCCTTCTCGATGAAGTTGACGTTGGTGAATTTCGAGTTCGACTTCGACTTTTGACGGTTTTTGGTTGTTTTGGTATTGGCGGCTTCTGATTGGCTGGAGGCTTACGTCATATTTTAAGCTTAGTAATCACTACTTATCGTGACGTTTTCGACTTTATAGAAAAGATGAAGAATAAACAGAGAGCAAAGAAGGAGAATAAAAGACGAGATAGACAGGATAGATAGAGGGATGTGACTGGGGACGCATGGCGGCCAACTACTGGACCTCGACGCAGCGGCGGTTCTGGCTGTTTGACCGCGAGCAGCTGGCAGAGACGCGGGCGGCGCTGGACGAGGCAGACCAGGCCTTCATCGCGCAGTATCCGCTGCCCGACCACCGGCTGGTCAACATCTACATCAACCAGCGTACGTGAGAAGCCGCAGTAACAGTGACGGACAATGGACAATGGAGCAGGCTGCTGACGAGAGAAGAGCTGATCAAGCTGGGGAAGCGGATGAGCACGCGGCAGCAGGCGCTGGCGACGGCGCAGGTGTACGTGAAGCGCTTCTTTACGCGGGTCAGCATCCGGCGGACGAACCCCTATCTGCTGCTCACGACGGCCTTCTACCTCGCCTGCAAGACGGAGGAGTGTCCGCAGCATATCAAGTATGTCGTCTCGGAAGCTAGGGGGCTGTGGCCGGGTATGTTATATCTTTACTTATTTTATACTTGTATAACATTTATCTATGTACATGTGTAGCTAACAGGCGGAGAATTCATACTGAGCGACTCTGCAAAGGTCGGGGAGTGCGAGTTCTGGCTCATCAGCGAGCTCAACTCGCAGCTGATCGTGCACCACCCGTACCGGACGCTGTCGGACTTCTCGACGACGCTGACAAACCCGAACTCGACAGGTCTCACGCTGACCTCTGACGAAATCGCCCTGGCCTGGTCGGTGGTGAACGACAGCTTCCTGACGGACCTGCCGCTGCTCCAGCCACCGCACGTCATCGCCGTGATGGCCGTGTTTGTGGCTGTGGTGTTCAAGCCCGGGACGAGCACGGGGATGGTCGTAGGCCCAGGCACGATCACCAGCAGCAGCAGCACTAGCAGCGGTGCGACGAGCAGCAGCAGTACCACCGGTACCACTGGTACCACCACCACCATGACCACCGGCCCAGGAACAGGCTCGGCAACTTCTGCCGGGATGGCTGCTGGCATACGAGAAGGGATGGGCGACGGGGGCCGGGTGCAGAAGGCCATCGAGTGGCTGGCGGGCAGCGAGGTGTCGATCGAGGCAGTGATGGACTGCACGCAGGAGATGGTGGCGCTGTACGAGGTCTGGGAGGGCTACGGGGAGAAGGGCCTGCGCGAGGCGATAGGCCGCTACGTGCGGGGGAGGTTTCTCGACAAGTAGGAGCTGCAGACGCAGGATCGAGAGGGAGGGACAAGGACTCGAAAGAGGACCCAGGAGGGCCCAGGAGGGACGAAGGGTGACTGGCTGGTTGGCTCGCTGGCTTCGCTGGCGGTGCGTTCGGTTGGGCCTCTGCATGTACATAATGTACCACCCTTAGTGCATGTTTCGACCTGCAGCCCTGGTCCCCTGTCCGCCCGCCTCCTGGCTGGCTGGCTGCTGGGCTGGAGATGCTATTAATGGGATGAAACTCGGCGCTAAAAACCGGAGATACTTCGTCCTGCACGCAAACTTGTATGGGCGCCGAAGTAGCTGCTGCCTCTGCATGGTCAGGCGGACGATGATGCAAGGGTATGTGCTGCCATGCAGGGCGACTTCTCCCCCCATAGTAATTTGTATGAGCACAAAAGTCACGCTCCATAGCGCAGCACAGATCGGCATTCTGCTTTCGGCCTAGTGGCAGAATCCACTCGCTGGTCGCTTTTTTCGCTCGTTCGCCCGCTTCACCGCCTTCGCTTCTTCTTCTTCGTTTCTTTTCGACTTCGACTTTCTTGATATCAACGACTTCGTCTTCTTCGTCCCCAATCTTCGTCTTCTTCTCTTCTTCTGCTCTTCTGCTTCTTCTCTTTACTCTTTTGCTCTCCTGCTGATCTCTCGCTGAGTCATCCCCTATGTCTGCGCTATTCTTCGCCCACCACAGCCCACAACACCAACACCAACACCAACAAACGCATCACCACCACCAGCAACAACATCCGGCGCCTCCAACTCACCTGCCAGCGGCCTCTGCAAGCATGTCTCATCACCAGCACCACCAGCACCAACATCAGCACCACCAGCATCAGCACCAGCACCAGCACCACCACCGTCGTCGACAACGGCTCACCCCGTCCAACGCTGCCGCCGCCTCGACCCTCTCCTCCCTCGCTACGCCCTCGACAGCTCCAGCTCCCTCCGCTGCCTCTGCCTCCTCCTCCAGCTCTCGCCAGTTCCGCGGTGTCAAGTCGATGCGAGATCTCATCGAGGCTCCCGCCATTACTGCTTTCAGGGCTCGCTTCGAGGCCGGACGCTCCTTTGACCTCGATGACGACCTCGAGTTCTGTCCTAACTTGCTGACCGAGGACGACCTGCAGTCGATTCACTCGCTCGCTGCCTCGGATCGTAGCTCGCTGGGCAGTGCCTCGCCCGACTCGTCTCCCTTGCAGCACCAGGTTCACCCCATGCAGCAACACCACATCAACGGCATGGGCGGACACATGGCCATCTCGGGCATGATGGGCAAGATCCATCAGCCCGCTGCCGTCAGGGCACGGAATGCCATCCCCATCGTCAACCCGAGCACCGGCATGAGAGTCTCCAGCCCTACTAGACGGGACTGGTGATCGATCTCACCCTTCCACTCACTTATACGTTCTTTAAACAACCTCACGTTATGACGAATCGTCTTACTTCGCTCATTCGTTCCAGTCGTTTTCTTTCCTTGCATCAACAACACTATACCAATCTATATACGGACTTTCGGTAATCGACGAAAACCTCATCATTTTCCTATTTCCTTATCTTCATCTCTTCTCGACGGGCTGAGCGACGGCGTGTATCTTTTCCTCTCGACCTCTTCGTTTTTTGATCTTGCAACATCATTTTTTTCCTTTTATAACGATATGCCAACACTACTATACTTATACTACATACAATACATATACGGAGCGGACGGATGGAACTGGAGGATTGGTCGGTGTTTTCATACCCCTTGTTTTCACTTCTTCAACTTTCTCGACTTCACAAAAAAGACCCTTTCGAATACTCTCTCCCCTTTTCGAACTCAAAAACATTTGCTGTTTATACCACCTTATTACCTCCTGGGATTATTTTGCCCACTACTGGATACTGGATACCGGATACTCGTCGTTGGTTTGGTTGTCGTTTACCTGATGATAGAACGCCTGCTGTTGCTGCGTCGTTGTTTGTGTTGTTGCTTTTTGGTTTTTCTCCCTTTTACTTCTTTCCCCCCATGATACATATTACATTATACTACTGCGTGCGGTACTTTAAAAATCCCTCCCCGGGATGGACGGTCGGTCGGTCGGTCGGTCGGTCGGATGGATGGACGGTGTGTCTGTTGTTGTACTCGGGTTGTCGTTGTTGTCGTTGTTGGCTGGCTCTTTTTTGGTCGGTTGGTTGGTTGGTTGCATGCATCCATTTCTACCATATATCCCCCTACTTCTTCTGCTCTTTTTCACCAGAAGTGAAGTGTATTCTGCTTTACCACTTTTTGCGTCTTCATATCTCTTTATTATTTATCTCTCTCCCTCTTTCTCTTATCTTTTCTATCTCTATCTCCTTAATTCTCTCTTCCCGCTTTTTCCTTCGTCTTCTCATCATCTCGTTGAACATTCTTCATTAATATCCTCCGGCCATCCAAAAAGGACTTGTCGATGGAAAAGTGGACATGCAAAGGGAAAGGAACAGAAAAGAAATATAAGACCGCCCGTTATCCGGGGCGCTGAATAAATAATATATATCAATATGAACATTCTACTTCTATTCTCCTTCTCTTCTTCTCTTTCTCGTCTCTTCTCTACTTCTACTTCTACTTCTTCTGCTTCGTCTTCTCCGGTTTCTCTGTTCAAGGTTGGCCCGGTATGACGTCACTCCTCGGATATATGCAACAACGCCAGCTTTCGATTCCTGCATATATCAAAAACCAGGACTGACATTAATAGACCAGGTCCAGCCGCTGACTTACACAAACGGGCCGATTGGAAAGAGATAGAAGAAACTCGTCATCTTCCCTGCGTTGGCCGTTTCACTCCACTATATCTGCTCCTATATCTACTCGACTTCTGCTGCAACTCCGGACAACCATCTATACAACCTACTACCAACTACTACAACACCACAACTTATTATTGCTACTTCTGCTCCTACTATAACTATACAATGGCATCCATCACATCCTCCATTCGCTCCTCCATGCTCCGAGGCAGCCGGTTGCAGCTGAGATCCCTCTCTAGGCCGGCCTTCAACCAGGCCTCCCTCTTCCACACCTCTACATCCCTCAGAGCCCTGAAGGAAGAAGACAGACGTAGGCTCCCTTACCCTACACACATACACTCCCACAATTAACTGACTAGCCGTCAAAAACAGATCGAGATACACAGGAGGTATCCTCTGAAGTCGAGAGGGAGAAACACGAGCATCTCTCTAAACACAAGGAAGGTCAGGGGAAGTGGAATAACAGTCTTGCTAGCAGTAGTGAGGCAGATGTATGTTCATCCCTAGCCTTCTCCCGCCTATACGGCTGATGCTAACGGTAACAGGTCAAAGCGGATAGAGGGGAGGTAGACAGCGTGGAAACCGAACAGATGGAAAGGGAGGTGCGGAAGGCCAGGACGAAGAGAGAGACCAAGGAGACTACTAAGTGAGTTGACTGGCTTGTTCAATGGGCCTGTAGGTGCATCCGGGATGGATGTACTGGGCAAAAGCTAGGTGATGGTCTGTCTTACTTTCGGGCTGTGAGGGAGGATAAGTAACTACCTGTTAACTAGCGGATATCATTGTATATAATTGTCTGGACGGGTTAATGCGTGAATACTCTCCGTCTCTATTTTAGGACACCAATTAAACGAGTGAAATTGCTCTGGAACGCTTTTTTCTATCTATTTGACTGTCTATACCATACATCCTATAGGTATGGAACGCTCAACATATCCATACTGTCCTGGAGAAGTCCCCAAGCATAGGGCTCCGCCTGTGTCAATGGCTTAAATCCATCTTTACTTCTGCAGAAATACAGATTTTGCCCGAGAGGTTTTTTATTATGTAACACTCCGCACACAAGCACCTGGAGCTCGGGCAGCCCGTCATTGCTGAATGCCCATTTGGCAAAGTCAAGCAGAGCTTGGGTTGTAGAGTCCTTCAACTTACGCAACTTCTGCATGATACACGCCACGTTTCCTAGTTAAAACTGTTAGGTATTGATATAGTAAAAACTGTTACTATCTAGGGATCGGTAGTCATACCTCTGCGATATGCCTCGTTTAAGTTATACCTTTTATCTGTATACTCATCGATCGAGCGTGGTAACACCTGGGAGAACGGCTCCCCTCGCAAATGTAACAACTTGCATAACGGTCTTGGAGACAGCTTCTTCCATTTGCTAATCTAATAGCGAGCAGTCAAAGGTTAGCGAAAAGCCATCATAAAGGGTAAGATGCGTTAAAATCGGGGCTTCACACTTACTGGCACCCTGAGTCGCAGTCTGAGAGAAATGCACTTTACTGGACAGCCCATGAGTAAGGAATAAAAGAGGCCGTCCGGAATTTCAGCATTCTCTTCCCAGGGGTATCTTCCGTTGGTGCTACCGTGAAGAACTAGACGACGAAGAGTCGGATAATGGTTTCGGATAGCTCGGTAATCAATATTGTTAAGGGTGGTATCTGTAATCGAAAAGTACAGGTCTTCCAGGCTTTGAAATGCCATAAGGAACTTTGTAATAGCACCAGGCAAAGTATGGGATAAGTCAACGTTTAAACTCTGGTCCCGTATGTTTAACATGAGTTGAAAAGACCTTAGCCTCAACTGTTGTGTAGAATTGCTAAGAGCTTTAAGAAAAGCAGATGTCCCGGCGCATTCTTGAAGCTTTAAGCAGCGTAGACGATCAAGATTCAATGCGGATACAATGTCTACCTCCAGCAGGCTGAAATATAGCCGCCCCAGTGATAGCGTTTCAAGGTAGCGTAAAAGCTGCCTCTCTCCCCCTTTTTGAACGTCTAACATCAAATCATTGATAATATGGGTATCACGGTCTCCAATTCCATTTATTCTCCTTGGGGCGGATGAGTCCAGGTGTAACCCAAATGTAGTGAGATGATGGGGAGACTGGAGGAACGCCTTCATGAACTGGAAATCCGTCCGACGATGCGGTTCTCTCCATGTTAGAGAACGGAGATCGCTGAAGTAGGAGATGTTCAGAGAATAATCAACTATATTACTTCCCTTGTAGCAGATATCAGAAGCACCGAAGGAGAAGTAAATACTCTCAATCTTCTGTTGGTTCGATAGCAAGCCATGCTCACAGCTGAATATTTCAGCGGGGAGACATGTTCCCAAGTCCCACCTGGACAGAGCTGATGTTAGCAGGCTGGGAGAAATATATTTAGGTATTAACTAATTGTAGTTGTGGGTTTAATTTGAGCAAAGTAGTTACCTGAAGGAACGGAGGCGATTGCTCGGAATAGCCTGAGCTAAGGCAGTCAGGGCTTTCATAGATCTCTCAGTGAATTCATCGCGCCGAGTCATATCGTCTTTGGCTCCTGCCTGATGCCTACATGATGGGCGTGAGTCCGGGGAGATGACGGAGAGATACTTGGTGTACTTTAAGTGTTTCAGTGGTAGCTGTTCAATTCGGGCAATCAATGAGCTGAACATGCATATCCCGCCATCCAACGACACCGGCAGAGTGATGTCTATATCTTCGAACAGGACCGGACGAGCTGCATCACAGAGCCATTTGCAGGTCAGGCAGAAGCTTCGTAGGTCAACTCGATCCCGTATCTTTGCAGGTTAGTTAGCTACCAGTTGCTCGTCTGTCAGGGAAGTTCTCACTCACATGGAGCATAATCAAGCTCCATAGCTCCACAGGCAGCTCCAGGAAGAGACTCAAGGACGCCTCTGCGTTAGGAGAAGCCGTTTGGGAGCGCAGCGAAGGGAAGATGGCAGACATCTGCCGTCCGATGGATCGAGTTTGTTCGTATCCGGCTGCTGGCGGATTTGGTGGATGAACAAGAGAGGACTTCATCGTAAGTTATAGCTTCAACTCTAGAGTTTCAAGTCTTGATATCAGCCTTTCCACGCTACAGGATGTGGGTTGAGGGTGTCTGAAGAGTCTTGCGATGTGTGTGGCATTGAAGTGTCATACAGAGTGTGTGATCCTTGATAGAGGATACGTCTGTGGTTGGTTAACTGCTTGTGATCATGCAGGAAGAGCCGCCTTGTACTAGGCTACAGCGATTCCCTACTGGCACAGCACCCCCGGGGCCTTTGCCAATCATGAATATGGGAGTTTAAGTCTGTTTCATTAACTAACTACTTAATAACATGGAGGAGACAGAGACAGAGAGTCATTATTATGGCATGGCGGAAGCTCCTCAACACATTGTGTAAGTTACCTGGTTATAGCCATGACTCTTTACCCGTATTATCACACTACTCAATTTTCTGTTCAATCCTCCATTTCAGTTGCCCGAGTCACTCCCTGTACAGCAGTGTGGTGACGTCCTCCGATCGACGCACCGCACTCAGGACAACGAGCGAGTTCCATTGGCATTCCGCATTCTCCAATTACAAACTAGAGAAGTGGTTAGAATAGAGAAAAATCCCAAGTTGCCTGCGGGTATGACTTACAGGATGCCCGTTTGAACAGTTGTACCAATGACCAGAGTGAGTTGCAATTCCCCTGGGGCCACTAAGCATTGCGGCCTTGATTGCTTCTTTCTCAACTGAGGTGACTTCTTCATACCATTCTCTCTTCATAGAATTTATGGACTGCTCGACTACAACACGCAGGCCTTCGACGTTGTAAAAGGGCCGTTGGCAGGTCTCAAGGGCTTTTTCAAGCAGTCCCTTCGCCGTCTCTATAACCCCTTTAGCAGTGTCAAGGTTAATCCTGCTGGAGCGGCAGTCGTCCTCGAACGAACGTGAAAGGCTAGCAAACAAGACTGATGCTTCAACAGCTAATTTTGGGAGGTTTTGAGCGTCGCACTCGGTGATAAACTTTTCACAGTTGCGGAAGAAAAGTATTGCAAGTTTATCCGGAGTTTTACCAAGAGGCTTAATGTCGAGATTTGTCGATTTCAAGACCTTTGAGACGAAAAATTTATCATCAATGATAAGGAAATCTGCCTTGATCAGGGCCATTCGGCCGCCCATAGTAATCTGACTATCACGAGAGACGGTTGGGGCAGCCGCTTCATCGGATATTCTCAGATTCGCTAACAGGGTATCAGGGGGTAACTTGGATATAGCAGCTTTTCGCGCCGCATGCACGATAGCTTCATGAAGCTTCTGCGCGGGCTGACATTTGTCTGCAAAATTTATACAGAATTTCCGAACTGCTGCATTGAGAGCCCTAGACTTCTCATATCCTTCATGCAGTAACTTGGTGACAGTAGAAACTGCCGTAGCGCGGGGAGATACTTGCTCATAATGGTCTTTGTCTTTATAGGTCTTCATCACGTTCTCTCTGGTTTTTCGTTGCCAATTCTCCAATTTATCAATTTGCCGTTCTAGTTCTTGGAGGCCGTCCTTCCCACTTGAAAGGAAGCGTTTCGACATCTCATCGATAACTGCCCGATTAACGACCCGATTATACCTTTGCGTAGCAAACTGTCTCACTGGGCATTTGCAGTCTGGACAGAAAGGCGTGGACTGAGCCAGATTCGTGGATATATCTTTCAATCCAGTGAATTCCCCATTTGCGTCGATTTTATAGACCTCTCCCATATTCATCAGGCAGTCAACAGATTCGGTTGTGAAGAAATGGCCGCATCCAAGGACAACTATAGGGGTCTCACTAACGTCAATTTCTTCGTATGATTTCATTTCGACAAAGTCTACCCGTGCATCAAGCTTAGTTGAACACTTTTGGCAATAGCCTTCAGCACAATCTTCACCACAGATTCCCGGGCATTGATGGCCGCATGAGAGATCCTTCGAGCAGCGTTCGTTGCAGGGAAGACGATCACAGGGAGCGGCACATGGCATCTCGCATGTTCCTTGGTGTTCGCACGACCAGGTACAGCTCTCAATACAAGGAGCACAAGGTTCGTGGCAACGTAGAGTGCATTGAGAATGAGAGCATTTAACCTATATTTGTACATCAGTATAGGTTTTAATTTTTTAAAAGGAAAGAGTCATGTTAGACTTACCTCACAGGGAGCCAAACATGGGCCACAATCAGTACCATCATGACAAGTTCTAGGACATGTATGGTTGCAAGTTCCGAACCTTCTACCACATATTTTCTTGCATTTCTGGTGCTCGTTGTTGTGGCATTTGCCGCAGCTCCCTGGGCAGCGATGACCACAAAGCAGTGATGCTTCACATGCTGTGGGGCATAGGAAAGCTTTGGAAGAAACATCTCGAAAACATGGAACTTCCACAACATGATTGCATCCAGCTACTTGTTTTTGGACCCTGGTGCTGCACTGAATGCTTCCAACGTCTTGTGTCCGGTAGCAAGAAACACCATCTTTAGAGTGCCCGCATGGAAGAAGGACATTGTTAATCCTTATCATGCAGCGTCCACAATCTTCTCCGCAGGTCTGTTTTTGGCAGCCGTGGTTGCAAGGAGAGTGTAGTCGCTGGCAAGGCTGTGGGCATTGAAACACTTGGTGCATGGTATCTGAGTGGCATCGGGCCAAGCACTTATGCCCGCAGATGGCTAAACGTCTATCACAGGGTAATTGACATCCCCCCTCTGGGCTGAGCTTTTCAAAATCTAGCGGCTCGGAAACTTGCATCACTGTATACATATGTCGAGGGCAACAGAGCCCAATTCGCTTTCCAACCGAGTGATTAGCTTCTAGCATGCCTATCACTTTTGCCCACATTGGTATGTTCGAGTAAGTGTCTGCATTCCCAATCAAATACATGCCATGTTGAGCCCGGCTAAGGAGAACATTGATGCGGTTAGTTGTTCTCAGAAACCCAACTTTCTTCTCCTTGTTGCTTCGGACTAGGGAAATGATGACAATCTTGCTCTCCTCTCCTTGGAAATTGTCGACCGTTGCAACCCGCAGGAACTCGCTGAGTTTTTTCTTCTCAACGAACGTCTGTTGGCGTTTTGCAACATCTTTCTGGTCATCTTCAGTAGGAGTGCTTGTCTTTTCGTCAAACCCGTCCTTGGCAAGTGTCTCTAGATCCCGATCACTCAAAACAATTTCAAAGTCATTCCGCAATTTTATTCGCAGCTTCTGCAGTTGGCCTGTATATGGTGTTAACACAGCAATATCTTTGCTATCATAGACACCTTGCCGAACGATGTGACGGACAAGAGATTGGGTCATGTCTACCTCCCAGTCGTTGCTGTATGACTTCTGATGTCGGTCTAAACTTGGTGAATTTTCCATATTCTCATGGTCAAGCCAGAATACATTATTCCGCATCCCAAAGACATCTGGAAACGTCATTGTAGATGGATGATCAACAAGGCGAGGATAGAGGGTCATCCTGATCAAACTAGAGATTTCAGGGCGCATTCGTCTTTGGGTATCAAGCTGCGCCACCGGAAAGGGAACGCGCCCCGGTTCTCCCACAGAGAGTCGTTCAAACTGGCTCCGGTCAAGCTGGTAGGCTCCACCTTGTTTGCTTTCAAGAGATAATTTGTAATTGTTGATCTGAGGGCGTAACTGCTGATGGTCTCCTATTTGAATGAAATGCTCGACATTAGGCAGTAAGGCTGACACCATATGCGGCTCCATAACCTCTCCAGCTTCCTCGCAGATGATTACTTTGCTTCGTAAGTGTCGAAGTACCGAAATTCTTTTCGCAAGCCCCGTCGTAGTAACACCTATGACATCTGCATTCTCCAGCACTCTTCTGTCGGACTCGTCGTGTATCTTATCTAGCCGTTCATGAAGTTCACAGCATTCATTCACAAGTTCAAATAGCTGATCGCGATTGGTTTCATACACTTCTCGAGCCCAAAACTCAATCAAAAGCCGTCTCTCGGGAATTGACAGATCGAATATGTTTTCGTTAACGGCGCTTTCAAGGCTTTGGAGGATGATAGCTTCTTCGTCTGCCGAGAATTGTTCTCTAAGTGCTTTCGGTGCTGCCTTTTGACTCCAGACATCAAATGGCTCTTTCCCCACGAGTTCGAACTCGTCCTTGTCGAGTCGAGCAAACTTTTTAAATATCCGGGGGTATGTCTGTTCAATGTGGCCCTTAAGAGTCTTCCAGCTCGGTTCCTTTCTCAGGACGCGCAGAGAGCGGAGTAAACTCGAAATAATAGGCTCGTTATTCTCAAGAGCCCTATACGTTTTAGCAATTAAAAACAGTTCGTTCCCTGTCTTTCCTTCACCCTTTGACACGAGGCGTAAATTATGCCCTTCCAATATTTTAGACTTGCTTTGACCTCCAATCCGAATAATCTTTTTTACACCCACCTTTACCAGCTCCTCGAGGAATTGATCCAAGGCATGGTTAGTGTAACATCTAATAGAAGTCAGCCTTTGCATATAAAGAATGGCACCATGGGAGCTACATACACAACTATTATGGGACCCAATTTTGATTTCTCCTTGCATGCTAGAAGAACCTTCATAAGATGGATACCAATGTACGATTTTCCCGTACCGGGGGGTCCTTGTATAAAAGCGTACTCTCTCGTCAAAGCCGCTGCGAGTGCTTGACATTGTCCACTGTCAAGAGTAGTCCGCATTTCAAGCTCTTGAATAATGGTTGTGTCCCTATGGAAAGTAGAGGGCATAAAGGACAACCGATCACCTTTCTTCTTGAGAATAGAGTCTAATGGGAAAAAGTAGTTTTGATCCCGAGCATAACCTGGTTGGGGGATTTGTGCTGGCTCTTCAGGGGTGGTAGTCCGTTCAGGCAGTATCCACTGAGAGAATGGTAGATAACTAGAGGTTTGCATAGCCTGGAGACTCTTTAGGATAGGCATGAACGTGGCGAGAAGTACCCCCGGGAATTCAACCAAAACTCCATTTGTACCCCGGCAGCTTAATTCTGTTAACAAAGCATATTCCGCCTGGGCACGGGTGACCAGTTTTGTGGTAATCGTAGCATTATACTCGTTCATACTCAAGTTAAAGTCCTCTTTGTGATTTGTGACTTTCTTACTTACAGTAAGAAACAAGATGGAAGGCCGCCCAGATGTAACAGTGACAAAACATAGAAGAACACCTTCTTCTAGGCGTCTTGAGTCTTCCCACCACTTACATCTCTCATCAGGTGTCTTCTTTCGAAGAGCAGGAAGTTGGCTGAACGATACTTGAGCTTCAATGCCTATTTTTCGTTCGAACGAAATATATCTAACGTGTGCATTGGGGTATGTGTATGCTCGAATGTCTCCAATAGGGAGTTTCCAGTTCCTCTGTAAGTTCTCGTCTTCAGTCATGGCGCGCACCAATATCCCAAGGGCATATTTTAGTTCCCCAAAAATATCGTGCCGAAGGAGGCGAAACAAAGTATCGATGTGACGTCCAGTAGCGTCCGTGATAAACGAAGGCTGGTCACGATCAGTTGTTGGTAAATAATCTGGTAGATCACAGCAAATTTCTTTATCAGTTGGCATAATCCTGATCTTGGTAATGTCAACGTGGTCATTATCATGCCGAGTTCCTGGCACAACAACCGGACGTGGATATGAAGACTTGACGACTGTAGTTGAGATCCCATCAATCGTAGCAGGATGATCAATCTCTTTGACTTTTAGCAAACCAGTCGCACGGCCAACCCTAGCTTTAATCTCCGCAACACTGGCCTGAAATATAATCGGCTTTGTGTCAAGACCAAGGGCATTAGCAGCCTTCTCCAAGGAGTTGACTAATTCTGGCAGCTCGTCATGATATACTGCTCGTTGTTCTCTCTTCAAGAGCTCCTGTAATGCAACTCCCATGACTGTGAGTGTATCCTCAGCCACAGATATCGAGATCACTGATTGACCATATGCGTTTGTAAGATTGCTGCAAAGGCGCGTAAAGAACTCGATTGCTCTTTGGCCGTTAGTCCCACTGATGAAATTATATAGCCCTCCAACTGCGGTGTCGATCGAGAGACAGTCCAGCATGGCCGGATGTGTAATCACTGAAAGGAATGGCTGTGAAAGTTCCACAAATGTTTGGTATCCGGTACCATAAGACTTCATGCTAAGGAGGGTGTGGATATGCTCACGGCCAAGATTATCATCCGAGTCAAGGTCTCGTGGGAGCATCTGTTTCCAGTTCCGATCAAAGCCGTTCAAGATGTCTAAAGCTCCAGTCCATAGGCGTTTTATTGTAGCAATATCATTTTGTTTTGGAGGATACTTGATAATTCGCTTCCAAGAATTGTAGTATGCTCTTTCTTGCTGTTCTTTGGGCGAATCCGATGATCTCTTGACTTGGTCTTTTCTGATACTCGAGGTATCATGAGAGTACGTGCAATCCTCGCCATATGGACACTTTTTTCCATGCTCAATGAACCGACAAAGCTTGGTTTTACTTCCCTTCTGATTAGTTTGCTTGCCAATCCTTAAGTTTTCTCCTTTTCCCTGGGATTTTCCAGGAGGGCGGACCGCCCGCCTACCAGTAGGCCTGCTGCCTGGCGTCGCCATGTGGCAGGCCAATTTCCGAGAATGATATCAAAACAGTTGCTTTTGCAGGTCAAAGTTGGTTGTATTGGCGAAAACGAGCAGGGTGTGTGTGCAGGAGAACAGAATACGTTAGAGGGGAGGGTTCATGGAAAATCTCACTGGGATGCCCTAACGCGTTCTTATGTACCTATAGCGGAACTTTCCAGGACTACGAGGGCAAGATGGTCCCAGTTTCTCTTTGTTAAAAGTCTTCTGTGATGTTCTTCCTGTCCCCCGCAAAGATGTATCAACTCCTCCGGATTATGTAATAAACTAGCAGGGCGATGTGATTTGGTATATGTGAGCATCATCACCACTGAAGAAACTTCGTGCCATTGGGCTTCAACATTCGATTCTCAACTTGAATCTCGCCGGCTCAAGAACCCTGCGCCTGTCATACTAGCCTGCGTTGCTGCCAGTCCTAGGTGAATGGATGTATAGCAACGTGCTCCAAATGGGCAGTACTTCTGCCCGTCCAACGTTCCATTTCCATATGTTTCAACAATGACTCTGGAAGGCCAGCTAGAGTTCGCTTGCTACATACGAAAAACCCAAGTCAATGGCCTTGCTCGGGGTTCTGGCCATTACACCTTCTAGCACCTGTTCTATTCGATAATTTTTGCCCTCGTAGGCGACGGCATCATCAGCGATAGACGATATCTTGTGAAAAACAATTCTTGCTGAAATATGAACACCATGGCTAGGCAGTGAAACGCTGATTGCACGCCACTTCTCTGCATAGATAGTCGATATGTAATTTGTCAAAAGCGGCCCGCAGGTGAAAAGCATGGAAGCAAGGATTGGCCATGAGGCTGAAGGAAGATGCTCGCACGAGCTTGCAGAGTTTGTAAACGTTGCGGATTGTGGGTTCGGCATTTTCATCTTCTCGTATTTGTTTCCATCCCAAACCCAGCCCAGCCCCGTGGGAAATGCTGACCATTAAAGCGAGATGATGTCGGCCTCTGAGAATTCCAGCAACCCTCCTGTGCCTCCAGGTCTGTTCATAGTTGGTCTAGGGTCACAATATCCACCATACCTTCTCGACCATGAAATGCTAACTCGTTTCGCTGGGCGTTTTTACGATACCCAGCGCCCTGGGTAAGGTATTGGGGAGAGGGAAAATACCACGAAGAGTCAGATTCACAACGCTAACTTTGCGATAATACCGTATAGCCTCCATAAGCTGCTTCAAATCAATACTTCGACAGGCATTGAAACTCGTTCATCAATTCGATCCTATGAGACTGGGTTTGCCTGCAACTCCGTTCCGCCATCAATCGCAGACCTTGACGAGCTATTTCGTCAGGATGGGGTTGACCTCGCAGTGCAAGCGTGCACGAAAGTAATGAAGGAAGCAGGTATCCTTCGAGAGCAGATAACAGACACTGTCAGTGTAACATGTACCAACCAAGGCAACCCCGGGTATGATCTTCTTGTGAATGAGAGGCTCGGTCTGCCAGAGAGAACAAGTCGTATATTGCTCCATGGAGTGGGATGCGCTGGCGGATTGTCTATCATGCGAGTCGCTTCTCAGGTCGCCTGTGGAGCAACCATGCGCGGAAAACCAGCATGTATATTAGCGTATGCTTGCGAGCTTTGCACGCCTAATGTTCGGCATGACTTAGCAGAGGCGGAACAGTGCATGGATCTCAGTGAGGTTAACGTAGCTGGGGCATTGTTCTCGGACGCAGCCGCAGCGTTTATCCTGTGCAACGAGGCCGCATTGAAAGAAATTAAGGCAAGCCCTATTTTCGAGCTAGTCGAGTGGGACAATGCATTGATACCGGGCACTATGCAGCACCTTGTATGCTATACGGATCCATATGGTAAGAATAAAGGTTCCCAATGATGATTCTTCATAGTAGAGGGAATGTTGATTGGTTGCTAGGCTTTCGAAGTACTTTGGCCAAAGATATCCCAAAGTATGCAAAGGAAGCAGTTGGCCCGATGTTCCGTAAGTTGTTGCCATCTTACGAAGGGCAAGTCTTCTCGAAAGATAAACACCTTGATACAGACGATTTCGATTGGGCGCTACACCCTGGAGGGAAAGCTCTGATTGACGGGGTCCAAGAGACGATGCAGTTGATGGATGATCAAATTCGAGCGAGCCGAGAGATTTATAGAACTCGCGGAAACTCATCGAGCCCAACTGTGCTATCAGTCCTAGACAGGCTGCGGACGTATGAGAAGAGACGTGACCACGTTGTGGCCGCATCATTTGGGCCAGGCTTGGTTATTGAGATGGCCATGCTGAAGCGGTGCGATATTGCTGGCAGCAGAAGATAGAAAATTGCCCCAGCTGCGTGGTTCTTGTAACTCTTTATTCGAGAGCCCTGTGGTCGTAATTATTGGCCGATAGATTCCAGAGAGTATAAGTTATATTTCTGATCCGGGTTGGTATTTCTCTTGAGAGTAGGGTTATTTTAGGTCCGATCACATCAAAATCTGAGCATCTTTTAGTGCCTGTACGGCTTCAGCGGTCCACTCTTGACATCGTCTGATGGGTTCCCCGGGATAAAGCTTTTTAGCACCCTCGAATTGCTTCTTCGGAGGCGGAATATTTTCACATATATTCTGAATCCGACAGTAGTTCGCGTGCGTAACAGTCCCGATCCCTTGCTTGCTGATAAATGAACTCGAAGTTTCCGGTTTGCCTTCAGGCCTTTGCTCGAAGGTCATGCCACTCTGTATGTTTCCCGTAACCTGGAATAAGCGGCCGGTCTCCTCGCCGTTCTCGCTGGTCTCGACGAAGATGGCATGGTGGTCGCGTGGGAGCCCGGCGGAGACAATGCGATAAACAGAGGACGACATACTGCTCCGTAGACGACGTGAATTCAGGGTATCGAGATCTGTTGCAACGGTACTACTGTCATTTTCGAGACATGGCATGAGTTTCAGATCGAGCCTAGTTGAATTGTATGCTGTGGCGACTCGAGAGGATGGATGGACGGGGTGGTTGGTTGGTTGTTGGTGAGGATGTCATTGGCTTTCGTCTGAGCTATCTACATCAATCTTAGTGGACGTCTGATTACCAACGCCAACACAAAGAAAAAGTGAAGATCGGCCGTACAATAAGAATCAGAGCTATCTAAGAAAGAGTCTACTCCATACACTAAGAACATTCACTACGATGGCTCAAGTATTCATAGGAAGGCACAGAGTACTGTACCAACAGCACAAATATGTATTGTCGTTTAAAGACCGTCCAACACGACTGGCAACAGATACCTCGATCTCGGCTGTGAGATAAATATCAACCCGAACTAATCCGGGGTGGCTCGAATATATATATGCGCGAGTATCGAGAGATTACATGCAGTAAACAAAAGAAAACGATATATACTATGTAGTAACGCCAGCTATCACACCGAAGATAACACCCCTGGAAAAAGAGACACAAAGCAAAAGGCCAGCTAGGGCCGTAGGGATATATGTAATACACTCCAAGATATATGGTAACGAAACTGAAGCAAGGAAAGTAAACAAGGTAGCCAAACGGCTGTCCTTGATAAGTCGTAAGAATCGTCATAGAAATGGAACAGCAGAGCAAGGGAAACCAAAGGAGGAGAAACAATGGCTTGATCACTTGAGAATCACGATCAAGATCACCAGTACGATAATCAACCCAATAATGGTCATCAAGCCCTTGCTCCCCTTTGACTTTTCTCTAAATCGCCCGAGGCTTCTTCGTGCCCCATCCAACCGGCCCTGGTGTCTTTCAACATGACCATCCATGTCATCCAGAAGTGCGACTTGGCCTTCCAGCTCATCGCCAATCTGGATACTTAGCTGGTGCTGACGTCCAATTGACTCACCCAGGCGGTCCAGATGGTCATCCTGCTCCTGCATGACCTGGCTATGATAATCATGGATTTCCTGGTTCGTAGCCTCCGAAGGGTCGAAGCCAGGCTGTGGGGAGTCAGAGTATGGTCTGAGCAGGGCATCGCGGTTGGGGTCATGTTCTTCAGCGCTGGCAGTTAATGTGTCCGTGAAACGAACAGATTTAGAGACCGGGTGTTGGGGTGTGGGATGTTTGAGGATGGACGGAGTGCTGCTTGCACGAATGAAGTCTTCGGCCAGCTCGGCATTGTTTGGTTGGACGGTTACGGAAGACCCATGGTCGCCATGGAATTGACGTGAGAGATCCTCGTACTGGATTCGTAATGAGCTAGCTTGTTCTTTGAGGTCATTTGATGATCTATTAATGGAACTGTTAGCTAATAATCGCGTCTCAGTGAAAGCTCGGAACGTACGGATCGCCAACGGAGACCAGCCGCTGGACCTCCCTCTCGGCTGATTCCAGGCCCTCTCGCAGCGACTCTAGCGAGCGGGATATCTCTCCATCTTGTGCATTGGGCTCAAGGTCAAGAGAAATCGCCCTTTGACGCTCTAGAAGAGAGAGCTTTATGTGATCGGCCAAAAGGAAAAGCTGAGATGGGTTGCTCATGGTTGATTATCAGGCTGTAGTATTCTAGATATCTGGAAAGTCGTGTCCCACTAGTCTCCGACGTCCCTCAAAAGCGAGGTTTTAACAAGGCTATTCTTCTTGTTGTGGCTATCAAACCAGAATAAGAGCTGTCCCCAATCTCATGCTCTGTTCCGTCAACGACTCATTCGTGAGATGGCTGGCTTCGATGGCTGATGCCTGGAGTTTCAAGCAAACCAAAAAAGAGCGACTTTTGACGTCGTAATTAGCTTCATGCACGGACCATTCAGGTGTTATTCGCCTTGTCACGTGGTGATTACCAATGCATATGGATAAATAATTATCCGTAATCTCCCTGTCATGTGACCCTCACATGGCTATGACTAAGCTCATCACGTGCAGACTCTCTCGGCTTTAGTGAAAGCAAAAGAAGCTGAAACGAGCCGGAGTTTGGTAGTTTGATAGAAAGCCATCTACATACTCCGTACTCTACTACGAAGTACCTCTCAGAGCCTTGGTTACTCTTCTGTCCTGCTCTGATGGCAGACGAGGATACGTTTCTGCTCCTCTGGGACTGATCCCTTCAACCGCTCGAACTGACGCCGAAACTACTTGCCTGTCGCAAAACAACAACCACCCCCCACTGCCTGCCCCTCGGGTTTGCATACTTATCAGAGACGCCCTTCGCACTTCGGATAGCTGCAGCCCACGCAGAACGACGAGAATGGCATCTGGCGCCGGCGACAACTCAATAGACCTTCGGGCGCTCGAGGCCGTGTCTGAATACAGCAAGAATCTCATGTGCCTTGTCTGCCATTGCCCCTTCATCACTCCCACTCGGCTACGATGCGATCACATCTTTTGCAGGTCTTGTCTGGATGACTGCATCAAATCCTCGAGTGATATGAACCAGTTCACGCAACTAAGCGAGTTTCTTTGTCCTACCTGTCGTACGCCGACAAATGCCACTTACACGACCGTGCCGCGACTTGTGGTCGCCATGTGTGATGATATATTGGTAAGGTGTCCATATCATGGTGAAGGTTGTACCGAGACCATCCAGCGTAGCCATGCGCAAGTGCATGTGGATAAGTACTGTGAGTACCGATGGATGCCATGTCCCGATGCGCAATGCGACAAGAAGATCCGCAAGAAAGATCTGGGCTCGGAAGATCGGTGCTTGCATACACTTGTCGACTGCGGGAAATGTGGCGAGTCGGTGATAGAACTTGATTTTGAGGTTTGTGCCTGCGATTTCCCGGAATATGTTTGATAGCTCTGAACACCAACATTGACGAATGTCCATTTACAGGAGCACACAACAGATCTATGTCCGCAAATAGAAATGACATGTCCTGATTGCGAGGAAGTGTACTATAAGATCAATCAGCAGGAGCACAAAGAAAGCTGTTTGCAGGCTACTGTGCCTTGCAAGGCTTCAAAATATGGATGTGTGGCTCGACTGCTCAAAGCCGAACTCAAGGACCACGAGGACTCCTGCCCACTAGGCAGATTGGGTCCATACCTCGAGAGTCAAGCGGAAAGGCTTGAAACTATGGATTCAACTATCCGACAGCTGAAACAACAGAATTCTTTCCTTGAAGATAGCATTGCCAGTTTACGATCTTCACTTTCACAGTCCACTTCTCGGCCACCATCAAGAGTACAGCTGACATCAAACCCTGGACCCGAAAACGCTAGTCTCCCAGTCCCTGATCTGAATAGGAGTGCCTCTCCATCAAGAGACGCCCTCGCGTCGTCCCCTATGATCAGTTCTTCGGCGCCTTACCATAATAACGCCACAACCTACCTCCTTTCCATCCACGAAGCCCTGCGAGAAGAAGTCTTGCAGCTTACCTCGACAGTCGCGGACCTCGAAGCTCGTACAAACATGTCAATGATGAATGATACCCTCCGTGTGAGAGAAGATATGGCTCATCTCACAGCCGGGCTAAACACGGTCAGGATGCAAGTCCATTTACTCATGAATTCCAGAATACATCACAATCAGAGGGCTCCAATGAATACTCGCCCCGGTAGCAGTAGCAATGGAGGAGGCATGGATGGAGCCTCTGGACAAGCTCGTATCCCTTCCGCCACCGGACCAGAGCCGCAGCGAGGCAGACGCCCAAGCGACAGTGGTTGGGAAGGGACGAAGCTATGATAGCAAAGTCCTTCACCCTTCAACAACGAATGACGGACACTCATGACTTTCTTTTACTTCACTTCAGCTTGGTCTCTGGTTGACCAGAGCAGGTTCCAAGAACAGGGAATGGCGCATACATACGCACACTTATAATTGTATTATAATTACTGTTCCCGTAATGTTTTAATAGCAAATGTGCAGCACACAGTGCTACAGGTACCATCTTATTTACATTACATAGTACTGAATTAACAGTGCTCTTGTCCCCTCTATGTTAATAGTGATCTTCAAAGATCGACGAGACGAGCCGAGCCATTATTTTAATCCCAGTATGGTTTGATCTGGGGTAAAGATATTTAAGCTTAATAGCTTATTTTCTTACTTGGTCTTTACGGTGTTATTTTCAGGATGAAGTGCTTGGTAAAGGAAAATCATTATTGTTAAATGAACATGTTAATCGATACGCAGGGTATGTAGTCGTGTAATCATGCTGTTTGCATTTGTAGCCCCAGAGTGAGTTAACTTGGCTCAGCCGAAGCCATTTCAGGGGAAGCTCCCGACTCGAACACACTCCCTTCAGAGATATAAAGTAGCGGGCTAGTCAATGCAGCCAAAGTTTGTATTTTTGACGTTGGGATTAAAAGAATCAATGGCCGCTCAAATAAATATTCCAGTCATTCCGCATATTAGTAGACTATGGCCATCCAGTCCTAAAAAGTAGATATACACCACCAATCAAGCCAACAGGTATATACACACAGGTAGTAGTAGTTCTTGATCCCTAGATCAAGGTAAAGCATCCATCCCCTTACAAAACCAACGCAGCACCGACAGCAGCAGCACCACCGAGAAGTGCCAGGTTAGGCATGCCAGTTGCCTTGGGACCGCTGTTCGGCTTGCCGGTGCTGCTGGGCTGGTTGGTGGCTGAGGACAACTTCTCAGCTCCAGCAGTGATGGTGACGGGGACGAAAGTGACTTCTGATGCCGCGTAGGTGGTAGTTTCTACTATGTTGGTGCTAAAGCTGCCTATCGACGTAGAAAGGGATACGCTGCAGGTAGCCGCTTCCTTAATAGTGCAGGCGCCACGGATGGTTCTGGATTCAAGTTGTTAGCACGCTACCATCAATTTCACTGTAATCACTCCCCGTGGAGTTGAGCACAACATACCCTGGTGCGCTTCCCTCAGTGTTAATCTCGTTATACTCCAGTAGTGTGGTGCCACCAAGAGTAAAGGTCTGTCGCATGCTCTCTTCGCACTGATGTCGCGAGATGTAGTTAATGCAGACAGCAACGGTGGTCAACGGCGCTTTCTACAAAACGGGTCAGCCAGTCGTGTCCATGTGTATAACTCTATCTATTGTACAGAGTACTTTTGAGGGAAGAGGAGCATTACCACTTCGACTACCGATGCATCTACAAGTAGAGACACAGGGCCACCTTCGGTGGGCCGTGCTGTGCCAGCAAAGAACATCTGGATCGTAGGAGATGGGCTGCCTGACTGCGTGGTGCTGGCTGGGACAGAGGAAGCGGCTGCGGCGGCAAGGCCGAGATGCGCGAGGGCAGCGAGAAGGACAGACTTGAGCATCATGGTGAATTATCTAGATTGTTTTAGATAGAGTGATAGACCTCTGAGAGCGTAATCGGCAGCGTTGACAGCAAGTAGTTAAGCAAATACCGGTTCTGGAGCAGCGAATGCAACAGGATTAACGGGCAGAGGTGCTTCTTTATATAGCTGATCCTTCAAGAGAGGAGTAAACCGTGGAATAGAGGTAAAGTATATCTCAGGGGCATCGGCAAGCTTTTCTCGAGCCATAACTGCTGGACGAGCCATGCGCACCCACATGTAACAGGCTACATGGTTGACTAGGCTAGGCGATGCAACGCGCCGGAGGGTTTCATAGCTCTCTGAATATGGAATTGTGTTTGAAAAGGAGCATCCAGTGTGTGATAAGTATATTAAACCCATTCGAAAGAACGAGGACTCCGTTTGCGATGAAACGATTTGAGCAGAAGGATCCCATCCTCGGCCCCACACCCTTGGGCGCAACAAATCACTTGCTAGTTAAGCATTCAGCTAGCCCTTGAAAAGCTGGCTAGAAGATAGCTAGCGCCATCCCTCAGGGAAATTCGGAGCCCCTGGTACGGGTTGGGGATGCCGCTGTCGTTACCACGAGAACAGGCCATGCAAGTTGAGCTTTGTTACTTCTTTCATGCAGCGAAACGTCAAGGGCCTTGTGTGTTTCAATTGAACGTGCATATTTTGATTGGAAGTTTTGTCTGGGGTAACTACCTTGGCTGCTACACGAGAAGCTGGCCTCTGCTCTGGGCATCAACCCTTTTCAGCCTCAGGGTCTGTCGTTCTATTTCCTCCGTCTATGTTCCGCTATCCACTTCTGTCAACGGGCTGCCCCGGTTCCGGACGAAATTTGAAGTGTTAGTCGGCTATCAAGCTAAGTACATACATATACAAGCTTCCTTTTCGCGAGGGGCTGTCTCATCTCAGCTTCTTAACTAGTACTGATGTGAGTGGCCGTAGCCGCTGTCGCGGCCTGGACCATAGTAGTAGTCATATGTGTGGGCACCCTCACTTGGTGGCTCATAGACAGAATTACCTTCTCTCTGCTGGTGATAGTGCTCGTAGCCAGCGGGGGGTGGCATGTCTGGCTGCGGCGTTGTGCTTCGTGACGCTTGATGTTCCTCTGGCGCGATACCCCTTCCAGTCTCATCGCCGAGATCCCTGGTCCGGCCCCCTGATCCTGACAAGAATCCCCCTATTTTGCCAATATTGGAGGCACCTGGGATGGGTAGATGAGACAATTTATCCCACGGAATAGATGATGATGCTGACCCTGCAGTCGAGTGGCCCGCTCCCTGATGTGAAGAGCTGCCCGTAAGACCCGCAAGGGCCGACAGACCCGGAATGTTTGACAGTGGATTACTGCTATGTTGAGAGCTGCCACCGCCACCTTGATGAGGATACGACTGTTGCCCATAGGGAGGCGAGTTGTAGCTTTGATGTTGTTGTTGCTGCTGGTGATATGGCGGCTGATACGCATGGCCCCCTCCATGTCCAGACTGATGCATTGGCTGCTGGGCACCGACCGTGTTGCCATATCCATGTCCAGAGCCATGTCCGTGGCCTCCTCCTTGCAGATGAGGGTTCCCGCCCGTGTGATTTTTGCCTTCTCTAACGTTTTGTGCGTTCAGGATTGTATCTAGACCGGCACCACCATCGCGTCTTGAACGAGCCCAGTTCTGTACAGCCTCAAACATTGTCCGATGAGCCTCGTTGTTCATATCCCGAAGCGCCGGATGGTGGAATACCTTCATACAATCCGCGAGAACATCATCGACTGGGATATCGACGTGCTGCCATGCATACAATATTCGAGGTACTACATATTTCAAGATGGCAGCTGCAACATGTCCGGCTGGCTCGTTAAGAATATTGGAGAAGTGATCCTTTGAAAGTAGGGAGTGAGTTGGATCAGTACAGTTTGGATCCGTCCATGGCTCGTACTGATGCTGCTCTGAAGTGCTAATGACCCCCGATGATCCGGTCTGCAGTTGTGATGTTGCTACCTTGATAATTGGTCGAATAAAGGGAGAGAGGAGCGAGAAGATGAACACGCTCAACGTGTCTGTAATCTTTTCAACAAGAGACTCGAGGCCAGGAATCTTTGATACGACGGCAGAGATTCTTCTCACGACATTGTCTCTGAAGACAAGAATCGGATATATCTGGGAAATAGTCTTCTGAGGGTCGATATTGGGCAATCCTCCCGGCCCAGCAGCCCGGGTTGTCTGATCATATCCTCCTGTTGCACCATACGCCTGTCCCTGTCCGCCATCGAACCCTCGAGAGGCACCTCCGTAGCCGTGGCCGGCGCTGTTGTTGGCCTGGGCCTGAGCTTGAGATTGAGCCTTTAACTTCTCAGCTTCAGCAATCAGGTCACCCATTCCGGGGACCTTTGACAGCAAGCTCGTCAGGGTGTTCACTGAGCCGGTCGTGGCACTGCCCACCTCTGCGTTCTCAAGTGTATTGTCCAGCTCGCTAATTTCAGATTGCGTAACATGGTCCGAGGCTTCACCCAGCACTGAGTGGAGGAAGTCTACCATCCCAAAGGTGCCTGTTACCAATGGGAAGACGTGTTTTCCTCGGATGTTCATCATCGTGTTCGTTCCAGTATGAGGGAAGACATTGAGCATGCCCATCTCTCTCAAAACCAGCTCGCAATAATTCGTATGGGCTCCAAAGTCCTCCAGAGTATGCAAGCCTTGACCCAGACAGCGTAGAGCCTCGTATAGATCTTCATCTTTACCCTTGCGCAGGTGGCCTCCGTTGATGTACTGGCGGGCAAAGTGGATACTGCGGGAGAAGCTGTACTTGACATAGCCGGCACTCGTAGCCCAGTTGCCTCGTTCGTTGGCAATATAGTTTTTCATGCCGGTTTCATGGTCGATTTCAAGCTCAACTTGCCGGACAGGACCGCGTAAACGTGGATCATATTGTCGTGCGTCTGCATCATCCGCATATCCCTTTGGGTTACTACAAATGAATGTTAGCAAAATACCGAACAGGGGATCATGTTGTAATCAATCTCACGTACTCAATGTGCTCCTCTGGCCGATACACTCCAAGTCTTTCGGATGTAACTTCAAATTCAGCAGTGGCGTATCCAAAAGTCACAAAGGACAAAACCCATACAAGGATACGGACACTGTCTGCCTGGACATTTTTCAGAGTCCCAACATCGACAGCTTGCGAGCTACACCAGTAACCATGTCAGCCATATTATCGTAACACAAGGAAAGCACATGTAAATCATCTCATAGCTGAGATGTGAGTATATCAAGGAGACTCACTAATCTCTTAGCCAGTTACCGAAATAGACCCTCTTTACCATATTGGCCGTCCATTTATGACCCTTGATGAATGCAAGGGTCTTGATGACATCTTCGATATCTCCATGGCGCCAATTCTTGCCCTCGATAGCTGAAACAGAGGCAATATCTAGTTATTGTGTATATCATCGTCAATATAATGTGCTTCGATCGGTTTTGATATAGAGAGATTTGATACAAGACCGGAGCACCCAGGCACAGAACCAGGGTCTTCTCCGAGCTTTCTCATAGCCCCCCTCCATTGCTCGTGTAACAAGGCAGGGATAATTGCTCACTTCCAGCTCCAAATGCTTCTACTCTCGCTGGCAAGACGACGAGTAAGACAGCAATAAGCAAAATGGTGGTGGTGGGGTTGAAGCCCATCATCAGGTCGGCCTTCCAACACGGTTTTTTGCCTGCTATTAGGAGATACTATCGGAAAAGTAAGCCGTATAAACAAGGAAGTTCGTTGCCAGCCGTAGCTCTTGACGCTATCCAGAAGTTTTGCTGTAGGGCGTGTTATGTCCTCGAGTTATGTAGTTACTTCGATGCAGGCTCGAAGCTGTGCTTGCTGTACTCTGTACCTTTTTCCCGCTTCTGCGCCACCGAAAAGCGAGCTGACGTTAATCAGTGGCTGAGGCAGATGCTAATTGGCTGAAATTTTAATATTCGATTATTTGCCTATTCTTATTGGTTTATTTTTATCTCTGCTTTATTTTCTTCTTTTTATGTTCAAACCATCGACAATTTCAGCCAGTCCAGCAGATTCACAGTTCAGGACGTTGTTTCTTGAAGACAAGCAAAAGTCTTTCTTACGGTCTAGAATCAAGTGCCTTTGAGGCGTCATTAACGCGATAATCAAGCCAGTAACTACTAAAGCCGAATAAGAAGCAATGTATCCACGATCGCGGGCTTTTCTTGGTGCAGTTGGCAGGCCTGCAGACCGATGTTGGTATGGGGAGGAATTTCCTCCGTACGATACCCGCAATCTCATGCTGATCATCTCGGTTCCGATGCAAGATATCTATTTGATTTAGCATCGAATATCATGCTTTCGGGGCCTTCTCTATGAGTATTCGAAGAGCTAAGCAGAACACATTATGTTTTGCAACTAATATACGGATGAATCTCACATTTTGGATAAAAAGAGTATGAAATTGCCGATATGAGGGTATACACGCGCAATTCTGGAGACACCAGTAAGATTTCTTCGTTATCCAGCCGTCTGGATTTCTTCAAATCATGGCCTTCAGATATTTTTCCTGAAAGGGTAAGTAAATTCGCTTCGTTCCGAGCCGGCGAAGCTGTTGAGGCCAATCTGGTTATATCCGATGAAGCTGAAGAGCTGGAGGCATAGATACCAGGTCTAAAGTGAAGCCTCGGCAACAGAAATACTCCTACCTTCATCTTCCATTCCGCAGCCAAATAATCGCAATCATCCTACACAACAAATCATCGTTACAACCCTTCACTTCAAACCTTCAGCTCTAAAACCCCGCTTAAAGACAATCAAAATATAGTTCACCAAGCTTTCGACCATCTTCGTCATCTCTCTTATGGGAAGTGCCGCCATCGCCGCTCCACCAGCCGATAACGCTCCTGTTGTCCTAGCTGAGAGCCTGGAGAAGCGCGGGTTTGGCTGTTCCCTTGGGCAAGATTGCATGCCACCGTCACCTAAGTTTACCTCTTGCTCTTTGATCTTACATAGTGCGTCGATATTGGCCGCAAGTTCGGCTATTGCCGTGTTAAATTGAGATTATGGGTGACATATTTCCTCTCCTTTATACCCAACGGAAACGAGTTAAAATTATATTGCACTTGCATCTGCGGCAAGGTCTAAATAAGGGTGGCTCACACCTCCATGATCAATGTTCCCCGTACTCGAAACAGCAGAGGGCAGGGCCTCCTCTCGCAAACGGGTTCCAAAGGATCGGTTATTAGGGTTATCTGGGAATGAAAAGAATCCTAGAGAACCAATGGGTATTTGGTCAATATTACCGTCTTCATCCCTTGTTTTGCATTCGCTATCACTCTTTACGTAGAGTGTGGTTAGTTAGGTGGCCTGGTCAACTACTATCTTACCCTTTTACCTTATTCATCCAGAATACTAATTACGAGCGCACTAAAGCTGCGTAAAAGGTCCAATTTGGCTACCTTCGCTGTTTAAAGGGAGCTTTGTGGTTATTTCCAACATATAGACCTGAAGAGGGTGTTATTGGTAGAGCATGCTTAATTGGGTGGGATAATGGTATAATATCCAGGGAATATAGCGACACTCCATACCCACTAGTTAGCACCTAGTTAAGTGTTAGTTTTTTAATCAGGTGAGACACCCCCGATGGCGGCATAAAACCACGGAAGACGAATGAAAATCGGCACGTTCTCAATTGCCAATGTCGCCTTCGCTCTCTGCGTGGAATGACCAAATAACAGGTAAATAGCTACTGCCACCGTTAGGCCAAATAGTCCATGTATCTACCAAAAATTCCAAACAGCAATTGGCACTTCTGGAGACTTCTCAAATCTCCTATGATCGTCCCAAGGGGTGGAAAAGGAGCCATCGCCGCCGATCCACTGATTGGCTCGCGTAACAAACTAACCAAATAGCCAACCAATTTGATTATTCAACATTGGTGTTATATGCACGCGAACCCAGGTTAGCCAGGAATCCTGCGAAGGGCGATAAGCATCAAGATAGCGCTGTATTACCGTCCCAGGCGTATCCAGCGTTGAATTGGCGGTTATTAAATAATTTAACGCGTCGGCAGAGATAAATTCACTAGTCAACCAAAGAAGTTGGTTAGCCCGTTTTGAAACAAAGCCTGTTCACCGGAACCATCCTTATTAAACGGCGAAGTACCAAATTAACCAACACACACCCCTTGCGTTTCGTCTCATGTTGGTTTCTTAACCCGCCTCTTCTTTCAGCGTGCGAGTGTTGGTCAAGTCAATTATCATGCCACCTCCCAGCTCGGCAACTGCCTCGCCGTCTCTACCAAACATGAGCGCCGACCATGGCTCTGCGTCGCCGGCGGCCACGGGCGTCCGCAAGCGAGGGAAGAGGGGCAAGTATTCGAGATGGAAGAACGAAGAAGAGAGACTCTTCCGCCTGAGGACCCAATACCCTACTATGACATGGAAGGAGTTTCATCGGGTTAATATCCCTCATTGCCTGCAGTCGTTTTTTGAGCGCGGTCGCTCTCCAATTGATTTGAAACTGACGATTTGATATCAAATTTTAGCGATTCTACAGCCATTACACCCCAAGTCCGGGAGTTATATCGTCAAAATATAATGTAAGTCTCGATCTTTTATCATTTTCTTGATGGCCAATGGCTGATTTTTGATGAATGCAGCATTTGTTGAAAGCTGGCTTTACGCTGCCCGAGGTTAGTTTCTATCTCTCACTTGCCTCCAAATTTCTGCATGAACCAATGTTAAAAAATTTGCTATATCCAAAAAAACCGTAAAGACGGTCTTCCCTCCAAGAGACTATACTCCTACACCCAGTGGGAACTCCATATATAGCGATGATGATGCTGCTACGCACATTTCATTTGAGGCGGGCAGTCCCAGTGGCCCCAGATTAGACTATTTTGAGAGACACTCAGCGAGTGAATCAAGGCTACGAGATCAAAACCATGCGACTCTCCCAATAAGAAATCACAGCAGGCTGAGGCCTGAGGACAGCGACAGCGACTTTTCCGACACAGGCCACAGAAACGGCGACAAGTCGAGTAGTAATAGACAGGCCCGAAAACCTCGGGGTGGCGGAGGGTTTGCTAGCGTCAACGGCGGGTCAGGACCATCAAGCAGCGCAGAGCGATTGCAGGCCGAGAAGAAGCTACGGGACGTGGAAGAGACCGCCAAAGAAATCAGGGCCGCCTGGGAAGAAGTCCGCGAGGCCATCCGCGATGTCATGTTTGTCGAGCAATGGGACAGAGGCGGAATGGGGCCCAAAACGACCTCGCTGGAGACCTCCATCGACCGGCTCATCGAGCAATCAGCAATCAGCAAGCCTGCATCCTCGACACATTCTTAATCTATATTGATACCATAATCTGTATGTAACTAGTTTTCTTCATATTTCTTCGCGCGGAGCGTTTTATCTTAATCGACCAAATTGCTTGGTCAAATCGCAATTCGGTTCGACCAAATCCCAATCAAATTCGGCGTCGCCGACTCAACGCCTCAAGAATTTGTCATTTGTCCAGGCTGTACCAAAATCTCTCGATGCACTGCTTCTACGCCCGTCTGGCTGCAGAATCGAACATATATATATTCAAACTCCCCACGCCCTGCCCTCCCTCCCCCCTTTTTAAATTTGAAATCTGTTCATCTTCGCCCCCTGTGAAAAGTGTTGATCATGTGACAGACGACCAAAAAGTAAAAAAAAAAAAGAAAGAGAAAAAGAAAAAAAAACATCGAAAAGAAAAGAAAAAACAACGAACGAGCTGCACATAACAACAACACAGTCACAATAAATCACATAGTCGGCTCGAGTGCTTTCGTCTCGTGTTCTCGCGTACCGGGCAGCTCCCCCTTGTCATATCCCAAGCTCCTTCGACGTACCTGCGCGGCTGCTGCACGGCGGATTGAAGACCTACATCATTACGGAGCACAGAGACAACGGAAGATGGACTCTCCGGCGCCACAGCAGCCTGCAACCGCGAGCGCCAGCGGGAAGAAGCAGCGCGGAGAGCGATGGGGCGAGCAGGAGGATGCGAGATTTGTAAATCTCAGGATTGAGAATCCGGATATGTCGTGGGAAGAGTTTCAAAGGGTTCATACCCCCTACCCAGCTGCGCAAGGTTAGCTGTCCGGGTGTATCGTCCAGCTAATACTAACTAATATCGCCTTTCTCTCGATGCTGTAGAAATTCTTCCCTCATCGCACCACAGCAGCTCTACTTTGGAGGCATTCGACCGTTAGTGACCGGATTTTCTTCTGTCCCGATCGCTTTGATCAAAACGCATAGGGTCCATATTGGTCTAACTTTGCCCAAAAATAGGTACTGAGAGCGAGAATTGAGCAGAAAAAGGCCGCGTCTGCTAGGGATGCTGCAGCTGCCGCGGTTAGTGTGAATTGTGACTGAATATCTCTGAGAGTCAGTTGGACTCGGAACTGACAACTGTGAATGCGCAAAGGCATCGTTGTCCTTCCAAGATCGTGAGACCATTTCTCCATTCACCGAGAGCGAAGACGACACGGCGAGCCACGCCTCGTATGAAGCTGGCCGTTCACTTCGCCATCGACGCGATTACACGGACAAACCAGGGGATGAACCAAGCTCGAAGAGACGACGAACCCTCCCTGCCAGGACTCGCCGTAGACCGGTCCGTTTAGGCTACGAAGATGATGCTATGGCCGAAGATGATGGACTGGTTAAGCTTCTCGATTTGGTAACCGCGGAAGATTTTGTCAAGATACATCAGCGGGCGAAGGCCTGTCTCTCAGAGACCAAACGAGCTGAAAACGCGCTACGCCAGAACGCCGAACTGGAACGCCGATTGAAAGAGGTAGAAGCCGAACTTCGAGAGCTTACTGAGCGGTCGAAAACGGACCCCAAAAAGTCTGATCAAGAAACGGAAGACCGAAAGGATATAAAGTATGAAGGGCTTGAGGTCGAGCTTACAGGAATGGACGAGGAGTCCAAAGCCAAGGTCAAATCCTCCTGGGAGACCATCAAATCAAAGGTCCGCGACACGTTTACTCTTCGGCAATGGGACGAGGCCGGCATGGGCCCGGCAGTGAATACAGTCCAGCAAGTTATCGACAAGCTTATGGAGACGTCAGCTCCAACAGCTCCAAATGGGCATCACGGAGATGATGCCGTCACCACACAAAAATCCCCAGCGATGGGGATTTGACATTGAACTCTACTTGACCATTTCGTGTTTTCGTACTTTTTCCTACTTCTCTTGGTTTCCGGAGTATATTTGGTTTAGATTCTTTCAGCAAGCAAGTTGTTGGGATGACCACCCAGGCATCAGCCTCCTGGAGCCAATTAGTTGTATATATATATATATAATACTCAGTGTTATCACACACACTGCCGCCCTATTTTTGAATTGATTGGAACCACGGAGTTTCGGCGCTCTTCTCCTCGATGACCTCGACTCAATTCCCGCTTGATCCGTATTCTAACAATATAAACTCCGGCTGGGTGGAAAGGTTAGGCGAGCTGAGGCTCAACTCGCATCTCCACACCCTATCAACACCTCGAGCAACCACGCAAAATTGGGCCCTCGTCCAGGCTGCCGTCCCGTCTCCTCCATCCTTCGCTTGCTCCTGATACGTCCTGATGTGTTAGCCCAAGGCAACGACAGCGGATTCGCCATGGATCAAGGCCACATCACGTGTTTTAGGCTGGTTGCTGCCTTGATCTAAGAAGATGGAGATGCTTGGGATGCTTGGGATGCTTCAAACAGAGAGTAAGGACCATCACTGTTGGCCGCAGGGGGATGGCTATATAAGACAGCCAGAGGACCGCTGGTTAGTTGAGGTCTATCAGACAATTTATCCCATCTGGCTAGTTACCAAGTCCCCTTGACAATTGGCAATTGTTCCCCCGAGAGCCTCTTCAACTTCATATATCTAGCAACTTCATTCATCCCTGCTAGACCGGAACTAGATACAGCCAATTAACTGGCCATGTCTTCCCTTCCCCAGCTACCAGCAAAACACTCTGACTTCCTGAACTACATCAAAGCAAACCCCAATGTCCCCATCAATGAGCTACTCAAACCGTACAATGAGTACGACTCAGCTCTACGTCAAGTTTTCGCCCAGGAGCCGTCCCATCCTATCTTGACTAACAACCATATCAATGTCGTCCCTCTATATGGTGCCGACGGTGCCGCTGATCTCCGTGTTCAGGCCCGTGATTTGGACTCAGAGCCGCAAGAAGTTAGTGACAAGTATCTCCTACCCCTAGAGGACGAGGATAGGAGGCCAAATGGCTCCCCAGCCGTCGTTACTTCGTTCAAGGAATTCCAGACAAACTTCAACCTCTTCTCTGAGAGCTCTCTGAGTGATCTCGACTGGAGCAATGTCATTGCTGCAGGAAGTTCCGTGGTCACGGCACTCCTCCCCGTACCAGAGGAGTATAAGGAGTCCAAACGACAGCTTCGTCATTTCTATCACGAAAAATTTGCACCTGCATCTGATGTCGACCTGTTTATCTACGGGCTCAACGAGGAGCAGACAATCGAGAAGATCAAGCAGATTGAGCAAAAAATCAGAGACTCCATCTTATACGAGACGACTTCCATCAGGACGAAAAACACAATTACCATCGTCTCTCAGTACCCCACTCGCCATGTCCAGGTGGTTTTACGCATATACAAATCCCTCGCAGAAGTCGTCACCGGTTTTGATGTTGACTGCTCTTGCGTGGCATACAATGGCAAGAATGTTTACGCTGCTCCTCGAGCAATTGCTGCTCTGATCACGCAGACTAACCAGATCGATCTAACGAGACGATCACCATCTTACGAAAACCGTCTGTCCAAGTACTCACATCGTGGATTTGAAGTGTTTTGGCCTCAATTAGACAGGTCCCGCATTGACCCTGTGAGTGCCTTTGAGTCGTCGTTAGTATCACGAACTAGACTAATTCTGAATGGCAGACGATATTTGAACGGAGCTTTAAGAGGACAACTGGCCTGGCTCGGCTGCTTGTTTTAGAGCAGTTGCCAAAATCACGCGATCGAGATGAATACACTGAACAAAGACGTGAAGAACGGGGCCGCCCTCCTTCCAATAACAACTACCGTCGTCATATAGGAAAATTAAGAGGTAATATCAAAAATGACTGGGAGGATGAAGTTGCGGAATGGGTGGAAGCGGAAGAAATCTCTGATTACCATACCATTGTAAGGCTTGCCTATTTTCCTAAATATTCATATAATACTGACCTTGACATAGACTATTCCATACGGGGAACGTTTCCACGCAAGGAAGATCGAAAAACTCCTGTATACCCATGACTTACTTCTAAACGCCGAATGGAATAACCAAGAACGAGAGGTTGCACTACATCGTCATCCAGTGTTCTTTGGCGATGTCGAGGATATTATCCATGATTGTTGTGGTTCATGTCCCAAACCCACGACCCCTGAGGAGGAGGAAGTATGGGAAAAGGAGAGTAAGAACTACATATCGGGTGAAGTATCCTTTATCAAAGATGACCCAGGCCGGCAGGCAATTGGAAGCTTCAACCCGATTACCGAAACAGACTGGACTGGTATGTACTCTACACATTTTTAACACGGCTTATTACTTGAACTGACTAACAATTGGTATAAGAAATGGCTTACATTGGTAATACCGCTAGCCTATTCCAGGCTATTGCTGATGATGACATTGACGTCGTACGTGAATGGCTTTCGATGGAGGAGGCGGATCCAAACCGTCGTGATCACACTGGAAGAACAGCCCTACATTTGGCAACCATGATATCTACTCCGGAGGTCGTACAGTGTCTTGTTGAGCATGGGGCAAGGCTGGTTGCACGCCTTGCAGACGGGCGCATGGCTTTGCATCTAGCAGCGTCACGCGGTAGTGTTGACATTATTCGAATTCTGCTGCACAAGAGTGAAGAGAATGAAGCATTAGAAGAAGAGAAAAAAGACCAGCAGCGTGCGGCAAAGAAAAATACCAAGGCCGAAGCTAATGATATCGAGATGACAGACCCGGACAATATGGTGATTGTTAACGAAGACCCTGAGAACTCCGACGATGACAAAATGTCAGTGATAACCGGGTCCTTTGTTGATGTTAAAAAGGAAGATGACAAAATGGACAAGGATGATGTTATTCCCGATGCCGACGAAGAATCCGAGCCTGATATTATAGATATCAACGCCGTTGCCTGGGACTGTCAGGCTACTCCCTTACATCTGGCCATCGTCCATGGCCATGCCGACGTCGTGAAAGAGCTCGTTTCTTCCTTTGGAGCAGATGTGTTGCTTCCAATAAAGCTTCCAAAAGTCAACTATGAGGGCCCAAAGGCGATTCTCCCCTTAACTTTACCTCTTAAACTATCCCCGGACCAGGCTGTCGTCATGACCGAGACACTCTTGAAGCTAGGTACCACTCCAGCACAAGCCGACTTGACCGGGCGAACCCCATTACACTACTTTGCTGCCTCCTCTTATTCAGAGCTCTTTGACGCCCTTACAAAGCATGATCCGTCCGCTGTCAAAAGAGCAATTAATCATCTAGCTGTGGATGGTACCTATTATTCATCATCTGCTGTATCTGCTTTAAGTGTTGCTGTGAACGCAAAAGAGGCCGGCATTCTTGAGAAGCTCCTTAGCCTAGGAGCTCATTCAGATATCAGCTTCAGCAAGTACATTGAAAATGCCATACGTCAAAATGAGTGGCTGAAGACTCGGGATGCCGCAGATAACCTCAAAACTTTCCAAGAAAATATTACGCAGCCAGTTCTGGCCGCTGTTCTGACGGATCAGCCCTTGGTCGCCCTGAAACTTGTTCAACATGGAGCGGATCCAAACACACTAACAACTTTCGGATATACTATGCTTGCAGGGGATCGATCTCGGAACCCTGGTGAGTCGTTATTGGACGTTGTTGATGCCAAAATTTGCCTCCTACAGGACTATAAGGAAACTTCCAACAATGTGCCACCTACTCCATTGGAGAGTGATGAAGTATACCTGGCTGAATATCCTGAGGGAAGCTATCAGATGTGCTTTGCTAGAGAGCGTCTTGAGCGAGAGAAGGCCTCTTTCAAGAGGCGGCAGGAAGAATATGAGGAGGTGATGAAAAAAGCCGGGGACCGCAAAGGCTTGGAGGAAAAAAGGAATGCGATCACCACCCTCCTTCATGATTACCAAACTCTTTACTCAGCTCTGGTCGCGAAAGGAGCTAAAACCTTCCGCGAGCTATACCCTGACGCCAAATTTCCCGACATAGAACGAGAGGTGGACTATTCGCCTATAAAAACTCAGGAGTTCAAGATCGAGTTCAATTTCAATGTTGTTGATCACACTGGTGGGAGAAAGGAGGGTTATATAAAACTGTAAGGTTTAACGCTGACCAAGAGAGGAACTATATCTCTTTGACATAACCTTCTATAAATGCTAACTATTACTCTCATAGATTCGAAGCAGCATGGTCTGGAGACATAGAGACAATCAAGTCCCTTACACTTGACATGTGGGGTCCTGATAAACAAATGTCTCCTCTTGTTATCTCTGTGACGGAACGCATGGGGGCTTCTCCATTCTCGTTAGCCGTTCTCAGGGGCCATTTTGATGCTGCGAAGACAATTCTCCAAATCGTTCGAGCGCAATACAAGCCGAAGGCTGCTACCCGACAGATTTACCATATGCAATCTGATGATGAGGAGGAATCTGACGCTGAAGGATCACAGGAAGATGGCGGACTTCAGATCACTGGAGAGGATGTTCGCGATGAACTGACTATCGACAACATTGGCGAAGTTGTGACAGAGGCAAAAAGCACTGTTTCACCGCTTGACACCATTCAAGAACGTTGTCGAGCCAGCCTTATTGCGGATCCTAACGCCGCTGAGCATTCTACATCCCATACAGACCTTTTCAGCTTCGCTATAGAGAAGGACAATATTGAATTGCTGCGGTTCCTCCTGGACCTTGGACAATCTGAAATTGTTAGTGGCACTCTTGATGTCCCTTATAATTTGCTCTCTAGCACAGATTTCAACAATGCCTTGGAGTATGGGCAGCCACGATGCATTGCCGAGATAATTAGCCGAACGGGAGCTCACCTACCACTGGATAAGTTTGTGGAAGAAAGCGGAATCACTATCAAGCAACAGCCGCTATATTATCAAGGCCTATCGATTCATGGAATGAAGCGTGCGGATTGGGCTGCAGCTGCAGGCCAGGACGTCCCCTCGCGCATAACTGACGAATCAGACATACCGCTGCTCCGGGCTGCTCTCGTCGGGAGTCTAACCAGTGTAGAATGGTTCCTCGGCACTGCCCCAAAGAGACACTACCTGGAGTTTGCAAATGCCAACAAGCAAGATAAGCGGCTGAAGAAACTTGCACGACTACCCGGCGGGGTAGAAGGATTCATTGAAAAATGGCTAAGCTCAAGGAGTAAGTTCTTCCACCTTTGCTATAACTGATAATGATTCGGGGCTGACGAAATAATTCTCTCTTTTTGCTTCAGACCATCTCCTCCTTCATTGTGCTGTTTTGGGCAGAGAAACAGATGAAACTGTGAAATTGGTTAAATACATTATAAATAATATTCCAGGCTGCCTAGAAAGGAAATCGTCCAATGGATATACACCTTTACTCCTTGCCTTTTCTAAACGCAGACTGCGTTTTGCTAAGGTCCTTATCGAGGCTGGTGCCAATCTGGAAGCTCGCGATGCTTTGGGGAATAATGTTCTCCATATGCTAGTGCAACCGAATAGTGGATGCGGCTCCCTGGACACAAATCTCAAGGAACTTCTTGACTTGATCGATCCTTCATTTGTCTCTTCACTCCTTACCTGCCGCTCCTCTGATGGTCCTGGAGCACTTACACCTTTCGCTTCTTGGATACATTATTTATATTCACACCACTCATGGCTTGCTGCCATACCCGCCAAAGTAACGAAGTTGCTTCTTGACTTTGCTGAACCAACGGGCCAGGCTCACCTCGAACTTCTTGATGGGTCTGGAAATACACCTCTCCACAATGTCGTGCGACGTCAAAATACGAGTCTTGCTAGGCTGATTTTGGAACGCAACCCCAAGCTTCTTAACATAGAGAACTCAACAGGAACTACCCCTATGGACCTTGTGAGAGATGCGTGGACTACCAATGTCACTACCACACCCCCAACGGTACCAGAAACTATATCAATGCCCAGTTGGCGAAGACCAGATTACTCCCCAGCCATTTTTGGCAAATCCCCTGAATCATTCGTTTCCGAGACCGAGGAAGAAAAGGGCAGCCATTCCTCTCTTTATGAATTATGTCTTGAAGTCTGGGGCCAACTGAACCAAAAGAAGAGAAAGCTTGTAAGTCTCCTTGACGCTAACGAGGTTGCATATCGTCTGGAGAGAAGAGGGAGACCAAGGCGTAGAAATTCAGAGGATGATGAAAGTCTCGATACAGTGGACGAGGTTTCAAAGTGGCAGTCGGAGTACTAGCGGGATGTTTGATGGCCGGCTATCCAGCCAAGCCAATAGTCTCGGGTATATAAATGCTATTTGTTTATTCTTTTTGTTCACAATTTGATTAATGCTCTACGAGTCTACTATTGGTATTGGCAGCTTATTGCCATAAAATTGAATAAAAGGGTAATCTCATCTTGCATTGCTGGCTTGGAATCTTCTTATGGGACATTTTCATTAAGTCATGTATTGCATCGTAGAAATTAGGCGTAGGGAGGTTCATGGGCAGCCTGTAAATCAAGAAGACAGGCTCTGCAGGCTAGCTTGTTCAGGTGGAGTAAGAGCAGAGAATATCTGCTGGAATTTAGGAGTGGAAGCAGTCTCAGTGAAGAATTGGGTTAAAAACGCCTGCGTCTCATCATCTCTCTGTCTCATGGCCAGGGCTCCGTCGTCGTCTTCGGCACCAAAGCCCATCAACTCTTGCTTCGTGATACCGAGACCCAAGTCTAGGAAGTCGTTATTGGATGGGAGATCTTCCCAGTCATCGTTCTCGTCGTCACTCTCGAGTTCTTCCAGCTGGCCTCCTGACAAACCGGCAGCTCCTCGAATATCTCGTGCGCCTGAGGCAGAAGACAACTCCTCAACAAGAACTTTAATGATTTTCAGAGGTGCCGGGATGACAGTGTATCGATCTGGGTTCTTGCGAGATTGAGAACGGGTTTTGATTCTACCGGTATCTTGGATGATGAGCTCGCCCTTGACTTGGATTTCGGCAATGCGGGGATCATCAAGCTGGTAGAGTTTCGACAGTGCGATGACATTCTGTCTAATTTCATCGTACCCAGCGAAAGTGACGGAGTTTTCGAGCCATTTGGACAAGACAACTTGAAGACCGGATTGGCCGTTGATTTCGAGTTGAGCGAGGAAGTCAATTACCTCGCTAGTGTTGACGAGAGATAGGCGAGCGAAGACAAGGATGAGACTCTGAATCAACTGTGCCTTTTCAGCGGTGGCAAGTCTCTGGGCAACCGCACGTAGAAGCTGAGGTAGATATGGACCCAATTTCTCAGCGCCCGCCTTCTCAACCAACTCGGCTGCAAGCTCGCCGACCTCAGACGCGGCGTTATCATCCACAGCCGTACCCAGGAGACGGTCGATGATAATCAGAACCGTCTCAACAGCACCTTTGCCCGTCTGGGGATCTTGCCAGGCGAAGAACTGGTCTGGGTCGCGCTCAAGCATATGCTTGACAGCCAGGGTTGCAGATGGAAGCAGCTCACTGTCGCCAGATTCAAGAAGTAGTCTGTTCAATTTCGGTAATACGGTTGCAATCAGCCCCTGTGGGAGTGGCTTTAGGCCATTCTCAGCAAGAGCTCGCAATAGATCAGTTGCCAGGTTTGTTAACGAGCTCTCCTTAGTCAGGCCCCCGACATCCAGAGCACCAGTCAAGGGAGGAAGTACTTTCTCGCAGAGGCTAATGTATGCCTCTGCTCCCTGCCCGGCAATGTGATCAACGATCTGCTCAAAGGTTTCTGTCACAATCATGGCCAGTTGGAAGTTTCCTGCACCAGCACTAGCAATGTTGAAAAGAACATCAAGTGCAGTAGAGGTTAGAACGGTGTTAGCGTCGACCATGATGGTGTCACGTAGGGTGTCCGCGAGGGTGAATTTGAGATCGTCTCCTTCAGAGATATCACGTAGATCATGGCTAGAGATGTACTCCGCAAGTATGGACAGCACTGGCACTTGGAAAGGTGCTGCCGTAGCTTGGGGTAGGGAAGGCAAGAAGTCCTGCAGGACACGAATGCAAGAGACTTTGACAACATCTGAAGAATCATTCCGGATAGCCTGGATGGCAGCTTCAAGGTAGGGGACAGCAGACTCATGGAATCCCTCTCCGGCTGTTTGAGCAATAACACCTGCAACCAGGTAGCCTCGAGATCTGAGGAAAACTTCGTCCTGCTGGATACAGAACTTCACAAATTCGTTAAAGCTGGTTGCGAGGGCGGGAGGTATTGTTTGATCCACGTCACTCAAGTCCCGGAGTAATTGGTTAAGGATAAACAAAGCCGCTTCACGGTATTTCCATCTAAATGGTGTAAGTCACGAAATTCCAAGAAGGAGAAAAAAAGAAGAAGAAACTAAGATTGAAAGGAAAACATACCCAGTGCTGGGGTCTGAGAAGAGGACGTTGGTGTATGAAAGTAGAGTTTCAACAACGGTACTCTTGAGCCACTCTCCTAGTCTGATGACAAGGTCACCACCGCAAGTTCTGGGAGTGTAGTTTGCAGTGACTGATGTCTCCTCAGAAAGGTAAAGGTTGACATCGATATCCCACAAGCCTTCCTCTTCAGTGGTGATCTGGGCATAGGATATAACCAACTTCATCATCTCAGGTAGCCAGCTTGAAGAGGCGGTAGCTCCAGCAAGTTTCAATTGGTTCTCCAACTCAATTCTCACGGGCGGTGCACGAAGCAAAGCCTGCATAAGGTCCAACTCTTCAAGTACCAAAAAGTCAAGAGTGTATGGGAGGTTATCTGCGTCTTCGAGACGACCCTGCCGCTCATCATCGATGTAGAGTTGTTGGTATGCGCCTTGAATGGTAGTCAACTCGGTCCAAATAGTATGGAAGAGCGTGGTACTCTGGGTTGTCAGGAGCGAAGGCAACACGGTTCGAACTTTCATGATGGTCTAAATTCTGGGTATTAGCAGCATTCCAGTGGATAGATTGTTTTCTATTTGTAAGACGTACCTTGACAACCTGTGATTTCAGGGCGATGATACCACGCCATTGCTGTGGACCAGGAGCGTCTGTGGCTTCCTCCTCCTCCGAGGGCATAGGAGGGAGCGGTTCCTTGATGGTAGCAATGAAGAACGGGAGCCATCCGTTCAAGGCCTCGTCCATGAACTGTTTAACCTCTAGCTTATGCTGCTCAATGACCATCTCCAAAGTATCAAGACAGGCTCTGAAAGTGGACACTGCGAGTGCCCGCAACACCGGCTTGCGCGAGGTGTTAGTCGCAACGTTGAACACGGTCGACACGAGCTCTCTGGCCACCTTGAAGAACTGCTCTTCACTAAATCCAGTCTCCACGAGGTCAGACAGAACCTTCAGGGAACCGTGAAGCTGTACATCTGTGCAGTTGGGAATGATCTGCAGCAGGGTGGGCAGGATCTCAGGCCAGTCCTCTGGGAAATCAGCACTGGCGATGCGGCTGACGACCAAGCTGGCTGATGTCTTGACCTTGCGGTCATCCTGCTCCGGAGACGTAGCTAGGTCAAGCAGCACGCGCCTGAGATGTGCCTTGTTCGCGTCACTGACCAGGACCTGGCCCTTGAAGTCGTCGAGCTGCGAGGACCATGCTGCATTGATGAACGTACGGAGGACGACGAGGGCAGACTGACGCAGGGGGACGGGAACCGAGCTGTGCGATGCTATCGAGGCGAGGGAGAGAGGGAAGCTCTCGTTTGAGTAGAGGCTCTGCAGGCGCAGCTCGGCGTTCTTTCGAGTCTCTGCCGCGGCGTTCTGGGTATCGGCGAGAAGCTGGACGAGCTCTTGATCCATGGTGAAGCCCGGTCTGCCGTTTGCGAGCGAGCTGAGGGAGGGAAAAGGTCGCGTTGACCCTGGGACGTTTGCGAGCCGCGATGTGGTTTTTGTGTCGCGACGTTGAGATTGAAGTTTTGGCTGAAGTCACTTTTTACCCTTTTTGGCGGGGCAAGTTGGGCAACTTAAGCCACCAGTTGCCGCGGTGACTGGGCTGTCAAAGAACCACAGAGGAGAAAGGAATGTACAACTCATGATAAAGAGAGTATTATCTGGTAGTAGAGGGGAGAAGGGGATACTGTGAACATGTAGAAGTGTCATTTGATCAGATAGAGGGTTTCTGCGGCGGCTGAGGTGGATGTTCAATTTCATGCAGCTGCGGCCTCGAGGTCTACCAATTTTAAACATAACACTCGGAGCACTCGGAGGAGACGGCAAGCTCTTTTCTACAGCTATCCTGCGTAGAAGCATCGCAATAGACTAAATATTTCCTGATGTTTATTATTTAACTTGATACTCCGTGCTCAGTTGTGGATATCAATATTGGCTATAGGCAAGTCACCAATATCTATACATCACCAAATGACCTGGGCAACATTATACTATTCGGGAAATATTCTCCGTATCTACCAAGGAGTGGCCATACGGAGTAACTCCTCCCTTTCTACTATCTTTCCGCGTTATACGTAAGTTTCATCCAGTGATGCAGTATGAACAGACCACTTTGATCGACAGATGGCCTGAATTTTTGTTTTTTCTTTTAAGACAACAAGCAACGGAATTTCCTCGGACAGCCAGTTATAGACCTCTCTCATATTCTCATATTCACATATACTCCGTGTCTTGACTCAACCCGTACGAAGTATATAGAGTACAGTACATCCCGTCCGAGCCGTGTATAGCTGGTTATCCAAGAAGAGATCATCCCAAATTCCTTCTCGGTGGCCATTAGTTATCGTTGTATAACTAAATAATTAGTTAGCGAGTTATGCATAACGAATATAGGAGGCTACAGAGTATGGGCGTCGATGACAGGCTTCGAGCAGGGGTTATCAACTGCCAGAAAGCTCCCTGTGGCTCCCACCTGCCCCTAAGCGAGGACTTCTCAACAAATCATGCTTCTCGATAATTCCGTATTCCTGCTAATAGGACGTTTCAAGAGACTCCAATATCTAAAACCTACATCAAGCCACAGCCAGCCACTGGGTTGCACTAGCTATGCATGACTAGCAAACCTGCCAGCCCGTATTAAGGGGTATCCCTCCTGGTTGGCTGCCATGCTTCTTTTTGGCTCTGGAGAAGCTCAACGGACGCTCTAGAAATGCCATAATGCTTTAAGTCAATCTCAGCCAAGAGCAAGAATGGCTTGGGCTAACCATCTCGATCTCACATCACATCGCCCGATGATGCCATGTACTGTGTTAGCGCGCAGCAGTTAGCGACCCATGGCTAGCTACGGACCCCTGAGCCATACATGGCCAAGCATATCCAGAGAACGCACCAGGATGGAGCAATACCCCCAGAAGTCAGCTGGAGACGAGCGGGAGGAGAGGGCGACGATCTTCAGAGCTCGAACAGGCCCTTGATGGCGAAAAATTGGCCCTCCTCGTCCGCTGGTTGGCTTCATCGTATCTGGCTACGGAATTTTGTTCCCGTATAATGGTCAAATACCCCTAGCAGGTTTCTTGATAGATCAGCTAGATCAGCCAAAGGGCGACTCTGACACCGATCTCATCTTGAATCCTTCTGATCAACCATACCCCGGTACCCCGTACATACTCCATATTCCGTAATCCGAATATCAAAGCGGCCTCCTGTCACTTTGTTATACATCGGCCATGCCTTTTATACATCGACCGTGCCTCGCAGCCAACGAACTAACCATGAATATCAGTTCTTCTTTCTTCTCCCTCCCTGCAGCGTCTTCGTCCATCCTGGCACTCTGACCAGCATGCAGCTCCCTCCAGCCTCAGTGATCCTCTCCTGGCCCAGGCCAAACTATGAAAATCCGACGGACGTTCGTGGGCCGCTGGTGATTATCATGAACTCGATATTTGCATCGCTGACTTTGCTTGTCATTATGATACGCATATTCAGCCGCATTCATGTATCCCGGAGCTTTGGCTGGGACGACATCTTCATAATAGCAGCCGTCATCCCTACCTTTGGCTGTGGTACTATCACCATCCTGGGCTCAGTCAAGTACGGCTGGAGCCGACATGTCTACGATGTGCCCTTTAAGCATCTTGTTATTGGGCTGAAGTTGACCATGTTAATCGAGTGTCTCTTCGCCATTAGCTGCTCCTTCACCAAGCTCTCGCTGCTATGCTTCACCCATAAAATCACATCAGGCATCAAGTCGCGCACCTTGCGATGGCTGATCATCGCCAACGCAACCATCGTCACGCTCGAAATGTTCGTCTTTGTTATAGTAGCTGTTTTCACCTGCCGGTATGTCCATTTATCAGTTTGATCCCGGTCGTTATAGAAGAAGGCCCACCAGCTAATGCTTCTTTTTAGCCCTGTCTCCGCCTACTGGACTCTCTCTACCAAGCCTCAAGACTGCATAAATGAAACTGCGCATCTTCTGGCCGGTGGCATACTGAATACCCTCACCGACATCAGCGTGGTGTTCTTGCCATTGCCTACTGTCATGTCCCTCAAGCTGCCGACCAGACAGCGGGTCATGCTCTGCATACTCTTCAGCGCTGGATTCATAGTCTGCATTGCCGGCTGCTTCAGGGCCTACTTCCTGCACAAGTTGAACACTTCGTACGATAAGACGTGGGTTGGCTATCCACTCTGGATCGCCGGAACTATTGAGATGTATCTCGGCGTGGTGCGTTCAGCCTCCATTCCCGCCCATTATCAAAATATAAAATATATCCTTGGCCCAGCTAACAGCTTCTAGATCGCCGCATCGCTGGCATCTCTCAAACCGTTCTTCGTGCGCTACTTCCCTTGGCTTCTGGGCTCCCTTACCTCCAAGAAGACCGGGCCGTCTTCCTTCTCGTTCTTAAACTCGTACATCTTACGGCGTAGCGCACCTCAACCCGCACCCGAAACCAAAGGCAAGCCTGTCATTTTCGACAGTCTGACCGATACCTTGACATCTACCATGCATGGCACCGATGTCGAGCTGGGAGAAATAGAACCTGCGCCACGCACCGCGGGGACGGAAGAAGAAGCACCCAAGTTACTTGGACACCATGAGGCCGGCCATTTATCGAAGTCCACTTTCCATTCGGCTGACGCAACGTCGCAATCGGAGTTGAGGAGGAAGTAAGTAATATGGAAATGATTTATGTTCCAGTGATGCTATGCCAGGCGTTGGTTTACTTCATAAAATACCCGGGTTCTTTGCGTTCTTGTAAATACTTTTCAGCATTTTGGGATGGCTCTCTTGATGTTTATGTTTGAGACTGACCTTGGCTTTGAAAGCCTTGGAAGCATGTTTGGTTTACGGTTAAAAAGTGTATTTAGCATTTGTTACTTACTGACGAGTAACTGTTATAATAGTTATTAATTAATAATAATGAAAAATAACCAGTCATTCTATGAAATAATTTTCACACGGGGTATATTGATCTTTCGACTGTGGGGATGAACGTTGGTGGTGAAGTGAAACACATCACCAACTTCGAGATATCAAAAGAAAAACAACCAACACCTCAAAGACAGAGAGATAGTTAATTACTTGGTGACCAGCGACCGAGAAAGGCGAGGATAATGGCAGAGACAAACCGCCTTCCAGATACCTACGCTGCTCTGGCTTCGTCTCTCTCCTCGTTTCTCGCCGTCAGCATACACCAGATCATGTACTTGCGGTCCATATACCCCCAACCCACCTTCGTGTCAGTCAGGCAGTTCAACCAGCCAGTTCGCCAGTCACGGCATCCCAAGGTCTGCAGCTGGGTCAACGATGCCTGTGCTGCAGTCGAGACACAACTGCTCAAGTCTACTGTAGCCTCAGTAGCGATAGTCATACTCTCGGTCTCGTCCAACAGGCCCATGGAGAAGTTCACCTTTGACCTCTCCCAGATCCCCCAAGTTGCTCCAGGAGACATACATACTCCGTTTGCGAGCTCCAGGCAGCAGCCGCAGCAACAGCAACAGGGAGAGAATAAGAGTATATCGCAGGTTGATTTAGAGGCGCAGTTTCGTGCAGTGCTTCATCGGCTGTCATCTGCCTGTGCGAGGTTGGCCCCGTTACCGCTAGACGACGAGTATCTGCCCACTTTGCATATGGTCTTGAGACCAGATGCTGATGCACCTGCGGGCATGGGCAAAGATGACCAGCAGTGGATAGCTGCTGAACCGGAACCCGAGCGTGCCAGACACGGAACGACACAGCCTCATGCAAGGACGGTACCTGTACGAACCGTTGATGTAGGGGAGATGAAACTCGAGGTCTGGATTGAAGAAGCCAGGAGCAAGTTTGATACCGATAGCAGTGCTCAATAATTACCCGAGTTCGCGAGATACCTGAACATATTTTCATTTTTTACGACCTACTAGTTATATGAACGCCAGCGGTATGAAATGCCTAGAAATTTTCACCTTCGGCGAAGGGACAGAAAAAAAATGCACTGGTACTTGAAAAGCTGGAGATGGAGTATTACGACGGCCTCTACGACTAGTACATTAACGGACAGCTGCAGTATCCCCAGCACGGCCATTCGGAGCTGCAGGAGGTTGTTGTGTTCCATGTTGGTTCGTAGTAGTGCCACGGTTCGCTTCAGGTCGCTTCGCATGCCGAACAGCTGGGAGTCCCAGTGGTAGCGGATATGGCGCATATGCATATATTTCCCAGTACGAGGGGCCCTCTCTGCTGCCCTCCTGCCAGTATGCTACTCTTTCAATGCATTGTAATAGATAATTACCGGGCACTTCCACCTCTTCGTTTTGTGCTGGATTTTTTAGACGTAGCCGGGTTCCACCGGTCTCAACAAGAGGGTAAGCTGGCCATCGCGGTAACCCGCTTGTGTTAGGCACGTCGTCCGTGTATACGACTGGATAACCATCGCGTGTCTTCCAGGGTGTGAAGAGCTCGACACCAATATCGTCTTCTCTCAACCCGGGGTTGTCCCTCATGATCTTCTCGAGCTCCTTCTTCCTTGCGGTCCTTCGCTCTTTCTCGTGCATATACGGATCGAAGACTCCTATCCCCGAACGACAACCTCCTCTGTCATTACTAAAATGCGAGTGCCCTTCCAGCGTAATATCCTTGTTGCAGGTATAACACATACCCGTTCCACACTTAGAACAGGTCATTTTATTGCATCCGCTCTCTTTGATAAGTGGAATTCTGCATTTCTTGTTGGGGCAGTTGCGAATAACAGCTTTACTCATTGCCTCTTCAACGGTCTTGCGCAAGGGTGCGATGTCTTCGTCTATGCTCTTTTTGCAGGCCATGGGAATATGTGAGGGTTGTTGGCACCTCCGACAGCTCACTCTCGTACATTCTGGTTTCAAGCAGCGGAATTCGTAGTTTTCCTCCACTGGAGGATATATCGCTTTGTACTCACAAAACGGACATTCTTCAAGATCTCCGAGATTAGCCTTTTTAATCTCGTCATACTGTTGTAGATCAAGAAGTTTGCCCGTCAGTGACTCTCCAATCGATGCAAGCAAATCACCTTGAGAGAATCCTGCCTCACAGCCATCGATGTCTGTGCATTGAAGACTGTGCCTCATGTAACCAATTTGGGTTTTTGCATTAGATCTCATGCATTCCCAGCAAAAGGTGTGGGCTTCTGCGGCACTGCATGAGACTGTTCGATTAAGAGGAGTATCCCTATAGCAGCAACGGCATTCAATCAACCCGCCGATGGCAGTATAGTGAGCAAAGTTCACGTTTTCCTCTTCCAAGGCTTGCCTCCTAAGGGCTTGTGCAACTACAACAACTTTTAGCCATGTATCATTAGAAATTTTAAAAGGGAAGATATTACCCGTGCGACGTTTACGTTCCGCTCTAGCGTCCTTAATCTCCAACTCTATGGCTTTAAACGGGTACTTGGCCAATCTTTTCCTAAAAGAAGCCATCGCTTTCTCCCTTTTAACCTTGACTATATTGGTGTTCGGTTCCGTCTCGTAAGTTGGTTCAATTTCACACAATCGCAGGTATGCGTTGTACAAGCATTCCTTCGTCGACCGCAAAGACCTTTTGATGTAATCCGCAGGAACTAGAGGAAAGTCAAGTGCCAAAAGAGCTTTGCTAAAGGGAACGTGTCAGATTTTATTCAGGCGAAAAGAGGGATTGTTGGATGATGATACAGAAGCTTACCAGCATTTCCAGTATTGTCTGTTTCTCACGACGTTGTCTTCTTTTCCCCAGTGGGTCCCCTTGACTTTATCCTCCAGCTTACGCCGCCTTAAATCACTTTGAGTTGTGTAAGGAGTCTTCTCAAGGATCGCATCAATCAATGCTACCTCGAAGTTTTCTGGCTTCCTTGCCAACATTGGTTGGTAGAGAGAAGTGATGTATCGAGGACATATATCTGGGAATAGAGTAAGAAGGTTGACCAGCCCAGCCTCTGTCAAGCCCTGGCTCGAAGTCCTCTTATCGTCTTCACCAAATACCAAAAGGCTCTTTAGGAAGCCTATGCCATCATCGTCCTCATCGTCACTAGCACCATTTTCACCGGAGTTGGACAGGTCATGGTCGCCAGCGAAGTAAGAATGCTGCTGCCTCACCTCGTTCTCCGTGAGATGCTTTGATGACTGACCTGGTCTGAACACCGAAAAACCAAGATTCTGAAGTGATCTGATCATGGCTCCTGGTGTAAGGATGATGATTAAGCGCTATACTGCATGGTATGATACACTTAATAATAATGACAATATATTGGTGAAATGGAGCAAATAACCAAGGGTTATCAAAAATATCTCACTCTACCAATACAGAGTAGATTCAGACAGTAATAAAAGAGATGGGGGAATCAACAGGAAGAAACAGGAATCTGTTTCTTCATTCTGGCATTTGCCCTCCTGATGGCAAATGACGAGTGAGTAGGGAAAGTTCATCTGTAAAAACGAAGTAACATTTCCGTTGCATTTTTTCAACGCTTCTGGAGGTTCCAAACCGATGCACTAGTGGCGTAATAAGGGTATCAAGCATAGTAGAGAGCCTCACTGCACCATAGACGAGCGATGACCGTTGGCACCAGAGGCTTCTCCCGAGCCCAAAGTAGACCCGCACGGCTCCACCAGAAGTCTCAAAGATGTCTAGATTTAAGGTATATTGTTCAGCCAGAGGGCCCTTAATGATCTTGTTCTGTCTACCCTTCCTAGCACTGCTTCGTCTGTGTCTATATGGAGTAGCGGCCGTTTCTATCAATCTTTGCAATTTTGTTCAATTTTGTTCATTTTGTTGTTTCTATTTTTTTTTTAGCCTTTTGTGCTTATTTTGGTTGGTGGTTGATGCCAAGCCTTTCTTGAAATGCAGCTAGTCTGTTACAAGTTAGTTTATTTTATGTACTAACTCAAATGATATATTACATAAGCAGGATGAAAGCCAAAATGGGTACGAGACGAAAAGACATGAAGACGAAGTAAACGTGAGAAGCAGAAAAGAAGATGAGAAATCTCGGCCACCTGGGCATGTTTCTGGCGCACAGCCCTGGAATGAGAGGGGTGAGGCTGGCATCAACGTTTGTTGGTTGTTCTGGGCGGGAGTATGTCCGGGGGAAGATACTGAAGCATCATCCAAAACGACCTGACCTCAATGTTTACCTCGCGCAGTAAGCAAACTTCTTCTACATAGTACTCCTTCTTGTCCATAGGCTTACTCCGGATCTACATAGATCTGGGAACCAAAGCTTCGTGCTGAAGAGGATGTCGGATTCGTTATTCGACTTGTCCTTGGGTCTAAAACGAGAGTTTCCAGACACTCGTCGCCTTCGGACACATCGACGAGAACGTTGAGGAAAAGGTTCTGATTTACGAATATTTTAATGATTTACTTTCTTTTGTGAAAAGAAACCCAAGTTTGCCATTGGAGGCGAGAAAATGGATATTGAGGGAGCTCGGGCTGTCGCTCACGGAGTTTCATGCTAAAAATTGGATACATATCGGTAAAACTAGAGATCAAAGTCACTTGGCCTTAAAAAGGTTCATACTAATAACAGCCATGCAGATGTGAAGCCTGACAACGTGACGATCAATTATAGGCGAGACGAACAGGGCTAACCCCTGCCTGAGAGGGTGGTATTGGGCGACCTAGACTGCTCACTGAAGATGAAAGGCGACAAGCTTCTACGGCTCCCGGAAGGCATCAAGCTTGGGAACGTAGTTAATGTGGCGTAGTCCCGAAGCTCAAACTGGGCAGGGAATTGGGAAGCCATCTGACGTGTTTTCTTACGGCCTCGTGGTGAGTATATATAGCCAACTGTGTACACTGATATAACTTACTTGAATGTACAGAGTAGTGAGTGAGTATATGCATAGCTGATGAGGACGTTAGAGTCTATTCACAACAACGGGCGCGGAGACACTGCATTCGAGCAGCTGAGGAGGGATGGGGTCGACCCCGAGTTGGAGATCATGGGCCGATTGATCTCATTCTTCGGGCCAGTGCCGACGGAGCTAGTGACGCACGTCCGACATGAAGACTAGGGCAAGGTGATGATGGTACTCTCAGAGGCAACGCAGGATGGCGGTCCTGTTGGTCCCGGACGGTTCACGGAATGGCAGGAGAAGGATTATCCAAACCTTGACGGCGAGACGAAACGCATCCTGCTGCGTATGTTGCATCTTGATCCCTCCAGGAGAGTGACCATGGAACAAGTCTTGGAGGACCGCTGGTGGGGTCATGGAGAGGAGTCCTGAAGCCCTACGCTCTCTCTACCACTGACAGGCTCTGAAGAGGCAGCCCCGGGTCCTCGAAGCCAGGGATAGGCTGGCATAGGCTGGCATACGGCGTGGGGCCCTGGTCAGTCTAGAAGGCCGTCCCCATGTCGAAGCCCCCCAGCCAACTAACGCTTCCAAGCCCTTACCATCACCACTCAGTCGTTCTATATGTACGATATGTACGGAGTATCATCAGCACAGCGGAGACGAGACAAGAATGCAAGTGAGACTACGGCGTACCATGTATGCAGCTCGGAATACTAGCTGGAGAAAAAGCCCGGAGTAATCCGCCTCGCCTCCCGCCCCGGGGATTCTTTTTCCTTCCAGCCAACAGAGTGATATCATCACACAGCCAGCTCTTGTCACGCCGCATCATCTTTTGCCGCCTCAACCAACAGCATCGACGTCTGGCCTCCCACGAAATGTCACTAGCGGTAATACAGCCCGTAAGGCCATCGAAGATCGAAACGAGCGCAGAAGAAGCAACGGGCCTGCTGCTACTGTCACGGGACCCGCTAGTTATAACACCGAAAAGGAGGCTCGGCCCTATATACGACGTATTATGTGGAGAGACAAGGTACCTGTCGGCCCCCTACAAATCGCGCGACATGCGAGGTACCGCTGGCCATCGCACCCGCTGGGCCTTTCCTCCCTCTGGCCCGAGAGAGGGACAGAGAGGGATGACGATGCTCCACCAGCACAGCAGGTTAGCCGGATGTTTTCGCTTCCCGCCGGCAGTTTTGGCTCTTTGTACCCATGCGGACGAAGGCAAAGCCCGTATTTAACACACCCACGGATTTCGATTAAGGCGAGGGGGGGAGACGGAGTGGTCAAAAAAGGGCGTGGGCGGGGAATCTTGACTTGGGGACGGGCTGCTGCTGGCTGGCTGCTGCTGCTGGGCTAGAGGAAACCCTCCCCCCGGCGGGAACGTTGCGTATACTAGTTAGGAGGGTAAGATATATTTACACATATTGCTATTAGGGCCATGCTCCATCTGCTTCGGCGTTCCCAGCCAAAGAACGTTATGCAAACAAGAGAAGTTGGTGGAAATAAACCCCGACGAGGGCTTGTTTCTTTTCTAGCTGCCTGGTCTACTACTAAGTACTTATTTTCTCCTTGACCCGGCCTTTCCCCCAAGCCGCGTGTGTGTCTGTGAGTGTTTATTAGTACTCCGTATACTGCCCTCACAACCCCCCGGCTGCCCATCTGTGCAACCCGTCCAGCATCAAATAAAAAGGGAGAACAAGCTTCCTGTTTCCCTCAAGACTTTCCAAACAACAAGGGGTGCTGGCCTGCAGGGAAATAACTCGTCCCCGTCACATAACAATACGAAGATATCAAACTGAAACTGATAGATAAAGCAAGCAGGGAAAGAAAGGACGAAGAACGAAAAGGGGGTAGGCAATAAGGACGCAAAGGAAAGAGAAACGAAATAAAAACGAAACCAAAATCAAAAGAGAAGAAAGAAGAAAAATAACCGCAACCATGGGCTCGCTCGATCATCACCTCCTAAACGCCGACTCGCCGGATATCGCCCTCGTGGTGGCCACCCCGGCAGAGAGGATCGAGAGCATAAGGTCAAATGGGCTGTCGTGGAAAGGCCCCTTGACGATGGAGCAGTACATCGCCCGTGAAGATTTCTTGATAAAGCAGGACATGGTCAAGGATGGGTGGATGACATGTTGGGTCCTTGTCGACCGTCGGCTGCGGCAGAACGAGCGTCCTATCCTGAGCAGCTGCGAGTCGATCGCCAAACGAGCGTTCCTTGCATACAACGGCGATATCGAGACGGTTATCAGTCATGGAATCGGGAGCGTGTTCTGTCCGCCGGAACACCGAGGGCGAGGGTACGCTAAGCGCATGATCATAGAGCTGTCGAAGATACTGGATACGTGGCAGCAGGAAAGAGGGCCGTGGAAGGGATACTCGCAGTGTCTCTTCTCGGTGCTGTATTCGGATATCGGCAAGTCGTTTTATGCAGGGCACGGATGGCATCCGTATGCTTCTTCTCACTTCACTCTGGCCCCGGAGGCTGTCGGAAACGCTGCTGTGAATGGCAGTGCCAACGGGCACGCTAACGGCAGCGTCAGAGCGACGAAGGGTGTCGACATGAGCATTGTCCAGGATATGTCTCGGCAGGACGTGCATAGATATATGTGCTCGGAGTCTGTGATGGAGCAGCACAAGCAGAGAGTAAAGGATGCCTCCAAGGCGTCTGGCAGGGCTATTGCAGCGTTCCCACCGGACTTTGCACACATGTCCTGGCACTGGGCTCGAGATGAGTTCTACTCTCGGATCCTGCGGCCGGAAAAGGGGGAAGCCCACGTCAAGGGTGCAGCGGTGCCTAGCCGCAAGGTGTTCGTGACCTGGAACCGAAAGTACGGAGCTACGCCGAAGGACTGTACGCTGTACATTCTCCGGACACAGTATGAGGAGCCCAGCTCGCCTGCAGAGAGACAGGGAGTGGTTGAAGCCCTGGCTGCCGTACTGCGTCGGGCCCGCGCAGAAGCTCATGAATGGAATGTCGACCATGTTGAGATCTGGAATCCCTCTGCGCTGGTCAAGGAGGCCATCCAGATTGCTGATTCGAACGCGGCTGAAATCCACAGGGAGAAAGACAGCATCCCTTGCCTGAAATGGGACGGAGACAAGTTCGGGTATGGAGACAGTGTCGACTGGATGTGGAACGAAAGATACGGCTGGTGCTGAGCTGGGCCGGGTTTGATATGAAGAACATGCATGAGATACCGACTCTCTTGACGGCCGATTCTTGTTATGACGAACTTTTGGAGCCCCGGGCTGGTGCTCGCTGATGGTGATTAGAGGCTCTCCGTCTTATATCTCCTTTTTTATATTTTTTCCCGTCCCTTTTTTGGTTGTTGCTGCTGTTGTTTCCATAAGTTCTGCTCATATCACACGCGGAGTGGATGATGTATCGAAAGATACCCGGGGGCGGGCGGCTCAGTATCTTTTTTTTTTATTATTCTTTTCATTTATTTTTCATATTTTTTCCTGGTTGACTTCCATTCACTTTTTTTTAACGATGGCATATGTTTTAGACAAGCGCAGAAAGCAGAGATGCGATGCTATAGAGGGAGGCTATTGAGAGAAAAAGCCGTTTCATTTGTTATATGCTGGCTGGGAAGATGGATTGCTCAAATGGTTCACCGTGTCAATCCGATCCGATCGTGCGTTTTGTGTATTAATTAATAACCATGATTTGGCCGGAAACAGATGGTCGTCGCCTCTGGCTGGCGATAGCAGGATTTCTGCAGCCGGCAGCATTGATATTAGCATTTCTAGCATGTGAATATATATAGATACATCGGAATATATATACATGAGGAATATATATAATGTATCACAGTTGCAGCAAGCATATGTAGGGGAGAGGGGACGTACGTCCAGATTGTCGATAGATGCATATGGTCTCCATTGCTCTGGCAGGAGATCTTTCCAGTCGCTGGAGAACGTGTCGACGTTGAGAACAGACTTGGGGGAGCCGTTAGACGCCTCCAGGAGGAGCTCCGCAGTCCATTGGGCAGTTATACGTAGATCCAGATTCGCCCCTATAAGGTATAAACTTAGTAAATATCTCAAATCAAACATAGATCGCATAACTAGTTATGTATTAACAAAGGGCGTACGCGTACGTACACTTGAGGTCTCCATCAATGGGAGAATTGTCGACGAGCCTGCGCACAATGGCGTCAAAGAGGGAGCGAGGAAACGGATACTCGTCAATGACGGTGTGTTGAGCTTCCTCTATGACTGCACTCCATAGGTCTTCGACAAGGAACTGCTTGCCGAGATCGATGCCATGCAGCGTTGCCCCCTCGACAATCTTCTCCCAGGCCATGAGCTTCGCTCTGGCGGATGGACGGTGGCAGGCGATGACTCCCGATTCCTTGCTCTTGTGCACGAATGCGCAGATGTGTTTCCAGGCGCGCTCGCACTCGGCGAGGGAGAAGGGTATATCTGCGAAGACCTTTGAGCGCTCGCGGACGATCTCGGAGGGGGAGAGCGGGTGGTCGTCTTCCTCTGTGCGGTCGTCGATGAGGATGTCGCTTTCGTCGTAGATGGCGAGGACGGCCAGCAGGGGCGCGACGGCGGTGTCAGAGGAGGCCATGGCCTGGACTTCGAGCGTAGACTTGCACTGTGCGATGGCTGTGACTGTAGATGCTGTAGATGCTGCTGTGTCTGTGTCTGTGTCTGTAGCTGGAGCTGTGGCTGTAGCTCTGTCTGCGGCCCCGCGAGGCTTGATCAGGAAGACGGAGTTGGAGGAGTTGACCTGTCGTAGCGAGAACGTCTTGTCCGGCGTGCACAGGTTGACAAAGTCTGCTCCAGGCCGTGAAGCTGCAGAAGACGCACTTGTAGCTGTACTTGTAGCCGAAGTCGAAGTGCTGGTCGAAGTGGTCGTGGTGGTAGAGGAAGAAGAGGAGGCGGCGGGCGCAGATGACTTTAGATACAGCCTGGGAGAGTCAGCATTCAGCACCAGCCAGTGGAAGACGCGGAGGAGACGAGCGACATGCGAGCCATGCAAGACGCAAGCAGACAGGACAGAAGAAATACGCACTGCGGCGGATGGTCTGATTCGAGCTGGTCTAGCAGTTCGGGCGGCAGCTCGAGGAGCCTGACGGGCTGTAAGGGTTGCGTCTGCGTCAGGCGAAGGTCCATCACTCTGCTGCGAGAGCCCGGGAAGACAGCGACAGTGACACAGCTACGCAGCTTCTATCACTGGCCGTGTAATGTGCAATGTATCCTGCAGTTATATCCGTAACTGTCGAGTCGGAGGCGCTGGAAAGCTGTGCAAAGTGCGGCCGCGCATCCGGTGGCGCTGGGGAGCTTCTCTTTTTTCTTTGGCTGCCTGGCGGGGTCTTTTCCCGTGTTTATCAGTGAAGGCACTTTGTAAGCATCTTATTATTAACAGGACAATTGTTGAATGAAGCTGTAACAAGTAGAAGCTGGTGGTGAAGTTGGTGAAGTTGAAGATTTGGTAGATTTTGGTGGATTTGACGCTACGAAGACGGAATAAGATGGATAGATATACATGATAGAAAGCAATGGAAGAAAATGAGAAAGAGGGAAAAAGAAAAAGAAAAGACAAATTGATATATAGCTTCGCCAGCTAGGGACAAGAGGCAGTAAAAAGTAGAGCATGAGGTGAAGGCGTAGGAAGGTAAAGACTTCGAACTCGCAGCGGTTGCATCACACTTGCAGCATTCCCTAATATATGACGTTTAAAGATATAGAGATGAAAGAAAGAAGAAAAGAGCAAGAACCCCAGAGGGGGACGTATTTTGGTAGAAGAGCTGTTGGTAGATGCTGGTTAGCTGGGGACCGTAGAGTAAGGGATGGTCAGGGGCAGGGGCAGGGGGCGAATATCGACTTACAGGTCTATCATCACGGTCTAAGCAGCAACAGGAAGAAGACAGGAAGCATTAAAGGAAAAGACGAGGCGTCAGGGAGGATCATTCATCCTTCTTCTCGCCTCTGGACTCGTCTCTGGCCTTGTCTCGGGGCTTCTCCTTGGTGTCTGCGTCCTCTTGTTCCTTGGGCGGTAGAAGCTGCGTCTTCCTCCCTGCTTCTCTGCCTTCTTTGCTTTCATCATTGGCTTCTTTTCTGCTGTCTGTCTTCTCTGTCTTGTCCTCTTTCTTGTCTTTCCTGTTGGACTGCTGCTTCGAGTTCGAGTTCGAGTTCGAGTTCGAGTTCGAGGTCTTGTCCTGCTTCTTCTCCTTCTCCTTCAGTTCCTGCTGATTCTTGTCCTTCTGCATGATATCATGTACGGCGGCGCTGTCCTTCTCCGACTCGACGCTGGAGTCCTTGAACTGCTCCTTGATCTTCTTGGCCTTCTCCTTCTTCTCCTTCTCCTCGGCCTCTCGCTGCTTGCGTTCTCGCTCCATCTCCTTCATGTGGCGCAGGTCGTCGACGCTGGGCTCGTACAGATGCCAGATCGTGTAGTGTGGCAGGCCAACGACGGAGAATTTCATCCGTTTCGACATCTACTCTTGTTAGTATTTTACTTAGCTCCATGACTATAGAGTAGGGAAGTACCTTTCCGAAGGCCTCTGTTTCGGCGTGCTTCTCAAAGGAAAAGGCAGGGAAGTGGACGCCGGCGCGGAAGACCTTTGCTTTGGCCAGGATACTGACACCACCGACGCCATCGATCTCCATCTCCATGTCCGGGTCGCCAAAGGGGTCTCGCAGGTAGGCCAGGTGAGGTCTCCAGGTGGCGTACTCGGCGTATCCCTCGACAATGACGGCGTCTTCATCAAGCGTGTCAGCCAGTGCGAGGGCCGTCTCGGACTCCTGCCACGAGTTGAGATCGTACGGCTGCTCTCCACCCAGCCAGTCCGGCAGCGGTCTCCATACATCTGTAGAAGTTAGTACTATAACTATAACAGTAGAATTGAAGCAAATGAAGCAAGGAGTACGTACTAGGGACGATGACGTCCTTGTTATGGCGCATGAGGTCCTCGAGAATAGTAAAGGGAGCAGTCTCGACGTCCGCGTCTCGCCAGTAGACCCAGCTGTGCGTCGGCCGCAGAGTCGCACTCAGCAGCCAGTTCCTCGCCTGGGCCATCAGCTTCCGTCTCGACGCCTGGGCCGCAAAGCCGTGTCTGCTCTCGACGTCCTGGTTGACCTTCTGCCCAAAGTCCTTCTCGATGACGGAGATCTCGCCGTACGGCTGCCGCGGGTCCGGGTCGTTCTGCAGCTCCTCCAGCAGCTTCGTCAGCAGGCCCGAGGTGTCGTCCTTGGAGTCAGAGACCAGGAAGGCCAGGTCGATGAGGTGGTGCGGGTAGGTGAAGTTGCGCAGGTGCGAGAAGAACATGGGCAGATGCGGCGCGGCGTCTCGTAAGGGGGTGCACAGCAGCACCCGCTCCTCGCGCTCCCAGCCCCGGGGCGTGCCCTCGACGTTCGACAGGTCGTAGTAGCGGACGGTCTCGAGCTGGAAGTCGTCTGAGGCTGCGAAGAGGCCGAGCGAGGCTGCTCCGAGCAGCGAAGGGCGCCATGAAGGGAAGAGGAAGAGCAGCAGGCCGGTCGACAGGACGGCTACGATGATGAGCCGCTGCAGCAGCGCCCGGCGGCGGCGAAGGGCAGGCTGCGAGCGAGGTTGGAATCTGATCCTGTCAGCATTCTATTCTTTTATTCTTCATTCTCTTCTTCTCCTTTATGATCGGTATGACCTACCTATGGGGAGAAATGGAAAAGGTACCGCTCTCCCGCTTGGGGGCAGCGGTATATCCATTGGCAAAGGCCGGATGCCTGTTCATGTCTCCGCGAGCAGCATCAGCACCGGCAGAGGCCTTGGTCGGTCAGTCAGTCCAGAGCCTTTGTCTGGTAGCAAGATATTCAAGTTATAGCAGACGCAGAAGCAGAAGAGGCAGAGTAGGAAGAGAAGAGGAAGACGTGGATAAAAAGACAAGGGGCCAAAGGGGCGAAAAAAGCGACGAAGATCTCAAAAGGAGTCAGCAAGCCGCAGCATTTGGATTATGATTATTATTGAGCAGCCAGGGGATATTAATAAATGCCAGACGGACAGACAGTTAAGCGAGTGAGACAGACAGATGTCTCTTCCTCTTCTTCCTTTACTCTTTTACTCTATTCTTCTTCTTCTACTTCTCGTCTTTTACTGGTTTTTCGCTTCTTCAGCTTGTTTCAGGGATCATCTTTCTTCCGCCTGCAGGTCTTGCAGAAGTACCGAAGAAGTAGATCTGTACCGATGGAAGTACAGCTGTAGATGTAGTATAAGTATACCTAGTAGAGAGAGACTGTTACTGCTATGTAGATGCGTAGATGGTAGGTGTTGGTTGTTTTATATGGCGATGTTGCTGCTGAAACATTGGAAGGAGAAGGCGAAAAGACACGGTGGCCGACGATCTTCGTGGAGATCAACAGGGAATACGAATCAGAGAAAGGCAGAGAGCGGGAGTCGACGGTGATAGAGACTGTAGAAGACAAGAATAGACAGGATAGACAGGATAGACGCTGCTGTTGCGTGTTATGGTTGATATCGATTTGATACCCCTGAAGAGTTACCCCTGACGGCACTTAAGGTACTCGACGGTACTTAGAGACTCGGAGATAGATCTAGTCTTTATTTTCACTATCATGGGTTACTTAGTTATCGGTATGACTACCTGACAGTAGCTCCGGCAAGGCTCTTGACGGTGCAGACACCACCGGACTTGACCATCAGCCTGCCCATGGCCGGCTTCGAGGCCGCAGTCTCGCTCACCTGAGGCACCGCGGCGCTCTCAAAGACAACCTCGAGTCCCTCCGTCGTCGTGAAGCCGGGCTGGAAGGTCTCCCACATCTTCTTCTTCGGGTTCAGCTGCTTCTCCGGCTCGCCCTCGTTCCACCCGTCAAAATAGACTCGCTCGCCTGCCTCAGCACCTTCAGGTGGAGTGACCAGCTCGACGGGGCCGGCATGGGAGTCGTCGTTGCGCGGTGACGCTGCCAGCACCATAGCCGCAGACTTGATCCCTCGCATCGTCACCGGCTTCAGGTTGCAGACCGTCACCACCTTGCGGCCCTGCATCTCCTCCAGGGGTACCAGGCCGTTCAGACCAGAGCAGACAGTGCGGACAGTAAGGCCGGTCTCTTCGTCGAGCTGCGTGTTGTCGCTTCCGGGAGCATCACCGCATGCTATCGTCGAGACGTACAGCGAGTCTGCGTTCGGGTGGTTGATGGCGCGAAGGATGTGGCCGACGCGCAGGTCGATGACGCACGGAGACATGGGTGCTGCAGGTGCCGGAGCAGGTTTCTGTCGAGGCTGCTTCTCCTTCTTTTCCTTCTTCGCCTTCTTCTCCCCTGCCGCGGCTTCACCTCCAGCGGCAGCGGCGGCCGCACCAGCAGCTTCTCCCTTAGCAGTAGAGTTAGCCTCTGGCTTCCCCTTTCCAACAACAACCGTAGCTTCGCCCTTCTTCTCCTTCTTAGCCTTCTTCTCGTCCTTAGGTAAAGCAACCACATTATCCAGGTCAATGGCAACCTTCTCCTCAGCCGGTATGGCCAGCCCAAACAGCTCTGCGTTCTGCACAAAGTCCACATGCCGCACGATATGATGGTACCCGTCCTCCCCCGTCCGCTGCTCGGCTGTCCACTTCTCCACCACGGGCGCCAGAGCTGCATACAGCGCCACGTCCAGCACAGAAGGCTTCACGCCCAGCATCGTGGTCCGCATCGCCAGGTGCCCGTTGATCTTCTTCAGCTGCTCTCCCAGCCCCAGCTTCTCAGCGTCTGCGCCCTCCCTCAGGCTTTCTGCCAGCCTGCTGACCTCCGCCAGCCATGACTCGATCTCGGCTCGCTCCGCGTCCGAGTACAGCACCGTGGGGAAGATGAGCGGCGTGAGCGTGTGCAGGTTCACCTCCGTCGCCTGCAGAGGGACTGCTCGTGGGTATGAGCGGTGCAGCAGCGAGAGCAGCGAGGCCGTCGGTGTCGATGCCGTCGCCATGCTGGCTATCGCTATCCTGCTGTTCAGTCTATCGGTTCCTCCTCCTGGTAGTCCTCTGCTGTTCGCCTTCGTCCTCGCCGCCGGTCCTGGTGATGCTGCTCGTGTGGCTGCTGTGACTGATGCTGCGAGCGCTCGTCGCGGGGTCGACGCCCGGAGAAGTGACGGGATGAGGCTTGGGGGCGGCAGCTTGACTTGACGGGCACTCGGTCGGAGAGTGCACTCTGCAGAAGCAATTAGCTGTCTCTTCTTCTATTTCTTCTATCTTCTTCTCTTTCTTCTTTTATCTTGTCTTTTTATCTTCGTCTTTTCGTCTTTTTCTTCTTTTCTTGTTGATTTTTAGAAAACTTTTTGTGTCGAGGGGTTGCTTAGTAAGCGGGGATACTACAGATAAAGATACAGATATAGGAAATATAGGGATATAGATAGGTACCTAGGTATATAGATGTAGATGGAGGGATGGATGGAAGGATAGATGGAAGGAGGAAGATTTAGAGATGAAGATTAAGATTATGTATGGCATGACGCAGGTCAAGTGTAATATGTCTGAACTAGCTACAGAGAAGAGAAGCATCCGTCTATCATGAAGAAGTAAAGTATCTAGAGACATCACGCATGGGGAGCAAAAGAGACAGAGGGACCGCGGTGGTCGAAGACGACAAAGAGTGCCTTGAAGAAGACGTCTCCTAGGATCTGGATACCACCGGCGTTGTTGGACTGTAGACCTCCATAGCATGCTGTTCAAGGACAAGTTAGCAAGTGATCAAACAGTGAAGAAAGGGAGAAAGGGGGTATGGGACATACTTTCAACGCCATTCGCGTCAGGGCCGTAGCTCTGGAAGGTAAGCAGCGAGCTCGGGATGATGGCCATATGGTCGGATCCCACACCAAGGAAGAGAGACGGCATGGGCGAGTTGCACGGATACACCCATCCAGCGAACCGACTGGGGTCGTACCGCGCTCCGGGGACCTGCGCATAGTAGGCCCTGACGATCTCCTCGTCGAGGACAAGCAGCGTGGTACCCGTGTCCAGTATAGCGGTGCCGGTGTTGTTCTTGATGGTCTGGATCTTGTCCAGTTGGCCGACAGAGTACAGGCTGCAGGGGATCTCCCAGAAGCCGTTCTCGTTGATAACGGGAACCTTGATCAGATCGCCGTAGTACTTGGCCCTGTCGATGGCGCCGAACTCGTACGAACCCATCTTGCCTTTTCGAAGCTGAGCGGTGAAGACGGGCTCGTCTAGCTCGTCGGCTAGGTTCTCGAAGAACGTCTTCTGCTTGCGTGGCCGGATGGTGTTGAGCTTCGTCATGGCCAGACCGACAAGTCCGTCTGAGGTCTTGTCCTCGGCGAGCGATGCTGCAACCTTACTGGGCAGGCCGATGGCTTGGTTATGGACGGTGGCACCGCCAATGTCCATCACATCGGTGTAGACAGGGCCCGAAGCATGAGATTTGTCGCCGTATTTGATGTCAAACGTCTGACCGACCTGCTTAGTTGCCGTCTTGGACTTGGATGGATCATACAGGTGGTGGTCCTTCTTTGCCTCGTCATCAGTCATTTGCGTGTTCATCACCCATCTAGACTTTTCCGTTAGCGATTTGCGTTTATGCAACTGATATATGATATATCAAAAACAACTTACGTGTCTGAGGAACCGGTATCAAAGTTCATGATAAACGGTTGTCCTCCAATGGTCACTGGCGAGAGAAACTGGATATCATGGTTTGTCGGATTGTTCACTACCTCGCCCTTCTCGTCCTTGCCGTCGTTGTTTGCAGTAGCCTTCGAGTGGCCAGGGAACTTGCTGATCGGCTGTGGGCTGTAACCGTCCATCTCATGCGTCGTTGGGAGGCCATATTTCCGGTATGCTCTCTGCAGGTCTGTTGGTCCATCGCGAGAGTACTCTGCCTCTGCCCGTCGCGCGAGATTCACTTTGAAACTGCCGGCCTTTTTTCGAGGTGTCGGTTTGCTGAGTGCGAGAGGTAGCAGGACAGCTACCAGGAGGGTTGATATATGCATCTTCATGGCTTTTGTGTGGTATGAGAAGAATCGAAAAGAGAGTAATAGCAGAGAAGTAAAAGAGAGGGAGAAAGATGCAGGAATGAAAAAGAAGGAAGAGCTTTTTTTAACTGTTTGGCACAGTGAATAGAAGAAACAGAACAGGAATGAATGGATCAAAGAATTCAACAATTGAGATATCAGGACAATAACAGATAGACAGCCCGCTGCGGCCGGGGCAACCACACAGTGAAGAAGGCCTGGCACCAGTCTATCAAGCAAGATAGACGGAGGTATGTACGGAGTACTTTTTTTCAATGGACCGGCCAGAAAGAGAGACAGGAAGATAAAGATGGCAATCTACTGCTCAGCAGTAATTCATTGATATAGACAGGAAATAAAACAAGCGAGAGTGAAGGAGGAGAGGTGAAAGAGAGTGAGGAAGGGAGAGAGAGAGAGAGAAAGGGTTAAAGAGAGTCACAGACAGACAGAAGATGTAACCAGAACCAGGTCCATCCCTGAGAAGGCCATGTCTGTATCTTTATAAATCTCTCCGCAGGAGAAGAAAAGAAAAAAGAACGAGCGCATAAACTCGACTTTGATCCAAGTGTCAAACAGCCTTAAGCTTAGCCTGGGTCCTTCTACCCCTTTCCTGGCCTAGAGGCCCAGAAGCAAAGAGGACAGGATGCAGACAGAATGAAGATATGCAGGGCAAAAACACGCAGGCAAAAACACAAAAAGGCGCCCTTCTCCTGGTCCAAAAAGTCTGTCTGGCTGCCGAAAGTCCCACAGGACGGCATGCTGAAAGGCATAAAGTGTCGGCTCTTCCGTCGCCGATTGGGTCCTGTACGAATGCCTGGGTGCCTGGAGCGCCAGAGCAAGGTCTCAAGCGAGAGGCATGAAACGCTGAAGAGTGGATGACAGAAAGCCAGCACCAGGCAAAAGTCTATCAAAGGGGAAAGAGAAAGGAAGACAGCCGCCGGCCTGGGCGAGAGATGAAACCAGCCCCGGAGGCGAGTTGTCGATAGGCCTCGAACTTGGCGTGGAGAACGGCGATGATTCGGCAGATGTACAGCAGTGAAACGCACCCTTGATTGGCGACAGTGTTGCTTTTTTTATCTGCCAACTAAGCCAGCAAGCGAAGACTAGTGAGAATGCTTGGTTGCTCTGCCTGCGGTTGTGGTCGTTGTGCGAGGTTCGTTGACGGAGGCGCTCAATGGCTGCGGTGGACGGGAGATATTCATTCGACCCCTTGCAGCCCTGGCCTTGTTTTTTTTTTCTTCCGGCGGCTAGATGGTAGATATAAATAACTAGTCGAGGATCGTGGTCGATAAGACGGGTAGTAAGGAGCAGCTAATCAGGATGCAGGCGCCCTGAAGAATCTGTGCTGACTCCCTTATTACGCTGGGCTTTGAGCTGGGCCTTAAGCTGACGATTGAATGCGCGGTGATTACTCCGTATATGACGAAGAAAGGTAGTGTGGGTGTGATGGATGTGTTACTCAGAGGACAGCTTGGTCACCCAAGAGAGTGCCAACCTGTCCGACGACGGATTTCAAGGCCAGCGTCGCGGGGCTGTCCGGGAAGCTGTCGATGAAGCTCTCGCCGTAGTCACAGGCCATGCCCACTCGCGGGTCGAGCGGTATCGAGCCCAGGAAGTCAATGTCCAGGTCTGCTGCCAGCTGTCTGCCTCCGCCAGTGGTCGCCTTGAAGATGTCAGACTGGTGCTTGCAGCTTGGACAGACAAAGCCTGACATGTTCTCCACCAGCCCGAGAATACGTATACCTGCCTTGCGACAGAAGTCGACTTCCTTGCGCACGTCGAGCAGTGACACCTCCTGCGGCGTGGTCACCAGCACCGCTCCGTCCACTCCGGACTCCTTCAGCAGTGAGTTAACGGAGAGATGCTCGTCCGAGGTGCCCGGCGGGGTGTCGACAATCAGGTAGTCCATTTCCCCCCATTCGACGTCCTTGAGGAACTGCTTGATGAGTCCGTTCTTCTTGGGCCCGCGCCAGATGACGGCGTCGTCGCGGTTGGGCAGCATAAACTGGATGCTCATGACAGCCAAGTTGTCCGACACCCAGACGGGGTTCCAGCCGTCTGAACTGACGTGGATCGTCTCTGCTTCGACGTCCATCATCTTGGGGATGGAGGGCCCGCAGATGTCGGCGTCCATGATGCCCACAGTCGACTGCGGGTTCGACGCAATGGCGTGTGCCAGCAGGGTCGAGAAGGTCGACTTGCCCACTCCTCCTTTGCCGGATAGCACGAGAATCTTGTGCCTGATCGATGCCAGCCGTGCAGTGATGAGCGGAATATCCGGGTCAGGGCCCTTGGGGGCGGAAGCACAAATCGCCTGGTTCGGACATCCCGCGCAGGCGTCTCCCTTCCCGGCCTGCGACGACGTCGGTCCAGGGCAGTGTTCTTTCCATCCTGTTAGTTTCGTCTTCTCCTTGTCTATATAACAACTATGCAAGTGTCTGTTCTGCGTTCGGATGATCACCTACCTGGTTCTGGCGCAACGAGATCTGGTGCGTCCGCCATGGTTCCTCCTTTTCCTTCTCTCTGCCGTCCTTTTGCCGTCTATCTTCCCTTGTATCCCCTTCTCCCTGGCCTGGTAAGTACGTTAATATCTTTATACTATATCTCAGCCAGCCACAGTTCGCTGTCCTTCGAATTATCAACTTCGCTTCTGCTTTCTTTTGCTTGATGGAAAAAGATCGAAAGATTGATAATCAAAATCCTTATCGTGTATGGTAACGTATTGTCATGCTTATTGTAGCATGTGATTTTCCGCGCCACTTTCTCTCTGTAACTTTGGTATTAGCCGTTACCCCCACTATACATCAAAATACATCAACATCAACACCGAAAGACGACGAGATGAAAGACGAAGACGGGAAGACGAGGAAGAAAAGATACCAGAAAGAGCAGAAGAATAGACTGTAGATAAGCAGATGGCAAGGGGTGAGCGTGTAGATAGAGCAGCAGAAGCTAACTTAGTCCTGATCGTCCCTGGGGTCTGCCCTGGCTTGTCTAGCAAGTATCTCCTTTGTACTTGTACTTCGGCTTCATCCTCCTCTTACTCTTCTTCCCTTTGACTGCTTCTGCTTCTGCTTCTTCTGCTTCCTCTTCTTTGCCGTCAAATAGCAAGGAGAATCCTCTCTGGCGACCCGCGATCACCGCATCAACCGCTCCAACCGCATTCTTTCAAGGGCCGTCGAAAGTCAAAAGAACCCGTCCTTGCGCAGTCGATCAGAGGAAGTTCGACCCTTTTGCCGGCGAGGAGGTGGATGTACCCTTCTTCCCGATACCTGTTTTGACGTCCCTGATCTCGTATTCCATGCATGCCACTGCAGGCCCGGGATGCACTCATGCATCTGTAGGCATAATCCCGACGTTGATGTCGATATTATCTCGCTGTCCGCTATGATATCAAGCAGCCAGTTAGTCAAACCGAGCGGGAAAAGCACAGCAAAAAGGCGACTTGGATGTTGACATCATCGAGCATGAAATGGCCGACGGGGAAAAAGAAAACCCACAGAGAGAGAGCGAGAGAAAGCCGAAGGGGAATATGTCAACAGCCCTGATCTACATACAATCTTAGGTACTTAATAAACAAGCAGACAGGCGTCTTCGCGCAAGTAGTTAACCAACTCTCGGTCGACGTCGATAGTTACAGATAGACCAAGTCTTATCTCAGTGTTTGTTGTTCGCCTTTTTCCGAGGTGGCTCTTTTTGCGGCCAAGAGTTACGTTGTGCGTTGGTCTCGTGTGCGTCTGTTGGAGATTTTTACTATTTAACTGACTGCGCCCACCACTCGCCGCTGGACAAGACAGACGGACAGCGAGAGTCGACAGCGTAAGAGACCTGCCAATTCAACTTGGCCAGCATCGTATCAGACGATTCAACTCTTCAGCGGACGGGGAGAAGCTGCCTGGCTGGAAGACTACGCCGTTTGTTGTTGATTGTTGATATTCGACCACCACCCGCAAACAGAAAAAAAAGAGACGCCACCATGGCAAGACTGTCTGCGGTTGAGCGGCCGGATGACAGTGGACTGCGAGAGAGAAAGGCGAAGACGGTAGACGAGGCCGTCAAGCAGTCTGACGCTCTGGAGGCCGATGGTGCTGCTGCTGCTCAGGCGAAGAAGAAGACCATCGGCAGGACGCCAGACGGCACTGGTAAGTAAACACCAACACCTCTGTATATCTCCCTGTATATGTCTTGAATAAAGACTGACAGACCGTAGCATTTACTGTGCCACATACTCGGGACATGGTCTCGCAGCTGCTCTCGCCCTCGGAGCCCAAGAACCTGTCAGACATCCTGGTGCTGTCCATCATCGGCCTGCACATCGTCCTGCTCTACCTACTGCCGTCCTTCCTGCGCATTCCCATCTTTGCGGTGCTCTTCCTCTCATGGCGCGCTGCCTACAATATTGGCATCGGATGGCTCCTCCACATGCAATCAAACCACTCCACCATGGTCCTCTGGGCCCGCCAGACCAAGATATTCGTCAATCCGGCCACGGGAGAGAACCCGCATCCTAAGCTGTACAGCTTCATCAAGCGCGAGCTGGAGACCAAGATACCCGAAGACTACTCCTTCGAAGATGCGCCGATAGAGTACAATACCTGGCTCGTCTTCAGGCGGGTTGTCGACCTCATTCTCATGTGCGATTTTACTTCCTACTGCCTCTTTGCGATTGCATGCGGTTCCCGGCCCGCAGAGGAGAACTTTTTGGTCCTCACGCTTCGTTGGATCGTCGGATTGGGCCTTGTCCTGTTCAATCTCTGGGTCAAGCTTGATGCGCACCGTGTTGTTAAGGATTTTGCCTGGTACTGGGGCGATTTCTTCTACCTGGTCGATCAGGAGCTGACCTTTGACGGTGTCTTCGAGATGGCTCCTCACCCCATGTATTCGGTTGGTTACGCTGGATACTACGGAATATCCCTCATGGCTGCCAGCTACAAGGTGCTCTTCATCTCAATTCTTGCCCATGCGGCCCAGTTTGCCTTCCTTGTCCTGGTCGAGAACCCGCATATTGAAAAGACCTACAATGCGCCTCCACCGAGAAAGAGAACTATAGAATCTCATACCGGACCCTCTGGGGAAGAGAAATCCAGCCGAAGACCGTCTGACAGCAGTGATATGGCTCCTCCTGCGTCTCCGGTTGCCCTGCCTTCCTCAACTCATAACCTCGTCGGTGTTAAGAACCTCGATCTCCACCGCAATACCGACTCATCCATCATCCTGATTCAGCTACTTTTCTTTGCTCTTACCATGCTCACCCCGTCCACGCCCATATACCAGTTCTTTTTCGTCCTAAACGCAGCCATCTGGCGACTCTGGTACTCTGTTGGAATCGGTTACATCCTCAACTGCCAATCCCACCGCCGAGAATGGACCAGACACTTTGTCAAGTTTGGAGAGACCAAGGAAGAAGCCTGGAACCAATGGAAAGGAACATATCATCTCAGCATGACCCTCTGTTACGCCAGTTTCATCGCCGCCGCCTGGAAGATGTACACCCTTCCGGAAAACTGGGGATACGGTCTTGCCATCCTCAAACACGTCCTCGGAGCAGGCCTGATTGCACTCCAGATCTGGACCTCCGTCAGCATCTACGAGTCCCTGGGCGAGTTTGGCTGGTTCTTCGGTGACTTCTTCTTCGACGAGGCCCCCAAGTTGACCTACAGCGGCATCTACCGCTTCCTCAACAACCCCGAGCGTGTCCTTGGCCTGGCGGGCGTCTGGGGCGCTGCACTCATCACCAGCAGCCGGGCCATGATCTTCCTTGCCCTGCTCAGCCATACCCTGGGAATCGCATTCATCCAACTGGTCGAACGCCCGCACATGCAAAAACTATACGGCCGTGGCCTCCGACAGGACGCCGGCTTGGTACGCAGCATCAAACGCTCACTTCCCCCTTCGTTCAAACAATTGCACGGCAGCGTCGATCGGATCCTGGACGAATCAATCGAGTTTATCGAGGAAGTTCTGGACACCGCACGACCGAAGCTTGCAGCAGGCGTCACCACATTTGTCAAGGATACCAGCGAGCTGTTCCACAAGTACCCTGCTCGCATCACCATCACCCGCATCGAGCCTGATCTTGCTGGCTACGACATGAACGACTACTCCCTCAGCATCGACACGTCAGACTGCATCACCCTCGGTGACAGCGCAGAAGACAAAGCCGAAGTACTCGTCTTTGAATACGGCTCCCCCATCAAAGTCAACTGGACTGCACCATTGAACCATAGCAAGAAGGATTGGGTAGGCCTGTACATGATTGGCCAAAACCCTTCCCGCGAAGTCACCAACGTCTCCTCCTGGGGCCGATGGGTAGCTACCAACCATGGCTCTTTTGACTCGGTACTTAGTGAAAAGGGCCTGATAATAAGTGATGCCGTCGTTTTAAAACCCGGCGCAGCCAACACCAACAAAAACCCGTCCGCCAAATCAGGCTCGGCTAACAATGCCGCTTCCCACGAGGTAGCTTCTGGCCAAATGGTCTTCTCAGGCGACAAGCTATGGTGGACCCAGGGACTCTTTGAGTTCCGATATCATCATAACGGCAAGCACAATGTCATGACTACTTCGAGACCATTCGAAATCCGCATACCCAAGTTTGACGACGCGCAGATTCCAGCTCATGTCTCTGGTAATGGCGCCGGTTTCATGACCGCCGCAATCGAGCAGGCCCTTCTACCCATTGTGCAGAGTTGCTTTGATAGAGATCCTGACATCTCGCCCCAGACTGCTGAGGAGCCGTTTGGATGTGAGGCTGAGAGCGATCTCAAGTATGCTAAGCGAGTTGTCTATGTCGTTCATCAGATGTATGTTCCTGTTATCTTTGGTCCTATCATTATAAGCTACATTTTACTAACTTTTTATGCTAGGTTTGGAATCGAATTCGCTACTGAAGTCGTTCGCGCTGATGGCAATGTACAGAACCTCGCATGGAGGATATGCAATGCAAAGAAAGTACTGGTAAGTCATCATAAGACCGCTCCATTTCCTCTGAGAAGCAACGGCTAATTCTTTGTATAGGCACCATACAGTATGCGCAAGTCGAACGGCGCCAGCACGCCAACTGGTGAAGCCGAAGAAATGAAATAGACAATCCCTTCCCCTAAGAACAAAAGTACAGTATATCAACTTCCTTTCCTCTTCCTGGAATTATACATTTATTCCTTATCCCCTATTGTCCGGGTCCGTATCCGTGACTCTGTTGTTTATCTGGTATACAGTTGCATCCTCCCCCACACTCGATCCCAATACACTTAACTACCTTATAAGCTACACCACCCTACACCTCATGCTTTGGGCCTGTTTTACATGACAATTGAATACGTACATATCTATACCTCTTCCTTTCCTATACGCTCATTCAGCCCTCCATACCCTGCACGATGAACATTTTATATCCCCTTGCTTTTCATGGCATATGATTATTCACGGTTATTACTATGCATTTTACGAGAATAAAGAAAAGATAGAAAGAAAAAAAGGAAGAGAGATGAGATCGGGCGTTTGATGAGATTATGTTAGAGTAGCTTGGATAGGTTTAATATATCCGGGTTTCTTTGATTTGCTCTCCTAGTACGAATGATACTTCATTGCTGTCGAGGTAGGCCATACGAACGGTCATGGATAGGTAGTACGTATACGGCGGTATGAAAGATGACTTAAATTCAGCACTATTCTATTGCATTTATATAAGGTTACTCTAGGTGCGATGGATGAATCTACAACTTACACCTTCAAACAGTCAGCAATGTGTCTTGACCGGCAGAAGCTTTCATCTCGCAGACAAATACAGGGCAAGGTGAGTAAGGTCAGGTAAGCCGTTTTAAATCATCCCCTTCCCCCATCCAGACCATCGCCCAACCAGCACTCCAAAACGAAATGATGCAAGAACGGCAGTCCGGATAGGACTTTGACACTCAGTAACCGGGGCCATGACTTGAAGAAAATGTCCTTGCCTTCCTCCACAACCAATCATCCCCATCCGCTCTGAAGGGGGACAGGTCCGGTATCAGGGAGGGGAGAAGACCTTCGAACCAAGCCTCGGAGACATCGATATCAAATGGAGGTTACCCTTTCGGGATCTTGGAATGGATTGACTTGGTATCATCATGAAGGGGTTTGGTATGCATGGTATGACGAGGTGATATGGGAGGCAAAGTCGTTTTAACTCACAATTAGACGCAGCCGGATGGGTCGGGTGGCTGGTATTGTATGATTTCAAACCGAGCGGCAGGATATCTATAGATGCTATGCATTGTTAGTCTATATGCACGGTGTTCGAAGTGCGATGAAAATGACAAGTCGAAAATTTTTGGAATGTGATTCAGGAAGTTTGGTAAGATTTTGTTATCTTCAATGATATTGCAGAAGCAGAACTGAAAAAAATGATTCTCATCATGAAAGATTTTGTTGCGGTAGAGGCGGTTGCAGAAGAAGTCTCTACTTACGCTGGTCAATTGGTATATCTTGCCACCCAATGGGTCGGTCACGAAGCAGCCTTGCAGCAACCTATTTTCATCTGTCAGTAACCGTAACCCTCGTAGCGAGTGGTAAGAGTCAAAAAGGGAGAGACAGAGAAATATTCAGATGGTAGTGCATGTTCTGTAAGGCTCATCGTAAATCGCCGAAAGAACTGGTGAAAATATGCATCATAAAAGAGAATTGCTGCAGAGGGGAGTTGGTTAAAATCCTTACCTGTTAGTATGAGGAACCACGCTCTACTCAATTCAACTCGAAGCCGCCAAAGCATCATAAACTCTGGCTGTCTTCTGCGTGATGAACGAGCGCGGTTCGTTTGTTGTTTGTTGTTTGTGCGAGAAAAAGAAGAAAATGAAGAAACGAAAGAAAAACCTGAGTCGCTTTTTGACGCCGAAGGAGCCCGGGAAAACTTCGGCCCGAGATGTCCACTTTCGGAAAACATCGACGACTTCAAGATGAAGATGAAGATTTATTGTACAAGACACAACAGACGACAATTAGAAGACGGTTACCGTGGAGTGCTGTTGAAATGACAGATCGAAGGAGGATTAATGGCCCGACTGGAGCTACAAGGGCGCCAGTGTTTGTCTCCTGCGCAGACGTGAAGGACAAGTCTGCGTTTGAGAGGCCAGCTCGTACCAGGGACGCCAAAGAGCTCAGGAAGATCTGTAAGTTGCTGAAGACGCGCACCAAGAAGCCGCCGGCGATGCTAATATATCTAGATTTGAAAACAGGAGTCATTCCATCGGCGTCTGGGTCGGCGTATTTCGAGCTTCATCCGTCCAATTCCAATACCAGCGGCTCTCTTATCCCACCATCCTCCTCTCTGAAACTGATATGCTCCGTCAACGGACCCAAGCCGCTCTCTCGATCTACCCCATTCTCTCCAAACCTTCTTCTATCGGCTCATGTTAAATTCGCTCCCTTTGCTGCCAGGCGGCGGAGAGCTCATGTTCGTGACATGAACGAGAGAGATCTGGGGGTTCACCTCGAAAACGCGCTTCGAGGAGCTATCATCGGCGATCGATGGCCTAAGAGCGGACTAGATATCACAATCATGATTTTGGAAGGGGAAGATGATCGGTGGTGGGGTGACATGTCAACTGCAGAGACCCTGACGGGATCTGATGGCTGGGGCATGATGAATATACTTGCGCACTGTGTCACTGTGGCTTCTGCGGCTATTGCAGACGCGCGAATCGATTGCTTAGACCTTGTTGCTGGTGGTGTTGCGGCTGTGGTCGAACCCTCAAGCTCGGCTGAAGGGGCAACAACATCAACTAAGATGGTGGTACTTGACCCTGACCCTTCGGAACACTCTAATATTTCCTCAGCGTGTGTTGTGGGTTATATGCCGTCCCTAGATGAGATTACGGAACTATGGCTAAAAGGGGACATGGCTGGTGCGAGCGCCGATGGCACTTACGCTTCTCCTAACCACGATGCGCTAATGGATGGAGCTATTGCTGCTGCAAGAGCTTCTCACTCCGTGCTTATTGAAGCAGTCAAAGAGTCCGCCGAGCAGGCTGTCAGTAAAACAGCAAACAATAAACAACATGATAGCAGCAGCGAGATGGAAATATAAGAAACCTCACGCCGAAATCGTTAACTCTCGATGTGGGTAGCCAATTTAGGACGAAAGGAGGCGACGAATCGTCCTAGCATCTGACAAAACATCACACAAAGAAGCAGGGTTGGGCATCATTATTTCGGATATTATTTACTAGAGAGTGGCACTTCGTTATCAAAATAGCGCTGTTAGCATCAGCCCCCCACCCTCGCGCAGCGGCCTTCTCGCTGTCGATTTGTGATATCCTTATTGGGATGGTTGCCACACCCGCCACTGCGCTGTCTCCCCCGCTGTTCCACATATTGATATTCCGTGGCGCAATATCGGCGCACCGTTGGAGGTTATCGCCACCACAATTTACCGGATGATCTCCTCCATATCCGGCCAACAGTCTCTTTGCTTATGGGAGGTACCAGACGACATATCAACTGGTGTACCCAGTACGCAATACGGATTACAGAAAACCTCAAAGCTGTCCAGCCTGAGAGATGTCTAGCAAACATTCTGGTTATAGCTATGGTTACTGGATACAATTGTGATAATGAAATGAAAGAAAAGAAAATTAATAGGCACAATCACCATTTTGGTTTCCTCTCTAAATCGTTCGTTCTCTAGCTATTAATTGTCTGAGGAAGAGACATCGTGGCTTGCATTATATCCCCGAATTTTCCCTATCGCCTTCATCGCCGCATTGCGGTTCGGAGAGAGAAATCTATGAAATACCTTGAGGACTGGTTTGTCATGGCAGCTTGCTCGGGCATACTCGCTAACTAAAGGACTTGCCAATGCAGATGTATACCTGGATTATGCCATGCGCCAGCTCCCATGGAGATGAACCAATGTAGGAGGATCGGCCGTGCTACGCGCAAGTGCATATAGATCATTGCCAAAGAGATCCATAGCTCTAAATTGGCCAAGATTTGTTAAAGCATATTTGACGAACAATTTTTCCGGCATGCCACTCTCCTAGGCAAGCAAGTCTGATCTCTGCGGCCAGCCCAATGGGCGCTATATCCTAAGCCTTAGATTCGAGTATGGGTTCTGTAGTAGGCGGAATGGTAGGCATGGACCCGGTATAGACGAAGTGGTAATGCGATCGGCTAACTGCCTGCACCTCTCTATCACAGAGGTTAAGCCTGTTTCTATCAGACTCGATAACTGATGTTACATCTGAGCCTATCGTGACGATTCCTGTTTCTTCAATGGTTGAAACGACCTTTGGAGCATACTTCCGCCAGTCGGAACGGATACCGAGATCAAATAACTAATGGGCACTCCGGGTGCCGCTGGATACGAGGAAGCAGTATAAGGCTGCATGGAAGTTGACGAAGCCATCGATCTTAGGGCCCCAGCGCTGCTCTGGGCTCGAGTGAACAAAACTGTTGCTGCTATCAATCCAACAGTTGACCGGATGGTTGGCGATTGTAGACATGTGTGTCTCATGGCCCTACATCTACCGCGAACGATATATCCGTAGCATGGGGTAGCCGCGGTAAGATCATTGCATTCCAATGGCTTGTTATCTCTGCGGTAGTGATCTGTAGATCTGATGAGATATGAAACTCATGCTATGTTCTGAACTCCATCACCCAGGATATATGCACAAACGGTGCCTAGCTCCGCCTGTGTACCTTACATATTCTTCCTAAAACCCTTAGGATGGATATGCAGAAAGCCTCAGCGAAATAGGCGTTGTTATCTACAACCATCCCACATGAAATAAGGTACTAATGCTAATACATGACTAGTTGAATTACTATATCATGTTAACACGAAGTTATGCCGTTCAAGTCACTAGGAGTTCTTTCAAGCACATGCGCCACCAGCTGAAGGTTGAATACTTACCGCTCGCCCGCCTAAGATGCCAAATAACAGATCAATACTGTGGAGAGTTAGTGACATATCTGATCTCGATGAACTAACAGGTCCGGTATGGACCAGCTGGAGCCTCTAAGACGAGATCTATAACATTTATGTGAACCATGGGTTGATTACCGGGAGTGCGGCGCTGGAAACACCCTGATCTGAGGAACCGAGTCCTACTCCATACCGGGAACCAGGTTCTTCAGGGAACTATGTTGATTTTCACAGCGTCTATTTAAACTGGCTGTGGTGGTGACGTCCAACCATGGTCGGGTTGGAGGATGGGCGGCAGCCTGGGGTCCGTGATAGCAACAGCCATGATGCGAGGCGGTTGATGGCTTGCCCAACGGTCCTTGCCAACCTCCTTAACTCTGCCTAGTCACTATGGCTTGTGAGCAGCATGTCACAGGAACGAAGCCCTTTAGGTTAAGGGCCACTCAATGACTTTAAATTAATGTCAAATCCTATCCCGCGACTATCTGGACATAAAGGCCATATGTATAAAAGAAACCTCACCTAGGTTTATTCTCAGTTCAATAATCGATCTATTGAAAATCTCTTCAATACCTGCTGTGCAGATCGAGGCTTATAAGTTGGCCGAAAAAAGGAAGCTTAGTTAACTACGTGATGCAGTTGGATTGTGTTTTTAATCTCAGTTTCAATTTCAACCACAACAAACAACGTCAACTCGCGTATTGGTGTCAAGTACGAAGCTCAAAAGCCCGGCTGCGGCACATTTTTCAGGCAGATATGGGCTGCTCATGGATTCACGCCATCCCAGCCTTCGCAAAAGTTCAACAAAGAGCAACGTCAAGGGTGGCCCGATGTGGCTGAAACTGTGTCTTCCCACATCTAAATAATAACCGGGCGAGAAGAGAAGAGAGGAACCGGGCATCCATGCTGGATATTTGCCGCTCTTTAACCCGTATGCTAGCTGTCTAGAGCTACGGAAGACATTGACGAAGTGTTGTTCCAAGGGATGAGAGAGCTTCTTCTCAGGGGCAAGGCAGAGTTGATCGGGATGTAAAAAAGGGCGGATCTTGCAGGACGATGCTGTGACCCTTGACCCTACGGAGTACATCCCCAGGTAGCTTAAACCGATGAACCGTGTCCACTTGCACCTGTCATCGTGTCAGCGTGGATGGTCGAGATCCAGATGCCTCGGGCTGTACGAGAGGGAAAGGCATCACACCACCAACTAGGGAGACCCTGGTTTTGGCTGAAGGCTGAGCTTGGCTCTTGGTCCGTCCCGGCCGTCACCTCCGGGGATTTCTTAGTTGGATGCATAGGCCACAACAATAATTATATGTTTCACATGTCCTGAATCAAAGGGAGTGAATGGAGTGCTCAGGACCGGGTGCTCTTTCGACACGTACGACACTTACGAGTTAATTCTCATTGCCAACGCGGGATGTATGAGCCTTGATATAAAGTAAGAGGTTATGCAGCTTGCCTCAACGTCCCCCCTCACTCGCTGGGGGAGCGGCTCGTCACAGCAGCCAAGGCACTAACCGTGAAGTGTTCTTGCGATCGTCCAGCTCAATAATGCCCTGGACGGAAGATACTAACGCTCCTGTGGAGCCGGCTCAGTTGGCGTCGTTCCCCACCCGAAGTTGACTGTCTAATTCGGGTACTGGGAAGTGTGCCCCTGATACGCCCTCTTTCAACCTTGCCCAAACGCCGGGAGAGCCGGGTCATGCAGTTGGCAGTCAACAACGGAATTCTCCGTAGAGCGAAGATTTATCGCAGTTTGAGTCACCAGGGGTGGTTTACCATGCGCCCCAACGGTGTTAGACATATCATGTATGAAGTGCTCCGTACATGCATTATATGCTTCGTAAGTGGCCCAGACTCTTCCAGACAATATTTATTTGCTCGTTCACTAAGGGTGTGTGTGGAGGCGGTATAGTTAGTGTATGCATTGATAATGGAAATAGAAGATCGAGGAAGGCCTAACCACTCCACCCCTTTTGTCGATCGCTAGAGTTAGGCTGAGGGCCTCGTATATATTTATTTTTCTTGCCCGGATAGAAGGTCTCCAGACTTATATGGAGTATATACTCAAGTGCTTCTCCGAACACTTTCGGCAGACTTTCTTTACTTTCCAAGGTTGACCCTGGAATAGACAGGAGATTGCAGCAAAACATCCCTACCTCTGTCCAGGGGAGCTTCTCCCAGAATACGACCCCTTTTCTGAAGACTAAAGACAATGGCTCTCAACCAAGGCTCTACACTGGCATTAACATACTTCGGCTGCATGTCATCACGATAAAATTTCCAAGCCGATCCTAATCATGCTCCGTATTCCCACTCCTATTTTTTTACCAATACAAAAAGGGCATATCGGGCGAAGGAGCCATGTCGGCCCTAAGGAAACTATTTAGCCCTGAGAGGCCCATATTTCATCACAGCTTAGCTGACGGAGGACAGCACTCATATCCTCCTCTTTCTCAAGAGCCAGATTCTCCAGAAACACGGCCATCTCGTCTTCGCCATAGAAGCACTCCCCAATATCTCGGATTTGAAAGGGAATTCGAGGATCCAAACGAACAACTGGAATCACGGCCGTCCCAAAGACGATCCTATTTTGGTCGTATGTCGTCTCCTCGACGAACCAAGCGCCATGTTGACGTGCTGGAGGCAATCTTCTCCAAGCAGAGTCAACATCAGGCCCCAACTGCCGTGCCGTTGACCATCACTTCTTACAACGAAGACATTGCTGAACGGAATCTTGCTGGCATCCAAGAATGTGGAGGCGGACTGAGCCGTTATTCTCACGTTATATCTGCAATATACCAAGAAGATGTGGCAGATCGAAATATGGTACCGTTCAGTCCTCCTATTCTAATTTCGCCTCCTCCAGGAGAAGAGCACACAGTGGGGAATAGCCAGAAGCGAATTGTGGCTAGGAAAGTGAAAAAGAGCCAGCGAGAGTCGGACTTAAGCCCATCTGAAGAGAAGGCTGCCCTCAGAGCCATTGCTTCTAGCCAAGATATCCGCAGAAACCCCCCGAGCTCTGGTAACAGAAGCAAATTATCGAACAGAAAACACCTGAAGGCAGATATCGACGAAAATGATTCATTGAGGTTAAGGAAATCTGCTCCAGACTTGTCTGTCCAACCTACTGGAGACGACAAACAGATCCCCAATGAAGCTCTTACAGCCAGCAAAAAATTACCACAGGCCAGAAGAACCTGTGCTTCCTCCAACCCGGCGAATGAGTGTGAACGGAAACATAAACTCAAGGTACCAAAATCGACCGATGACGACTCCACGGCTGTGAAAGAATCAACGTCCAAGTCTCAGACCCAAGAAAATACATCCAACCTTCCAAATAATTCATCAAACAACTTGCTGTCGCCGAACAGTGCTCGGAGACGGTCAAAGAGAAATGTCCGAGATCTATCCATCAACACTCAGCTGGCCGCCCCTGGAAAAAAATTTGCAAAGATAGCAAAAAAGCAGCCCCTGAGACCCGTTGCAGCGTCTCCACGCCGAGAGGCGAGTGCAAACCTGGACGAAATAGTAAACAGCCCGATAGCTCTTACAAGTCCACTAAACCCGTCACCAAGGCTCACTGGCTTCACAGCTTCCGAAATGCTGAATCTATTCAAGCAAGCATACGCATCATCACAAACGCACGCAGCGCGCCCGACCTTCGAGTCTCTCCAGGATGCCATCATCCGCGAAATAAACAGTCACGATGCTTTCACTCATATTAACCCGCAGAGCCTGAGTCCCGTCTCACCTGTTCCATCTCTCACACCCGACCTAAGCACGAATGGAAAACATACTGAGAAATTTATCACTCGGCCGATGACGGCCTTGTCAGTAAGCAGAAGTGTTTCTTCCAAGGAAGACAGCTTAGGATCAAAACGAAGCTCCTATTGTGAACAAGTGCTGAGGCCGGACTCCCAGGGGCGTGAGATATCGTTCCCAGCAATCAAAGAACTGGACCCGGAGAACAGCAATCCAGCGGTCCTCAAGAGGAGACATTCTTGCTCTCAGTCAGTGCCCGGTCCGAGAGTACGGGTTTTTGAACCTAACAACACCCTACCCGTGAAGACCCGATCTGTAATAGGAAGACGACAAGAGGCATCCACAACTGCAGGCCAGTTGTCAGACGAATATCAAATCAAAGGCCCGGCTCGAAAGCCGGACTTGCATCCGTGCCAGCAGCCATCGAATGGCTTCCCTCCAAAGGCAGCTTCGAACCTCTTCGAATCACCCGAACCTGAGGCTATGCAGCCATCCATATCCCTTCACAACCGAGACGTTATACACACCGGCACTATATCCCCGCCTGTAGTATCTATTTTCAACGACGTTGAAGATAAACCCTATACTACCACCGGGAGGAAACGCTCCGCAACCACGAAGTCCTCAAAACTACATCTATTCATACCTGGTCGCAAAATTGCGCGCCCGAAACATATTCCCATTGTCATTTCCGACGCTACAACCAATAATGTCCTCATCAACTCTACTTCTGGTGGCACGAAGAAATCTCAGAGTAGCCCTTTGTCTAACTCTTCTGGACGAAAACGAATGCCCTTTCGGATAATTGGCACTTGAACTTCGACTTTCTACCATTTACCTTCTTGGGCAACCCGACTACTTTTTACTCCGTACAGCCTTGACCGCTCGATTGTATGATTGCATTGCCATTCTCTTGGTACGGCCTAGTTCTAACTTTTCCTATATTCGTATATCCGATGATGTACTACTCTTTGGGTGGTGTATTTTGTTGCCTGTATTACCACCAAGCGGGCTTTCATTAAGCGTTTGTTCATGCACTCTTTTCACCATACATTCTTTGTGATTCCCCCATATATTATTTCCCTGCCTTTTGATAGCTAGCTTCATTGAATATACCAGAATTATTGGGCTCACGGCACCTTCCACTTTTTGTATACGGCCAATGCCTTGTCTTGTCTTAAAATAGCCCGGAAATGGACCAAACGCGATGTCCATCAAAACGTAAGACGTTGTCTCGACTGCATTCATAGCTAAGAAGTGGGGGTGCCAGCTGATTCACACCGTAATTTTATGTCTTACTTTCGGAGTGTGTTTCGAACAAGCCGCTGCAGATATCCTCCCGGTAGTACAATATTAGGCCTCATCCTAACCTAAGAGGATCCCTTTGATATATTTCATCAGGTATAACCATTCGATCATTCTTGCCAGTGCAGAAGAGAACTGATTTACCGCAGGACGCGCGGCGCTGATCAAGTAACTAGTTAAGTACACCTTAGTTCCGTCCGGAATAAGAACAAAGGCTGCTACGTCTCCGGGTCTTCCTTTCATCTGTGTCAGATCGCTGTACACCACGAAGACGGCGACAAATTTGAGGCTAGATGCATAAATGGCAAGAAAAGCTCCGCACCAACGTACACCAACTAACATAGTTATCTGTTCTGTTTTCCTTGTCATAGTGAGCTGCCCGCGATCAGCCGTCTATCCTGCAGTCACCGTGATCTTCTCAGCAACCGTCCTACTCTACCAGATGTCAGGTGTACAAGGTGTGACCACATGATGTAAAGTCGGTGGTGGTGTTTGAGATATACGAGGACAAATAAGCTTGAATGCGGCCCGCGGAGCCAAGAACTGGCCCCTGACCCGTGGCGCTGGGATCGGCTCCACTCTGGCAGATATCAAACAGCGGCCTTATGTCTCGTTCTTCGTCTGCCTCTTCGGGAGAAGGTAACAAAACAACGGTTAGACATGTTTGTCGTGATACCCTGTCTGTCTGACCCCAAGCTTCGGGGAATGGGGCTTCTGGGAGTTGGTTTTAATAAAGAAAAGTGTTATGCTTCTCTCTCTCTTGGCCCAACTTTCCAGACTAATTCAATGTAAGGCTACCTAGAAGGTATAGAGGGTGCAATTACAATGATGGAATCAATATGCCTGTCTAGTAAGACTGATATCACCATGAAACATACCAATGAAAGCCCAAATTCAGAGAAAGTCAGGGGAGACAGAGTGCTCGAAAGGGTGGATGCCAACCAGCAATCCATAGATCCCAATGTTGTTGACTGGGAAGGCCCTGGTGATCCTTATAACCCGCTCAATTGGTCGTCGACAAGGAAGATACTAATTATTATATTTGTGAGCTCTTATACATTTACGTCGTAAGTCATTGTTTCTCCCTACTCCAGCTACAATGATGAACTTGATTACTGATCTATGAACGCAGAAATCTAGCTGCGACCATATTTGCTCCTGGAGTCAAGCAAATGGCACAGGAGTTCCACATCACCAACCCCACCATCGAATACATGTTATTAAGCATCTACGTGCTTGGGTTCGCCTTGGGTCCGATCATATTCGGCCCTCTCTCCGAATTGTACGGCCGCCTTGTCATTTACTATACCTGTTCCCTGGTGTTCCTGGCTTTTACCGTAGGATGCACATTTAGTACCAACGTGGAGATGTTCCTTGCTTTTCGATTTATATGCGGCTGCGCTGCTTCAGGCCCTATGAGCATAGGAGGAGGTACACTAGCTGATATTATTCCTCAAGAAGAACGAGGAAGGGCTATTAGCATATTCACGTCAGGGCCAGCGCTAGCTCCTGTACGTGGTCATCTATCTGAAGGGAAGCCAGACGATCCAGCTGACTTGTTTTATAAATAGATTCTTGGCCCTGTTATTGGCGGTTATGTATACCAGTACGCTGACTGGCGTTGGACCTTAGGGGTCATTTTGATGTTGGTAGGTGGCCCCTGCTGCAGCTGCTGGGGTCAGATTCTAATACATTTTCTATAGGCTGGGATTATCAGCATCGGTACCTTCCTGTTCCTCAGGGAGACATACGCACCAACTATACTGCACATGAAAGCAAAGCGGATGAGAGAGGAGACAGGAAACCCAAATCTCAGACCAAAATCTGTCAAAAGGGGGCCTCCACACCAACTGATACTCCAGGCTATTACCCGCCCGATGAAATTACTTATCTTCTCGCCTATGGTTTTGCTCCTCGCTCTATACTCAGGGTTCGTGTTCGGCTTCTTCTTCTTACTCTTTGCCACTTTCCCCTTCGTATTCCAAGATATCTATGGATTTAGTAGTGGGACATCTGGCCTGGCATACCTTGGCCTAGGCACCGGCACGGTGGTAGGTTTGGTTGTATTCTCTGTCGTGAGCGACAGGGTGTTAGGAAAGGAACCAGGGGAATCCATGGCCAAACCGGAACAACGTTTGATTCCAATGAAATGGTTTGGTATCGTAACCCCAATAGGCTGTTTTATATATGGCTGGGGAGCGCATTACCATGCACATTGGACAATACCGATGTTAGGGACGGCTCTCATGGGATTCTCATCACTGTTTATTACGATACCAGCGCAGATTTACTGTGTTGATGCATTCGGTCCACAGGCGGCCGCTTCAGCGCTTGCAGCAAACTTGATCATCCGCTCTCTATTCGGTGCTTTTCTGGACCTTGCCGCTAGTCCGTTATATGAAAAGCTGGGGCTGGGGTGGGGGAATAGTGTGTTGGGATTCATTATCCTGGCATTCACTCCAGTACCGTGGTTGTTTTATCGATACGGAGAGTATTTGAGGACTAGATTTGCAGTTGAGTTATAGTATTGGTGGCTTGTGGAGGGCTATAAAGAGCTCTAGAATACGGAGTATACTTGATTATATTCTATCCGGCATCGCGAGAACATCTATTGAGATGTAAATCATGACATCAATGCATTGAGCATAAAGTACAGAAATTTATTGGATTGAACGGCTAAGTAACTCCTAGGAATGTTTCAAAGGGGTGAAAGATTAATCTTGTGGTATCAAAAATGGAAGTATGTTTAATATGATCCTAGAAAGAGAGTTAGAGTCAGCCAACATACAGTCAATTACATGGGATAAAAGTACTTACGTCCGAACATGCACCACTTCTCAGCAGTCTTTTCGCACTTGGGGTTAGCACATTTGGTTACTCCAAGCTCGATACCTTCTGGCTGATCAAATGGAATGCACAGACTCTTAGCACCCATGCTTGGTGCTTTGGCATCTTGGGCTTCGCCGGACTCCTCTTCGGCCTTTCTAGCGCTCATTTCCTTGATCTGGTCCTCACATACCTCAGTCAAGCAGTGGGGGATCATACATATATTCTTGGAGTTTAGAGCAGGGCAGAAATCGTCCCAGTTAGTGATCTTCTTAACGTTATCATCAAATGATGTTTTAGCACGTGAGTAGAGGTCTGCTTGGATAGTCTCCAGCAGAGCAGGAACGGCAGTGCCTAGATCTTTAATTGCAATAGAGGATTTGCCCTCCTTTCCAGCAATGTCACGACGCGAGGTAGTGACGAAGGAGCCAGCAGACTCGCCAGGGCCAAATTCCAGGCGGAGAGGGATGCCCTTAAGCTCCCAGTCATTGAACTTCCATCCAGGGGTATATCCGTCACGCTTGTCAACTTCGACACGAACACCAGCTGCGGATAGAACAGTGGCTATGGCTTCAATCTCAGCCATTATAGCTGCACGTTCATCATCTGGAGTTTTGGCGCCCAGGCCGACTGGAACAATGACTGTTTGGATATCAGCAACACGGGGTGGAAGAACCAGTCCACGGTTATCACCGTGGATCATAACCATTACACCGATTGTTCGGGTGGAGAGACCCCAAGAATTCTGCCAGACATGTAATGGTGGTTTCTTCTCATCTGGGCGAGCTGACGGATCCTCGACAGTGATACCGAACATCTTACTGAAATTCTGGCCGAGGCCGTGAGATGTGCCTCCCTGAATTCCACGTCCAGTGGCTGGAATGTATCCTTCTACAGTTGTGGTGTAGAGACCACCAGCAAACTTTTCCTTGTCAGTCTTTTGACCCTGGATGACCGGGACGGCGAGAAGTTCTTCATAGACATGAGCATAGTGCTGGAGAATCTGGAGAACCTCCTCGTGAGCTTCTTCCTTTGTAAGATGGGCAGTGTGACCCTCTTGCCATAGGAATTCTCTTGTGCGCAAGAAAGGCTGTGGGTTCTTGAACTCCCATCTGACAACGGAGTTCCACTGGTTGAGTTTGAGGGGCAGGTCACGGTGACTTCGAATCCATTTGGCGTAGTATGGGTACATAACAGTCTCAGAGGTTGGACGAATAGCTATCTTCTTCTCGAGAGCAGAGTTTCCACTGTCAAATACTGTCAGTTGAGTGTTTTGGTAGTGTCTAGTGTAGACAATGGTGGGAGTTGCTTACGCATGAGTCACCCAAGCAACCTCAGCAGCAAATCCCTCGATATGGTCCTTTTCCTTCTTTAACACATCCTCGGACACGAATAGAGGAAACGAGCAGTTCTTGACATTCATCTGCTTGATTTTGGCGTCGAACCAGCTCTGGATTTGTTCCCATATGAAAAAGGAGTGAGGCTAGAGTCAAAAGTTAGCTGTTACATCCATTCTATGACTCCTGCGCCTGTAAACCAGAACTGTAGATGCCAAAACCTAGCATACCTTGAGGACGAAGCATCCTGATACATCGTAGTAGTCCAACATCTCACCCTTGAGCAGGACCTGCTGGTACCATGCTGCGAAATCATCCTCCTTGGCCACATCTATACCGATCAACGCAGGCCCGTCGCCCTTCTTCTTTGCTGGCTTCACGGCCACATGTTTCGTCCCGCTATGGCCAATGCCTTTATCTGCCTTCCCGGCCTTGCCCTGAGCAAGCTTCTCCTTCTTCGCAGCCTTCTTCGCGGCGTTCTTCGATATCTCTGCTGGCTGAGGGGCGCCGGCGTCGCCTGCGGGGTTTGCGCTGCGCTCAGGAAGCGAAGTCGGCTCGGTCGCGGCGGCGGGAGCAGTAGATTCCTGGCCTGACATGGCGTATCCTTCAAATCCCAACCAGTATCAACCCGTGTCGAACAGTAGATGCAGCCGAAGTCGAGATATATCTGTCTATTCTATCTGTCTGTCTGTCTGTCTTGTCTCTTTCTTTCCCCCACACGCACAAACGACTTTGGAGGGGTCGAAAAATGCCACACAGTAAAAAGAGTTTCACCGCCTTTGGGTGGCAGAAAGACTGACCCAAAGCTGCTTTTTGTTCTTTTTGAACGAAGGAAAAGAAAACACATCGACGGCAGCAGCAGCAACCACTTTTTTCTTTGAAGACGGTTATACAGGCTCGAGGCATCAGACGACGTAATTCAGGCCTTGAGAGACGGCCATGGCAAGCATCTTTGAGCAGTCGCGGAATTCCGGGACCCTGTGTGAGTTGAGCCCCTTGTTTGTGCTTGACCCGCAAGGCAGCTAAGCTGACCAGGCGCTGTTTGGCTATACCAGTCCTAGGAGGAACCAAGCTGAGTGGCTCTGATATTCGCGATCAGAATGGTGCGTGGAAGCTCTCTCTCTCTCTCCATGGGTGTAGCTGTTGGTTTTCTAAGGCGCCTTTCCAGTTCTCGCAACACAAGCTATTGCCAATGTAGTGAAAAGCTCGTTTGGCCCCTCCGGGCTGGATAAGATGATGGTGGACGATATAGGAGTAAATACCTGCCAATTCGGCCCTGCTTTTGTACCAGTTGTGCTTACCTTTGGCACAGGACGTCACAGTCACAAACGATGGAGCTACGATCTTGAGCTTGCTCGATGTCGAACACCCGGCTGGAAAGATCTTGGTGGACCTCGCTCAGCAGCAGGATAAGGAGGTACTTCAACCTTTCTTTTATATATATATATATTTGTGGGAAGCAACAGGTCTGATGGTAACTAGGTTGGAGATGGCACGACATCGGTTGTGTTGATTGCCGCGGAACTCCTTCGACGTGGAAACGAATTGATGAAGAACAGAATACACCCCACCACCATTATAACAGGATACAGGCTAGCCCTCCGCGAGCCGTAAAGTACATGAACGAAAACATCAGCATCAAGGTCGAAAATTTGGAGAAGGATAGCATGCTGAACATTGCCAAAACCTCCATGTCCAGCAAGATTATCGGATCAGATATGGATTTCTTTGCAAAGATGGTGGTCGATGCTATGCTCTCCGTCAAGACAACGTCACCGAAGGGAGAAGTTAAATACCCCGTCAAGGCAGTCAATCTTCTCAAAGCACACGGAAAGAGCGCTACGGAGTCGATACTGGTCAACGGTTATGCTTTGAACTGCACCATCGCATCCCAGGCCATGCCCACCCGAATAACAGATGCAAAGATTGCCTGTCTTGACATGAACCTTCAGAAGGAGCGGATGAAACTCGGAGTTCACATTACTGTTGAAGACCCAACCCAGCTGGAGAAGATTCGTGAGCGTGAGGCTGGCATTGTCATTGACAGAATAGAGATGATTCTCAAGGCTGGTGCCAACGTCATCTTCACCACCAAGGGAATCGATGACATGTGCTTGAAGATGTTTGTAGAGAAGGGCGCCATGGCAGTTCGACGATGCAAGAAGGAAGACTTGCGAAGAATTGCGAAAGCTACCGGAGCCACTCTTCTTAGCACCCTCTCTGATCTCAACGGAGATGAGAAGTTTGAAACCTCCAGCTTGGGTTACGCAGACGAAGTTGTGCAGGAGAGAATATCTGATGACGAGTGCATTTTGGTCAAGGGAACCAAAGTCTTCAGCTCTGCATCAATCATTCTCCGTGGATCAAACGACTTCCAGCTAGACGAGATGGAACGGTCGGTGCATGACTCCCTGTGTGCTGTCAAGCGAACACTCGAGAGCGGCTCCATTGTTCCCGGAGGTGGTGCTGTAGAGACTGCTCTTCACATCTACCTTGAGGAATTTGCAAGCACAGTGGTAAGTAACCCTTTACAACAATGATTATATCTGTTAAAAAAAAACCCTAATTAACCAAACGTCATGTGTAGAGCTCCCGAGAGCAACTTGCAATTGGTGAATTCGCTCAATCTCTACTTATCATCCCCAAGACGCTCGCTGTCAACGCCGCTAAGGATGCCTCCGAGCTCGTAGCCCAGCTGCGTTCTCGCCACACCCATGCCCTCCGTGTTCAAGAGGGTGTTGCCAATGAAGCCGATAAAGCCATCGCCAAGCAAAAGAACTACCGAAACTATGGGCTCGAGCTCTTGAAGGGCCGAGTAACTGATTCCGTCAAGGCCGGTGTCCTGGAACCCAGCATGAGCAAAGTGAAGCAGCTCAAGAGTGCCGTCGAAGCATGCATTGCCATCATGAGAATCGATACCATGATCAAGTTGGATCCTGAGAAGCGTGAGGATGACGGACATGGCCATTAGATTAATGTTGAAACCCAAACTGCGTACCATGCATGCCTGTTATAGGGTGGGTAGCTTGTTTGAGCTATCACGGCATAATGCACGTTTCTTAATGTCCTGGAAAGAGAAAAAGAATATAAAAGCTTCGATTCACATAGACCCTTCCATGCGTCTAGTTTTCGAACTGGTTGTTTTACTAAAGGAAGTAAGGAAAGGATGATATAGTATATTAAAAATGTCATGGCTCACTAATTCTGTAGTGTATGGATATGCTAAAGTAAACGAAATCTCCCGACTCGAGCAAAAAAAAAAAAAAAGACAACGCCGAAGCTTCACTCTATCTCCCACGAGATATAATCAATAGGTATAACGCTGTAATTAGAAAACAAAAAAGAAAAACAAAGGTACAATCACGCTTCATCATACAATGGGTTCTTGACATCCGCCCAACCGCACTGCCATCGTTGTCCGTTTATATCACCATCACGGCGAAGTTTCCGGGCTGCGGGGCCCTCACGCCAGCATCGAGCATGTAAATCATCACTAACAGTGACCAATTCGCCTCCGTGTGCCCAGGAGACTGCCGTAACTTCTTTGTTATGGCCTTCGACCAAGGCTGTTCCATGCTGGTATATGGGGATGGTATGCTCCAATCTATCAGAAAGGCTAGAGTTGGAATTCGACCTCCGAAGGCAAGGCCGAAGACGATGTTCAGCAGTAGACTGGATTGGTGGTAAGGATGTGTTGGTGGATGCTGTGGTAGGCGGGGGCTGGTTGGTGGATGATGCAAGGGAGGGAGTAAGATATCTTTCATCGGTAGGGAAGAGTATGGCACAGTTATCACTGCTTCCAACTGACAAAAGCTCGATCTTATCGTTTGCTGCTCGACGGAGGCCAAGCTTAACGAAAAATGAGCCGACCATCAGTCGTGGGTGCCGGAAACCGTACAGAGGGCCTAGACCGGCCTTTGCCTCTTCAGCAGGATAACGTCGTCCGGGGGTATTATTGGGCTGTGACATTTCCGGAGAGTTCCCCAGAAGCAAATGGGGAGTTGAATATGCATAAATAGTACCATCTCTGCAGAGGGTGTAGAGTCTACTTCCATCTGAGTTGAAGGTGAGGGAGGTCAGGCCGAACTGGCGGAAGCGGGAGTGACTGTCTGGCTGGCGGGTTGAAGCTAGCGGCACAGCAGCTCGTCGTAAAGAGTATGCTGTTCGAAGATCCCACAGTCTCACACAGGCGTTTGATTCTGATGAAGTCACAAACAAGTGTTCACGGCCTGGGTTCAAGAACGAAACAGAAGTGACGGTCGTGTCATCGCGGCGTAGCTGGGATTCCTGTTCGGATTTGGTCCGGGCTCTCTCTAAGTGTGCTCCTGCAATGGTCTTGGACGTTTGTGCATACTTCATCTTGGCTGGTGGCCTGAGAGTGTCATCGTCATCGTCACCGAGGGAACATTGCAACCTGAAAGCCGGCTTGTCATATGCCTTATATCTGAGATCCCATATGTTGACGCTTCCATCCCGACTGCATGTTGCAACTACGTTGTTGTTGCTTCCAGGCTGGAATTGCACCCGTTTGACGGAGCAAGTATGCTTGGATAGAGAATAAATAGGGGTTTGGGTAGCCATATCAATAATGTGGGACGTTTGATCTCCGGATGCTGTGGCCAGCAGTTTATCATCGCTGGAGAATTCAAGGTCCATTATGGAATTTTTATGCATGGATGGGAATGATAAATACGCGCTAGAAAACCCATCCTCAACATCGGGGGAGGTATCTAGCAATCTGATACCACCAGCTTCATCTCCAACAGCAATCAAGGAATTGGCTTTGTGTTGTTAGTTTTGAACTTTATATTTATGGTTCAGGGGTATAAAATGGATACGTACTGTTGCACGATGCGGTACAATAAGGTGTCACCGGATATTCACCTTTCCAGCAGGCATGGCTATCTTCAACTTTACTATAGAAGTTTGCTGTCTCATCCTGCCAGTCTATGAAGAGTTAGTTTGATAGTCTGCGAAAACATACATATATAACCGGGTTGTTACGTACTGGTGCCTGCTGAAGCTCGTATCGTCGTCCTAGAGCGTCTGGATAAGCCAAAGCTACGTACATGTAAGCTTGAAGATGTTTGAGATAGAGCTTTGGACCGACGCAGTGGGGCTGGCATTTGAAGAATCTCAACAGGCTCCTCGACTTCTGGAGCAGCAATTTCCTCGGCAGGGGCAAATATGTTGCCTCTCTTCGGTGATACATCATCAAAGATTGGTGCTGCAATCCGTACACGCCTCAACGGAGATGATTGAAGAGGAGGCGAGCTCAATCCGCAGAAGGACAGTTTCCGCTTTTTGCTAGGCGTACGAAATGGGTCCTGACATGGTGAAGAACTGGCAATTGCACAGTCACTGCTATCAGGGACGCCAGGGAAAGCTGGTCCTAGCCTGTTCAAAGCCGGAGAAGACGTGATTTCTTGCAGGGCATTCCGTATGGACCGGCTCCGGGTATTGGGAGCGTTGAGAGAAGATCTGGGCGTGAAGAAGCGTCGAAACGACCGAGGAGTGACTGGAGGCTTCTTCTTCGGCTTCATAGGAGGAGGGGAGGACGGCAACGTATCCTCAGTCGCATTGAGCGAGGGAGGAGATGATGGGACGGCATCTTCGTGGACGTCAATCATGGCTGCGGTCCGGAGTAGGTATGTGTTCAATATTGACACGGCAGCCAAACTTGGGTAGACAGAATCGAGCCCCCTCTTTGTCCTTTTATGAATAGCCTGTTTAACGCATCTAGTAGGTAGAATCAATAAAATACAAGTCGTGCTGGTGAACAAATATCTTCGACGTTGCCAACCTCTTCCCGCCACCGACGAAAAAAAATAGAATGCGATGTTCGCTCCCGCTGCGGCTTCACGTCGCGCGCGAGTCACGAAAAAAAACAATATTTCCTTATTTAGATCTAAGAGGTAAAAGTCTTGGCAAATATTTACGTGACGCGCAGGAAGTTGGTCCGTGCTTTCTTTTACCTCGGCTTAGATCCAAAGAGGACTAGCGCGTGTTGTGCCTGGAAAGGGCAGGCGGTGAGGTGACTTCTTGGCAAAGCCGAAATCTGATTATATAAGCTAGGAAACTTTAAAGTTTATAAGTTTTTTTTCTTATTGATAAAAAAAGATAAAAATATAAAAGAAAATGAAGTGTTGATAATCTGGATTGAAGACGAGCTCTTTAGCCAGCAATTCGTCCAGGCAGCGCTACGATGGCGCAGATAAAGAGGAAAGGCCACGGCCAGGAGGAGCCAAACAGCTCTGCGCCGAAGAAAAAGGCCAAAGTGGACGCTGCGGAGCTCAATGGCGCTTCAAAGCTGAAGAAGAAATCCAAGGAGCCAAAGGAACGAAAGGAGCAGGATGAGACCGTTAAGGCCAGCAAGAAGGATACAAGCGCTGTTTCTAAAGCGGCACCGATATCGATGCTACGAGACGAGCAGCCTGCCTTTCCTCGAGGTGGTAACAACGTGCTCACCCCTCTCGAACGAAAGCAGATACAGATCCAAGCTACGAAGGACGTTTTATTCGAGCAGAAAGGAAAGAATGGCGCAGAGTTTGCAAATAATGATGATGAAGGAAGCTTGGGTGAGGAGGCTGAAGATAAGGAGGGTGCCCGTGCCAAACCGAAGAAGAGAAAAGCAAAGGGGACGAAGACTAAAGAGGCACCTGCGGTAACTAAACAAGGAGTGAAGGTTGAATCTCTCACTTACAAGGTAAGAATTGATACTGCTACTACTGTTGAGTTTGTCCATTGACTTTGGTAATAGCGTATTGCGGTAGGATCTAGAATCCTGGGTCAGGTCTCGAGCATAGGCCTCCATGATATCTCACTAGCCCTGCCAAACAACTTAACCGGTTTCGTTCCCCTAAACGCAATTTCAAAATCTTTGACTAGAAAAGTTGAAGCGATGTTAGGAGATGACAAGAGTGAAGATGAAGAGGACGAGGACGATGACTTTGAGCTCAAGGACTATGTCAAAATTGGCCAGTATCTACGCGCATCAGTCACCGCAACAACCCGTAATGAGGATGACAAGAAAGTGAAAAACAAGAAGCATATTGAGCTATCCATCGAGCCTCATGCTGCAAATTCGGGTCTAACAAAGGCCGATATGGTGGTCAATGCTACAGTTCAAGCATCGGTTATCAGTGTGGAAGATCATGGTCTTATTATGGATTTGGGTTTGGAAGAGAACGAAGCGAAAGGCTTTATTTCTTCTAGAGAACTACCGGCGGGAGTTGACATTTCTACTGTCAAAGAGGGCTCAGTCTTCCTTTGCATCGTTACCGGTCACAACGCTAGTGGAACTGTTGTGAAGCTCTCAGCAGACCTCGCTTCTGCTGGCTCCGTCAAAAAGGCCCATTTCTTAAACACAGCACCAACAATCAACGCCTTCCTACCAGGTACTGCAGCGGAGATACTAATTACGGAAGTGACTCCCCGCGGTATGATTGGTAAAATCATGGGAATGCTGGATGCTGTGATTGACATTATTCACTCGGGAGCAAGCGACGGGAAGAAAGACCTGACCACAAAATACCATGCAGGTGCAAAGATAAAAGGCCGATTAATCACTACATATCCCTCTAGCGACCCAGTCAAACTTGGTTTCTCCATTCTTGACAGTGTTCTAAAATTCTCTCCCACTGCCACACTGGCGAGCGGAGATGATAATGATATGCCATCAATTTCAGATATAATACCAGAGGTCAAGGTTACCTATGTTGACAGCTCTCTGGGATTGTACGTTCAACTGGGCTCGACCAAACATCAAGGATTTGTACATCTTTCGAGGCTTGCAGATGGACGGGTGGATTCTATTTCTTCTGATGAGGGACGCTATAAGGTAGGATCTACTCATGAAGGTAGGATAATTGGCTTCAGCGCGATGGACAACCTATTCTCAGTATCCTTGGAGCCAAAAATCATTGAACAGCCTTTCCTTCGCCTCGAGGATGTAACTGTTGGAAGCGTTGTTAAGGGGAAGATTGAGAAACTTCTTGTTAAGCCAGAAGGTATCGAAGGGTTGATCGTCTCTCTGACAGACAACATATCCGGTCTCGTACCAGGAATGCATATGGCAGACACCAAGCTACAACATCCTGAAAAGAAATTCCGAGAAGGGCTCAAAGTCTCCGTTCGAGTATTGTCGGTCGATCTGCAAAGGCGTCAGCTCAGATTGACTCTGAAAAAATCGCTTTTGAACAGTGATTCGGCTCCTTGGAAGAACTACGAAAGTGTCTCGGCAGGCAATCGATCACCAGGAACCCTGATTAAAATCCAGAATAACGGTGCCATTGTACAGTTCTATGGCTCTGTCAAAGGGTTCCTCCCAGTCTCGGAAATGAGTGAAGCTTACATTAAAGACCCTTCACAGCATTTCACTGTTGGACAGGTCGTTAATGTACATGCTCTTACCGTCGACGCCGAGAGCGAAAGATTGGTCGTCTCTTGCAAGGATCCCTCTACTGCCACTGCAGACTACCAGTCCGCTTTTGAAAAGATTCATCCTGGACTTGTGGTTTCTGGCACTGTTTTTGAAAAGTCAAGTGATGACTTACTCATCAAACTGCAGGACTCCGGTTTGATTGCAAGGCTTAACTCTGACCATATTTCTGACGGCTCTGCAGCCAAACGTACTTCCGCTTTGAATCGCATCAGAGTTGGTCAGAAGATGGAAGGTCTTCTAGTATACAGAGTTAAGAAGTCTCATCGCCTCATCCAAGTTACGAATAAGGCTACCCTTAAGGAGGCCGTAGCTGAGGGAAGGCTGCCAGCCAAGTTTGAAGATATCAAGCACGGTCTTAAAGTAACTGGATTGATCAAGAACATCATCCCTGAGGGAATCTTCGTGGAGTTTTTGGATAACCTTACTGGCCTGATACCAAAGCGTTTGGTTGATGATGACCGCGCTTCTCGCCCTGACTTCGGATACAGCCGATTCCAAGTTATCTCTGCCACAGTTTGCGCTGTACAAGAAGATTCGGATCGTTTCCTTCTTAGTCTAAAGCCTGTAGCAAAGCTTAAACAATCGTCCGACGTCAGCTCAGCACCGGAAAAGAAGGCTTCCGCTACAGCACTGACTAACCCTGTCGACGGAGATTTGAAAACCATGGAAGATATTGTAGTTGGAAGGATCACCAAAGCAAAAATCACGTCCGTTAAGGATACACAGCTCAATGTTGTGCTAGCTGACAACGTTCAAGGACGAATCGATATTTCCGAAGTATTTGACTCCTGGGAGGACATCAAGGACCGAAAGCACCCTCTTAAATCATGCCACTCCAAGGAAATCCTTCCAGTCAGGGTACTCGGAATTCATGACGCTAGAAATCATAAATTCCTGCCCATCAGCCATCGGTCTGGTAAAGTACCAGTTTATGAGCTTTCTACGAAACCCAGCTGTCTACAGGCGTCTGAATTCAAACCTCTTCACCTGGAGCATCTTAAAGTCGGGGATACTCACGTCGGGTATGTGAACAACATCGCCGAAGACTGTCTATGGTTGAACCTGTCACCAAATGTACGAGGACGTCTCCGGATCACAGACATTTCCGACGATATTTCAATACGAGGAAATATTCAAAAGAATTTTCCTGTCGGCTCAGCTATTCAAGTGGTCGTCACAGGTGTAGACGCTGAGAAAAATCGACTTGACTTGTCCGCCAGAATTGGAGAGTCAGCTAAGACATTGACCGTTGCAGACCTATCCAAGGGAATGATCCTGGTAGGGAGAGTTACGAAAGTAACTGACCGCCAGGTTTTGGTTCAAATCAATGATAATGTCGTCGGCGCTGTTTCGCTAATCGACATGGCTGATGATTATACAAAGGCAAATCCAACCAACTTCCACAAGAACGAAGCTCTGCGTGTTTGCGTCGTCGACGTCGATATTCCCAACAAGAAGATTTCCTTCTCTGTTCGGCCATCGAAAGTTCTTAGCTCCTCGCTGCCCGTTGCTGACCCTGAAATAACTTCTATCAATCAACTCAAAGTCGGCCAGATTGTCCGTGGATTTATTCGAAGGGTTGATAATATTGGAATCTTTGTGACTCTGGGACATAATGTCACTGCCTATATCCGAGTTTCAGACCTTTCAGACTCCTTTTTGAAAGAATGGAAGGATGAGTTCCAGGTTGACCAGCTCATTCAAGGCAGACTTACCGTAGTGGACAAGGACAACAACAAGATACAGATGACACTGAAGAAGTCAGCATTGGATCCCAACTATAAACCGCCGTTCGCTCTAAAGGACTTAAAAGTTGGTCAAATTGTTACTGGTAAGGTTCGAAAGGTCGAAGAATACGGTGCTTTCATTGCCATCGATGGCAGTGCCAACCTAAGTGGGTTGTGTCATAGATCTGAGATGGCAGAGAAGAGAGTTGAAGATGCCACGCAGCTATACGAGAAAGATGACATTGTTAAGGCAAAAGTCCTGAAGGTTGATCTGGAGAAAGGTCAAATTGCGTTGGGCTTGAAAGCATCATATTTCAAAGACCTCCCGGAGGAGCAGCAGAGTGAAGATAATTCTAGTGACGATGAATCAGGCGGTATCGAGCTTGATGCCGAGGACGATTCGGACGACGATGTATCTATGGGAGGAGTCGATCTTGAAGGAGGAGATGACGAAGAGGATGAAGAGGACAGCGATGAAGATATCGATATGGAAGACGCTCCTAATAACACCAAAAAGGAGGGTCTTGTTACCTCTGGCTTTGACTGGACTGGTGACGGAGACAAAGACAAGGATATGGCCCTCGATGACTCTGCAGAGGACGAGGGTGTTACCAAGCGGAAGAAACGCCGGAAGGCAAAGATTCAAGTTGACAAAACTGGTGACCTGGACGCTAATGGGCCCCAGTCGGTTGCCGACTATGAAAGATTACTTCTCGGAGAGCCGGACTCCAGTCTTCTGTGGTTGAAGTACATGGCCTTCCAACTGGAACTGGGCGAAGTGGACAAGGCAAGAGAAATTGCCGAACGCGCCTTGCGAACGATGAGTATAGGTCAAGATACAGAAAAGCTCAACGTCTGGGTTGCACGGCTTAATTTGGAAAACACCTTTGGTAATGACGATACTCTTGACGAGGTCTTCAAGGGTGCCTGTGAGTATAACGACGCTCATGAAATATACGACAGGATGGCAAGCATATTCATCCAATCGGGTAAAACAGAGGTAAGCAGATATTTAAATACCAGTCACCTAGCCTTTAGCAATGCTAATGAAAATATAGAAAGCGGATGAGTTATTCCAAGCCGCTCTAAAGAAAAAGGTCTCTTCTACCCCAGATTTCTTCTTGAACTACGCCAATTTCCTGTTTGATACCATGGAAGCTCCTCAGCGCGGTCGCGATCTGCTCCCCCGTGCACTGCAGTCCCTGCCTCCTCATACCCATGTTGAAGTCACATCCAGGTTTGGTCAGTTGGAATTCCGCTCCCCTAACGGGGATGTCGAGCGAGGAAGAACAGTATTTGAAGGTCTTTTGTCATCGTTCCCCAAACGCATTGACTTGTGGAATGTGTTGTTGGATTTGGAGATAAAACTTGGTGATGAGGAGCAGGTAAGGCGGCTCTTTGAGCGCGTCCTAGGGATCGGCCATGGTGTTGTCACAGCCGATGGAACCAAAGGGGGTCCCAAAAAGAAACTAAAAGAAAAGCAAGCCAAATTTCTTTTCAAGAAGTGGCTCGCTTTCGAAGAGAAGATTGCTCCTGAAGGAGATACCAAAATGGTGGATGAAGTCAAGGCTCGTGCTGCAGACTATGTCAGATCTATTAAGGGGGATGCTTGAAAGAGCCTCAAATAGATTTGAGCCTCTCTGTCTCATATTTTGTTGTATACAGTCAAGCGTTTGTCTTTTAGATCTTTGCTGGTGTCGTGTATTTACTAAAAAGTTTAGATTATGATACCTGGAATGTCATGATACGGATATCTTTGCATATTAATTGGGAGCTCGCGATCAAAGCAAGAGCATTTTACTCTCTTTTGCTAGCCATAAACTTTCTATATTGCTCCACGATGCTCTGCCTTTCGCTGGCCAACTCCTCTCTTCGTCTCAGGCTGCCAGCAGCAGCTGGGACATCGGCTACATGGACCTTTGCGCCTCCCATTCCATGTACTTTGAATATTTCTCTAGGTTTTGCCAGTTTCTCTGGAGGAGCCTGGACAACATCGGCCGGGTTGACTGACTTCGTAACCTTCGCTCTTTGGTTCAATTTCGCCCATGGATCGTCATCGTCGTCGCTACTTATAGCCTCATTGTCGTCATGTCCATCCACAGCTGCTTTCTTCTTTTTCTTCTTCTTCTGTGCTAGGCTAGCTTTCTTACTTTTCCCTTTAACGCCAACCCCGGCTTCACGCTCCCATTCTTTCCATTGTTCGTTGATCTCCTCATCCTCACCCTCAGCTTCTTCAATTTCTGCTTGGCGCTTCTCTCGGAACTTTCGATCATCTTCACGCCATTGACTTTGTAGCCGTAACAATCTTTTCTCGTGCTTCGTCTGTCTAGTATCCCGCATTTTCCCCAACACAGCGTCCTTCCCTCCTTTTGGTAGAGATGCTCGTTTGGCTAATTCTGAGAATGGTAGTGCACGATCGACTCTCGCAGCAAATTCCGATATCTTTTCTCCCGGTAGAATCTTTGGGATATTCGTCTCCTTCACATCCCCTCCTGCCTTCGATTTGACGTTCTTGTTCGATATATTTTGCTGATTTTTATCATTTTGACGCTTCCTTTTGCGACTGTTCTGTTCACTCAAGTCTAACTCTGCGCCTCGGTCTCCCTGTTTCCGCCTGCCGTTTGATTCTTGATATACCCGCATGAGTCGCGCAAAGGCCTTGGGGGTGTCATCTTGCAGCGGCTTGGTAGCGGAGCGCTTTTGCTTGGGCTCTTTCTTTGTGGTCTGTCCATTTTTAGGCTTTGAATCTGCCTTTTCTATCCTAGTAGGGAGAGACTTTGCTATCGAGGTGGGAGGGAGATCATAATCGTCACTATTCATCTGTTAGTATTCGGCAATATATATAGCAGAAAAAAGTAACATAATTCCAAAATGGGTATTTACTCACTCCCCATTACCTCTTCTCCTGTGCTTGTGCGGCATGCTGTATCGTGGTTTATTCAATACCCGATGTCAATTCTCTTATTTTCTATCTTTCAACTTTTCAACATTTGAAGATTTGAAGATTTTAGAGTTTTGGGGCTGAAGCCAAGATTTTTTTGTTTGTTGACGTTTGGGCTCTGGATCAACGACAGTCGAAGACACCAGTTTTGATATACCCAAGATAACCATAAACACGAAGAAGATATGTTATCGTGTACGATGGATCCTTATAGGGGCTTAGAAACTCAATCATACAGTTGGAAAGATACCCAAGGCAGCGAGCAAGCCTCGATATCCGGAGAAAAACCTCTGCACAAGGATGAAAAATTAGAGCAGGCCTAGAGATGTTTATTATGGCATAAATTGCATTCCAATCCAGATACAAATAATGATGGATCTATTTAACAGGAGGATAATAGGAGAAAACAGAGCAATATATATGAAACAAAAGACTAGCGGAGCTGATCCATGGGCGTCAAGCCTTGCAGCTGATGCTGTCTCTCGCTTAGACTGCATTTAGCAGTCAACTGGCAAAGCAGGGACGTCGGAGGGAGTCTCGCCAAGGGCAACCTCGGCGGCACGGCGGCGGACGAGGCCAGGAAGGACCTTTCCACCAGCGTATTTCCACTTGGGGAGCTCCTCGCGGAGGACGGTGTTAACGTCCTCGAGAGCGTTGAGACGCTTAAGGAGGCTGGAAGTGGCAACGTTTCCTGGGCCGACATTGAAGGTCCAGGAGACCAGGGCACCATACTGGTTCTCGTTGAGGTGGACACCATCAGCGGTCTTCAGGGTGATGGTCTGTTGAGGGGCCTATAGTTTGATATCGCTCGTTAGCGGCTTTATACATCCACTCAAAACAGTCTGAGCACGCATTCATACCTTGATGTCCTGGGAGAGGAGCTGAGTGGCAGTGTCCTCAGTGAGAGGGAATGGGAAGCCAACTTCCCCGCAGTTCTTGCTCTGGCAGAGATGGCCATAGCCGACGGTTGGGAGACCAATTGGGTCAGGAGCAGGAGACGGAACGAAGCCCTCAAATTCCTTGACGAGGGCGATGGTGGCAGCGTTGACGTCTGGGCCAATACAAGCTCTGGCTGAGATCTCGGTGGGAGCTGCAAGAGCAGCTGGGAGGAAGGAGATGGCAGAGAGGAAGATTGCGGAACGCATTTTGATTGATGAGTAGGTTGGTTTGAGACTAGCTTTATAGCTGCGGAGTATGGATGCGATTTATGCTGGTGTTGTTGTTGCTGTTGTTGTCGTCGTTTTGCTTGCTGATTTGGACAACTTCATGGACAGGTTCTAACGAGGTTTATATAGACCATTTCTCTCCAACTTCTTTACCTCCCAAGTCAAATATACGAGCTGACATCGTTGATCATTTCGGCCTTGAGCCATCTTTCCCCCTGCAGGGAGCCCGGTGCTACCTCATCGAGCATCGCAACAGACGATACGTGATTTCAGCCTGGAGCAGACGTTGGCATAATCCGTATTTTTGGTGATAGGAGATGGAGAGATAGCCACATTTGGTGAAGCACAGCCTCTCGTGTGCTCGAGTTCCTCCCCTCCTATCGACGATCACCAGAGCCCTACGGCTCTCTGTGCTGTGTAAAGCGGCGGGGATATAGACGATCCACGGTTTGGCCCTGCCAGTCTCCTACCCACGAGGCCCCTGAGGCTCGTATCACGGAGTGAACATTCACTAATAATAGAAACATGCTGGGACCAGCTCGGATTAACTTAGTTAATTCGAACTGCGATGAAACACCCCTTGCACAAGACTGCTACCTTATTTCCCTATATCAAGGTACGACGTAGTACTCTCGGTTTTATTTTGGTTAATTGGTTGAGTCCTCCATTTTTATGGAGGCTATACTGTCAATCATCTCGAGTTGAATTCGAGCTGGCAGTGACGGTAAAGCAAAGAATGTTCGCATGTGCGGAAGATCAGGGGCTACGAAGAATCTCAATCAGAGATTTGTGGCCCTTTAGAAACTATGGAATTCCTGAAAGTACCTGGTTTTGGTGCAGCAAAAGTTGATCGATGAGCTGAAGTTGTGGATTGGAAAGTCTGTCAAATGAAACAACCTCGGCACCAGAAGTTGTCCACCAACATCAACAGCATCGCAGCAAAAGAAATACATATCGAAGAATGTGCCAACAATAGAACATAGGAAACATGGAACCATGCAGTAACTATATACGGAGAGTGTACGGTTCTATTTACAGGGAGCCGAAGGCCTCTTCGCCGAACTCACGCTGAATACTCCCTTCTGCCCTGAGCATTTGGCCCAGCCAATCTCGGGCGCTCTCAAAGTCCGGAGCAGCAAATTTCACGAGGACGAATCCATTGCGTACTCGAGCAGCCGTCCATGTTACATCTCCATGGTGCATCTTTGACGCTTTTGTCGCGTTGCTGTGATCATCGTCTTCCTCGCTTTTGTTGATGCGCTCGTTTGTGTGTGTGGGATAGTACATGGAGCTCGATGACCAATTCTGACCGCCGATCCTGGGCTGTGAAGTAAATGCCTCCATGAAGAAGTCAGCAAGAGACTCAAATAATGGTCCATGAATGATCAATGTCCCGAGAATGCCATGAGGATGAGTGCGAGAGCGGACTGAGGTCTGCGACTGGGTAGAAGGAAGATGGCCCTGTGCAGGGCTGTCAGAATTGCCGATCTCTGGTTGCCTCGCGGCTGCATCGTTATTCAAGATCACCGCATCTCGGAGTAGCAGCCTTCTCTTTCCGGTCTTGCAGTCTTCGAGCCAGACTTCATTTCTCCCCGTCCATGAATCAAACGACCAGCTCTCTCCTCTAGCACTACGCCCTTCCGTCACCCAGTCGAGAACACAGAGGCTGCCTTTGTGGGCCGGTTTGGTGACACCTTCGCCCCGCGGAACGCCTGCAGCCTTACTATGGTCCCCGTGGAGCAGAGTGAACGTCTGAAACTGGTCGTACCGACTATCTGCAAACGGCACCGATGGGTCAGGTAGCAAGCATAAACCGGACTCACGACCCAATTGGACCTTGAGAGTCTGCTTGCTTCGGTCGCTGTCTGTCTTGGGGATGGGCCTCTTTCTACCACCTTGTGCCTCAGTCTTGTATATCTTCGTGCTCCCCTGCGGAGTGGTGACCACCAATCTTCCCCTTGGTTTTATTGTTACAGAGACATCAATATGGTCTCCCGGAAGCAGCCCGCCGCCGTAGGTGAGAAGGTAGAGGTGTAACGGCGGTGTAGCAGTAGCCGGATACTTGGACTTTAGTTCGCCCTCAGGAATGCGCGAGAGGAGCTTGAGAGGGTAATTGTAAGAAACAGTCGACAGAGACGGATTAGCCGGTGGCAGGACGGTAAGGACGACTTCACCGCGGCCAGACCTGTTGGTGAAGGCTGATGGCGCAAAGGGGGAGTTGAGAATCGGCATTGCGCCGTGTCTACTTCAGGAGCCACCTCATGGATTGGCTATCACCTCGGTGCTCAAGGCACTATCAAAGCGCACAGAGAAGCGGCCTTTAGCGAGTGTAACGGTTCTCAAAGGAGTGAATTCAGCGGTAAAGAATAAAAGAAAGGAAAAGTTGAAGATGTTGAAGATCGATGAAGATGTTGAAATTGATGAAGTTGAATGTATCAAAATCGCATTTTGCGGGGAGAAAAAGGGAAAGATAAGCAGTTTACAGTACCTTGTAATATTACTTACCATACGTCTTATCCCGGCTTATCGTGTGGAAAATGACAGTACCTGTATGTAATAACACTGACAATACACAAATACAGTCTACAGCCTAACTTTTTCTTTTCTCGCGCGTTCACAATTATCAAAAAACAACGTCGAGTCGGCTCCAACTTCGATGAAATTCGAGGACCGGAGCGAACTGATAGCTGAGATCTCCTTTGGCCTGCTGGGTTGCATCTTACTGAGCAGCTCACACTGTTGCCCTGCCCCGCGGCCCCTTTTTGCGCGGAAAGCAAAAGCCAGCCAAAACATCTAGCGCGTCTTCTGGTCGAACTACTTACTGGACTCGAATTACAGCAAGTTGACCAGGAGGACCTGCGAGACACTTCTCCCACCACTGAGAATAGCGAGATACCGTTGCAGACGAGACTGAACACCGATCGCGATACCATATATAATGGAAGCATCTGAGGACCGTGACTCAAGCCCGCTCTCCGAGGTAGGCAGCGAGGCCGCACCGAAGGAAGACCAGGGCCCTGCCAGACGGCAATCTGGGCGTGTTAGGCGGAAACCAGAGATATTCTCTTCACAAACATTCAATTCGAGCCGTCCAAAGCGGAAACGCCAGTCTGAGGGTCCCGATAACGAAGACGACGCGTCGAACGATGAATCCGGCGATGCGCAAGCGGAAGATGAGGATGACGAGGACGGACAGGACGAAGAAAGTGAAGAGAGTGAAGGAGAGCCTGATGATGAAGAACTAAGGGCACGCAGGCAGGTGAAGAAAAGGGCGTCGGCTGGCAAGAAACAGCAGAGCACGAAGTCAAAGGCAAAGCCGGCTACGAAGAAGCAAAAGATCACGAATGGGATATCGACAGAGCTCGCCTTACGTCCTATCATGAACGGCCAAAGGCCAAAGCCACCGAGTAAGAAGAAGAAGCCTCGGATGAGACAAAGTGAACTCGGTGATGAAGAGGGTCTATACGGTATGTACTCCTTATATTGTATATTGTATGTGTTCCTTTTTCCCTCGTGCTGTTGCTAACGCGAACTCAGCGGAGGTGTTTGGACGAGGTCACACTACTGAAGCCGTTGCGGCGGAATGGCTTACGAAATACGAAGAGCACAATATCAATGCAATGCGAGACTTGATCAATTTTATCCTGAGATGCTCCGGGACTGATATCAAAGTTGAAAGCACCGATATTGAGGACGTGGACAACGTTTCCAATCGCCTCACCGACATCCAGGAGGAGTACCAGGCGCAAGATATAACCGACTACCCACTTGTGTCAAAAGCAAAGAATCTCAAGTCATTCCAATCTGTCTTGACTAGCTTTTTCGATGACCTTATTCGGACCATCCACAGTGCCTCCATCCTCTATAGCGACCCAGCCCTATTCGAAAATATCCAAGCATGGGTCAGTTCAATGTCATCTGCGCCGATCAGACCATTCAGGCACACCGCTACAATAATCTCCTTGACCAATGACTACACTCTGCCACATTGCTAAAGAGGTGTCTTCTAGCGTGTCCAATTCCCGGACTCAGCTCGAGACTGAGCGCAAAAAGAAATCCGCGAACAAGGGAAGAATTAGTGCGCTACAAACCAAGATTAAGGAAGGACAGAAGAGACTAGAAACAATCGATGACATGCTTCGAGATTCTTTTGATGCTGTCTTTGTCCACCGATACAGAGATGTTGACCCTAAAATTAGACAAGAGTGTATGAGCCTTTTGGGTCTCTGGATCAGTCTGTACAAGGATATGTTTTTCGATGGCCAATATCTTCGATACCTTGGATGGGTTCTCTCGGACACGGTAGCAGCCACCAGATCGGTCGTTATCCACCAGCTACACAAACTGTTCCAGAGCAAAGATAATATCCCCGGCCTGCGAGGTTTCACCGAGCGTTTCCGGCCTAGAATAGTGGAAATGGCAATGAGGGATGCGGAACCCGGTGTTCGCGCTGCAACCGTGGAGCTACTAGACGTCATCCGTGATGCCGGCCTTTTGGAGCCTGACGACATCGACAGCATAGGTAGACTTGTATTTGACATTGAACCACGAGTGCGCAAAGCTGCCGGGAAATTTTTTGTTGCGAACATTGCCGATGTCTACGAATCTTCGATTGAGAGTATGGAGGAGGAGGTCAATGAATTCTTCGGTGAAGAAGATGAGGATAATCTTGATACCCCCAACCGATCCTGGATCAAGTTCAAGTGCCTTGTAGATATGTTACAAGTCTACGATACACAAGAGACTGAGCTGCATGATGAAAACGACCCGTCCACTTCTCAATACTCTCCGTTTGGCCGTTCGATGGGATCGAGATTCGTCCTGGCCACTGAATCGATTTACCCTCACTTCAAGGATTTCGAACACTGGGAATCTTTGGCCGCATACCTCCTTTATGACCATTCTCAGATATCAGAGCCTACAGATGACAATGACACAACGTCTGCGATTAAATGTCTATACAAGCTAGGTGAGGGACAGGAAACAATTCTACTGGAAGTCCTTGAGTGCGCTGTCAAACTGCACATTCAAGTAGTATCCAAATCGGATGTAGACAAGAAAGGAAGAAAGACAAAACAGTCGGTTCAGATGATGGAAGAACGACTCGAGTCCATCGCACACAACTTGTCTCAGGTAATACCCCGGCTCCTGAATAAATTTGGGGCCGTTCCAGAGGCTGCGTCTCCAGTTCTCCGGCTAGAACATCTGGTCAATCTCGATCTCATCCAGGAGATACAAAAGGACGCTGCAGCCTACTCCGACCTTTTGAACAATATAAATGAACAATTCTTAACACATTCTGACCAAGCGGTGCTAGCTGAGGCTACAGTCGCTTTCCTGCGAGCTCGATCCTCAGATGAGCTGAAGGAGGCCATGGAAGGCAAGATTCAGGAACTCTGGGATGACACAGTTGATTCTTTAAGCAATATAGTGGAAGGTAAAAAGGAGCCGGAAACCTTAAAGCTGCCAAAAGCTGCTCTTACTACGCTCTCTGGCACTGTAATGCGCATTTCGAACCTTGCTAGCATATCAGACTGCACCTCGACTCTAGAAACAGTACCCCAACCAACCTCGAAGAAACAAAATAAACGCGCTGAAGCCCCAGTTGACTTGCTTCTCTCGCTGGCAAAACGAGGTCTACGTGAAGAGGACGATGACGAAGATGTGAACAAACTTGAGCGAGATATTGCTTTGAATACATTCAAAACATTGTTGGTCTATTTTATGTGGAAGATCCAAAACTTGACCGCTGCTGTCACCACTGGCAGCAACCAAAGTGTTCATAATGCTGAATATTTCGAGTCTCTATCTCAGCGACGGGAATCCTTTATTGCAACACTTTCCGCTCTTATGCAACCCCATGGATCCGGTATAAAACATATCAAGCTCGCAGCTACGACGACATTACTTGACCTACAGACCGCCTTTGGCACCCTTCGCCATGCAGCGCCTCCTGGGAAGAACATCGCCGCCATGACCAAAGATAATCTGGCATTCCAAGTTCAAGAACTTCCCCAGGAGATCAGTCCAGAGACCCGCAATATCCTATCTCGACTTCACGATAACGCTGAGCAGACATTTGCCAAAAAATCAAAACGAAAGCTTGAAGTAGCAGCAGATGCTGAGCCGGCGGAGAGCGAAAGCGAAATGGACCTCAACTCCGACGATGAGGATGGTGATGAGAGTGATGCAGATGAAAACGAAGAGGAAGTTAAGCGTTCCCTGCTGCTGGCTGAGCAAAGACTATGCGAACTCACCGGTAAGATCATTCTCGCTATCATTGGTCGGGTGTTAGATGTGTCTGGACCTCAGGCAGGAAAACTGCGGCGTAAGTTACTCAGAAACAAATCACGCCTAGGTCAGAATTATAAAGAGGTTATATCGTACCTAGAAGACAGTCAAAAGGATGGCCCTGCAACCCGAAGACGAGTTGTGTCGAAGGGCAAAGAACCGGAGGGCCAGGAAGACGCCGGCGCAAACGGAATTACCCCAAACACTCGCAATGGGAAAGTCAAGTCTACCAAACTGGTAGAGGATGATGACGAAGAAGAGGAAGAGGGAGAAGAAGAAGAAGAAGCGATGGTCGGAGACGAAGATGATGAGGAGAACCTACGGGCCCGGGGCTTGATTGAAGATGAAGAAGAGCAACCAGCTGCCAGTGACGGCGAAGAAGAACGAGAAGAAGTCTCCCCTCCTCCAGATGAGGATGATATAATGGGAGATTAAACAAGATTATCCTCTGCCATCAAAACTAGAGTGACGATTTTATGACCTGGGATTTGATGGACTGGCTGATTTTCATCGACTGATTTTTACTCTCTTACAAAAGAACCATTTTTCTCTTACGGTTTGATTTAATCCGCCTGTACTTATACTTTAACCGCACTACCTTGACCCTCCTCAGTTTCGAACGTTTTATATGCCTGTTCACTTTATACCTTGATTTTCTCTACGACAGCCTCCCCCTATTGGTTTGAAGCAGGTATCCATCCCATTTACCCCTTTTCTCCTAGTAATGTAATATTTAGAGGCTTTCCATGTTACATTAATGTGTCTAACAGCACCAACCAACGTAAACTTCTTGTTTGTATATTGTTTAAAATATATTCACTTATGGATGGGATATGTTTATTATGGTGGCAAGGGACTGCTTGCGGTGCCAACTTCCCTGGTAAATAACAATAACAAAACTGGCAGTGATGCACGGCCGTATTTTCTATGCATCCACTGTGGAACATATAACGCATGCCGATGCAAGATTGTAGGCCCAACATTTGGTGAGAATCTCTCATAGTTGAATACAAACATATAGATACTGACAGTTAACATTATCTTCCACCGGTAGGCTTCTGGGTAGGAGTTCTGATGGCAGTATGTTAAGCCTCCAAAGCTTATCAGATACTGTCTAATGGCATATCTAGATTGTGTGCTATCCAGCTTCATTATTCTGCGGATGCTGTGCCACTGAAGTGGGCAAGAAGTGAGTCTCTCAACTGCAGCCTGGGTGATAACTAGGTATCTACGAATACGCAAGTTGACATGTTGGTGTTATATAGAGTCTTAAGGACGCCAGTCGATATCAACGAGTCTATAAGCCGAGCAATCCCATTTTGACGAATGATTACTGGCCTTGGATGTGTTATTGGCTCTACCAGACGCCGTTCAAGACGAATAGACCCCAGGGTCATGGCACACAAACGATTATGACTTGATACCCAGGTAGATGTTGGCAAGACAATGGTTTATTCAGGAGTTATTATTAGCGAGGCAGTTGGTTAAGGACTGCATACATTAGCTAGTAAATGCAAGGGATTCGAACTCCGTTCATAATTATAGCTATCTGCGTCTTTAGGGGACGGGAGTATCTACTCTCCATCGTACATGAGCCGCGACTTGCTTCCCTCTAGCCATCGTTTGCCAGCAGAATTCTCGTAGATGGTACTTTTGATCTCCCTCTTGCACCAGAAACGCCCACAGCTCGGATCACATAGGTCCTTTGCTAGCTGAGGGTTCTCTAGTATCTCTTCGTCAAGCGTGCCGGAGCATATCTCAATCTCAGCTGGTAGTCCTATGTCTCTAAAGTACAGACTTGTTCCACACTTTGAACAGAATCCGCGGCGTCCTTGGGCGCTGGATACGAACTCAGCGGGCGTTCCGTTCCATTTCACGGTGGATGGATGGAATGTGATGAAGTGAAGGATGATAGAGCCGGTTGCTTTGCGGCACTGTGTACACCAGCAGGTGTGAGGCTGGCAGGAAGCGTCAGCAAGTAGTTGTAGTTATATTAATGGTTACATGCTGGTAACAACTTACATCTGGAGGCCAGGAGATATCCTTTGGGATCTCAATGGTGTATTGGATCTCCTTGCATAGACATCCCCCGGTGAGCGTATCTGGTATTTTGCTGGACATTGTTAACATCGAGGTTCAATATATTGAATGATATAAAAGGAATGACGAGGGCTACATCTTGTATTCAACTACTTATTTATACGGGGTGGTATACGAGAACTAACCATATAAGAGTCAAGGCTTTCTATTGTAACTAATATTTACAGGGCAAATGATATATTAATAATACATAACGCGATGATTAAAAAAGGTAATAGCCAGACCTGTGCCTTGTGTAAACCGGAACCAAGACCAAAAGAAAACCGAGAGATGAATTTCTATCTTACATGGAAGTGAGCATCGACGTCATCTACCTGTACCCTCTGGAGTGACTCGCCATGCACGCAAGGGGAGTCTCTGAAGTTTCATCACGGCTCCTCGGATGAAAAACCAGAAAGTAATGGCGCCGATGGCCACGCATAATATATTCGTATAATAGAAGCCGTCACGGTCGACTCGGCATACGCCACCTCCAGCAGTGCAACGGTTCTTTTCTGCCTCGAGAGAACAGGAGAAAGGAGTGGTGACGGGAGACGCTACTCCCTGTGGGGCCTTGGATGGAGGTATACAGGTGGCGCTGTGGAGGCTATCGACGAGTTTGAGAACGAAGTATTTAGGGAATGTACCTCCAAGGTTTGAGACGCTGGTAAAATGGTTAGCAAAGAAGTATTGTTAGGTATTCGAAGGGAATTCATACGTTGCAAGTAAGGTCATGTAAGTTCCGCCAATCGTTGGGTCAGATATCTTTGCATGGAACGCAGAGCAGGAAACGAACATGATGGTGTTCATCGAGGTAGACAACAAATGCTCGCCGATAACTGCAAACATGTACCATCCGGGGACGGTGGCGCCAGGAGCGCTTGGATAAATCATGACAACGGCTTGTGCTAAGAGAGCGGCTACAAGTCGGCCTACGAACGACCAGCACCACAGCCTCATGGGGGTATACTCTGTCGACCACTTTCCAGCATAATACCCAAGGGCAAGCTCGAACGGAAAGTCAACAAGAACGACGAGGGCCATGTTATCTTGACCGAAGCCCTTGTCGATGAGCTTCAAGCTTGTCACGGCTTCGTTGGCCTGGAAGCCAATTTTGGCAATCAGATGTATGATGATGATAGTCTGGATGTTGCTAAGTTTCAGGATCTTCCACATGCTCCTGTATACTTCGACAATGCCGTCCCTATCCTTTGAGGTTTCCTCCTTTTTGAGCACGGCCAGTCCAATGGTAACGAGGAGGTACGCCCATCCCCAGAACTTCAGATAGCCACCCAGAGTGATGAGACCTTCATTCGACGGGGTAGAGCGGAACCATGTATTGGCGAAATGGGGGGAGTTGAACGCCAAGAAGACAGTGTATGAGAGGAAGTGTCCAGCCGTAAGGCCGACTGTCTGGGCGGTAGAGGCAAAGGCAATGTTCTGAGGTGAGATCAGAGAGATGGCCCAGCCGTCGACAGCAATATCCTGCGTTGCGCAGAGAAAGACAAGGAAAAACCACCATTTGGTAAACCCCCATATACCATCTCCCCCCTTATCGGCTGCCGCGGTCATCATGTTGGCAATGTGGCTACCAAGATATACCATGGCTAGGCCGGAGAAGGTCTGGATAGGCATAATCCAACTCTTTCGTCGTCCGACCCTTTGGCTCCAAACCGCGTCCACTATGGGACTCCATAGAAGCTTGAGAGAGTATGGGTATGATGCGAGCGAGAACACGCCTATCTGACCATACGAGAGGTTTGGTTTGAGGAGAAAAGGTACTGATCCCATGGCCAAACCCATAGGGACGCCCTGGAGGAAGTATAGCACGCATAACAGGAGGAAATTTCGCTTATCAGACGCCGGTAGATCGCTGAAGCTGGTGCTCACGGCCGCGGCAGACTGGGGAGTGGGCGGGGGAGAGTCGTCTAGGGAGAAGTCCGGCTGGCCCACCACCCTGGAGGTGTGTGTCGACGTCGATTCGAGGGAGACGCCCTTCTTGCGCATCTCTATCTGCGACTCCATGCTGCCGCCGGTGCTGGCGTGGCCGTTTGTGTGTAGGTTGAGGCTCTGCCGACTGGCTCGTTTTCTCACAGAACCGTTCTTGCGTTTCATTTGGGTCTTCACGATGTCGAAACCGGGTAAAATGAGGGACTGGGTGTATATGCACGAGAGCGCCGGTGAGGCTATCAGACTAACTAGTTATCCCGGAGAATTTATGTGGAGAAGGGACAAGACATGGTGTCGCTTCGATCTATCTAGAGCACAGAGAAGGGCCGCGACGGACTATAAGTATGGTACACGGTTCGGCCTAGAGAACAGGTGTCAGTAAGTGCTTGGGCCACGGAAGAGGATACGAGCAGCGTCTAGTTACCCAGTATATAAGCCAATTTACTCCGTATCCGAGTGAATCCCCCCTCTGGCGCCTGTGAAGTCGGCTTGCAAGGTGCATAGTTGTCCTTTCGCGGACGAAAAAAGTCGTAGGTCGATCGCGACGGTTGCTGACTAAGCCGGTTGTTTACATTTGACCGTCAAAGTCGACGACATCACATTCAACTTACTCCGTAACACCGACATCAACGACAGATACGTGGATGGTGGTAAACACGATGGCGATGGTGGAAGAAGGCCAACCAGCCGCGTTGGATGAGGAGATATCCGCTGTGCGCGAAGAAAGTAGGTATTTTCTTGGAATATTCGTTGTGTTGAACCAGCTAACTGTGAACCCAGTTCGAAAACTCACGGCGCGAAGACAAATCCTCTCGGCCAGTCTGCTGTCTAGTAGTACAGTTAGAAATAGCCTTGAGTCGCATCTCCTGAGCCAGGTCGATTCTGGTGCGCCATCTGCCATTGTCGAGTCCGGGAGACACGCCGAGACAAACCACCATCGCATAGTGTTTTCAACTACTTCATTTCCATTCAAAGACCCATCACCTCATACAGACTCGCCTGAACTATTGGGCGTTCGAATTGATGTTAATGTTCGTGATGGTACCTTTGTGAAGCCATATTATCTACTCCTTAGACGCACAGGAGACGAGCGCAAGTCGCTACAAATACACCGGCATACCATACCAGTTTTCATACCGCTGAAGCATCTGGAACAGAAATATCTCCCGGGACAGGCACCGAATGATGACTCCGATGGGCTATTGAAGCCGTGGAAAAGAAAGAAACAAAACCTCAAGGGCTTGGTACGGGAACTGCGCCGAGAGCTTGTCACATGGCACCTGCGGAGAGATGTTATTATTTTACTACAGGAACAACTGGGCATCCTCGACTTAAATTCGAATGATATACCCACTAGTACGCCTGCGCATAAACTCGGAATATTGTCCGTCGCTGCTGCGTCGATTGAAGCTAGGTACATACGCTTCCAGTGGCAGGATGGACGCATAGGCAGAGTCAAGGTATGCAATCGGGGCTTGGTTGAAAGGGTTATTATCATAGGCGACAATGGCCGTGACAAGATAACTGAAACGACGATCGCTGGGGGTGATTTTCGAGCTGAAGGTATCGTGCAACGGCTCCTTGACAGCAAAACATAACAATATCAGCTTACTACTGATTCTCCACGATAATACTAAAAAGAGGTGTTCATCCCAATCAAACTACAAGCCAATGATTGAAGAAAACACCAAAGTCAATTTTGATCTTCCTTTAGCGTCCGCCTAGGACGACGGTGTTACTATATACATCATCGGATTAAGATACCCGCTCAATATAAACAATAGCTGCGCCATGTGCTGGCCGTCAAGAGCTGACGGCTAATCTAGAACTGGAACTCCTCCATGCGCTTGGTGGTTGGTTTATAGCAGTCGGTACGGAAAGAGCTGATCTTGTTGTCCATACCGATCATACCAAGGTCGTAGACACGAATGTTGCGGCACCAGCTCTGACCAAGGCCATCGGTGCAGCCAAGGCCGTTGAAGGGGACGAAGCAACAGCGGGTGTTGTGTGTTGGGTCATCGGAGTACCACTCGATGGAGGAGATTTTGTTGTTAAGATCACCAACGCTGTGACAGGCACTTCCGGAAGCGCCCGGTCCACCAGCAGTGAACTTGGGACCCTCAGAGTTCTGGAGCTGGTAGGCATTCAAACGCCAGGCGTTGGCGGAAGAAGCGAAGGCAATGGCGGCAACCGCAATGACGGGAGATGAGATCTTCATTTTGGCAAAGGTGGACTGCACATGCACAGTGTTAGGAACGTGTCTGGATCTCTGGGTAAAGGGTATAGATCAACGGGAATCGGCTTACAGCTGATCGTTGTGGTGGTGACAGGTTGTTTTTGAGACTGGATGGATTGCGGGATTGCTTGCTGGTTTCAAGGTCAGATTGGTGGCATCAAGCCAGACCTTTTATACCTGAAGTTGACCATGCCGTATCTCAAGATATTCACATCGCCCAGCTTCGACGGCCATAACCACGTTCTATCCCATACAGCACCAATTGGCCAAACAATGCCTTGACTGGAGTTTGGCGACCTCTGGGCTTCCTTGACCTCTGGGCTCCATCCCGTATTTCCCAATGTTACCCTCGGAGCAATATCATGATTATATTGCGGATATAGAGATGCATAGGCAGCTGTGATAGACTCAAACTGGAGAGTCGGTCGAGTTATTTAGATGCTGCCACGGACGATTTAAGGAGAATCAGTACTTATGTCCGTTCTAGCACACGAGCTCGTATCTCCCAAAGATACTCAAACCCCTCTTGGTACGTTGTTTTATACCACGTGTGTCATATCCTGCTGTGAATGTAGCTATTAAAGCGGCCTGCCGAAGTAGGATTGAATATTGAGTGGGAAGTTTCTCTTAAACACCCACAATCATCTCGTATTGAGGCTGCCGTTCCCCACTGTTTGGTTGATATGTTTATTTTTAGTTTGAGGACCACTGAATGAGACGATAACTCCAGCAGAGCCGGATCGACGTGATTATCAATGATATTCTTAGTGGTATGATATTAATTCTGCTTGTAGGGACGCGCCTATACAACATCCTTTATTAAACCGCCAGGCGCAAAGACACTAAATGACAGATCTGACAACCAAGAAATACGAAACTATGCTACCGTTAAGCTGCTGTCCGGTAAGCCGAGTCCTTGGGGTACGAGAAGAGTTGGTCATCGGATTTTTATGTTCTAGAGACCATTGCGGGATATCATACTTTAGCTAGCGAGCTCTTCCATATGTAGGGATGTTACTGGAGAGAGTACTGGCATCTTTTAACCATTTACTGCAAAAAGAGGTCCCGCATAAACTGCACCCATAGGACAGTATTGGAGAGTAAAGCATCAAACATGTGGCGATGCGAAGGTTTGGACATGGAAGGGTAGATACCTAGCCAAGGTTATCTATACACTGCGTGGAAGTAGATTTTCATTGGATTGGTAGTTTTATACCCTCCACTATTTGCTTTTAACACAAAGGATATTGCAACATTCAAATATCCGAGGCGAGGCCATCGTATTCGCCTTCGTTGAATGATATTGTAGGCAAAGGGCCATAAGTCAGCCCAGTCTCCTCCTCCAACCTCTTTCTCGCAATCCTTTCCTCCAGTTCCCACCTATAGATAAGTTCCCGTTTCTTGCCATCTAACCATGCCAACACTGCCACGGTTTCATTTTGTTTTTGCCTTTCAAGATTCTCCAAAATTTCTCTGTTCTTCTTAGCAAGTTCAATAGAATCAAGCTCCATCGCCTGCCATGACTCTTCAAAAGCCCTGGCTTGTCTATCCCTCAGGACTTTTATTTTCGATCGATGCAGTGCGTCAAGCGTAGCAAGTTCGTGGTAGCTTTGGAATAAGCGTCTTCGTTTCTGGTTAGTAAACTCGCGTGGTTGGAGATTGGCATAGAAATCATTTTTATCGGATGATAGGCTAGGAGGTGGAGTACTGAAGTATGCCTCCATGTGTCGTATGCTGGTTTGGAGAGATTTTTTCTCATGCTGTAGCTCTGCAACAAGGGATATTTCAGCAACGAGGTCCCTCTCCTCAATCCGGGCTGCTCTAACAGCGTTCTTTACGGACTCGTTAGTATGCAACTCTTCAACATTGAAAAATGATCTTTTCTTAGGGATTGCTTGCCTGGGACTCAAGTGCCGCTTCGTTTTCGTGATTCTGCCTCCGCTTCGCTTCAATAAGGGCATCATGTTTTGTTCTAATAGAGTTTATAGATTGACCCTTGAATTGCAGATGCCTTTTCTTTTGGCCTTCATGAATCTCTCGCAAGGTTATCAGAATTGAGCATGATAGGCTTCGGGCGACTGAGTCCATATCAATCAGTTCTTCGGTTTCGGGAATTTCCAGCTGAGCTGGAGATGGGGCCTCGGATGAAGCCGCAGACTCTACTCTGGCCTCGACAGTGTAGTCTTGAGGGAATATATGTAAAGCGCTGGGGGGAGGTGGGGGTTTTGATAACACGGCATCCGGCACGGATAACCGCTTCTTAAAAAGAGGGAATCGGGATATTATCGACTGTCTAAAGCCAGTGGTAAACCGATGATCTTGGAAATATGAGGCGTCGAACGAGTGTCTGGTTGGAGCAGGGCTAAAGATGGAGAGTTTCTGATGTTTCTCGCCCTCTTTGCATGTAGGCGGACAGGTTGCCATTGATGAGACGGAATGAGCACTACTGGGCACTCTTTGAGTTGAGGACGACACCGACGAAGGAATAGTGACTTGACTGGGTGATACCAGGGTTGACGAGGTTGTTGTCGAAGAAGAGCAAGTTTCCGAGGTAGGCTCCAGCCTTCCGTTTGGCTTTACGCTGTCGCCCTTGATAGACAAGCCGAGATCCAGTGCTTGTTGACGAAGAATTTCGAGTTCTTCTACTTCAACCTCCTCCTTTGACAGCCGCAGTACATATTCACGATAACTTGATTCGTATGGTAGGGTATCCGGGTGAGCCGTTGGAAACCCCTCCTGGTTTGCCATGGCTGGCGGGTTCGTTAAAGACAATGGAATTCAATTGTTTTTTATCTGCTTGGTCCAGGTAGTTAATGGTGCGGATGTAGATGTTGATGAACGGAGGGTTATTCTAGTTATACGACAGCCTCGATTCCAACAGGAACATTGGCCGAAAAACCTAAGACACCGTGTGCCAGTATTTTTGTATAACTACCTGAAACACGGAAGAATAACTTGTCGGTTGTCGAGGCAAATCAGTCCCACCTATATTTATGGCGAAGCGAAGGTTGTGGACTTATGTTACTGTAGGAGACGGCGACTAAAACCCCGAGTGACGCCAGCAGGAGATCTCCCTTGCATGGAAAATAAGAAAAAAACAAGGCCACCTCAGGAGCAATTATTCTGTATATACCTGACAAGTTCTGGAGCCGCACAGGCGAACAGATCTCAGATATATAGAATCCCGTGTAAGTTCAATATGCACGTCATGGGTGGCTTCCCTGGTTCGGTGCTGGCGGAAGGACCACTCTCTGGTTGATGATTAAGCTCCGCACCATATATCGCCTGGCCAAAGGTAAAATCGACTGTCCCGATGTCCAAAAGGCGAGTTGACGCTGTAGATCAGTGATTGAAAGATGTCTGTCCTTTTTCATCGTTGGGGGTTTCCCCCCTTTTCTCATTTCTCCTCTCGCTGCGTCAACTCCTTGTCCACATGCAAACGCCCGCTAGGCCGCCTTTCACTAGGCGTATACGGAGTATATCCTGTCTTCTTTTCTTTTTCCTTTTCTCCTTTAAACCCTCTTCGCCAATACCTTTCTGGCGAAGGAGGGCTGCCGCTTATCATGTGATAGGGAAATATCTACCCAACCGCCTTGTTGCCCGGTTCACACCGCCAGAGTATGCATGAACATCTTGGAGAGCGACATGGAAGTGACAGGGTGGCATTCGTCCGATACACCCGTCAGGGCGTCTCTCCTGCGCCCTCGCTGTGTTCACCGGTACTTGGTACCTCAAAGCTCGTTGAACGGGACGGAGTATTCACCCGTCCAGGACCAGGAGCCATCTGTAACGCGCTTGACCGCTACCACGGGAGCTGTTCAAAGGCGAATAGCGAGAAGAACTGAAGTTCCTGGCCATAGAGCCATCCGGAGTGCCAGGCCAAGTTGTTAGATGTAACAGAAACCGGTTAACTGTTAACTGTTGGCAGGTTGGTACATTTAGTATCCGTACGGAGTATGGTCGTGTAGATATATCAAGACAGGGGTCTCCTGCTGGTGGGGTGGATGAGCTGTTTGCATGATTCCCTGGGGACGCAGTCAAGCAGCCAGTTGGCAGTCGGTGATGTGCCCGATCCTTGTAGCAGCTTGCATAAAGTAGCACTTTTATACCTTCCGCCGCAAATCCCCCAACCTCTGTCTCGCTCGCTGGCGCCGGGCGGCCTTTGATGCTGCTGCTTTGGCTTTGCAGAGCTACCAACCCAGCGGGCAGACTAGAGCTAACCCCGGTCAGACGCTTTCATACGTATAATAAAATATACGCACGCACCGGGATGCTGCTATCTCCACCGGCGGCTTGTCCATCCTGTCTCATCCTAGCCTCCTTTGTTTAAATATTAATTTTTTATATTCATCGTCAACTTTTTTGTCCCTTTTCGTTGTTGTTTTTCTTTTCTTTTTCTTTTTTGTTGATACGAGCACGTGATACAGGTCTGGGCATATTACGTAATACAATAACACTCGACGTCAAAACAGACGAACTTGGGATAACGAGCAGCAACAAGAGACCAAGTCATAGATATACGGCGCATAGCATGCAGGATCTGCTATACTAACCGCCCTGCTACATGCTATTTAGCTAACATGGCTACCCAGGACTTCGCCGGTGACCCCAGATTCACCGTGTTCATTCGCCTGCCGTTCCCGCGAGGCGACTTCGTTGATCCACCACCGGTGAGCTCCAGCGTCCATGGATCTATAACTAGATCGTTAACTATCACCGGTGGCTCAGCTCTAAGCGCTAATTTGCTTGAGATAGGTGAACTGGGATGCCGGTAATGATAGAATATTATGGGATGTTCTCTCTGTAGCCCCCAAAGAAGGGGTAGACTGTGAGTTGCTGGCTCTAATACCCCCTGGTTAGCGTTATAGAGACTGCTAACACTCGTATGTAGGGAAAGCTCTGTATGTAGTACAACAACACGCCTTGTCATGACTACTTCAGCTAATTAGTGGCTTCTAGCGCCGAGAAGTTCAATGTCACCCTTCCATTCTTGCTCCAACATGTTGCCTGGCTATATGATCGGCGCCTGTCTCAAGTAAGGGCGCAGTTTCGGAGAGTCGGGCACCAGAACCCCCTTTCCGGGCAGGCTACATCTGCCGGTGGCGGTACTCCAGGTGGCAGTGTGCCCATGTATAGATCTGGTAGTGACGGTATGGACCATTTAGTGTAGAAATATTGTTGGTGCTGATATCAAGCTAACCAAATAATCGCTCTTGGTCAGGATCTCGCATACAATCTAGGCTGTTCGCGCTTCAGCGAGACATATCAGCAGCTAAGGCAGATAGCAGCAGCCCGCAGACTCCAAATATATCCCAGGGTTGGTTTCATATTAACCTCTTACAGAGATATTGGTCGATGTTGACGCCCTTCAATAGCCCCGAATTTTCCCCGTCCAACCCCGATTAGAAACCATTCGTCTGGAGATGCCGTGATCACACTACCGAAACCATATAGGCGAAGCTCGGGCGAAGTGCCTCAGTTAAGAGGAAGAGGAGAGCCAAAAACGAATGCCCTACCACCTTTGTCTCCACGGGGGGACGAAGACAGCCCTGAACCTTTATCCTCATCAAGTTCAAGCTCAGACTCCGACGAAGACTCCAACCGGCCGCAATATAGACGGTATGGGAAATTCTCCATGGTCCAGAAACGAGCACCCCCAAAGAACGAGGAGGAAGACGACGAGGAGGACTCTCCTGCTTTTCTCCCACTTGAATCTATACATGAGACCGGGAAAGCTGCATCCCTTGGTGACCCCGCAGCAACGTTACGCGAAACGCCCGATCATATCAAACATCAAAGTCGACAAGTATCGGGCGCCGCCACGCCGCCGGCAAAGGCAAAGCAAGAACTGCCATCATCCACAACTAGCTCTAGTTCTGGCATGGCAGCAGCATCACCTGCCAACGGGCCGTCCGCATCCCGCCGCCCCGCCGCCCCAGTCGGACCCTTAAGCCCACGGCGAACTGCAGAGCTAGCCGGACGGAGTCCTCATGGACGTGGTAGCGAAGGCACTCCTAGTATGGGAAGCAGTTTTAGCGATTTGGATGGTACGTTGTAATTAATGTTAAGCGGGCTCAAAGCTCTTGCCCTCTTCTTCCCCCTCTTCTAGTTGCCCATTTTGGTAAGCGGTATGCTAACTTAATGTCTCATTCTAATATTGCTTAGATGCTAGTGTTTCCCAGTCTGCATTAGAAGAAGCTCTCTTGAGTAATATGCGTAGTGGTGTTACCAGCCGGATGAGTACTATCAGCCAGGCTCTACGTAGCAGATACCTCTAAATACCCCCTCTCTGACATTAACATCTCATGGTTGTATGTATTTTCTACACATAAATCATTCACAGCTGACACATGTTGCGTGTATCGGTGATGCGTTGTCGCAGGGCAACTGTCTGGGATCATTTGGACACATGGTGATACTTTGATTTTCTTGCAGGCTCATTTTTGGGTCATGCCGCTACTCCCCGGATCTAAACACACCTCTTTTGAACCCAACCGGAGCATCCCACACCTGTATATTCCGCTGGAACTAAAACTTCAGGGTTAGAATTCATGGATTCCTGCCCGATGAAGGTTGCCGTTTTGCAGGCTGTTTGGATATCCGGGTCGCCTCTCGCTTTTACACCTTCCACGCCCTACCAATATCATACCCCGCGATTATACACAAAATACTTGGAGTCAAAGTTGCTGGTTGTATGCCCACGGCAAAGATAACCTTATCTTTGATTAATAGTATTTGCAGCGTCTCTGGCTCTATAGGCTGGTAGTTGACCCTCCGATTTGTTTCTATGGAATCAAAATGAATACCATCATCCTCACCTGTTCCGATTCGAAGAATGGCTAGCTGAAAGGCAATGAACACCATGGGTGTCCTTGATGGATGGACGAATCTACAACAGTCCTAGTCCTCCCGTGCTGCAGCTTGGATCGATATTTTTTACAGAATATTTTTCGATACGTTAATGTTGATATGAAATGCCCCGCGGCCGCGGGCCCAAGTGATCAGTGTTATTCATCTAGCAGCCCGATAATATTCGCCATGAGGTTTTCGAATATCAGAGATAGGATTTCCAATACCCCTCAAAGACAGGATAGCCAGCACAGAGAAATAACACCTACCAGACACATCCCCAGCAGTTGATTTTAAATTTTTGAAAGCATAATAGCGGTTGTTCTATAGCTAGAACGCCCTGTCAGGCCCTTAAATTTAGTCCACCAAGCATGGATTAAGCTTGTTAACGCCATTTTTCGTTATTTAATTTGCCCCTATCAACAATATCAAAAGGCCTTCTTATAGTGAATTCTCCTTTTCTCCCACCAAAGTAAACGTCTGCTTAGTCATCAAAACCGCCGTAGATTCGCTCTCTAGTTAGCCGAGGCATAACTCTAATGCTGCGTGTCCCAGAAAAGAAATTCAAACCTCGAGCAAAAACATCTAGCAAGAGTTGACGATATTCATTCATTGCCGGCAAGTAATATACGATCTTCGTCCTTCATTGTGATAACATACTGGATTGGCCGTGAGGATTATCTTTCTTCGTCTCCCCAAGTGCTCTATAGTGTCACCTTTCGATGGTCTTGCGCCGTGCCCCGCCAATGATAAGATATACAAAGTAGGATCTGGAACCGCTAAGGATCAATCGCCTATATAAAGAACTCGCCGAAGAAGCGCAGTCATACCTTTCAAATATATACATCCAACTACAGCCGGAGGCAAAGAGAACAATACAGCAATCACTTTATATCCGCCGAGTTTAATATCGATATCTCGTCGCCACCCTCTTTGGCGGCTAGATATCTCCTACTATATCCCGAAGTAAATAAATCATCGCTACCATGTCTCAAGCAGCTCATATAGCTCCGTCAACACAGACCCTGACTCCCGAGGAAGCCGAATCTTATTATTTCAAAATCAACCCGCCGCCTCCATCGTTGCAAGAACATTATGAGTTGGCAAAAGAGTTCATAAACAGACATGTTCAGACCGGCCGAAGATTGGTCCTCGTCACTTCAGGAGGGACAACAGTACCACTTGAGACACAGACAGTCAGATTCGTGGACAACTTTTCTGCCGGTACTCGTGGAGCTACTTCTGCTGAGTATTTCTTGCAAGAGGGATATGCAGTGATATTCTTACACCGGCAATTCAGCTTGCTTCCATATTCAAGACATTTCAGCCATTCGACCAATTGTTTCCTCGATTTCATGGATGAAGGCAACTCTTCTTCTGACTCTTCAAATACGAATAGTAATGGAGATGGCCCTATCATCGTACGATCGGAATACCAGGATGAAATGCGCAAGGTTCTGCGACAGTACCGATATGCTAAGGATAACGATCTCCTACTTGTCCTTCCCTTCGTCACGGTGACGGAATACCTGTACGAACTCCGATCACTCGCCAACCTGATGCAGCCCCTCGGCCCCAATGCTCTCTTTTACCTTGCTGCGGCTGTTTCAGATTTCTTTATCCCTCGTGACAGGATGGTAGAGCATAAGATCCAGTCGTCCAACGAGCCAGTTACCAATAAGGAGAAGTCGGATCCAAACAGGGCGGATTCTGGTATTGATCCAGACTCAATTTATACTGGATTTAATGACCCAAAGCCCCCAACGCATGGCAAAAAGCTTATTATCGACCTTGATCCCGTTCCTAAGTTCTTGCATCGGCTGGTTGACGGCTGGGCGCCGACGGGCAGCATGGTGGTTAGCTTTAAACTTGAGACAGATCCAGATCTACTTATATCCAAGTCTGAGCAAGCGCTGCAGCGGTATGCACATCATTTGGTTATTGGTAACCTACTGTCAACCCGCAAATGGGAGGTTGTATTTGTGAGCCGAGATAAGGCGACGGGCAAATTTGGCCTGAAGTGGGTTCGCGTTCCGAAATCGAGTACAAGGATGAGAAAGGGCAGTGTTGCCGGAGGTGGAGGCGTGCCTCAACTGCAGCCGGATGTGGAAATTGAGAGCTTGATTATTCCGGAATTGAAGAAGGCGCATAGTGAGATGATTGAGACCTTTAGAAAGACGAAAGAATCAAATTGAACAAAGGGTGGCATTGTGGAATCCATATGTATCGGATACAAATGATTGCTATACTTCACCCGTGTAGTTATATATATTCCGTTCAGGGCTAATGGTTAATAGCATTTGCAATATCTATCCCTATCGAGGCTAGTAAAAAGAGTGTAATGCCATCATGCTGTTACTAATAATAGTTTTCAACCACTCTGTCTTCAAAATCTATGGATCCAATGCCAGTATCACTGGGTTTCAGTTCAATGGTGGTGCTGACGGGTCTTCCATGCACTGGTCAACTCGCATAATGCGCTTTCCAGACTTCTTGACTAGCTGGAATACATCTCTGAAGTAAGAGATGGTTGTGGGGTTGAGGTAGTGCATGACAGCAATATCACCACCCTTCTCGAAGTCTCGCTTGAAGGCCTCAAGTTGCTTCTCAGGAGTTGGAGAGCCAGCCCACAGCCAATCCTCAATATCCACACTCCAGTTGATGATGTATGGGTCAGGAACCAAGGCTGCAAGTCTTTGTCGAGTTCGAGCGCCCACATTACCGAAGGGCGGACGGAAATAGCGACCTATTAACTCCTATTAGTAATGAAATACAGAGTAGGTAACTTGATATTGACAACCTACTCTCAATTCCCAGTTTTTCCTTAAAGACGTTAATGTTCTTTGTAAATTCTTCGTCAATACGCTCAGTGGTTGGTAACCCTTCCATCCTATATGACGTTAGACTCGAACTTCATAAAAATTTATCCCTAGGGACCAACATACATGGGATGGGAGAATGTATGAAGAGCAACCTGGTGCCCACGGCCCAGCATCTCCTTGTATACGTTTGTAAAGTTGGCAGTTTCGTCCAATAGGCCGTTACCAACAGTGAAGAACGTGACTAGAATATCCTCTTCCGCCAGCATCTTCATAACCTCCTGAGCGTATTGCGGCTGTCCATCATCGATTCCAAAGGCAAACGAGTTAGGTCTCTTGCATCTCAATGCTAGAGTGCCAGTTGGAAGCTTCTCGGGCATCTTGACACCTCCGGAAGGGAAGAAACGATCTCAATTTTGAACAAGGTCACATCTCCTCCGGCATAGAAGCCGTGGAAACCAATCGAGTTGGTCCTTGTAAAGTCGATATGGAAATGAGATAGGGGAATGTAAATATCCTCTCCACTAGAATATCGCGAAGCCTCGACCGAGTCCCACGTTTCAGGGTACGGGGCTCTCTTCTGATCACATTCTGCATTATGCTGGGTGAAGCTAATGCTAAACTTATCCGACCCCTTGAAGACGACATGGAGATATGAATCTTTATACGCAGTCATGTCCTTGCAGCCGATAGAAACCTGGGTATAGAAGTTCATATCGGCATTTGTCGGGGAAAGGCGTAGAAAATCTCCGCCATATTCAGCGGGCATCCCTTCGTCAACGCCATGCCAGATTCCGAGATCGTTAGTTGCAGGATTACGAAATGTATCAATTACCAAGGGGTCGTATTTTGCGACTGGAGCGGCGAGAGACGAGTTGGTGTGTAGCAGGAGGACGCTGCCGATTGCTATCGACGCCAGGTTCTGGAACCAGGACGAGAACCCCATGGTGGGTGCTTTGGATTCAATATCTGATGGATATACGGAGTAACTTGAATATACCGAATGCTAAAGGTATTCAATAGTTGATGATACTTCGTAAATGCTTTGAGCGATGGGTATCGAGTCATGACATGGAGCAATTGTCGATAAACCATGGGACAGTTTTATATCGCGACTGAATTTCAGCAAGAAGACTCCTTGTAGTGGAAAGAGCTGACGAGACGTCAACCCTAGTAGAAAGCATGATGAAGAGAGATGACATGACCGTAGTCAACAGCACGTTGGTAGCTCTGGTAGGAAATTGATGGCTGTGTTTACATTAGAAGGCGTTTGAAGATGTTGACGCTTGAGATGTTGTGGGTTTCTTGGCTGGTTGCCATCCGCACCGTAGCCCCCTATTTGTTTAAGTACGCCATCCTATAGTTACACTTCGTCCAACAAAACACTGTTACGTTTACTCTATAATATTTGCTGAGAGGATCGTATGATAGAGAAAGAGTCTGGATTTGCATCCTAAACTAACTACCTAACTAGCAACCTAGACTAAGCAGTTGGTCCCTATCGTTTTGTTTAAAATGAAATGACAAATTTTTTTGGTAATTTGAATTGACACCATGGATACCGCCCCGCCAGCAACTTGATTTTGTTGCTCCCTACATAGACTGAGGTTAGATAAGGGAGCAACAGGCATAGCAGCAAGAGAGACGATCTTGTGCCGGCAGAGCGGTATCCATGGTGTAAGGCTGAAGAGCTAGGAAATATGACCAAATCTGGCCGATTTTTTTTTTCTTTTTCTTTTCTTTTTTTTTTCGTTGTTTTGTTGATGTATGCAGATTTTGGAGACTTGTTCTGGAGATTTGTTTTATGTCGGGTGATGGTTAACGGTTAGGCAAGATCTGAGCTTGAGGCGACGATGCAAATGGGATAGCACTGGTAATGGAAGTATCGGCATCATGAACCATTATTTACCAGTCAGCAGCGGAAGCATCACCACCCCAACCACCTTGAGACTCAGGCTCAGGGTTGGCGTTAGCAGCCGCAGCGAAGCCGGGGGCAAGTGGCGGAAGAGCAGCCGCGCCCCAGCCATCGTCACCACCAGCATTGTCATCATTATCAGCTTCCTCATCGGTGTCATCGTTGAAGTCGAGTACACCATCAGGTGGAGATTCGCTCTGCAAAAAGTCGGGAACGACTTGCTTGGATTCAATGAGGATCTTGACTAGATCGCTGGCAATGTCGGAGTTCTTGTCGTTGTAGAACGAGGTAGCTAAACCGGGGTTGCCGATACGTGCAGTACGACCTGTAAAATTTGTCTTAGCGGTGGAAAACCTTGTGTTTGAATTAGAGTAGCGTACCAATGCGATGGATGTATTCGTCGATGCCACCGTGCTGGACAGAAGGCAAATCGTAGTTGACGACGTGCATGACATTCTTGATGTCAAGGCCGCGAGCAGAGATTGCAGTGGCAATCAAAATAGGAGACTTTGCAGTCTTGAAGGCACGACTAGAGAGTATATCAGTATAACTGTATAGAATAAGGAACAGCAAATACTAACATGGCATCTTCACGTTCACGCTGGGTACGGTCCGAATGGATGGAGGTACTAGGCAGCCCCATGTTGAATAAGAAATCGTCGATGAGATCCGCCTGGGTCTTGTTGTTGACAAACACGATGGTACGGGATGGGGGCATGGCCATCAACAGATCATACAGACATTTCTTCTTCATGTTTTCCTCGGCCCAGACAAGCTAGACTTTATTTAGCAGTGATATTTAATGAAGGATAGGGAGTATATTGTACCTGCTGGGTAACGTTCAAATGGGTGCTTCCAACACGGCCGATGCGGATTCGAACATAGTCGCTGGCCAGGAACTTGCGAGCAACCTGACGACAACCCTTGTTGAAGGTGGCAGAAAACATCATATAACGATGGTCAGCATCTTCGTTGATATCTATACAAGGGGTTAGTATCTAATATGCATAGTTAGAAAGACTGTGTACATACCTCCGCCGGCAAGGATCTTGGTAAACTCGGTCTCCCAGTCGGACTTGAGGAGCTCATCAGCCTCATCAATGATGGTGTAACGAACACGGCAGAGAGAAAGGATATGAGGCTTATCCATGAAGTCGATAAGACGGCCGGGGGTGGCAATCAGGATGTCACAACCCTTCTGGAGCTCAATGCGCTGGTCACGGCTGGGCCCACCTCCGTAGATAACGCATGGACGCAACATGGAGCGGTAGCAGAGACGGCGTGCCTCGTCAAAGATCTGGGTGGCCAACTCACGGGTTGGAACGACAATAAGAACAAGAGGCTCAGCACGAACGGCATCCAAGCTCTCGTTGAAACCGTTGCCCAAGTCAGGGCGAGGGGCGGCGAGTTTCTTTGCCTTGCCCATCAATCTAGACAAAACGGGGATCAAAAAGGCAGCGGTTTTTCCAGAACCTAAAATTGTCAGTGCGATAACTCAACCACAAATATGATGTCTATCATACCAGTTTGAGCGACTGCAATCAAGTCATGGCCGGTCAGGACAGCGGGAATACAGTAAGCTTGAACAGGAGTTGGGACAACATATCCGCAAAGCTTGATGTTGTTCAACATGATAGGATGCAAGCCAGCCTCATCGAACTATATACCTGGTTAGCAACTATCCACATGCATTTGGATATTGGTACTTACACTCTTGATGGGATCGGGACGCTCAGTTGTCTCTGCGGTAACTTGAATTGAACGAATGCTATAATAGCATCGAAGGTCAGCAAGCAAAACGCGTAGAAGCCCCAAGTTGGACACGGGTAGGCATACTTCTCAAGCAACTTCCCAACGCGAGGAATATACTCGTCCTTGAAGAGCATCTGCTCCAGCTCTTCGTTTGGAGGACCAATATCACCATACTCTTCCTTCCACTCGTACTTGGCGGAGTTAGACGCCCACGGCAAGGCATCGGCATAGTCGTCACGGTTGAGGGCGTTGTAGGCGTCGTAGTTGTAGCGCTGAGGCTCGACCCAGCCCTTCTCGCGAGCCATGGCAGCTGCCTCTTCGCCCTCAGGCAGAGCGGCGGCCAGAGCAGCCATCTCGTCGAGAGGCTCTGGAGGCATGGTGAGCACCTCTGTAGCGCTGGCAACAGACATCGTGACGGCTGGCTGTTACGGGTGACGGTACTTGATATCAAGCGCGACGTCAGCCTTCGAAAACGCGTCAAAGCAGGCAGCTTGAAGAAAGGGTGCGAGGGGCATACCGAAGAAAAGGAAATACGACAGATACCTCGAGAGTTGTACCTCGTTCAGTGTCTGATGCTGAAGCAGTTGATGTTCTAGTGCAGGACAGAAGTCAGGTTGGTAAAAGATGAGGTTGAGTAGCACAAAAGTCAACAATATGAGGAGGACAGTTACGGAAGAGAAGAAAAGAAGAAGAAGGAAAACAGATGTTTCTTCCTTTTTTATATCCCATCCAGCGCCGAGAAACAGTGAAATCTCTTCACTTACAAAGCACAATTTCTGGCCTAGAGAGCAGAAGAAGACGCAATGCGGGCGTTAAGAAGTAAGTAAGGAGGAGAAAGGCATAGCAGAAGAGAGGGCAGAGGCAAGTTGTGATAGCATTGAATTGTGGTATCGCTAGGCTATCATGCAGCAAAAGGACAGGGCTAGTTTTTGTTTATTATAAACCTGGTATCTCTTCTACTTTTCCTTCTCTGGCTCCATGGATAACTGCATCTGCTTCTGCCTGTTGGTATAAAGAGAGGCAGAGAGATCACTAAGAAAGACATACAGACGGGATCCTGCAGGCTCCTTTAATAAATATTACTAGTGCTGGGTATAAATATTATCTCGGATCCCTGGCCTGCTTATGGAGGCTTTAATTGATATATTCATTCTTATAGGGAGGTATTGATATTTAATATCCATATTTAATAGAGCAGTTGACGGCTCGAAGTGGCAGTTAGGTATCAGATCAGCCTGGTTGGCAGCGATGGCAGCATCCCACATCATCTATATGTGTCCCCTTATCTTTGGTATCTCCAAATATTGATATCAATTATTGATTTAATTGCCTGTTCAAATAGCAAAGTTCGACTTTGAAAAGATGAAGGAGGAAAAGTTGATGATTTTATGGATTTATATTGGATTTTATGTATTGAGAAGAGAATAGAATATTTTCTCATTGGCTCGAAAATGTAACTTTGATTATAATACGTAATATAATATGTATTGTATTAATAAGCATGAAATTTCCTATCATGGTAGTGTTTTGCTTAGTCACTTGATGATTAGCCACGTGATATAGTTAAAATGTGGAAGTGATCACTTGCGAATCTTAGTCATCCACCCCTTTTTGGCCCAGAGCAAAAGCTTCTCTGACATGCTAGATCTATCGATGGTATGGCAGATGAAAATGATACTCCTACTATCATGAGCTACAGGGTCAAGTAGTTGATTAATGAGGTAACATATTCAACTTTCGAGGGGCCTGTCAACTATAAAAGATATACACATAATCCATACGGATCAGGAGACTTCGTCTAGTCTTCTTCCTCCACTTCATCCTCTTCTTCCTCGTCCTTTTCTTCACCATTCTCTTTCTCTTTGCCCTTCTTACCATCATCGGTGCCCTGTTTGTCTTTGTCTTTGCCCTTTTTGTCATCTTTTTCTGTCCCATTCTTAGGCATGCCATTGCCCTCTTCAACTGTCTTGTTGGCCTTTGCCTCGTCGAGCTGCTGATCCTGCTTCTCCTGGACCTCTGTGTCCTTGCCGTTAAGCTTGTCTCCCTCTTTGGGTTTATCACCAGCCGGTGCAGGATTATCGACCATGACAAACTGTCCCATGCTAGGCACTCCATCCACAACAATATAGATGACGTAGGCACCGGGAGGTGCGATGTTCGAGTCTGGAGGCATAGCAACTTCAACTGTCTGCTCGGCTTCACCGGCTTTCCAGCCCGTGTAGTCGAGGTAGAGCATTCGGTGGCCCATGTGAAGTGAGTGGGTGACAAATCCGCCTTGGTAAAGAACAACATGGAGGTCAATAGCGTCTTTGTGGATGTTGAATTTAACTGTAAAGGCCCCACCGTTGGCAACTAGATGTCTGTTTGACAAGACAACATCAAATGGTCGCTGAGTCGCTTTCTTGCCACTGAGGTAGTGAGGAGTGTATATTTCAACTCGGAATTCGGTCACGTATGCAGTCTTGGGGTCCTTGGGGTTGGGGACGAGCACAGGCTGCTCAACGGGGTTTGATCCTGCAACCATCACTGTTCCGTCGAGCAACAGCAGAGCAACGGAGTGATACATGCGGGCAATTGTGCTTGATCCACCAACAGCCCAGCGTTCAAGGTTGGAAGCGTGGGGGTTGTATATCCAGGGATCGTATACTGGGTCCTTTGCGATTCCAAACCCTTGTGCACCACGGCTGCAACCGTTCAGCCAGATGATGGTGCCGTCTGGTAGCAAGGTACCCTCTACCATGACCCTTTCACTCGGCATTGACTCAACCTCCCACGTTGGATTCTCAGACAGAGGTTTTATGCGCCCACAACTAGCGTCGGTTGGGCTGTTGATGTCAGGGTAAGCACCACCTCCACAGATCATGATCTCAGGCTCCCATCCATTGGCAGAACTCAGAGGGAACATAACACTTCCTCCTGTGTTTGGATAAGTTCTGAAGTCACCACGGAGGTCTGGGAGGGTCTTGACAATGGTATCCGTCTCAACATTGAAGATCTGTGAAGATTTCGACACGAAGACAAAGAGATTTCCATCCTTGAGAAGGTGAAGAAAGGGGTACATATAGTAAGGCTGGTTCTTCTCTAGTATGGACATGACCACGCTATTGCCATGGGGAAAACCGTCACGGTCCAGGAGCTCGTATGTGGGATTGTTATTATCCGAGTTGGTCGGGTTCAAGCCATTCAAGCTACCTGACGCGACGAATATTCTCCCATCAGGCATAGTCTGCACAGAGGGATACCAGCGAGCAGAGGACAGAGAGTGACCAGGCTCAATCCACCCTTCTTCTGCCTTTGGATCATCGAACTTGCGTTCGAGATATCTGATCCCCTTAAACCCGTCTTTTACCGTTGGATCTATGAAGTTCAACGGGCCATTCCCACCAACAGACAGAGCACGACCGTCGGCCAGAACGGTTCCACCAGCACAAAATGCATTGGTCTGTAAGTTTATTAGCATAGAACAGCAGGATACATAAAGAAATACGCACTTTGTATTCTAAGGCTACAACGTCATTGGTAACCGGGTCATACTCTGAGGAGTAAGCAAATTGTCCATTTGGTAGAATCAGTTCAGTATAGTTTTCGATCTTGTCCGCGAATGCAACTTTCCCGTTAGGCATGAGGATGGCCATCATGGCTGGAACCCCAGACCTGCCAACAGTTGTGAACGTCCCAGGAATCTTGAATGGATGATAGCTTAGAGGAGCAATGGGTATCAATGCAGGCCCGTTTATACATGGGCCAGACTGGCATCCCAATCCGCAGTGGGCGGTGCTATTTCCACAGAACTGGAACCAGTTGGTTAACGAACACGTAGAGGGAAGATGAAGCACGTACACCATAAGCAGAGCAGCAAGAGCCGTAGAACCAGTTTCCACAGACAGTATCTCCATGCGTCGAACCACATGTCCCATCGGTGGTGACATTTCCAAGAGGGCCAGATGGCATAGACGGCTTAGGAAGCTGGGGCTGGGGCTGGCCAGTGCTAGTACTAGTGCTAGTAGGAGTGGCAGAGGCAGTTGGAGTAGGCAGCTTAATTCTGTTAGTACCAGTAATGGACACCTTTGGCTTTGGGCGGAAAGGAGGACGCCAGAACGGTCGTCGTAGATGCGGACGAGCAGCCTTTTGGGTCACATCATCTTCGTCAATGAGGTGTGAGGGATGCTTCATGAAGCAGTCTGCTGCTATCCCTGCCTCTCCCTCACCGGCGTCTCCACGGCATTTGCCAGGCGCATACTCAACCTCCGAGTCTCTCTGGGTGATCTCAGCCGTGGAATCAGACTGGGGAGGCTGGATCTCATCCTCTGGACGATGGCTGCTCTCACACTTCCCGTGTCGAGAGCACCGCTGGCCTCGTAGACAGCCCTGGAATGCCGGCAAGATAGGATCACAGGAGAGCGGCGCATGCTCGAAGATGATATGCGCCTCTGCCGCGCAGACAAGCAGAGCCAGCAGGATTCCCTTCATCGTAAGAGCTTGGTATCAGTCCAGTAACGGGATCTTGAAGCTGTTGTCTCTTCAAGCCTGGCATTGCCGCCATCCGCGATGTTGATATTGACTGTCAGCTGTCAGTCAAACCTGTCAACACCAGCGCTGCGGCAGGCACTTTCGACCGCCGCAGAAAGCGAGTCTTTGTCCAGGGCAGTCCCGCCCAGCAGCCATCGTCGCCATCTTCACAGCAGTCACAGCATTGTTTCGCAGCCGTAAGCTGTAGTGGTCGTGGAAGTGGCCGTCTTGTAGCGCCGGAGCTGGCGGTTGGAGGTTGAGCTGATCCTCGGCGAAAAAAGGAGCAGAAGGAGAATTACGGCGTAAGCGTGGGCACGACAGCCTCGGATCCTCTTCCAAGGTGCAACAAAGACACAGACGAAGCCGAGAAGCCTGAAGCGCAGAGATAAAAGGAACCTAGGACGGAGCACAGAGCCAGGACGTCTCGATGCCCATGCGACCGCACCACCGTCTGCCCCCGAAACATCATGTCTGCCGCGCCAGGATCCTGTGCGGGTGTGGAGTCCGCTGCCTCGCGGCGCCGGCGAGCGCAGACGGAGAACGACATCTCTGTTGAGCGCCTGCGCGAGACCATCTCGAACCCGGGCTCGGTCAAGATCAATGTTAAGGGCGCCTTTATCCTGGACGAGGACGAGCGGGCTGCGGCCCATGGGCGAGACGATGCCGACGGCGTTCACTACGAGCACAAGGATATTCGCCTCCCTCACCATACAGACGTGGTCAGCCATGTCGCCGTCGATGTGAGTCTACTCTGCGCCTTGTATATATGTATATGATTACGGATATGATGCTGATTTTTGATTTTGTTAGATTGGCGGGACGCTGGCGAAGCTCGTCTACTTTTCTCCTGAGATAAGCCAGTCTGGTAGTGGTGGTCGACTCAACTTTATAAATTTCGAGACAAGCCGGATAGACCTGTGTATCGACTTCCTGAAGGAGTTGAAGGAGAACCACAAGAAGAGGAATGGCTCGGCTCCGTACGAGCTCTGTGTCATGGCTACCGGTGGAGGCGCATACAAGTTCTACGACATGCTCAAGGAGGCTCTGGGGGTTAACGTACTCAGGGAGGATGAGATGGAGTGCCTGATCATAGGTGTGTAACGTTTTCCTTCTAACGGTGGAGAGTAAGATAAGCTAACGAGTTGTAGGACTCGACTTCTTCATAACGGAGATCCCGAACGAGGTGTTTACCTACAGCGAGACGACGCCGATGCAGTTTGCAGAGGCCAGGGCGGACGTATACCCGTATCTGCTGGTGAACATAGGCTCCGGTGTCTCGATGGTCAAGGTCTCGGGCCCTCGACGGTTCGAGCGAGTAGGCGGAACTTCACTTGGTGGAGGGACGTTCTGGGGCCTCATGGCCCTCCTGACCGGTGCTCGCACGTTTGACGAGATGCTGGCCATGGCAGAGCGAGGGGACAACAGCGGAGTCGACATGCTCGTGGGCGACATCTACGGCACAGACTACGGCAAGATCGGGTTGAAGAGTACAGCCATCGCTAGTACCTTTGGCAAAGTCCTCAAGCTGAAGCGGCTCGAGGAGAGGAATGCTGAGAATAGCGGCAGCGAGTCGCCGACTTCAGAGCAGGACATCTCTCATTTCTCCCACGAAGACATGAGCCAGAGTCTCTTATTCGCCATAAGGTATGTACTTCAGTCTCCTCAGCCGTCGTCGTATTCAACGGGTCAGCTAACAGCCGCAGTAATAATATCGGCCAAATTGCATATCTACAATCTGAAAAACACCAGATCAAACACATATACTTTGGAGGCTCGTTTATCCGAGGCCACCGCCAGACCATGAACACTCTTTCCTATGCTATTAGATTTTGGTCCAAGGGAGAGAAGCAGGCCTACTTCCTGCGCCATGAAGGCTACCTGGGAGCCGTCGGAGCATTCCTCAAGCGCCAGCCACAGCACTGGGGCCGCAGGAACAGCATCGAGAATGCCACGGCCGCCCGCTTCAACCAGAGATAAGGATTATCAGGCTAGATGGGGCTCGTCATTTGTATACTCTTGCCAACCCCTATTATCTATACCCAGTTTTCTACGTAGACATAGGTTAGCCCAGTTAGGCTCTATAGATATACGTCTCATGTACAAATACATCATATATCTCTTTCAAGCCGCCGCCATCCTCACCTTTTCGCCTTCATCTCCATCTCATCTCGATCGTCAGTCAATATTGACATTTGATCGACAGGGAAAAAAAAGGAGATTTAATTTGATAGCCTCACGTGACTATGACGTTTGCCCCAATCAGGAAACATCAAGAACTTCATCTCGAGGCGAAAAATCGCGGCAAGGAGAGAAATCAAACAAGACAGAAAACAACAGACAGACAGACAGACAGGCTGTTGAAGGACTTCTTCTTCTTCTTCTGCTTCTTCTTCTCGGCCGCCATGCCATGAGTAGACGGTGACGAAGTGCATTCTCTGCTCTCCCCCCAGAGCCTGTCATGGCTAGCAGCCGCTCGTCTCGCCAGTCCACTCCGTCGCTCAAGTCGCAGCAGCCGCCGGCCTCACCACCTACACCCGCTACCCCCATCCCACCCCCAGTCCCCGTCGAGACCCATCCCAACCGCGCTGGCCTCAAGGCTCGGCCTGTACGACACCTCTCGCCGGATCCAAGCAGGCTTGCGCCGGAAGACGCTTACTTTACTTCGCCTCCAAGGCTACGTCCGGGGAACGTAGCGGCAGGCGCCAGTAGAGATGGCGGAAGTACCACGAACGAGACAGCGAGACTACTCAACAGGAGCGTTGCGACTCCAGCAGCGGTAGCGGCACTGCGGATTCCGCCTGCGGTGCCTGGATTGGACTCGAAGCCCGTCAAGGATCGTCGGAGGGATCGAGGTCGTCGCAAGAGAAAGGGACAATGGAAGAAGCTTCTATGGGTCAAGCAGTCTTGTATGACGCTGGCATATCTTTAGTCAATGGCTATGGGAAACAAGTATGCTAACGGAGAGTCTGGTATAGATCCTGATAACTACACGGACACTGAGACTTTTCTCGACCATTTACAGCGAAACCCTCGGCTTCAACCGTACGATTTCTGGCCGCTGGTGGCTGATTTCACCGTCATCGTACAGCATGTCTGCTCCGTCATCATATTCGTCTGCTGCTTTACTGTCATTTTCCAGGAGCGTGTCAACCCGATAACCGTTGTCAGCTGCGGAAGTATCTGCACCATCCTTGGCTGGGTAGTCTGGGACTACTGGGTCGCAAAGGATGGCATGGAAGCCGCAGAAGCCATGGAAGCAATCAAGCTACTGAAGGAGTCTAGCGCAACTACTCGTAACCACTCTACTTCCAGCTGCAGTAACCCAGAGAGCCTTGATGGAAAGGAGAACGATGTGAACGGCGGCCTTGGGTTGTCTCTGGATACGTCGAGTGTTGGAAGCGTGCCGAGTAGAGAAGGCTCAGACTCTGGCTCAGGAACTCGCTCACACTCTATCAGCACCTCGGCAACATCCTTGCATTCAGAGCAGTCTGCTCATCTCTCACTGTCTCCCGTTTCGATGAACGCTTCGGACTGCGTACTTGGATCCAAGGCAAACACTTCTTGCGGCAAGTCGTCCGGCGTCGCCACCCCACAATCACCGCTTCAAATACCCTCGCCAACAGCAGCTTTCATAGCATCGCGGCACCGACAGATGTTCACTACCGTCAAATCTGCGTTGTTAATATTCTGCACCTTGCGTGGTCTCAGTCCCATTCTTAAATCGCTCACCAAATCAACAACCAGCGACTCAATATGGGCCATGAGCTGCTGGCTAATGGCCATCAACATCTTTTTCTTTGATTACGGATCTGGAGAGAAAAATACCCCTGTTGGTGGCGCTGCTACAGCCAACTTTCCTGCCTCTCTTTCAACTAACGCAGCCCTCATGGCATCCACCGTGCTTGCATCTCGCCTAAAATCTACTTCTCATGTCTTCAGCCTTACCCTCTTTTCGATTGAGGTTTTTGGACTCTTTCCCGTCTTTCGTCGCCATTTGCGCTCTTACTCATGGCGCGGGCATGTGGCTCTCACCATGGCTTTGGTTGTGTTTGCCAGTGCATCGGTCGGCATCACACTTAGAGGTGGTCTCTCGGGTGCCATCATTGGTATTCTCATAGGCAGCCCGTCGACTGCATTGATAATGGGATGCTGTAGCTGGTGGCTCATAAGCCTGCAGCGGTATAAGAATGTTGTCATTGGACCCTGGGATCCAGCAAAGCCCATCATACGACGGCACTGGGACTGAAAAGTCGATTTTCTTTTCTTTTCTTTCTTGGCCTCTTTTCCTTGAATGCGCAGGGATAAAAGGGCCGCTTACATAGATCTCTTGCTTTCTCATTTGATGTCTTAATGACGTGGTTTTGAGCGTTTGTCAAGTCGAGGCGTTTATTTGGACGAAGGGGAGGAGATCGTGGTGCATTTCCTACTGATGTCTTCTGCACATAGCCCTTTAGTAATACGTATATAGAGTAATGAACCCAGAGTATCAGCTCACCTTTCCCATCTCTTCACCAGCTCGAGCCCGCTCTAATAAAACAAAACAGTAGGTTAATATGAAGAAAAACGTACCAAAAAAGGGGCAAAGGGGGCAGTGATGTCATTATTTGGGGAAACGCGCTTGTTCCATGTGACATCGCGTCTAGATGCGCGCGCTTCAAAGACATCTCTTCGACTCGAACATCTCAAGCGTGGAGACAAACTCACTTCACCACAGCCACTCAATTCTTTTCTGTATCCTTTTCTTGTTGCAGCGTTCACTCGTTTTACGGTTTTAATGCGATGCTGCAGTTTATCCGTGGCACAGCAGTTTACCCCTCAATATCGAAACTCCGCCAATACTGATATGATAGCAAGCCTGAATTTTCTTGTCATTCGGCTTCCTCAATGATCTTCGCAGGGCCACTGCAATCCCACAATTCTTTTATCCGTTATCCGTTACCCGGTATCTCCCTTGGTACGGAAATAGAGTGACCATGGAGAAAATGCCAGCTGTACGACGTTATCTGACTGCGGAAAAGACAGCGCTCATCATGCAGTGGGTTGATAAAGTCAACTCCCAGCCATGCATCGGAATGAAACCCCGTGAGCCTAATAAAATCGCTGAACCGAAGGATATCACATTACCTGCAGCAGCCCCCGCAAAAACTGCAGCAGAGAAAGGACAACCTCCGAAATACAAGCAACTTACCCTCAAGAGCACGAGGCTAAGGCGGGTCCGCGTCATATCTCGGGGATCCCGACAAGACGACGGGCAAACAAATGAAAAAGTGGAAGCTGTAGCAAAGGAAGAGGAGAGAAAGGAAGAACATGTGAAGGAGACGAAAAGAGTTGCTCAAACAGAGAAGGGGTATGGGGAAGAGAAGAGAGATAAGGAGGTGAAAAAGGAAATCCGCAAGCAAGCATTGCCCAGCAATCCAATGATGTCCAGCGTTATCGCCTCCAATTTGCGCATGTTCTGCGTGGAGATTGTGGTTCCATCAAGTGAAAAGAAGCAGCAAGCCTCTCAAGAAAAACAAGCTTGTGGAGACTCCAATCGAGCAGACAGTGAGAAACGAAAGCGAAGAGGGGGTACAAGGGCAAGAGGCGGACGGGCAAAGTGTCCTAAACTGGCAATAGAGAAGGGTTGATAGGCAGGCAGGTATTATTGATGATTACTGAAAGCTACAAAGAAGCTTTCGTGCAGGGATTCTCATGAGGAATCTTATACAGCATATGCTTCCGTACACGCCGGCCGAACGGACAACAGAGATCTTATCTGCGTATTCTTACTATATCTTCCTCTTACTTTTACTTGACTTCCCGGAAGCCAACCCTAGCTGTGATCGGCGGAACATCTGTTGATTCCAACAACCCCTCGCAAATCGGACGAATAACCACCCACTTGCTATCCTCCGCGGACCGCATGAGCCGTAGGTAGCCTCGAGATATACGAACGGGGACCATATGAGCAAAGGCACCTATCCTCTTGATCATTACTAGCCATTGACCTATCTCAATTGCACCACCTCGCACAATTCGTTCATGCGCAAGGCATGCCGCTCGTACCTGATTCTAATATTAGGACCTCACTCCGTATCCAACAGGTAAAGCGATGGAGCCTCTTAACACGTCATTCATCCGGTATGGCCCAGATGTCTAAAATCTGAGTGGAAACTCCGAATCAGTTTTTCTCAAGGACAGAGGAGACTAAATGGTCTTCAGGTCATCTCCGGCGTTCTAATGAAGAGGCGCATGTGGATGTGCAGGGGTGGCCATGTACTCATATAGACGTCACCACCTTGTATTATAAAGAGCAATATTAGAATACACTTCAATTGTGGGCTCCGGGTATAAGAAAGAAATGCACTGCTGCCCTTCCAGTAACTCAATGCTGCAGTATTCGACAACATAGTTGCCGTTTAATACCAATCCTTATCTGGCACTGCCGTCGAATGTCCAGCGAATCTTCGCAAGTGTGGAGATAAAACGGGGAGAAACAATCTTCTAAAACTCTGCCCGGACCGCTGATGCAACCATATTTCTACCCTAAAAAACTAATTATGCCGCTCTCCGCATAAGTTTGCCGGTTGTTTCTCTGGCCTGTTGTTTCTGCAAGTCCCAATGTAAGAAGAAAAGGAAACCTAACCCCCACCGGCATCACGTCAAAATGCCTTATCTTGAAGGAAAAGGAGCAAGGTTAATTAAACCTCGGTGCGCGCGACTAAAGTGGCTGTTTCATGGCCGAATACACGCGCGCAAGGCGCAAGCCTTGAGGAACCACTTGAAACGGTTGCGAGGCCATGATATAAAAAGAAATCTCAGCCTCTCGGGCTTATGTATATCATGTAGGACAGAAGCCTCGACATCTTGGGTTTTTGCTTTTCTTATCTGCTTCTTGAGTCCTTCAAGTGTTTTTTGTCTCCTCTGTTCTATTCCAGGCGGTCGTATCCAGAATAGTGACAAGGAATGTTAACAGAAAGATCATCAGGATGTTTGCCGATCTGCTGCGGAGACCCCTTGGGCTTGACGAGTCAGAGAAAGTGGTCTGTCCCGTTCCTGGACGAGACGTGAGTTAATGACGGGATCTGCTGTTCGCCGGGAGGTTTTCGGCGGCCATCATCAAGTCATCCATCTTGTCATCCTGCGCTGAAATTATGCTCCGAAGCCTACCGCGGGTTTGGGGTCCAGTTTGCCTTGCCATGGCGTGCATTGTGAAGTATCACTCCAGAGACGATCCCCAAGACACCTCCATCCGGCTGAAGACTCCACACATCCGTCTTGTCCATCGCAACGGGCAAACATTGGCTGAGTATCCATCCTCGTATGTAGGCGCCCGATGCTGTCGATACTTGGATGTTTGTTCTGATGTCGTTGAAGTTGAAGTTGACGAAGTCGCGAAGTCGTTGGTTATTCTGCCAAGCGCGGCTGCTCCACCACCTTTGGCCTCCTTGTTTCATCGTCAACGTCAAAAATCAAAAAATGTCAACTTTATGCAAATTCGACGCCGTGAAGAACGCAAATGATACTAGCGAATAGTGGACATAAACTGCACCAAGAGAGCAGCGATCTTCTGGCGCACAGCAAGGATCGCCTTTTCTTTCGCCTTCCCAAAGCTTGCTCTGTCCAATCTCCCCGTGTCTTCCAGAACAAAGACGGGCTGATCGACCGGCGAATCCCCTAAGAACCAGGAACCAGGACCAATCCTGCCGGCCTTTCTGTTTAGACACGGACACGCTGCAGGCCTAATGGATGGCTAACTGTTGGTTCGATGAATAACTCTGCAGTATGCAGCGGCCCTGGATGGCTCTTGATCTGAATATTCACACCAGGGATGGGACCGTAGTGGTGCGGAGTAGGCTGCGTCACCGCGTATTTACACTCATCTGCTGACGGATGACCTTGCATTGCTGTGTCAGGACTTCATACCTCTTTGTGATTGCTTGCCAGAAGCCGCCTTTGATGACGGAATATTGCACTATTCTAGACACATTATTTCTCCATCAAAGGGTGGTTTTCCATCTCTGATTGCTCCAGTGGGTCTCCCAGGCACGACCAGCAGAACAGGCAATTCCTGGCCTCCTCTTCCTTACGAATCCCCCAGCCGCCTGTGATAAGAAGATCTTCACAATCTTCTTGCTTTTGAATGGAGCTACCATGGCCTTCGACTCGAGGCTGCGCGTTTTGGTCAAAAGTTCCGTACCCCCACCCAACTTTAAGTCTAACCACGGCTACGCCAGTTGGTGATGGCAATGGCCGCGCAGGGCTTGCCATGACGAGTCAGCCTCCGCGGTGCTCCCATACCCAGATACCTGGTCCTATCAGAGGAGTTTGCACTGGGCTTATATCAGGTACCTTGTACGGTTCACGGACTATTATACCCACTCCCCCTGGCCCCTCGGGAGCTCTATAGTATAGTCTTCCTGTCTATATAATAATCTCCCCATCCTCCCTTGACTGTCCTTTTCTTTCTTCCCTTTCGTTCCTTATGATATAGTTGAACAGGTTTCACTTCCATCAAAAGATCCAGTCATTCTTTTCTTCCTTCTATTCCAGGACAAAATAATCCAGAAACAGCCAAAAAAAAAAAAAGAGAAAAATAAAAAATCCATACCATCACTCTTCAAGATGCAGTTCTCCGCCGTCATTCTCCTTGGCCTCGCCAGCGCCGTCTCTGCCAGACCTTTCAACTGGCTCGACTTGTTCAATTTCCCGACCAGCGATGATCTGCCACTACCAAGTGCTCCCACTAACATTCCAACCGGAACTGGCACCACCTTCACCGTCACTCCTACCGGAACCGGCACCGCCCCTATGCCCACCGGCACTGGCACTGGAATCCCAGTCCCAACTGGAACTGGCACTCTGCCTTACCCAACAGGCACAGTCACGGACACCGCCGTTCCATCCGGCACCTACCACTTCCCAACCAGCATCCCAACCCCATATGTTTAAACATCTCGGCGACAGCTATTTTCTATCATACGATATACCGCCCAAAAACATCGCTCGTCCTTGTTTCCCACGTTGCACGCCACTATGCCACACCTGTCAAAATTGACTACGAATGGGGAAATGCGAGTCGAACTCGGAGCTGGGAGTGAGAAAGAAATTGTACATCTGATTTTTTAAAATGTCGAGCGGGCCTCCACCTTCCCCCACTCTCTTTAATTTACATCCTCCAGTGATTTTTTGGAAGGCGGTCATTTTTCGTTGTTTCTGGATAGATTGTACATACTTTTTTACCTCTTGATTCTTTCACTTACCAATCTTGATACCTACGCTTTTTCGTCTCATTTTGGATTGTACCCCTGAAAATAGACTTGTACCTATTATTTGGATTAGAAAAATCAGGAGAACTCCGCTGCATATGAAGTACCATCCCCTTTAGTTCTGATGAGACATTTCATATAAAAGTTGACCCTCCGCTGACCCACAGGGCTTCATGCGCGAGCCAAAGTCTAGACACCAGCGGAATCCACCGACTCACCAACGGCTTCAATTCGTCTAGACCAATAATGACGCATCGCCACACTCGCCCTGTCACCGTCCGTTCACCTGTGCGGCGA